TACTTTGACGAGCTTATCAGCCTTCTCGAGCAAGGTCTTGGCCTTGAGCGAGCCCACATGGGAATGTTCACTGAGCTTGGTATCGCTCTCTCCAAGTACCACCCCGACCGCCTCATGGAGCACATCAAGATCTTCTGGTCTCGCATGAATCTCCCCAAGATGATCAAGGCCTGCGAGGAAGCGAACCTCTGGCCCGAGCTGGTCTTCTGCTACTACCACTATGACGAATTTGACAACGCTGCTCTTGCCGTCATCGAGCGACCCGAGAACTCCTGGGACCACCAGCAGTTCAAGGAGATCGTGGTTAAGGTTGCCAACCTGGAGATCTACTACCGTGCTATCAAGTTCTATGTTGAGCAGCATCCCTCGCTCATCACTGATCTTCTTGCAACCCTTACTCCTCGTATTGACGTTAACCGCGTCGTCAAGATCTTCCAGAAGAACGATGACCTCCCTCTCATCAAGCCTTTCTTGCTCAACGTGCAAACTCAGAACAAGCGTGTTGTGAACGAGGCTGTCAACGACCTGCTCATCGAGGAGGAGGATTACAAGACCCTACGTGACTCAGTTCAGAACTATGACAACTACGATGCTACTGAGCTGGCCAGCCGTCTGGAGAAGCATGACCTCATCTTCTTCCGCCAGATCGCTGCTTCCATCTACCGCAAGAACAAGCGATGGGAGAAGTCTATTGCCCTGTCTAAGCAGGACAAGCTGTACAAGGACGCCATCGAGACCGCTGCCCTCTCTGCCAAGACCGAGATTGTCAGCGACCTCCTTCAATATGTAAGTACCACTCGAGACCCTGAAATCTGTAATATACTAACATCTGTAGTTCGTCGATATTGGCCACCGCGAATGCTACACCGGCATGTTGTACGCTTGCTACGAGCTCATCCGCCCTGACCTTGTTCTGGAGCTCTCATGGCGCCACGGCCTCATGGACTTCTCTATGCCTTACATGATCAACATGCTCGCCCAGCAAACGAAGGACCTCGCCCTTCTGAAGGCAGACAATGAGGCCCGCAAGGCAAAGGAGCAAGAGAAGGAGAAGACCGATGACAACACACCAATCCTCGGCGCTTCTAGACTCATGATCACAGCTGGACCTGGTGGCATGGGCTCTTCACCCTCGCCTGCACCATATGGCCAAGCAAACGGCTTCGCGCCGCAGCCCACCGGCTACGGTTTCTAGACGCAGGTACCGGTACCGATGTGGCGTTGCCTTCCCTATTATCATATGCGAGGACCGGTAGCGCATAATCAGTATCTTCATAGGCAGGAGAATAAATTCAAAATGGATTCGTACCCGCTTACGGATATCAGAAAAGGATAGTCTATTGGCGAGGATACAGAATCCTGTAATCATATTTTGCTTCTCCCGCGAGTTGCGCGTGGGGGCGTTTGAAGGAGGATTTCGAGCGATTGACCTCAAGGGCTTTTGTGGTAGACTGGAGGACGAAGTTTTGATACTAAATTTCGCAGTCAGACGCATGTATTCTGTCGGACTGCTGTATGTTGTATGATAGTACATTGATTTGTCTTTGTTATCCTGTCTCTTTAATGCAACGCTGTGACACGCCATGATGATACTGTTAATCTGCCATAATGCAACCCAGACACATTCAAAAAGAAACACTGGTACAAAATGCTATTCTAAACCAAAGACACTCCATCAATCTCACGCTTCTCCTTCTCGACACCATCCTTATGAGGCTTTGGGTCAGAGATCTTGAGCCATTCGCCATTAAAGGCGTTGATAAGCCAATTACGAAGTTCTGGAGCAATTGTCAGCCCGAGTTCACTGTGTCAAAAGGAAATAACTTACTATCATACACGATGCGGTTTCCGTTATGGAAGAAAATACTGTGGTCGCTATCAGGGAAAACGTGAACATCATAGTTCTCTACACCTGCAAGATCAAGCTCATCAAGAAGTGTGAGTGAGTTCTGGAAGTGGACATTGTCATCGGCAACACCATGCATAAGAAGGAAACGCTTGTTGCTGCCGAGAGCTGTGGCATTGGCGATCATGGACATGTCGTAGCCGTCAGCGTTCTCTTGTGGCGTACGCATGTAACGTTCGGTGTAGATACTGTCGTAGAAGCGCCAGTCGGTGACAGGAGCGACAGCCATGCCATAGCTGAAAGTGCGTCCAGCGTCTTGCTCAAGCGTCTTGAGGGTGGTGAAGCCGCCGTAAGACCAGCCCCAGATGGCTAGGCGATCGGCGTCGACGTAGGGACGGGAAGCGAAGGACTTGGCAGCGGCAATGTGATCTTGCGACTCCAGAACACCGAGTTGGGAGCGGACTACTACACGGTGCTTGCGGCCGAGGAAACCTGTGCCTCGAGGGTCAACAGTGACGACTAGGTAGCCAAGGGCTGAGGCGACGTAGGCTTGGAAGTCAACTGAGAATCTCTTGGTAACAGACTGAGAGCCCGGACCGGAGTATTGCTGGAAGAGGACAGGGTACTCCTTCTTCGGGTCGAAGTGAGGGGGACGTCGCTCAACGTAGTTGACCTCAACACCATCACCAAGATCGAGGGTACCGTATTGCATAATAGGAAGCTCGTGGCGCCGGGCACGTTCGGCTAGTTCGGAGTTGTCCTCGACGACACGCTCGTAGGTAAAGACACTCGAAGGTGTGGAGATGACTTTTTGGCTGGGAACCTTGGGTCCGCGGTATGACAGGAGGACGAAGCCAGCACCCTTCGAAAAGGAAGCATCGTAGTAAGCCTCGGTCTCTGGGTCAGTCAGAGCTTCGAGAGAGGTACCGTCAAGCTTGACAGAGTAGACGTGGCGCTGGATAGATGACTCTTTGGCGGCGATGAAGTAGACCAAATTGTTTGCGAGATCGATTGCTGAGGGAGCATCATCGATTTCCCATTTGCCCTTGGTAAGCATGATAGGCTCAGGGTTATCGAGAGGAGTAAAGTAGGCTAGATGATCATAGCCCTCGTGCAGATAAGAGTCAACATATCCATCATGATCGCGACCATTCTCAGGATCGGCAGGGATATAAGCTGTCTTGTGGGAGATCTCGAACCAACCACCGTCAATCTTATCGACGTCAATGGTGTTGACAGTCTTGCCCTTGCGAGAACCAACGTCGATCAGGACGACCTTGAGAACATCGCTGACACGGTTGGTCTCCTTGACGAGAGCCTTGCCACCCGCCCATAGAAGATTGCTGATGATGCGATTATCATCTGCAAATGCACCAACGATATCAACAGAGAAAACATCCTTCTTCGACACGTCGTAGAAGAGCAAGTCAACAACTGGATTGTGCGCACCAGCCTTGGGATACTTGATCTGCTCAACCTCGGGATACGCCTCTTCGCCCTCTTCAGGGTCTGTACCACTGGGTCGCTTGATGAAGAACTGGACTGGAAACTCGGGAACACCCGTCTCGTTTGTGCGAAGGAAGGCCAAGTACTCGCCATCGTCAGACCACCATGTAGCGCTGCGGCCACCGAACACTTCTTCCTCGTAGACCCAGTCGGGAATACCGTAGAAGTACTCTGGGCCACCATCCTTGGTGATCTTGACGACATTCTTCTTATCGTCCAACTTTCGGATATACAAGTTGTTGTCTTGAGTATATGATACGGCGTTGCTCTTGGGACTCCATGTAGCGAGCTGAATTCGAGCATCAGGCTTGCCAGGGACGAGCGGTTCAGCTTCTTGAGTCTCGACATCGAGAATGAAATAGGTGGCGCTGAAAGAGTGACGCCAGTTCTTCTTCTTTTCGACGCCGAGAAGGACCTTCTTCAGATCGGGGCTGGGTTCGTTCCATTCGGGAGAGTATTGGTTTCCTTCGTAAACAAAGAAGTTGTCCTTCATCAATGTTCGTGACTTGGAGGCTTTAACTTCTGTATCGATGGGTGACCTGGTCTCCTTATCGTTGCGGATATCCTCGACAACGATATATGGCTTCTCGCTAGCTCCAACCTCAAGCAGTAAACCATCCTCTCCATCAGGACCGCCAATCCAGCTGATACTGTGCGACTTGGCCTGCCAGAAGCCACTGAAGAGCTGATCCATTGTAACGGCCTTTCCTGAACCTCGCGTCGCAGCATCAGGATCGTGCTCGGTATCGCTCTCATGATGATATGAACCGAAGTAGAGGAACGTGCCGAGACCAATGAGCCAAGCTGCGACAAAGACAGAGCCGACAATTATGAGAATGCGTCGCAATCCTCTATCCATGGGTTCACGATGCAACGAAGCTCCAGGACCGAGGAAAGGACCCGTCTCTAGGTCATCCTCTTCCTTGAGGGGATCATCGTCCTCGAGAGCTCGAGAATCGTTGTTATCTCTTGAAGCGTCCATCATTGTCTTCTCTTGTATCCTATCAAACACAAGACTCGTCGTCGAAGCTGAAGAGATAGAATCGTCCGAGTATCGACGGTCGCTGGTAGGGCTTAACGGGGACATATTTGAAGCCATTATTAGGGGAGGGTGTCCTCCGTTGTGTATCGTGTTGGGTGTTTATGGTGGTGTTTGTGGTACGCGAGTTTATTGGTGCTGGCGCATGTTGCGGTGCGCGCGGAAGCGAGCGTCGTCGGAGATCGAATTGAATAACGATAGGCTAGTACGAGCAAACAAACGAATCGGCAAATGGTTGTGGATGAAAGAGAAGAAAGAAACGAGGCGTCAATTGGACCTGTATCTGGTTGTCAATAGAGACTAACGCGAGGGGATGATGGGCTATGCTAATGCTATGTCTAAGCTCGTGCTCGTGCTCCTGCCGACTTGTCGCATCGGGCAAAGCTTCTGATGACGTAAGCTGGCGATCAGTAAGTTTCACATTGAGGGTTTGTCTCCATCAATCTGTCCTCATACATTTGCTTCCCAAGTGTATGATATTGAGTGTTACTCTGTATCATGTTTCAACTGCTTCGATACGATGTGAGGTCCGGCGCATGAAGCATCATCCCCCGGCCTCCGAACCCCGGGTGCGCCCCACTCATTATGCGGCCCGGGGCAATAAATCCGGGGTATTATAATCGCAATTGAGACAAGCATTCATTAACGAATGAGAAGGAGAAGCAAGATCCAGATGAATAAAGATGACGTTGTTGAAATCAAGAACAGAAATACTACTTAAAGATTTTAACCAAGGGTATCCTCGCAATCTCCGACTTCAACATCAAACTAATGCGTCAACTGAGGCGCCTCAACGTTGGCACCCTCAATCTTCTCAACCACACAAGCAGTCCCATACGCACTCGCCTGTGCAAAGCCTCCCAAATCCCCAGTCTCAAAGCGCAAACAAATAATAGCATTGCCCCCTCTCCTCTTCGTCTCTTGAACAACCCTGCTGATAGAATCATTGCGGCAAGAGTACAGCATCGAAGTGAACCAGGTCAGCTCGCCGCCAGCCATGCTCTTTATAACCATGCCGATTCCTGCGGCGATGTTGCGTGAGCGTACTGTAATGCCGTAGACTGCGCCGAGAACTTTGGTGATGCGATAGCCGGGGAGGTCCATCATTGCTGGGATGTGTTAGTGGAGTTGGGTAGAATTGGAGATGATGACCGACTTGTGGTTATACAGTTGTCTGTCTCGGTGAACTATAGTGTGTAAGCAAGATTATCTTCAGCAGAAATATGAGAGAATACTCACGCAGTGCAAGTCGGACAAGTGCGCAGGAATATCTGCAACCTCCTCATGGTTCTTCTTCTGGTCTTTTGCCGATCCAAAACCAACCATCTTGACGTTATGTTCCAAGTCGTGTAAGTGCGTGTGATAGCAACGATAATTTGCAAACTGAGATTGAGCTTCAAGTAATGGAATAGTAGATAACTGATGCCATGTAATCCTTCATACAAAATCAAGGGACCCAGCTCCATCTTTATAGTCCCATACACACCTCAATCCCTAATCCCACATCCAAGGCTGAAGGCCAAATAACGCCCAGCCGATGTGGTGATGCCGATCTAACCGCCAATCACCCCACACGCAATTCTCGCATTCATCGTATCTGTCGCCCCGTGGCCTCAGGATCTCATTTGCTGGCCCTACAGCTTAGATCGAGTTCTTAGTGGTCGACCTCGTCGCCTCGTTCAATCCGCGTTTGGTGGCTGTGCTGTTCAGCTTGGGTACACGTGATGACGTCCTGCCTCATAAGGCTTTCATACTTGCCTTTTCGGTCATATTATCTCTTGATATCGTCATATTGATTTCAATACGGTCAATACGATGGCGGTGCTGGCGGTATGTCCGGTCCGGGTGTGGGGCCGTGACTTCGGGGAAGGCGGTCATGACCATATGTCACACAGCCGAGCTTTTGGGTATACTATACAATTATAGGCGCTATCAAGTATAGTCATACTAATATAATATGTACTCCTCATTCATACAATCATTAATAACCATCATATCTTAAAAGTGAAACAGACGGCTCGACCTCTTATGGGCAGCCTTCTCAGCAGCTCTCTTTCTGTTGCCAAACTTCTTAACGCGAGCAGCATCGCGGGCATGCAACATGACAGCACTGTTGGTATCACGACGTTCATTAGAAGAATCCCCAGTGAAGTTACACTGAGGCTGCTTCAGTCTGTTGCCAAACTCGTCAACAGCCCAGATCAGAACACCGTTGGTCCAGCCGAAGCCCTCAACGACTTCGTACTCACCACCGCCTCCTGCAACGTTGGTAGCGTTATCGGCGTACTTCTCAAACATGATACCATCAGCCCCCTCAGCTGCTGACTGGATTCGGGGCAAGTCTGAAGTTGTTCCTCCAGTTGCGCGCCAAGTGCAGAATGTTGAGTCCAGATATCGCTGTGCGAGACGAAGAGCCAGTCTACGGACCTCGATAAAAGAAGGATCCATGATGCCGAATGTCGCAGGGACCTTTTCAAGTCCTGACATGAGGATGTGCATCAGTGGAGGCCAGACATTAGGCTGATCCCACTGCTGTCCTGACTCGACATTACTGGCAGGAATACCACCTTGACGGGTGTCCAGGTAGTACGAGACACGCTTGTAAGCATTGAGGACAGCATATGGGTTGTTCTTGAGGTAGTCGGGGGCAGCACCCAGCCAGAAGGGGTAGAACTGGGTAGGACTGAAGAAGACCTGCTTGCCCTTGGGAGCATTCTCCTTATCAATCTCAGCAGTGCTGTTGTCGGTTGGGTAGAAGATCGACTGTGCCTTGGAAGTCAAGTTGTAGTCGAAGTAGCTCCAATGGGTCTCGTTCCACATGAAGGCGTGCATGGCAAAGCTGCGGTTGGCCGCAACTTCGCGCCATTGACGGCTGGCACTGCTGTTGCCTGTCTGCTCATAGAATTCAGCTATGGCGATCTCATTTCCGTACAAGATCGAGTTGAGATCAACAGGGATGATGTTTCTAGTGTTGAGGTATCGGAGAGGGAAGTAGTTGTCGCGAATAGCATCATCGGGTCTGGCCACCCACTTAACTATGCGATTATTAGTTCCAACTTTCAACTTTGGTCAGGTTCGCGAACGCACCTGAATAGTCGAGGCCACTCTCTGCACCACTGGCGAGATTTCCATACAAAGCCTCCTTTGTCTTGAAGTTGAGTTCTTCGCCGCCGCTGTAAACCTCACCGGATGGTGAGTAGTAAGACTCGTTGTTTGCAGTAACATAGTCTTCGCGGTAGGACTCGGGTCGTGGTCGAGTGTTGGAAACGTTATATCTGTGGTTCATGTTAGTCGCAAGCTAAGTACCAGGGTTGGCGTTCGTACGTGTTTAGGTAGTAAGTTTCGTTGTTAATGTAGACCGGAACCGAACGGTTAGTCATAAAGAACTCATGCTCTTGCACAAGCAGTGGCAGGGCACGCTCAAGAATATCAGTGTCGTTGGTGTGCTCGATATAAGCCTTGATCATCTGAGACAGCAGAGGAGGCTGAGATCGGTTGAGGTAGTAAATACGAGCGCCATTGGGGACGAAGCCGTACTCCTCAATAAAATCAAGGAAGTTCTCGATAGTGTTCTTTGCAATGTTGACAAAAGAGCCACCAGTTCGGAGAAGACCCTCGATGATCCAGTAAGAGTCCCAGTAATAAGGCTCACGGAAACGACCACCGGCAACGACGAAGGATCGGTTGACAGGGATGAAACTGTTGGGGCAATCGCTGCAGTTCTTGGAATCTTGGTCGTAGCGACGAGTCAGATCAGGCCAAATATCGATGACCTTTTGTGTGAATTCCTTGATGGCAGTGTTGTTGATCCTGTCGAGGAACTTGGGGTCTGTTTCAAGCTCATCTTCTGGGACTTCCTCGAGTTCGTTACCAGCATCGGCAAAGTAGTCATTGAGAAACTCCGTGAGAGCCGAATTGTTACGTAGCGGCTTATCCAACTTGTCGAAAGCATCCTGAATTTCACTCAGAGGACGAATGGCTGGCCTTGAGATGAATTAGTATCTGCCCTGGTTATAACGGTGAGATTGGATGTTGACTTACATATCAACAAAGGTCTTGGAGTCACTGAAGGGTTGGGCAAGCTCAACCTGCTCGAGAATCTCTCCATGGCAGTAGATTGGTGAGTCGCAAGGTGCAACGACTGTGCCGTTCACATAGAGAGCAGATACGGTTGTCGCTGACGCAGCCAAAGCCGCAGCGATATGTCGTGGAGACGGCATCACGGATTACTTCCTCCAAGATAAAGAAAGCTACTGACAATTGCCAATCGAGGAGTAAAGAAGTAGAGTGGTATTCAAAAGGAGGAGAGGGGATGAACGAGAGTATATTTATATATATAGTTAAAGTTACAAAGCCTGTGACTCGGCCAAGCCAGGAAGAATCATGACATGATATTTAGTGAACATGAACAGGATTTGAGCCTGTCATGGGTTGTTTAGTTGCTAACAATTAGGCTGCCAGCCAAGAATGGAATGGAAGATGGAAATCGGGGGTTGCTAAAGCAAAGAAAGAGCTCAGCTTGACGATCATTGTCCAATTTTCCACATCTTTCCTTTTACTTGACACCTCCACTACGAGCTTGTGCAGTTCAAGGTTCATGGTATTGTAAGTTAGCGTTTGTTTTGCCAAGGGGCTTAAGTCCAACTTTACATCATGATACCAAGATGAATGACCTAACCAGGGCTCTCCTCACTGATGTTTCTGTTCAATTGAACTGTCCACTGTTCAATTATTACTTCTATCATGAGTTTACAGTAATTGAATACAAATCAGTCATCCTCTCTCTGTGACGTGATATCCTCTACACCCCAGACGCCACAGAAAATAAACAAACCAAACGTGGAGAAACGTCTGCATCTAATCCTTGTTTCTGCTCTAATCCCCGCACTCTCCCCTCTTAGCTTCGGCATCATTTACACGCTGCTTGCAGCTTTATTTGACCGATTGGTCAGTGACGTCAAGAATCCCAAGTCCCAAGTCCCAAGTCTCCAAGTTTCAAGCGTTGGGAATAAACGTTCCCGCAGGGCGCGGAATTAAACAATTCGACCAAGTGTATAGCCTGAGAGAAGTGTCAGCGGCGTTCTTGGCTCGCCCGTTGAGAAGAAGAACCAGCAAACGGTAAACCTCGAGTACTGGATTCTCGGTGTAATAGGACCGACAGGTGCCCATTTTCATGACTAATGTCCCATGCTTGTTGAGGCTGGTGATGGAGTGAATCGTCAGCTTCAGTCTCGGCAATTCCGTCACATATCTTGACACCTGCCTGAATAGTTCTGAGATGTCAATATAGTTTGCGCAAGGTCGTCGATCATGATCCTGGTCCTGGCTCTGATCATAAGAAATTGACCGAGACAATACCGTTAGTGACTAACACCAAGAACTGCCGGTCAACATCTAACCTTAATTGTGAAAATATCTCTAAAGAGCAGCCTTATATGGACAAGTCTACTATAAAAATCTTTCGATGGCTGAAACGTCTCACAGTAGTTCACTAACATGTGTAAGGAGTAGGACCGAAAGAGCAAGCTGTAGATCGAATACCCAGTCTATCCTTTCATCTACTGGGGCACATATACACTGCCCTTTCCAATCTTTTGCTGGGCACTGGAATCTCCTCCCTCACCCAGAACCTTTTCAAACACAATCTTCAACCGTCTCAGAACCTCTTCCTCATTCTGCGCAACCTGGTAGTGCGTCACCAACCGGCTAGACATGAACTTGAGCCCAGCATCTGCACCAATCTCAATGAACCGCTTCACACTGCATCCTGTCGCCTTGAGGTTCAACCACACCATGTTAGTCTCCGTTGGCTCATCAATCGTGCCACCCATGCTCGTCCAGAGGTCGTCGACCTTGCGCGCCATCTCGTGAGACGCCTTGAGAGGCCCATCTTGGCCGTTGGGGGACTTTCCAAAAGTCTGCTCGATAGCGATGCGTCCTGCAGATGTGAGAACACCGGATTGTCGTAGACCACCGCCGATGGACTTGCGGACCCAACGAGCGTGCTTCAGTGTGGCTTTGGTGCCAACGATAACACTTCCTGCAGGGGCACCGAGACCCTTGGAGAGGCATAGACTGATGGTGTCAAAGTAAGAGCAGTATTCGGTCAGGGAACCTGCTCCAGAGACGACTGCCTCCCATAGTCGTGCGCCGTCCAAGTGTAACCTGATGCCGTGCTCTCTAGCGAACTCAGCAATTCGCTTGACTTCACTGAGAGGCATGACCATGCCGTGAAGAGTGTTTTCCAAACTGATGACACGTGTAGGGCAACCGTGAACATCATCATCCAGGGTCACATTCTCTTGAATCTCTTCAAGTGTCATGTATCTGCCATTTTTAGGAATAACAGTCTGAATCTGAGCCCCTGTGAGGTTTGAAGTGCTACAAAATTGTAAGCCAAATAAACTCATGGCCCATTTTTTAGTACTTACCCGCCTGCTTCAGCGGTGAAGATGTGAGCACGGTAATCGCACAGTACTGAGTAAGGAGGCTGTGTGAGAAGAGATCGAAGAGCGAGCTGGTTTCCCATTGTTCCTGAGAGGACGAAAAGACCGGCTTCCTTTCCGGTGCGTACCGCAACATAGGCTTCAAGTTCGTTTGTGGCAGGGTCCTCCTGGAAGACATCGTCAAGTAGAGAGCATGATTTGACAGCTTCCAACATAGCTGGTGTTGGTGTTGTCACCACATCGCCTATACCAACCAATGTTAGAGTTTGACCTCTCAACACATGTGTGAGCTACATACTGCGGAGGTCAAGCGCCGCAGGCCCTTTAGCACCGAGCCAGGCATTGTGAGGCTTCTCAGAGACAGCGTCTCCCATTTTGACAGATGAAGAGGTAAAGGTCCGTTGTGAAAAGACAATTGGGCGTGCTGTTAAAGATATCGATAGAGGCCGGAGAGGATATTTTGATAAGTTGCGAACTGCCGAGGACACGACAAGTCGAGAAGAACGACTCATCATGATAGAAGAGCGAATTAGACTCAAGAGTTTCAATCTCCGCAGAACGGAACAATAGAGTTAAGTCGTTATAGGGCGTAGAACGGGGTACAACCTCCACAAAAAACGTGTCGATAGTGAGGGGAACACCGAGCCTTGGCCGTTGAAAGAGCCGATGCCGCCCCCGTCTCGGCTCCGGAAGCGATATCGATATCAATTGATGGAGCCTCCCCCTCACAACACTAAACTTCAAGGGTCTACCATTATCAAACGGTGCTTATTTCCGTTTCATGTGTATAAACAGAATCTTCTTTACAAAGTCTCTAGCTCTGCTTATAGATGCTTTGTAATGAGGCCATCGGCTGGGTTCAACAATTTAGTGTCCTTTGCATTGTCTGATCGTCATTGGGATGAGAGTAATAGCGGGCCTCGATGTTATACGAACTACGATTATCTTCACGTGGGAAATCGAAAAGTACGTATGAATTGCGTCAGCCCGTTCATCGTTATCAGCCCTGGGAGAACATCATTATCAAACTAGATTAAACAAGCCTCAAACACTTTTTATATTACATGGCGTCGGTGCTTATCACTGTTTTCAGCTGCCGACGTTTGTTAGATTGCCGGCTTCATAGTCCGACAGGAACAAATATTCTAGCCAATGAATCAGCGCCCTGCGTACGTCGTATTGGAACAAACTCGTGTGACGGCCTGGCCATCCCTTTATCCTGAGGCTGAGGGCGTGCCTTAATCCAAGATCAACGCATTAGCGGGCTGATTCTCGAATCCTTCTGGGGACAAGTTGCCGTGATTACCGATTTATTGCTCCCTCATGCGACTTTGTGTTATTAGACATATGTCACTGCTGCCATGTTATAGCAGCCCTGTTGCACTAACGATCTTCTTCTTATTCTCTCATTTCTCTTGATGTCCGAAAATCATCATTATGGCTTCTCGCGTGCCTTATCGTGTGTTCCTCTCGTTGATGCCCCTCGTCTGCGTGGTCGTGCTTCTATCTAAGCAACCGTTCTTCGATCGTTCACACATTCATCGCATTACTGATACAGATATCAGCGTTTCTCTCTCACTTCCTCGACTTAACTTTTCAAGGTCGCATCACGAATATTACGCATCAGATGCCGCTCGGTCGTTATGCGCCTCACATGGTTACACTGTCTTCAACCCTCATCCCGATGCGCCAAACGGTCGCCGCAAGATTTACGACCTCTTCATGGTCAATACAGAACTGGACTTTCTCGAAATTCGACTGAAGACCCTGTACAATCATGTCGATTATTTTGTTGTCGTTGAGGCGCCACTTACCTTTCAGGGTGGCCCCAAGGACCTTGTCATCCGCGACAACTGGAAACGCTTTGAGCCTTACCATGACAAGATGATTTATCATCAACTCGAGTATCCGAAAGACTTCAAGCCCTTGCGTCATTGGGATCGAGAAGACTTACAGCGCAACGCTATGTTCGACCAAGTCTTCCCAAAGCTCACTGGCGAGCAAACCCCAACTCAAGGCGATGTCATTCTGGTTGCCGATGTCGACGAGATTCTGCGCCCTGCAACGATGCTGGTACTTCGGACGTGCAACTTCCCTCGTCGCCTGACCCTCTCTTCCAAGTTTTATTACTATTCCTTCCAGTTCCTTCACGATGGACCTGAGTGGCCATTCCCACAAGCGACATATTACCAAGGCATGCGCAATACCATTCTTCCTGGAAATTTGAGAACTGGAGATGCAGGAATTCCTCTGCTCAGGGACTTGGAAAAGGGAACATTGGCCAATGCCGGTTGGCACTGCAGCTCGTGCTTCTCGACAATAGGCCAATTCCTGAACAAGATGGCCAGTTTCTCGCATGCGTGGATGAACCACGAATCCTTCCGCGATCGAGATCGTATCGCAAGTGCGATACGTGAAGGTGTTGACCTATGGGGACGTAAAGAGAATACGTTCACTCGAATAGACAATAATGCCGACCTTCCAACTTGTCTGCTTGAGGATCGGGAGAGGTTTCGATATATGTTGGATCGAAGTGGCAAGACCGCGGGGTTCAGCGACTACCCATGAACTTATCTTTTGTGACGGATGATTATGAGAAATGTATTAAGGCACGGATTGATTTGGTTCATGGTTTCTGGATGAGTTAATTATGAGAATCGAGATACCCCTTCAATAATGAAGTGTTTCAGCCTCCAACAACTCCCAAGCCTCAACTTTGGAGTAACTGCGCCTCGCTACGGAATCTTCACGACTGTCTTCGGCATTCGTGCACATGATTACTTTACTGTTGGTTAGACACTGTTAGATATTCTTCTCTATTGTCATGAGTTTGATTTGGAGTGTGTTTGATCAATTTAAGATCCTCCTCTGAAGGGAAGGAATCACATTCGTACAATATTCAAGGGAGGAGGAAGGAAGGAATGTGCCGAAAACAGTGGCCCTGTGACGGCAACAACCTTCTTCCTAGACCTAGCCCATTTCACTGGACTTGCCCAGCTAACGATAACCTAAGTCAGGCATCCGTCCATTATCGAGAATCCACCCTTGGGCAACTTCTCTCCACCATCACAACTCTCAATCAGCAACGTCAACCTTCAGTTTCTGAGGTCAGCTCTCATCTAAGCGATGATTGAGTCACATCGCGATCCAATCGCTAGCTGATTCTCGTCACGTAGCGTCACTTTCTCCGCAGCTCCTCAGCTCCTTGACTACCAGGTGGTCCAGTCACGATAGCCTCAGTGTCAACTCCCAATAAGCATCCCAGGGTCGGTCATATCAGGGGTTCAAAAGTCATTCGGAACTTGAGCCGTGTGAGGGATGTCCATTTGCAGAAAAGCCATCGTCTAGCGCAAGACGTTCGATTCGCTCACAGTCGTTGACGGCGCTCCAATTAGAAGCCCGAGTCCACCTTTTTCCAAACCTCGAATTCCATTTCATTTCCGTACGAGGAAGTAATAATCTCGACCCTTTCCCACACGATAATTTCTTCTTATCTCTATTTCTACTTTATTCAAATCGGGTGCCAATACGCTTTACGCTTCTATCCATTGAAGCTCACTGACATTTTATAGGACGTTCATTTGCGCTGTTTGTCGAACCATCTTACCACTCCGTCTCCACCCCCGTACCGATAGAGTCCTCCGCTCCGCCTCCGTTCACCGCCGTCCCCGTCTGGTCGGAGCTCCCGAGGGCTGTCCGAGTGTGCAGCATGACCTCATCGCAATCGCTCATCCCTTTCAAAGTATCAAAGCTGAATGTCGCCCAGACTTGTTCCAAGCCAAGCTTTTTTACTATTTGTTCTATTTGTATAGGCTGTCCTTGCTTCCTCGCCTATCAACAACGATCTCTTGAGCAATGAGCTGCAGCACGATGGATTACCCCGACTTAGAAACAGGCAATACTGTCAAGGAATAGACACCCTTCGGAAATAACTCACACCTACAAGGCTTAGAGACATGGAAGTGACCATCTAGGAAAGGGACCCGTTCATCGGAAGCACCTGGCCGTTCAAGAAAACGACAACACCCAGTCAGAGGTACCCACGATAGCCTTCCCTGCTGCACCTCAGATCCTCACCAGTTCGTTCGCTCGGCTGGGGTGTGGGTGCGTGCGGGAACGCGATGCGCTGCGTGATGCGAGGCGGGATTGACAGGGCGATGAGCCACTGCAAAACTGGCGTGCGGCGCTTGTCAACTGCAGCGATGAGTTGGCCAACGCATCAAGTGGTCCGTGTGTAGCCTCCTAGAGTTTCCCTCATCAACAACCCCCTCCCTCACCTCTTTTCTTTCGTACTTTCTTGAACTGCAGATTTTATTCTCTCTATTTAGCCTACTATTTGGCGATATTCTGCAGCTTCTGGTTTACCTATTGGGCTTTTTTGTATTGAAAAAAGTCTCTTGGTTGTGAAAATGGGTGTTGATAAGTATCCACACCCAAGCATCACCTGGACCTTCTCCGCCTCACATTGACAACTCGACCCATGTCATCTGGGACATTCGATTCTTTCCAACAAACAGTCAAATGTTGAGAACCCATTCAATGTCTATTAAAGTCACTCATTATCCTCTCAACCAATACGGGTTTCGGCGATACAACTCAGAAAGAGTCCATCCCTTGCCACTATTCTTGACTCACAAAACACAACTCAGTCATACATTCAAACTCGTATTTGGTTCTGGTTCTGGTTCCCTTGTCTATAAACACACGCGTCTTCCCATCAACTACCAGGCTTAAAAACTGAACGAACATTTTCATAACGACATAATCATTCAGTCATCAGCCGTTTCTAGTCAGCCGCTTGCAGGTTACTTACACAAGCTGTGGCCGACAACTACACATGCTTTACTCGATCAAAGTATGTTCCAAGCAGAAAAACAACATCCAAGAATCATATCGTCGTCATCGTCAACAGCAGCAGAAACAATAGCGCCATCAACAATGGCAACAGCGCCTAGGCCCCCGGTGAATAACAAAAAGAAACAGTGAGGAATGGCAAGCGCCAATTCCATATACAAAAACGGCGTCCCTTGGGAAAAGACCTTTTCTCCTTTCTAGCCAGTGCTGGATTTCTTCCCACCATGCAAGATTATGCTCCGTCCATTAACAAAGAAAAGTGTCATGGTTTTCCAGGACCTGGGTAGTGGCGACATGAGAACAGCGAAGAAGTCTTTGAAACCCCGGTAAAAGCTGCATATGGGCCAACAGGTATCTGGAAAAATCATGAGCTCGTGAGAGAGGAATTTATATATGTTTACCCTTGCTCTTTTCACTCGCTTGTCATAAGCCGGTCTTGTGCTCTGTTGCTGGCTCGAGACGCAAGCAAAGAAGCCTTTGTCTGGCAGTTATTGGAACAACTAGCACAGACTTGGACGCTTGTTACCTCTTGAGTCAGAGGGTGTGGAAACATCCCCAAGCGAGTGTTACAGCCACCACACCAGCGAGTTATGGCGCTGATTATGGTCGCGTGGCATACTTCATTAGAAACTCGACTACTGCGTCAAGGTTTGTCTCTTCTTTCGCGCTGATACCATAGCAGCACACCTCACGGCCACGTATGCTCTTCAGGTCTAGCTCGTCAATCAACTCATCCACCGAAAGCTTGTCCGGAAGATCGGACTTATTCCCCAGGATGAGAAGTGGTATACCCTCAAGCGACTTGCGGCTCATGAGGTCATGGAGCTCTTCCTTCGCTTGGGGAATCAGTGGTGTATCGGCAATATCCACGATAAAGACGATGGCGCTCACGCCTCGACAATATCTTTCCCACATGGTTCGGAACCGGGGCTGGCCGCCAATATCCCAACACTTCAAGGTAACATGTCCGCGCTGTACCTTTTTCATGTTGAAACCAACGGTGGGGATGGAGCTATCATCATCTGGAGTTAGCACTGGGACCTCATGACACAGTTGAAATGTCCGGACGGGCTGCAGCGAGATCGAGGAAATTCATGGCAAGAGCCGGTATTGGGAAGCGCTTACTCGAGAGTGAATTCACCGCCCTACAAACGCGACAGTCAGCTACAAGCGGTCAAGCAAAAGAAAAAAAAAGGGAAAAAAAGACATGTCGGAACCTACAGCGAGAACTCGTAATAACGAGGTCTTTCCAGCATTTTGCAAACCAACCATCGTCACTTCCATTTCCATCGCCCTGGGAGTCATTATCAGCATGTGGGTTCAAAAGCTGTCGCAGCTATGCAGAATAGCGAGTCGCGAATGAACCGGAGGTTTCTGTCGGTTTCCGTGGAAGCAACCTCACGATTATGGCTACTTACCAGAACATGCGCATGAGCCAATTGTAGACCCTTTGGAATAACCCTGCCATATTTGCTATCGGTCACGAAAAACGTTGGTCGGGCTGCGGTAGGCGGTCGGGTGAAGGCGGGGGTGCTGATTGGAAGAACGCTGCAGCTTGTCGCAAAGACGAACGAGAGAAATGCCGTTTCTTTTGAAAGTTTCTCCTCTTTGACAGAAGAACACGAAATGTCTCGGTTTCGCGAAAGACGGTAGAAGATGTGGTGGGCGGGGTGTTTTATGGGCGGACAATTCTTGTTGGTGCTCAGATGCAGGGTCGTGGTCCAAGGTGACAGACGCGAGAGGAGCAGCAGGATGGCGGTTCAAGATGAAAAGCGACTTGTATGACGGTGGCAGGCGACAAGTAACATCTGCACCTGTAAAGTTGTGCGCGCCAGCGTCTAGGCGTTTGGAACAAGGTCGGCGTCGGCGTCGGAGGCGGGTTCGAGCGGCGATGGAAATAGTGAAGGAGGAGAGCCTCGTGGTGCAACGACGGAGGAGCAGTACCTAGATTGGCACAGGTGACGCCTAGGCGGAGGCACAAAAAAAGGGCCCCACCTGGAACGAGATGACGGCCGAGACAGTCAACAGAGACGCCAGAAAGGGCACCCCAAAGACACCAGCAGAGGCCACCAGAGAGACCACCAACGGGCACGAGCCTTTGGGGCCTTGAGGGGGCAAGGAATGGGGAAGTGGTGGGAACGACCCGTGCCTGGCGGCGCAAGTAGCGTAGCTTTTAGCGCAGATGCAGCGCCAAAGGAGCCCAGAGAGGTTACCGAGAAAGATTTGGTGCTGTAGATGGTTTAAGTCGAGTGTAAGCGCGAATATCAAACTCAACGCAGGTCGAGGTACTTGGCAGTCGTGAGACCAGCAGCTATCCCACTGCTAGCTACCTAAGCTACTAACTAACCCAGGGTATGTATCGATGGCAGCAGGAGAGCTCCAGGTCAGGTCAGGTCAGGCCAGGTCGGGAGGCCTAAGGCAAGGTAGAGCTCGTGCAGGGATGAGTAGTGAGCGGCGGGAGCGCCAAAAGGTAGTGATTGGGGACTGCAAGTCGTCGCGGGGTGTTGTGACATTCCAATCTTCAAATCACCTGGCCCAGCCAGAGGTGGCAGCAGTGTGGGCTAGGCGCTGCGGCGTTTCATTCGCTTGAACAGAGGAGAGCTTGCTTGAGTGGAGCGATGATCGACCAGGGCGCGCAGGGCTCCAGGAGACCAGGACTACGTCGACGTCAGTTCTCAAAGTCAAGGGCTTCTGTGAGGGCGCCTAAAGAGCGCTGTTGTGTCTTTGTATTTGTTCGTAGGGTCCTTGTCGCTGCAAGGCAGAGCGGTTGGCGAATGATGGGGCTGGTAGATAGACGTTTGAGTTCGATGTTACTATCTTGACTTTGCCTCCTAAAATCAAAGTGCTTCACGGTTAGCTGCAGGGTCTTGGAGAACGGGAGCCGGCAAACAAACCCACCCGATGGGTTGAGAGTAGACGTAGACGGTGACAGCGTTGGCGATCAATACTGGATCTGCTCAAGGTACTCAACTGACCAGGTCGAGCTCGACTTCTGGTTATAGGCTTTGAAAGCGGATTAGAGATCTCCTGGGCAATGCAGCTCCCTCCGGATCGTGCATTGGCGTTTCAAATACGGGCGGTTTGGGGTGCTTCAACGTTGTGTTGCAATAACACATGCAAAGTGTGGGCCTTGATCGCCAGCCACGGACAGCCACAAGTAAGGCGTTGATAACGGGACGATGAATCAAGTTTGTTGGACGACCTACAGATCAAGGATATCCGCGGCCTCGAACTACAAACCTTTGTTAAATGTAGTATTATAATTCAGCTCAAGTATATGTTTTTGAAGGTTGCAAGAGAGTGAGTTGTTGCAGGGTATGAGGTGAGCCACACATAAATCGCAGCCCTTCGCAGTGGCACTTAGGTAGCGGAGTCGTGATATCTGATGACCTCGAGGTTACCTTGACATCGAGATGATTCAAGGAGGAGCTGTGAAGATAGGAAGATATGTAGAGAAGATCATAGTGTAGAAGTACTCTTTTCTCCAGAAGGTGTACAGAGAGTTGATGGACCAAGACCAAGTGCAGCGTGTTGGGCTCTTGCCTGCAAATCAAGCGAAGTTGGTCAAAACCAACCGAGGTCTTACCAAAGCGTTTATCTCTAGGACCATTATTCAATCCCGGGCATGGTACCTGTATGTATGTATGTATGTACTGTACTGTAATGCAGGTTGGGCTGCAGTTGCTGCAAGCATCGCATTCGAGCCTTCTAACCCCAGCTCTTATTCGTGTAGTAATTGGGAAGCTTCTGCTTTTGGGCTGCAAGACAAGTGCGTCTCGTCATCCTTATTCCTCGAGGATGTGGCAGCCCAGAGTCACTCCGGAGTGTGTGGCGTGCTTCAAGTTCATCTGTCTAATTACCTCTTGTCTCTGCGCCACCGGAGATAACTACCTTAGTAGCTGAAAGTGCACTTTCAGTGGCCTTCAGTACTTGCGGACTCTCCATTACCACACTTGCTACCAACAAAGAAGCCGAATCGTGACCACCTTTCAAGTTGCAAACCTCGTCTTGGCCCCCATCTTGGACTTACACAGTCAGCGTCGTACTTAAATTATTTCCCAGGCACCAGCTTTAGGCCTTCATGCTCCAGAAGTGGTGATTGGCAACACAAAGGGGCCAACTTCTTTGCTAAGCATGCCTTGTGACTTGGGGAACGGTAGATAATTCGTCATCATTCTCGTTTATTATCGCCTCTAGCTAAAAATCCTGGAACGATGTAATCTTCTCGTTCGCGATGCTGCCTCTGTGGGAGCTGCTTCTGTGGGAGCTTGGTTCCGCAAGGATAAGATGGCCGGGCTATTCGCTATTGTTGATTCACTGCCGGTGTTTCATTTGACTGGTCTTGAAACTTATGCTTTCTTATTAAATTATGAACGCAACGAACCGTTTTAACCGCTCATGCGGCCGAATTCAAATGTTGCACTTAAATCGGTTGATTGATAGAAACCAGTTCCGCATTCGATGATGCTTGCTCCTCATTCGCTGGCTCACTACCCCACCCCGATAAGATAACGCAATGACTAAGCTTAGCTTGACTTTTTTTTCTGGCTGGGAACTTTTTTTTTCTGCGCTGCGATAGCCTCAATCTTTGCGATTGCGAGCGGTCTTACCAATAGATTTGCCGCTCCTCATTGTTCACAGCGGCAGGCAAGATTCTTCGAATGTTTTCTTCTATTGAGATTGACTCTACTACTGTTTATTTTGGAATTGCTGCCATCGCTCAGAAGAAATCACACCGAGTCTCGCTATTCTTGAAGCTCTAGGCCATTCTCTTGAGTTCCAGTCACCATGGCACCCTCGGCCACCGAAACCGAGTGGGATCACCAATTCCATACCCTGCGCCGAGAGGACCTCTTCCGAAACCCTCCCAAGGATCACACTGCCTATCCTGCCCTCCAATTAGCCGTCGACCCTCATCTCGAGTCCTTCAATGGCTTGTTTCGCGACGATGGCAAGCCAGGCCTGTTGGCGCATGGTATAGCCGACATTGGCGCCAGAACATACCTCGATGGCGACGACCGTGCCTCGCCAGATGGCAAGAATCGCCTTACTATTAGATACAAAGACGTCTTCCTTCAGAAGCCTCAGGTGCCCCCTTCCAATAAGATGGCCCGGAACCGTCAGGTTTTCCCCGCCGAGTGCAGAGAACGCCATGTAACATATCGAGGAAGGCTCTCAGCTACTCTTGAGTACCGCATCAATGGAGGAGATCCAGTTGAATTTACTCGAGAGTTTGGCCAAGTACCTGTCATGATCAAGGTTTGCATAGCAATTTCTGCTTTTGGGTTTTTTTACTCACATATACCAGTCGAACCGATGTCACCTTGAGAACAACTCGCCCGCGCTCCTTGTTGAGAGAAAGGAAGAATCTGAGGAGCTTGGAGGATACTTCATCGTGAACGGTATCGAGAAGATTATTCGAATGCTGCAGTTGAACAAGCGAAACTTCCCCATGGCTATCAATCGACCTAGTTTCCAGAACCGTGGCCCTGGTTATACTCCCTACGGTATCATTCTCCGTGCAGTTCGCCCCGACGAAACCTCTCAGACAAACGTCCTCCACTACCTCAGCGACGGAAACATGACCTTCCGTTTCTCATGGCGCAAGAACGAATACCTAGTTCCCGTCATGATGATCCTCAAGGCATTGGTCGAGACCAATGATCGCGAAATCTTCGAGGGATTGGTTGGTCCGGCTGGCTCCAAGTCCACCGAGAACACCTTCTTGACACACCGAATCGAGCTGCTTCTACGGACGTACAAGTCATACAACCTCTACAGCAAGTCGGATACAAGAGCATACCTGGGCGAGAAGTTCCGAGTTGTTCTAGGAGTGCCGGACACCATGACCAACCTCGAGGTTGGAACTGAGTTCTTGCGAAGAATTGTCTTGGTTCACCTTGGAAATGTTGATGTTACTGAAGAGCAGGATAAGGAGAAGTTTAAGCTGCTTCTCTTCATGATCCGAAAGCTTTATGCGCTTGTCGCTGGTGACTGTGCTGTCGACAACCCCGATGCCGTCCAGAACCAGGAGATCTTGCTTGGTGGTTTCTTGTATGGACAGATCCTCAAGGAAAGACTCGATGAGTTCCTCAGCGTCAACGTCCGAGCATCTTTGCGTGATTACCTTCGAAGGAATCCCGGCGTTGCCTTCACCTCCGAGGACTTCCGCAAGGAGTTCCCCAACAACATATTCCGCAAGGCCAACGAGAATCTCGGAAATGCCCTAGAATATTTCTTGTCAACGGGTAACTTGCAGAGTGCATCAGGTCTTGATTTACAACAAACAGCCGGTTTCACAGTCGTGGCTGAGAAGCTCAACTTCTTGCGTTTCATCAGTCATTTCCGCATGGTGCATCGTGGTGCCTTCTTCGCCCAACTGAAGACTACGGCCGTCCGTAAGCTGCTCCCAGAATCGTGGGGTTTTATGTGTCCTGTCCATACTCCTGATGGTGCTCCTTGTGGTCTTCTCAACCATCTTGCGCACAAGTGTAAGATCATGACTGACTATGTCGACGTGTCTCATATTGCTTCTCTCGCTCAGGAGCTTGGAATCGTTGACGTTTCCTCGGCTTCGACTGAAGAGAATGTCGTTGTCATGCTTGATGGCAAGATTCTTGGTTTCTGTACCCCCAAGGAGTCTGTCAGAATTGCGGACTGCTTCCGATACTGGAAGGTTGAGGGTACCCATGGAGTTCCTCTTCAACTTGAGATTGGTTATGTTCCTCCATCCAGGGGTGGATCTTATCCCGGTATTTACATGACATCAACACCCGCAAGAATGGTGCGCCCTGTCAAATACCTTCCTCTTCAAAAGGAGGATTGGGTTGGTCCTTATGAGCAGCCTTACATGTCCATTGCTGTCGTGCCTCAGGAAGTCGAGTCTGGCAAGTCAACACATGTCGAGTTCGATCCCACAAACATGCTCTCGATTCTCGCCAACATGACGCCTTTTTCCGATTTCAATCAGTCTCCCCGAAACATGTACCAGTGTCAGATGGGTAAGCAAACCATGGGAACTCCTGGCGCTGCTATCCGCTACCGAACCGACAACAAGTCTTATCGCATCCAAACTGGTCAAACACCCATTGTGCGAGCACCTCTTCACAACACATACGGCTTCGACAACTTCCCCAACGGTATGAACGCAGTTGTTGCTGTCATTTCTTATACCGGGTACGACATGGATGACGCTATGATTCTCAACAAGAGTGCTCACGAGCGAGGCTTTGGCCATGGTACAATCTACAAGACGAAGAAGATCTCGCTCAAGGACGACTCTCGAACCAAGGCTACCAAGAGTGTCACCAAGGCCTTTGGCTTTGCCCCACACAGTTACGTGAGCGCTCAGTACCAGGGCATGCTGGATGACGATGGTCTGCCTCATGTTGGTCGTCTGATTCAAGAGGGAGACGTCATCTGTGCCTGGCACACAGTGACTCCTGACTACAACGGCAAACTGGTGAACCTCGACGGCATCACTCACTATGAGAAGTACAAGGACTCGGAGAATGGGTTTGTTGAAGAAGTCCGCCTGATCGGAGCCGACTCAGGTAACGAGCCTCTGCAAACAATCTCCGTCAAGTTCCGTATTCCCCGATCGCCCATCATTGGTGATAAGTTCTCTTCTCGCCACGGACAGAAGGGTGTTGCCTCGCAAAAGTGGCCCACGATGGACCTCCCCTTTTCTGAGACTGGCATTTCTCCCGATATTATTATTAACCCCCACGCTTTCCCTTCTCGTATGACGATAGGCATGTTTGTGGAGTCGCTAGCAGGCAAGGCTGGCGCGCTGCATGGCCTTGCGCAAGACTCGACGCCGTTCAAGTTTGACGAAGAGAACACGGCAGGAGATTACTTTGGCCACCAGCTGATGAAGGCCGGGTACAACTACCACGGCAATGAGCCCATGTACTCGGGCATCACTGGAGAGGAGCTCGCAGCTGACATTTACATCGGAGTCGTCTACTACCAGCGACTGCGACACATGGTGAACGACAAGTACCAGGTGCGAACCACGGGTCCAGTCGTCCCTACGACCGGTCAACCTATTAAGGGCCGAAAGAGGGGTGGTGGTATTCGTGTCGGAGAAATGGAGCGTGATGCTCTGCTGGCACACGGAACTGCTTTCCTGCTTCAAGATCGTTTGCTCAACTGCTCTGACTACTCGAAATCGTGGATCTGCCGCCGATGTGGTTCGTTTCTTTCTGTGCAGCCAACAGTGTCACAGTTTGCGCCGGGCAAGAAGAAGGCCGCGAGCATCGTACGATGCCGTGCCTGTGCGGTCAAGCTGGACGACGCGGAGGGCATCGACCTTACCGAGATCCAGGGTGAGATTTGGGAGGACGGTCACGGTAACTCTTGGGTTGGAGGTGACCACACTACGCAGGTTGTTGTCCCTGGTGCGCTCAAGTTCCTCGATGTTGAGCTTGCTGCGATGGGTGTCAAGCTCAAGTACCGTGTGGACCGCGGCGATGAGCCTCGGAAGGGTCCGATGAGGCCTATGGCATTAGATGGCGTTCGGGTTGGAAAATAGAGGGATATACTGTGCTGATGATTTGTTTTTTTCTTTGAGCTGTTTATATGGCGGCGGCCCTGTACATTGACAATAGTGCAGCATGTTAATACGAGTATGACTTGACAATACCTTTTAGAATCTGCAAGTGTTTTTCAGTGCGTCTATACCTTCCTCTAACAGGCCGGTATCGTCACTGTTGCCCTATGACCCCTTACTCACAGGTAATCGTCATGACTTCACCGACTTTAGTCGGCTTCATACTTACACCGAGCCATCAACATCAGACATTTCTGCTGGATAAGCAGATGAAACCAATGACGGCAGCAACGCACATTGATACATATCCACGGCACCTCGGCATCGGACAGCGCCGAGCAAACGGAGCATGGGAACGTGGACAATCGGCTGCCGTGTTCCTTGGCCTGGAAACCAAGTGATACAAAAGAATAAGGCGGCTGCGAGTAGCCGAGACTATCGACGAATGGCAGCTGAGGAGACAGCTGTTGGAAGATGAAAGGAGTGTTTGTGATCCAAAAGAGGGAAATGTAACAAGCCGTTCTGTGATTCCGTCCATCTGCTACTTTCTCTTTGGCTGAGAACAGGGGCACACAACAACGTGGATCCTTTGTAGGATATGACAATAACATTGCACACAGAGAGAGTCTTAGTGGAGGATATAGATGAGGGTAGTGTTTCTTTGGTATATCTGGAGCAAGGTTAGAAGCATGGAGTGGTGCAACGAGCAGCAATAGCACACAGTCACTACAGCATTGGGTTGTTTATATAACCATGACTGGACTGGACTTGGTGTTTGTTTGTTTGTTTGTTTAGTCTACTCTTTTCTCGAGGTCATTTCGAGTCCTCGATAATCTTGAATCTTCCTGTTTTATCACTCTTTAATGCCTTAGGTAAGATTTATATATCGAGTAGGCCCATCTATAGCTGAACCTGCCCAACAGGTGCAGCAGCCGACAAGATTGCACCTCCCCTAGGAAGACAAAGCCTAGCTTCAACTTACCTAATTTCTACTTAACTTAGGCATACCCAAACTTGGGCCATTTACGTCTTCACATCCTCATCAACACCATGCGTATCATCCTCGCTTGGCTGCTCTTCGCTGCCGTCACAGCGCAGAGCTACAACTACGGCGGCGTTGATATCGACTCACTCACACGCAGACAAGACCCCGATGCGTCGATCGTCGTCAAGGCTTTGCCCCAGACTCGCAATGGCACTACACCACTGAGGCTCGAGATACGACAAATGAAGGCCGATCGATACAAATGGGACTTGTTCATACTCTCCATGAGCATGTTCCAGGATGTCAGTCAGGACGACCCTGCTTCGTGGTACAAGATCGCTGGTACGTTGCACTGTCTCAGATAGAACGTTGTGAAGAGGCCATACTGATGCCTTGCCTGTTCAGGAATACACGGAGTTCCCTTCGAGGCATGGAATGGTGTTGAGGCGGCCCCAGGAGCAAATCAGTCTGGTTATTGTGCTCACAGTTCTGTCCTGTTCCCAGTGTGGCACCGACCGTATCTAGCTCTCTTCGAGGTATGAGGAGACCTGTTATTCCTCATGCTTCTGCTAACAAGATCTAATAGCAAGAGTTATATCGAATGGCCAATGTCATTGCCGGCATGTTTCCTAACGGGACCGATCGGCAACCATATATAGATGCTGCACGCGACTTCCGAATGCCATATTGGGATTGGGCAATGCCTCCCCCTGAAGGAGAATCACATTTTCCTGATGTATTCTGGAATACGACTATCTCCCAGTGGGGCCCTCGAGGCGTTCAGGAAATACGCAACCCTCTCTACTCGTACAGGTTTCATCCAAAAAACGCAACTGCTATGATTTGGAGCCCAGTGAGTGCCCCCACGTTGCAAGAGAACTCGTCATTGACTGTCAACTAGCTGAGAGACTGGGATGAGACCAAGAGAGCCCCCAACGCATCTGAGAGTGAAACCGACCCGACATCTGACAACGAAAAGGTCAACGCTGCGCTACTATCGAGACTTCCAGAGATACAACGGCGCCTCTATGAGCTCTTGACTAGTTACAAGGACTTCAACAGCTTCGGGACTAAGGCATGGGGTGCTACGCAGAATTTGTCGACAGCGGACTCGATCGAATCTGTTCACGACATTATTCATACCGACGGCGGTCTGGGAGGGCACATGACATATGTCCCTTTGTCTTCGTTCGATCCACTGTTCCTACTTCACCATGCCATGACAGATCGAGTAGTTGCCATATGGCAGGCTCTCAACCCGTACTCGTGGGTCACTCCAATGCCGGCGGGCGAAAACAGTTTCACCACTCTCAAGGGGGAGATGCAAGACTCTCAGTCTCCGTTGACTCCGTTCCTTGCGTCTGTTGACGGCACCTTCTGGAACTCAGACACAGCCAGGACAACAGAAGCTTTCGGATACACGTATGCTGATACTGATCTCACGGGGAAACAGAAGGAAGATGTCCGACAAGACTTACAAAAGAAGGTGAGCGAATGGTGGGGAGGTTCAGCTGCGGTCGGTCTTCAGGCGAGCACGGATATTATGATGGCAGGCGGAATCTCTTCGACAGACTACACGACCAAATGGACCATCGCTGTCTTGGTAAATATGGGGGCATTTCCCGGTTCCTACGCCATCCACTTCTACCTGGGGCAGCCGCCCGCCGACTGTGGTGAGCAAACCTCCCATTATGTCGGCGGTATCCCATTTGCTGGCACACTCATGACAAACCCATCAGACTCGGTGATTGCAGCAGCACTGCCCATCGAATCTCGACTCAGAGAAAGGGTCATATATGGGGACCTGCCCAGTCTAAGTTTCAAAGACGTCGAGTATTATCTGCTGGAACGACAGAAGCTCCAGCTCTGTGTGATGGCCGACTTCAGAAGGGATGTGGATCCAGCTCAGGTCAGTGGACTACGTGTTGAAATTGTACGTTCAATTCACAAGGATGGTCGAGGTTCGTTCAAGATAGACACTTCTTAGGCGAATCTGTTGGGTTTTAGGGCTAAAGAACAGGTAGAACAGGACATGTTTAGAAGAGGTATTAACAAGTCTTTGCTGAATTGAATTTACTGAGCTAGTCTAAGAGACCCATTTGTCAGTGCCGAGGTTGTTTGATGCCTTGGAAGTTGGAGTCGGGGTAGAAAGGCGTTGGTGGCTTTACGGCACAGCGCAGCACCACATGGTCCTCAGGGAGCAAGAAAACTTATCGACTCAAACCAAGGTGCTAAAATTAACTGTTCTAAAGGCCTGCTAAGATATACTCAACTCATCTCAAGCATTTTTGTCCTTTAAGAAAGTGGTCACAAGTCTTTTGACACCCAGAGGCTTGGTATTGTCTCTGATGCAACCTCATCTCAGCTGCTATGTCATAACAAAACGCCATAAGCATTGTTTCGCCCTTTTTAAGCAGTATATAGCATATTTCCAGTTCCCCCACAATCGTCTGTAATATCTAAATCATCAAATATCACAGCATGGCAGACTCACACATCCCATCCGTTCCTCCACCATGGACCCTTAAAGGCGACATCTACGCCTTCATATTCTGGACGTCTCCCTCACAAGCCAAAGAAGGTCTTCCTGCCATGGCTTACTCTCCTCTTGAAGGACAATCTGACTTTGCTAAAGATCAGAAAGCTCTTGGAGGTCTGAGTATGTTGCAGCTTATTCGCTATACGGACTCTCCCGTTGGACCCTACGATGAACTTATTCTCGCGCCGGGGACTTTTGGGTATGAGAAGGAGGATGAGAATGGGAGGAGAGTGAAAGGGAAAGGTGTTAAGATTACGAGGATTTATGTTTCTCATAAACATACGTGCTACAACGGTAGAAAGAGTACGTCTACTCTCTCAATATCTTCTCTCTTCGCCTACTAACAAAGGATATTTAGACTGGAACGTCCCCAAACACCTCGCCAAGTTCGACTGGACTGATAACTCAAACGGCTCTATAACTGCCAAAGTATATCCTCACGATACATTGCCCACAGACTCAGCTGGCTCTGAGTCAGCCTCACCAGATCACACTCCATTCTTCCAGGCCACCTTTAAGCCCATTCGCTATGCGCCCTCATTTCCCTTCCGAACTTCATGGATCAACTATTTGGGCTTCGACACCACCTTGGTCTTTCCTCCTCTCCCTGAAGGCGCTGGGAGCCAGGGCGAGCTGCCTGGTACTGACCAATGGTGCTCTGTCGTTCCGCAGCAGTCTACGTCCAAGTGTATGTTGGGCTGGTTTGACGTTGAGCAGCATCGTGATGAGGAGGGGAAGTTAACGGGTGAGTTTGAGAACTTCTGGCTTGGTTGGTCCAAGTGGCAGATTGGAATCAAGATGGAGAACTCTGTTATCGAGTTTGATCATCCAGAGACGTGGGAGCCTCCGAGAACGAGACTATAAGCAACATTAATAGTTCACAGTTTGCTTATATGGATCTGAAAGTCAACTCGGCCATCAAGAAATCTCTGTTCGAGACCTATGCGCTAGGAGAGAGTCATGCAGGTTACTATATACGTAAGTAAGCAAATGCCTCTTTACCAAAACACCATCAACTCCAGTGTTTGCGTGCCACAAAATAATAAACAACCTCAACCCCGTCTCCCAACCAACAGGTTGCCTCTGCTGGCTCTCTGTACCCATATCCGTAGCCCATGTCTGTATAAGTACCCCAGTCTACGCAAGAAATACAGCTTTCTTGAGCAGCCCACTGCTCGCTCTTTCGACCCGTCCTTCAAACACGAGCATGTCCAACATTGTCATACACTACTCCGCTCTCAGAATCAGCCCTGTGAAAGCTATTCGGTTTCCTCAACATCCCCTCTCAATCGTCATAAGCTATCCATACAGGATAGTAGCAGGGCCATAAGGCCCTTGTCAATAGCTATCATCGGAACTAACACCAGGGGTGAAGTTGATCAATGGCTGCTTGTTTTTCGGCAGATCGCCCTTGTGTCTCGCATCGGTTGAAGTATTTGGTTGCCAGGGCAATCGGAGTCAGTCCCATATTCATCCATTAAGGCAGACGATCAACGTTTATCCACTGTAGATGCGGGTAGCTCTGTAAGGGTAACACATTGTCTGACATTCACTTGTGACTTCATTCACTCAGTGTTTCCAGTTCCCCCCTGTTTGGCCACTACTTCTCGTGCATAAAACTCGACAAGCATAGTCGCATACGCTTCCAGATCTTCCACTGGAACGGCTAATCGAAAATCGTTGAGGAGCAAAAATTGGAGCTCGAGGTGGTTTAGTTCAACCAAAGGCAGACCACCAACCTATCGTGTCGTTAGTTTTATCTCAGCGAGAAAGGGGCAGCAGAGCATAGTTACATACCTTGGCATATCTTGAATTGGTGTAGAAAACATCTGAGAAGAACTTGCTTGCACACGTCACACCAGAGATGATGAGACGGTGTATATTGAAACTGTCGACAACAAAGTATGTCGCCGCTGCAATACCACTGTATTCAGTAGGGGTAGCAGCTCCCTTATGGCTGCTTGTCCGGCTTGGTCGAGTTGAGTCAGCCATTTCCTCATCGTCGTCATCTGCCAGGTCCGAGTCACTCTCGTCCACATCCATGCCCTCACCGCGCATAGGGGTGTCTTGAGGAGAAGTTGCGTTTGGTTGCTGGGATCGCGTTTGCCGTCGGTTCTCTTCATTCTTCGTGACCATATCGTTGACACGTTCGGTCATACGATCGAAGTATACCAGCAGACTAAGGAAAACCTCGTAGGTAGTGGGGCAGTATTTGTGTATTCTCGAGAGGTAGCTGAGAATGGTGATAGCGGGGACATTCTTGCCGTGAAAAGCGAGAACTGAATGGTTCAACGATGAGATCGAGCTGCCACTGGTGTCCCCAGACTGATTGGCCTGTTGTTGATGAGCAACATTGCGCTGCATTGCATCGTGCTGTAAATCGTTGGTGGTCGTGATCTTTGTTAGTAACGCAGCAACCATCTCGATGATATCCCCTATGGGCATACCACTAATCTCATACTTCATCTGCTGAAGAGGCGGATCATTGAGGATGCCGGATCCGCCATTGCCAGATAGCAGGTCGGCGCTAGCCAGACTCTGGATATGCGCTAGATCACGGATGTGTATGACAGTCTGTACTGGCGGTTGCGACGATGCGCCGGAGAGAGGAAAAGAAGGGTTGGGTATTTGGAAGTCGTCGGATGCAGGAGATGGCTGTTGAGCAGAAGAGTTGTGAGAAATTGGGTCGGGCTGGGAAGCGTGACCTAGGGGACCAGAGTCCCTCGCGTCAGATGCCATAGACGGACTCTTTGCATCATCGGCATAAGCAGGGCCGGTGGCAGCAGCGGGCGATGAGGATGGAGGCGGGGAGGGGAAGCGTGAGGCTCCGCCAGTGGCCGACACGTGGGCGGTTTCGTGACCCGCAGGCACTGGAGTAGAAGTTGACTCTGAAGCCGGTGCAGATGCAGGCGCGTGTGACCACGTCGCAGAGCTGTGGTTGCTGCTGAAGTCGGCGAGTTCTGCTGTACGCTGCGCTCGCGGGGTAGTGGACCGTCGTGATCGGCTGCCGGATCGATAAGAAGAGGAAGAGTCGTGTGAGTGATGATGCTGAAGGGAGGGGTTGGCAATCATGGTATGAGGATATGAGGTGTCTGAGATGATGTCGCCGATCACAGCGGCCATAACATCGCTATTGTGCAGACTTTCGTGGGTGATTGAAGCGAAAGTTATTATTAAGAGAAACGGAGGGGTATCGTCGTTGTCGCTGGTCTCGCAGATGAAAGTGAAATCGTAAACGGCGAGTAAACTGCGGGACAAAATAAAAACAAACTATTAGTCGTCAATATCACATAAAACAATATCGTATATGATAATATCGCTTCTTAGGGATTTCAAGCTGTGGAAAAGGTCGAGGCAATGCAGAATGGAGGCGATGACGATGTCAGAAGCCAAGACAAGTTGAGGAAATCGAAAAGAATCAAGCAAATGGAGGGGACAACATGCAGTAGGAGGGGAGAGGATCGGGCCGGTGGAGACGCCTAAGAACCAGAACCATAACCAGGACAAGGACAAGCCCGACAGTGGATGCTGGAGGCGTTTTGGAGGCTGAGTGAGCAGTCACTGGAGCCAGAATGAGGGGACTCCTGGTCAGCCTGACTGACTAGCAACTGGCGTCGTCCAGTGGGTGCCCAGGCGTTCAACAGCCTGCTAATGAGTGGTCCTCACAGCGCACCAGAGCAAAGCACCTGCCCCTCGTGGGTGAGCCAGCGGGTACCGAGTGGTGGTCGAGGCGGATGGTGGGGTGAAGGCCGATTCATTCTCCCCGACAAAATCTCGGAACCAGCTCAGTGGTGCATCTCCCTGGTCTGATTGGTGCATCTTGTTGCAACAATTCAGGGTTCTGAGTGTTTTTTGGTTCGCCTTTCCCCTTTGCTTGCCATCTTTTCTTTTTCTGGATAATTCGAGGGTGTGCCAGTGCAATCCACGGCTACTTTAACTGTCTCTGGATCCATCAAGAGAATGAATTCTTGTTGGGTGGGTGTTGAGGTGTCATTCGTCGTCGATCATATCCTGTCAAGAGGATGCGCAAAAGATATGCCCATGGCTTTTCGTCATTCGAGACAAGAAATATGCGGATTTGCATGGCATAGCCTGATATACCACAGGCAATTGTTCGAATGACGAGAGCGGCGGGACGACCATCGCGTTGCCACCTGCAGTGTCGTTGAAACCAGAGGAGGTTTATCGATATGTCCGATATGTCGGCCATGGCAACTGTAGTGGCGTTTGTGAATTCGCATCCGTCTTGAAAGCACAGGCCGACGACGTCACCACCCCTGTCCCCATATTGTGCAGCCATCCAGAACTCGAGGGTGGGTGGCTGACTCGGTCCCTGAGACTGTTCACCAGGCGCCCGCGTGTTTGCGACAATTTTCCTCCGTGGTCGGGTTTCACTCAGGTTCGGCAAACTGAATTTGACACTCATGTATTGATGAAGGGTGACGATGTGTGGTACACGAGGGAATAATAAATGGTAAGGCAAACATGTAACTGGGCACATGAAACACATTAAAATGAAGCAAACATATGGCTCACTTACCGAAGGCTACGCAGATAAAGCAGATTTCCTTTGAACCAGGTAAAGCCAGTCGCAAGTGTATATGGGTGTAACGATATAAAAGGAGCTACCGTGCGAATTGATTCAGGGAGATATGCTCGAAGAGCCTCTTTGGATTCGGAGTAGGTTGAGGTTAAGGCAAGTTAAGAGTGACAAGCACCAAAGGATAGAAAGCGATTGGTTGTCTTAGGTAATGTTGAAGCGTGATTCCAAGACTGGAGCGTCTTCCGGAGAAGGCGACGGACACGGCGAGGAGCGGCCACCAGAGCGGAGCGCGTTAGCTGAGGATAAGTCCAGAGCTTTGGTCGATCGACACCTCCTAAAAGAAATGATTCGAGATCAGCTGCCGCTTAAAGTTATTAAGCTCGAACGTGTGAGTGCGTCTTCTATTCGGATGTAGAATACTAGAAGCAGTTCATATCACCACGTTAGGTTTCGTTATGATAACCAGGCCGATAAACAGATACCGCTAGGAAATAGCGGGCAATAAATCGCTGTAAGCTCCGAGTCCAGCAAAGCGACACGCAAGCGAGCACTGACGTTTCGACAAACACAGCTATAAAATTCTTGGTTCAAGCCCCGTTCACTGCAGGGGGAAGAACGACAGCGAATCGAATGACACGGCTTTGGGGTATGTTTTGGCTCGGTCGACCAAAATAGCTTGGCCTGGAGGCTTTGGTACTCTTATGGTCCGTTCGCTGGGGCTGGTCTGAATCTGAATCTAGCGTAGGGGTCTCACGGGTCTCTCTCCAGGTCAGGCGAGTGCCCTGTCGATAATGGCTCGAGCTCGCTGTATAGTGGAGTTGAGATGGAGACGAGTTGATCAACAACTCGATATATGATATTCACGTCTTGAGGTACGTAAGGCTTAGTGAACTGCTGTATGTTAAAAAAAGAAGGAAAAGGAAAATCGTCAATAACGTGGGGACAACGATATGCGTAGTCGGTGGAGAAGAGGAAAGGAGAGAAGCTATTTTTAATATCTCTTGGCGAGCTGTGAAACAGTTGGAAAGTTGTTGAGTCGACTCTGAATCAGGGAAAGAATCCATCAAGCGCTTCTTTCCTCCTTGATCCTGATACTTCGCTTCTACTTATCTGTCCCAAGGTACGATGGGAGGGAAGGAGTCTTCCTGCTTACTCTTTAGGACCGTACCTTCCTAAACAAATACTAGTGATTGTAGATCAGGGGTTTTGACAACGACATGGCAGGCTTTGTTAAGATTGAGATATGTACAAAACAATGACATCGTGCTCTGTATTTCATCCTTTCTCTTTTCTATGCCAGCTTCAAGAACTGTCATTGTATCTTGTCAGTTTGAAGTGGTCCTCCACATTTCCAGAAACAGTCCAGAGCCAAGGATCGACGCACGTGGGTGTGATAACTCTCCTCTTTGAGAAACAAACAAGTGATGTGATATTTTCAACAAGAGCCAAACTCTTCGAAAAACGGGTTCTACAACTCAACTCCGGAAATATGAAAACCAGTGTGGTTGCGTAGAGTTGTCATGCATGAAGGCTTAAACTCGATAGCTCAAAGGGCAAAACATGGTGAGATCTTCAGTCTTTAACAGATTATTGGCAGTTTCAACTCGATTTATCAGGCGTATGATAAGAAGAGGAATAATCATGTTTCTTATTATACAGTTGATGTCCTGCTCGGAATGTAACCAAGAAAACTTCTATCCCTAAGCTCAGATGTCAAAAACAAGTAGTCCAAAAGCCTACTCAATCTATCCTAAGGTTATCTGAGTATTTTTGTCATCTAGAAAAGAGGTCACAGATTTCTTGCCTCCCCTTGACCACCAAGGTATCAGTAAATGTTCAGCATCCAAGTCATCATTTCAACCTGATTGACGCCACAGCCATCGGCTTGATACAACCTCCAACTCGGCGTTCGGTAAGTTGTCGACCGAAGGTACGTAGTTGTGAGTTGATAAGCCCTCTCAAACTGAGTGGACAACCAAGATGCTGAATACCGGTTATCTGCAGGTTGACCGTTTCAACAATACAAACCCGTCATCAACACGAGAACTCACCACCCTGGGACTTTCACGAAAACAAAACTTGATATAGGGTTCTCCTGCGTCTTTTTCCGTTGGCAAGGGTCCACACCGGATATATACAAAGGGCCACCGACATCGGGTGCAACCTCTTTGGGGCTGCAGTCTTACGATTGAGTCTTATGCAGGAGAGTGAATTTACAATCCCTGATCACTTGAAAAAGGATCCTTACAGTAGCGATCTTCTCTCATTTTCATGGATGTACACGTGCCCTATCTTCGTCAATCAACGTCTCTGCCTCTTATCGCTGGCTGATATAAATCATAAGATACTTCAAAGTTCACCGCTCAGGTATACAATAAGATCCAAGACAGAGTCAGTAAGTAAAGCACGGGCATCTTATGCAGTCGCCTTGAACCAAAGAGCATTTGCCGTTCAAGCACATGGCAAGTGTTCAGCTGGAATAGCGACTCCCGCATCACCAGGTACTTACCACACAAGTCTCGTGAGTCCCTCATGGGTCGCCTTGAGTCCACTCTGCTGCAAGTCCTGATACACCAATTTCGTTCATCACTGGAAGTCTCATTCTAGAAGAGCGGTGAACAATCAAGATAGCCGCCACCACTTATCAATGTACGCCTTGCTTTGGAAAGCGATTCATTTGGGTTGTTTCGAATTGATTTGCACCATTATGTAGACTCGTATTCCAATGGCTTGCAACCAAGCAATGTTGCCCCACGTTATCAACCTAATCGCAGCTTCACATGATGCGGGGATTGGACTTGGGTCGCGGCCCGATGCATATCCCGTTCCGCTCCCATATTGGATCCTGATTTGTTTCCTAATGAGGTCGGTAGATGTATTGGTTTTCTTGTTCCCATTATCTAGTGTACAGCGCTTCCAGCATCTATCGTTGGCTGTTCTCTGAAGAGTCTGACCATATGCTCTTCATTCTTTACCTCAGCATCAGCTAGGGGTGCCCATGGAAGGCCTCTCCCTCGTTCGCACACCCTTTGTCATGACGGGTTTCATAGTAGCACTGCTCATGTTATGTCGTTTCTCCTTTCCTCACTTTGTCCTGATTAATAAGGACGATTACTCGTGCCGCACGGCGTAGTCGGTATCAGGGAGATACAAGTGTCGGTCCGCGCCGTCCTTGGTGAGGACGACCATACGAATGACACCACCAGAGCTACCGTCCCACTTGATGGCCTCCCTCAAGGCTCCCTTGACGAAGTTGACTGCATCATCCTTCTCCATGCCCTCTCGCCAGTTGGCATCACAGTAACCATAGATGTAAGTCGATCCTGAACCGCCGATAGCATAAGATTGCTTGTGAAGGGAACCGCCCAGGGGAATAGAGTAAACTTGGCCACCGAATCGCTCATCCCAACCAGCAATGATGAGACCAGCCCTAGAGATGATTATTAGTATCAGTTTCGATCTAAGATGGGGTTGTCAGAACGTACGACAGTCTGTCCTTGTTGGCGTAGCAGATCTCCTGGAAGATTGACGCAGCAGTCTGTGTCATGGGGGGCTTGCCATTGGTCATGGCAAAGAGTCCGAGCTGGTATTGAACAATATCGGCAACAGCCTGTGTGTCGGCAGCTGAACCAGATCGGCAGCACCAGATAGTGTCATGTACTCTCGTCAACTTGTCTGTCACTCGGTTTGCGATGTAGGCACCGGTCGTTGTTCGCGAATCCGCACCTGAGAATAACTGTTACTAGATGCACCTTCGTTGGGGCATGAGATACCTACCAAGAATGACACCGTCCTTGAAAGTAACCGCCATACTATGGTATGTTAGGCTATGTCGTTTGCATCATTAGGGAGGCACATACATCGAGGTTCCCAGGCTTTGAACATGTTAGCAAGCTGCGCTTAATGACAGGAGGTATCATTCAATACTTACTTGACCTCTCCCTTCTTCAGGCGATCCATATCAACATGGATACCATCTGGTGATATCTGTAAGCTTCCGTATCGACAAGGCCAAGCTATGACGAAAGAGTTTCAACGCACCCTCGTTCAATACTCCAGCGTTACCGAACTCCATTATGACAATTTAGTGATGTTTTCTTGAATTTTCAAAGGTATTAGTTGATCGATCGTTTCGGAGTCGTGCTTCGTAATGGTTCGTGGTCGTTGCTCGCTGCTCGGGGAAGGCTGGAGCTCAAGTGAAGCTCAAGGCAGCTCTGAACGCGCAGCCGCGCCAAACAGCCAGCTATTGTATCATGTGATCTTCCACGTGACCCGCTCGAAGTTGTTTGCATGAAGATGAGGTTGACTCTAACAGCACTCCGAATTCTTGATACAGTTATTGGTATGGTCTTATGGAACTTATGGGTGTTTTTTTATGTGTTTATTTGTCTTTTTCGTCGTTTATGGTAGTTACGCGTCCAGGAGTTTGGAGGAATTGTGGTATATCAAGCATGAACCAGCTGGACCAGCCAAAGCCAGCACATGCGTGGTCCTCCTACTGAATTACTTGTACATTAATGTGGATATTTATGTTCTAGCTCTTCAATGCTTATGCAACTCCTGATCCGGTCCCTCGGCCTGGGCAGCTGCTGTGGTTTCTGCACCACCCTCCTTCTTGTCCTTGTCACCACAGCCACAGTCATAAAAGTCGCCAATATTTTCGCAGTCAAAGAGAGGCTTGTGTACCCTCTCGTTGACAATGTTGTGGGCGAAGCACAGCCATCCAGCCGCTGCGTTGCGGCTGCTAGTCTGTGGCGGATACTGGGCGAGAAGCTTTTGGAAATGCGCCGCACACTGACCGCAAGGATAGAGTCGGGCGAATAGGTGCATGAAGGTCTCAAGAGCCATTCGATCGTCTTTGGTTGGCTTATCGGGGAATCGTGCCATCATCGTATGGAGAAACTTCCACGTCGCGTGGCCAAGTTCAGCCCTGTGAAGCAGTGTTAGTGGTGCTTTTACTCGTGAAAGGAAAGTCTATCAACATACTTCAACGTCGCGTTCTCGAGCTTAGGCGCAATAGAGTTGCCATCGAGGAGACCAGCAGGCAGAGCGCCGAGGTCAGCAGCGAACTCAGATCGAGGGGCTTCTTTCAGGGGCAGTTCAACATCATTTTGGTATTTAGGAAGAATACTGCGCGAGGGTCCGGAGAAGAAATAGGATAAGGTAAAGAAGACTCCAAGGACCAGAATAAAGGTCAGTGTTAAATGCTGTCGACGAGCCATGATTAAGTGTTGAAGTTAAAAGAGTGAGATAGAGGTTAATCCTCCAGAGGCTTGAGTTGATGGCTCATGATAGTAGATAAATTCCAGCAGGGACCTCTATCGAACGAGCTTCTGGGCGAAACTAACCAGTTACAGCAAGAGACCATGGGAGTCCTGAAGCAGCGGGGGGTCCAATTGCACAAATGAGACGCCAGATCACCCAAAATAAAGTGGCATGAGTGGTTGGTGGGGCCGGCCGTCGCCGGGACGGATGCCCGTTGAGATCGGTGGATCCCCGGGAGCATACGATCACGAGTATTGACGTTCAACTACAGGTGTGAAGTTGCATCACGATTAAAGCACAAGAGTATGTTGTTGAATGCTTACTTTGGAAGTGATATGGAAACGAAGGGCTCGAATTTATCGTTGTCTTTCTCTCTATGTAGTATTCACCCCATCATACAAAATCAAACTATCATGAATGAATGTGAGCATATAAAACCTCCAAGGCCAGCACAACGGCCTCATACATATCGCCTCCATGAACGACCAGGTCAAGCATATAAGACCATACAAAATCCGCCGGCAGAAATTTCCATACTCTCTAGCGCCGCGTGTTGAACACTTGATTCCATTCTCACTGCACCTACCCTATACGCATAGTGGAATTCGGATTGATAAACGTACCGGTTTGACTACAACTTGTTGATGTTAGACACAAGCCATTAGTCTTCATCGTTTAATAGTACTGATACCGTCTATCTGTAGGGACCGTATGGTAAATATATATATATAGTCCTGTATTGGTAGTTCTATCTGGGCATCTACCAAACGCCTGAAAACTTTGACCGGCTGAAACAGTTCACCCTTAACACAATTGCCTATCACGATGAAACATATGGACAGATGGACACAAGGGAAAGGACAATATCGTGCGAGCTCACGCGTTCAGGAAGACAGATATAAAAACCACAAACTGCAGAATGCAAGAGCAATATGTCTAGCTTGAGGACGCCCACAGTACAGGACCAGGAACAATTATGGTATCACAAGAGAGAGATGACATTCAAGCTGACTAGTCACATTGATAATAACAGTTGGAGAGTGCTAACCAAGTTTTGTCAGTTAGCATCATATGTATGAGTCCTTCATCCAGGTTGTTAGACCTTTCCATCATCAATATCGTAAACAACAACACAGGAGAACATAGACACAGAAAGTGACAAGTCACTAGATGACTGAATCAAGGAAAGTATAGAAAGAAACTTCACTGGAAAGACAGACTGACATTGGTATTGTCATCAACTCATGAGCCAAGCAACCTGCTACGCGATATGATTGATCAGACAAGAGACAGACCTATGAATAGCGGAATCAGAGTCATTACTATTCCCTTAAGGTTGATAATATATGAAACCAAGATCCAAGACACATTCCAGAGTTGCCTCGTGGCTTGTTTTGCTTTCGATCACTCCTTCAAATACGCATAGCCCTGTTTACAAATGTGACAGAGATACTCGAAATGCATGGCCTGGAGGCTCAATCGACAAACCATTCCAGCCTAGATGGAGAACAAAGGAAAGACTTATGCATGTCTTAGTTCGCGGGTTATTGGATGTCTCTAGCAGATTGGAGGGACCGCCAATATAAAAGCCACTCGCATACTTAGCTCGATTAACCCGAGACCATCACGACGAGGGCAGTTATCGGTATGCAAAAAGTATCAGCCATCTGTATGAATGCACACAGTGACCTGCTGGAGGAGATACTCATAGTAATGTCCAGCGGCTTATAAAAAACGAGACACGTTAGGCCGGAGGAAGAGGCTATGCCGTAACCTCTTGATTGGATGTGATCAGCCTTGCAGTCCAACCTACCGAGACGAATGACAAACAAAGGGCCACAACAGAGAGTATAAAGACGAATTATAATATGATGACATCGGATGTCCCAGCTTGCCTTTGGCATGTATATGTCCGCCGTGAAGTGACATCCAGCGTCATCCTTGACATGTTAGTATGGATCACGTTCATGCCACGAGCTGAAGAAACCAGGATAGACTGAGGAGCTGAGGCTCTCCGCCTTCATGGAATTGAAAGGAAACAACCGAGTCTGGGGATTTGACTCAGCTGTTTCAAGAAGTGATAGTTCACCGAATCTAGCGAGGCGAGCCGCTGGCGGCCTCGTCTCAGGAGGCACTGCTGTCATTAGCCTTTGCCTAAGGATGGACGGTAGAGCCGGATGGATCTTTGCTGGGAAATGCAAATTACGCTACCGAGTTGGCTGTCTCTCAAATGTTTCTCGAAGGGACACTCGTTTCGTTTCAGGCAGAGTCAGCTACTGACTGACATGGGCTATAAACATCAGGTCAGGCAGGGAGACGTCCGCCAATACCCACAAGACAACGCTTGCTTGGACCCGTATTCAAGAGCGGTAGGGCGAAAGCAACCTGGACGGTGGTGGTGATGGTGGAGGCATGTAGGTGAAAGCCGCTTACACGGGCGATCTGATAGGAGAAATTGTAATGAGACGATGCAGTTTCCACAACCTGGGAAACGTCTGAATCAGTTTTGGTCATCCGGGTCCATAAGGAGATGGATAGAGATTAAGTGAGCACGTAAAGTCTCTTGGCAACGAAACCATCACGATGAATCAAGCCAAACCTTGCCTGAGCTGGCCAAGAAGAAGCGGTAGAAACAAACGGAGCGGATACTCGGGAGAGAGAATCGAATCACTGAAGTTGAGATCGCGTCAAACAACGCGACCACCAAATTGGCAGCTGCTCATTTGAGATGCAGGGGGGCTTGTTAAATTGCGGCCAGATTAGGCCACGGACATCCCAATCTGGTGAGACCCTGGACCACTATTTCGTATTTCTGGAGCTGGAAATAGCCCATGATCGGCCTCTGCTTTGATGAAGCCAGAAGAAACTAATGATGCTGGCTGCTTCAGGTGAATGCTAGGAGAATTTCAGTCAGTCTATCGATTCTATCCGCAGACGGTGGACGGAGTTGAACAGATTGTTATGCAAAGTGGCTGAGTATTTCACAACAGGGCGGAAAGAAGGTTCACGGAACCAATCTCCGTCTATCATGCAATAGCAGAATACAGATATGGACAGCACAGATGCAACTCTAGATAACTTTGTTGGCGCCTATTCTATGTATAGGTATAGAGCACCACGCGCCGACGGTTTGTGGGGATAGAGCAAGACCAACAGCCGAGAAGTAGGCCGACATGGGACGAAGTGGGAAATACGACGGTAACATTGAAAGACAGGAGTAAGATAGATTAGAGTCAAATGGCCTCTGAGTTAAATTGAAGATGGCGATCTTATGCATATATGTCAGTTGTTAACGGGGTGGATAGCCAGGACGCTCGGGCGAGAGAGGTGCCATAGAGATAAACAAGATGATGATTGCCTCTTTTAAAGACGAATGTCAACATCCTTAGCCAAGCTTATCCAGGATGACAATAAGCATCAAGGAAAGATCTCGGAGTCACCTGTAGATCATCGAAGGAGCCCGTGACCAAGGATCATTTGAAGTTGACAGCCCGAGATGAGAACGGAGTTTAACAGACCAGGCCAACCCTAAATTGAACTGATCTCTGCATATCACAACCACAACACGAGAAAACCATGTGTGAAAGCACACTAAGAATCAGTTCAGTAGAGATTTGCGCGTGAGACATTTAATACCAAGAATTATTTGTAAACCGACGCGCAATCTCGGGCGCTCAACCAACCGAACCACAGCATTTTTCTGTCCATAAATTCATTGCATTTTCCAACGCCCACGTGGAGTTGTGGAATTCGCTGTTGCACAGAATAACACGCTGCGAACCAACCAGCACAAGATCATCGGCATCATCAACTCAATCGAGGTGACGGCGGACGTTGTCTGACCCTTACTCATAGGGCCCCGGTCAAGCCACAGTCACAATCTATTGTCAAGTTATTTCGCTTGGACACGGAGAATCTCGAGTCAAAGACATGGCTTGCAAGACCGGTTGATTGTGTCCGATATATTATTATCATCATTCATCCGGACCAAGTCAAACCCAAATGGTACTTTCTTTTTCGTATGAAATCGCTCATGTTGATTGCAAGGAAGAGTCTGAGCACAGAATGACGGAGCCATGTCAACCAGGCCTGCCAGGTACCGACAATCAGTCTCCAGTCTCGCATGCCACGGAACGGTAGGGAACAGGGTCGTGATGATTAAAGGCTTAAGCCCCCCAGGTCCAAGTGGCGCTGCCGAGACGAAGCTAGCCGTTGCTAAGACTTTGCTCAAGCGGGTCTTCTTGTGTGATCTTCAAGTGCAATTGGGCTTTTCCCCTGTCGTCAAAAATCATGTCGACTCCATCACAAGTCGGTTCCTGGATCGCGGCGCTATCCATGCCACGGGGTGGCCCTCTTTTTGGGCCCTGACTATTAGTACGGGAACAGGGAACGTACCAAGGTGTCGCTGGCCGGGAGGCTGCTGATTACGGTTAGCAGTCGATACACGATCAACCATTGATCGGTACCTTGTTATTAATAATAACCACACATGCTGAGAGAGTACCGTAGGGAACAAAAGCTTGTATCGCGGCGTCGTGCTTCCACTCACGTGTGAAACCTCTCTGGGTGGTTGCACCAGCTCTCCCACGCGCTGTCGTTCACCATCCAGAGTTTTTCGTTGGTTAACAGAAGCCATGGTCAAATATTGTAGAACAGCAGCCACGAATAAGACTCATGAGTCGGGTTGGACAAGAATGTCCCTGTTCGTGATTAAGCAGTTATGAACTGCCGATGATAACGACAAGGCGTGTAGATTAAGTCATAAGCGAGATCATTTTTGAATGCATTGAATCTATCACTACCGTCACATCGCCCCTTTGAAGATTTTCGGTACGAGGGCCACATGTGGATTGCGGAACTGAGTTGTGAATTGCGATTTGACTTTGAAGTTTGTACACGGGGAAGCTTTCCTGTCAGATTATCTGTTCAACTCGGAACGTCTCCCGTGTGAAAGGAAGGGAGAAGCAAAAAGACTGGAGTTGTAAAACGTGCACGCGCAAGCCTTCGTAATGCTCGTAATGCAGATGAATACGATGAGCATGTTGTACGTGTCAGCGTCTGGGGTCGTCGATATTTGTACTGAGCTAGGCCATAGTAGTCTGCAAAATCCGAATCTGTCCAATGAGAATACTCAACTGTGATACTACCCCTTGCAGTCCAGGGCTCCATCAAGCTTTACACTTGTCTTGTCTCCAAACTCACACAGCTCTGCATAACCTGCACAACTCATCAACTCCATCACTGCATAATGATTAGCATTCCACAAGCTTTGAACTGGCTGGCTCCCCGGCAGATGAGAGACAGAGCCAGTGTTTGGGACTCAACGCTACGACATGGTCCGTCGATTTCCACCAACGACGCCGCCGTAGCATGGCCTGCGCTGGGCAAATCATGTCACTGAGTGTTTGCTTTCTGCTTCACCATTGCCCTCTAGCATACCGGTTCTCCAACGTGCAACACCATATTGGGGCCGCATTACTGAGGAGAGGAGCTCCGATTCGCACTCTATAGCTCGTCTCGTTACTGCTGACGGCAGCAGCCAGAATGAATTGAGTCAACTGTGCCGTGCCCAGGCATTGATACCATTATCTCTTCGATGGTGTGCCGCTGTAACAAAGCAATCTCAGCCACACCCTGGCTCTTCGTTCACGGACTCAAAACCCCCTACAGGTACAGGCTGCACACCCACCAAGCCCCGTTCCGTTAGGTGCGCAATTTCAGGTTGGCGGTTGTGTTGGCTTTATGTGCCGCTAGACAACCCGCTATCGCAAGTAGCGTGGCTTGTTGTGCAATGGCAGTCCGAGGCTTGAAGGGGTTCAAGGAGTCTTTGGCGCCTCTGGCCGAAGCCGTCAGGAACCTTTCAACGGGTGCGATCAACGGTAGAAGGCGTTTGCGAATGCAGCCTCCTTGAGGAATACGGTTGGTTGGCTTTACGGTAGCTCCCGAGAGATTCCAACAATAACAGATGGAGGCGCTGAAGCATTCCCAGAGATGACGCTGCATTTTCTCAACTGAGCCATTCTGTGTCTTGCTGGTAAGAAAATACCTCGTACCAACTGTCTGGTACATTGCGTGTACAGCAGATTGGCAGCTGATCCCTCGTACCAGTTGCTCAGCCCTTGAGTACCCGTTCAATGTCAAGGGGGTTGATGTGGATGGTGTCCTCTCCTTTGTTCGTCTCTCCAGGTCCAGGTCCAGGTCCACCTGAAGTGGCAGTACGGAGCACGAAGCCGTGCTGGTCGCCCTGGCTCTGGTTCAGGTTCATTCTTAACGCTCAGTCAATGATCCGGGTGCTAAAAAAAAAAAAGACTGGTAGTGGAGGTCTTAGGTGTTGCACGAAAGGATGAGTGCCCGCTCACTATCCATCTTGAGTTAGGTGCATCTCAGTCCCAGTTCAGTTCAGGGCATCTGCACTCAGTGGCTCACTGACTGACTGATCCTCTCTCATCCACATGGACGGTGGACCCATGCTCGGTGCTTGGTGTTGATGTTGGTGGTCCTGGGTCACACCCCCTTGATCCTCGTCCCCTTGTCCCTGTCGTGTTTCCATGCCCTTCCCATCTCCCCATTCGCCTTCATTCCTTCCTTTCCTTCCATTGCCTGCTTGGTTACTGACTGTACTTGCTCACTCGCTCGTTGGCCCTGTCGCTGTCCCTTCTTTTCTCCAGCCTTTTCTTACATCTAGTACTTACATATCTTTACTCTCCTTCCCCTTCCCTCGTTTTCTCTCCACACCGACCTCACCTCCAATCGACAAGCATCAAAGGCGTCGTCGACCGTCACTTTCGATTCTCGACAGCGCTTCTGCGTCTGCAAGCCGATCCCTCGCGAGACCCGTTTACGACTTGATTCCCTCACACTCCTTTCACCTACCCCGAACGGAGTCTGGCTGCCAGTAGGACCTCTGGAGGTTCTAGCAATCTAATCAGCAAATGTCGACGTAACGATTGATTTAATAATATCCCTCGCCAAACCGACAATCTGCCAAGACTACGATACCTGAAGGAAGAGACTTGTAACGGATCCTAATCTGAACGACACGCGTCTGTTTTGAATCACATTTGACGATATTTCGTCAGTCACTCTTTTGAATTGATTTTGGAATCGCATATACATACGCTCTACGCAAACTATATGTGAGTTGGACTTTTATTACGTGTTGTATGGTTGTGGTATTCTGGGTTTCGACATCTGTGTGAAGGAATAATGTGATGAAGAAGAGGGTGGACGCCGGATTACACATCTGATCATGGCACGGAACGACGACTAATACCACTAAACAGATTACACTCGTTGACCTAATAGTCAAGTACATTCGCTGAAACTTATTCCTGACAGTGAGTCTGGCGATATAGAGACCGAAAGCTTCAATCTGACAATAGGTTCAGCATACTCATCACCCCCCAATTCGATCCTCAACACTGTAAATACTCAGTCTCAATCACCAAACAGTATCAACAATGCACGCAAAGAACTTCATTGTTGCCCTGGCTTTGGCCTCTTCGTCTGTTGTCGAAGCAAACCGACCGCGCATGTACATCCCTCGACAAGTCAAGAACAATGCTCCAGTCGCCCCAGAGAACCAACCAGCTCCTGTGATAGAAAGGCGGGAGCCTGCTGATTCATTCATCAAGAGCCTCATTGACAAGAACAGCCGAAAACAAGCGAGCCAGGAGGATGGCATTAACTTCGACCCAACACTACCTCTGGGCTTCAAGAAGTCTGGACCTAGTGCCAGCGCCCCTGCTCTCATCATTCAGCCAACAACAAGCGAGGCCCTCCCCGAGACCACCGAACCTGCTGTCTCTACCGACGCTCCCACAGAAGCCGATACTGGCATTCTCCTAGCCCCCAGTGGTATCGTCACATCAAAGACAGCAGTCCAGCCCGCTGAACCCGCCAAGACGACAGCAGCTGCGGTCAAGGAGCCTTCGACCGAGGCACCGAAGAAGGAGGAGACGAAGCCTGCTGCTACTTCCGACGTCGAGGCCAAACCTGCTACCACTGAGAAGCCTAAGGAGGAGACGAAGCCCGCAGCTACCACGGCACCTGCTGCCGAGGAACCTTCATCTGTCAAGACTCCTGAAAAGAAGCCAGTCGTCGAGACTAAGACCGAGGCGCCTGTCCCCGTCGAGACCGTGACCGAGCCCGCTGTCGTTGAAACCAAGACCGAGAAGCCAGTCGAGTCCAAGACTGAGAAGCCCAGTGCTACTAAGGGCCTTCTTGACCCGGTCGAGAGCATTTTGACATCCGTGCTCCCCGTTGCTTCCGACCCTAAGAAGGAGACTAAGCCTGCCGCTATTGAGACCAAGACCGAGGAGCCAGCAGTTGAAACCACTGAGAAGCCCAAGACTGAGCCTGAAGAGACTAAGCCTGCTGCGGTTCCGACCACTAAGGAAGGACTGTTGGACCCCGTTGAGAGCATTGTTTCTTCGGTTGTTGCTGATCCTGCCGACTCCAAGACCACAGAGCCTAAGCCAGTCAACACCGAGACCAAGAAGGCTGAGCCAGCCAAGACCGACAGCAAGAAGGAGACTCAGCCAGCTCCCGTCGAGACCGAGACCGCTAAGCCCGCTGAGCCGGAGACGACAAGCCCAGCTGTGGAGAAGCCTGCTCCCACTACCAAGGGCCTGCTCGATCCCGTCGAGACTCTGTTGTCTTCGGTTCTTGCTGATCCCGCCGACAACAAGACCAAGGACCCTACCCCTGACCAGACTGAGTCTATCTCTCAACCCGAGGAGACCGGAACACCCACCAAGGAGCCTCAGCGTGACAACTCTAAGCCTGAAACTGATGGCCAGACTCTCCCAGCCTTTAGCCCTCCCGCTGACAAGACCACCGCTGCCCCCAATGCTGGTGAGACTTCCAAGGACGGTATCCTTGATCCCGTTGAGACTCTTCTCAGCTCCGTCTTGCCCAACCAGCCTGATGTCAAGACCACAGCTCCTGAGGAATCTTCAGCTCCTGTGGACAGCCAGCCTACCTCTGCTGCCCCCAATGGTTCTGAGCAGACTGTTTCCGCTGCTCCTTCAACCGAGCCTGAGACTACTGGCCCTCCTGAGCTCATTCCTACCAGCATTCTGCCCGATCCTACCGATATCCTTCCTGTTCCTACTGATGTCACATCTGCTGTTCCTGATCCCTCAAGCCCGGTCACTGTTTCGCCTGTGATTCCTACAACCGTTTCTCCCCCTGAACAGTCCGAAAGTGGTTCCCCGGATCTTACTTCATTCCTTGACCCTAACACCAAGTTCCCCCAAACCGGCAGTGTTGGACCTACTGATGCTCCTAACACAACTGTGCCTGAGGTGACATCTGGTATCGATGTTAAGCCCGAGCCCACCAGCGAGCCTATCAACGGAACTGAGACTATTCCTAATGTTACGGGCGAGCCTCAGACCACTGGTGCCCCCGAGCCTACCGATATCAACACTGAGGAGCCAACAAACATCACCCAAACTGCTGTCCCTACTGGAGATGCCACCAATGAGCCCTCAGGAAACACAACAGCGCCTGCTACTGAGCCCGCCACTGAACCTGCCACTGAACCCGCTACCGAGCCTGCCACCAAGCCTGTTGACACAGCTTCTGGCTCTGTTCCTACCGGCAGCCCTGCCACCGAGACTGATGCGGAGACCAACGGCACTGCCACCGCTGAGCCTACCAAGCCCGCTACTGGCGTTGAGACTCAAAGCGCTCCTGCGTCCGAAGGCGAGCAGACCTCTGCTGTTGCCCCCACAGATGAGCAACCCTCAGTTGCGCCCACTTCGCAGCCTCCTGTTGAAACCGAGACCAAGCCTGAGCCTGAGCCTACTACTCTGGTTCCTACAGCTGCTGTTCCTGTTACCAGCATCCGACCTACTGCCACCCTCACCAACACCAACAACTGGCTACCTACCACCATTGTCTTCGAGCCTACGTCTATCCCCGCTGCGCCTTCGCAGCCAACTGAGACCTCAACCTCCACCGGACTTCCTGCTAACATTCCCCGTGTGATCCTTCCTAACGACCCCAACAAGCCTATCCCTGAAGGCTCTGTTCCCATCCAGCTGGGTTTCTTGTTCCCTTTCAACTACAAGTTCCTGGCTCGCAACACTGTCGCAGCTGCTCAGCTTTTCAAATACCTCCCCAAGGGTCTTGCTGATGCTGGTGGCTTCTCCAAGGACCGCATTCTTGTTAGCAAGATTGTTCCTCTTGACACACAGTCCCAGTGGGGATACATCACTGCTCTCGCCAAGATCCATTATCCCGAGAACATGATCGACAGTCTCCAGGCTGATCTCATTACCCCCAACTCCCCATTGTACAACAATGATCTTGAGATCGTCCGTAATCTGACCTCCGTCATCAACACCAAGATCGACATCTTTGGTGACTCGGATACCGACAACAACACCGACAATGGTAACTCGGATGATGGCAACAGTGGCAACCGCGATGTCTTTGGTAACAGTGGCGAGGGTGACAAGTCTGCTAAGCAGAAGGCCACCACTGCTGGTATTGCTGTTGGTGCCGTTGGTCTCAGTGTCATGTACGGTGCTGCTATGTTCTTGGTCGCCCGACGATACAAGCGCAAGAAGCAACTGGGCCATCGCCGTGCTAGTTCCATTGGCAGCAGCCAGCGTTCTTCTGAGATGCAGTACACCGGTAACGGCAGCCCTGCTCTCATGGGAGGTGCTTTGATGAGCCGTGACTTCTCAGCATATGGCGCAACACATGCTGAGCAAGGCCAGGTCCGTCCTGGCGGCCGTGACAGCCATGGCAGTGGACGCAGTGGTATGGGCAACTCTGCACGAACAGCGTACATTTCTGCGCCTGTTGCTGCTGAGAACTCTCTTGGATGGAACTGATCCAAATCATGCCCAGACGGCTGATCGCCTTAAAACCATACACCAAAAAAATCTATACCTTTTCACCAGTGCACCATTTTTCTTTTTTTAAACACTTCGATACCCTTCAGGTGGATTGTGATGACTACTCCTACCACTACGACGCGGTGATCAGCTAGTCACTACGAAAATCGCTCGACATGAGCAACCCCAACTCGAAATGTTTCCTTTCACCATGCTCTCTCTTCATGTTGAGACGACGATGCGGCATGTGCCTTGCTCTTCATTATAGACTTACAGGTCGGCTGCCCCGGCCCTACATCATTTTCCCCTCACGCCTAACGCCTCCAAAGGGGTAGAGCCCCCACGTCCCTTTTACTTATTCGTTCGGCTCCATCCTGGCGACCTGGCCAACCTTTTTTAATGCTCTTGACCTTTCTTTTCTCTTGTCATTGTTTATTGTATCTTGTCGTGGAGGAATTGAGTTGTCCATGTGTAAGAGGAGGGACGGCGAGGCAAGGGATAACGGGGAGAAGGTGAAAAGCTTGGCTATCTAGACAGGCGTTTCGGGACGGGACAGCAGACAATGAGAGCAGGTTCTGGATGATAGGATACATGTCAACTTGTATATAACAGGACTATTTTAGGTGTGTTTGGTCCATGACTTGTATGCCTTTTATCACTTCTGAGGAGAGCGATGGGAAGCGGTGGTGTTGTTCAGACTTTTCAAAACGTTAGAAACCAAAGAAATCCAATTAAAGAAAGAAATGGATACTTGTGAATGCTCTGTCTTGCCGGTCTCATACAAATGTTCGTATTGATATCTCCAAACATTGACTAGTCTGTCCTGTCTTACAGTAGCTTCAGCTCACTTGATTAAACGTGACAATCATCTATGATCTTGCGTGCATATTTAGGCCATGTCACTACCGTGATGCTCGCGATCCCCCTTTGGCGTGCAGCTTGCCAGGTTTGGTGTGTTGAGAGGTTACATCGTTGTCTAGATAAGGCTGATATGCCGAGTCTATTGGGCGCGGATTGCTCGGACGAGATGGTCTGCATGCTGATCACGGCCATTTTTACGTGATCTCTGTCTAATGGAATGATCCTTGGCTGAGCTATACCTGGTGACGTACAACTTTATCGCTAATAGACTTTTCATGTGTAAATGAGCGTCTTTTGACGGAGCTTCTAAGACATTTGCAGCGGGCTTCCCGCATGTGGCGATTGACTTGTTGAAAGAGTAATTTCCCCTTGCATTAAACCCTGACGGTCGGCCACGCTACGGCGACGGCGCCAACGGTGCGGCGCTCGGGGACTGGGGGTCAAGGACAGGGGTTGGTTAGACTCGATTCTCAGTCTTGGGAGCATTGTCTCGTCTCTTCTTGGATTCAGGCTTGTCAAGCCAGGTCAGGTTGATTATCAAGATGAGTCCAGACTCATCATGTGCAAACCCTGTATCTCGCATGATATATTATATTCCCTGTCGATGCCCTTAGCTGCTTCTTGACCTTGCGTGGGCAGACTACGGAGATTTTTGCTCTCTTTTGTTCCTCTCGTCTCCTTTTACTAACTTGATAAATACTAGCAACCCATTGCGTTCATCCGGAGTTCAGGGGCCGTCTTGAAGATTTTGACGCGTGGCGTCACAAACTATCGAAAAAGTTATTAATGGTAAAAGAAGGAAAGTGGGAGAAAAGGATAACATAGTTATATTGGACTCTTGGAGTTGAGAAAAAGCCAAGCGCCGGAGACAGTTGAATCTAAGAGTTCTAGACAAGAAGCGAAGCTTGGCTACTCCGGCTTCTCCTCTATGAGCCTGGGGGGGCAGTGAGCTAGAATAAGAAGAGGGGATATCAGACCAGTCTAGGTTTCGATGAATGATTTGCTTTCACGATGCTAGCTCAGCGAGTCTGCAGGTACCGTAGTTAGATCAGGTAACGGCGCGGTTATAACGGTGGACCAAAAGTTTGATGGCGTAAGCCTTGGACGGTTGATTCAGTTGAAGATGGAGATGCCGAGCTGAACTGAATTGAACTGAAGAGAACGATCAGATCAGCCTGTTAGTGAGTGTCAGCTTGTCTAATACTAGTTTGGTTCTATCCTGCTAGAGTCGCATTGCACTGCTCCTCTTGCACATGGCATGTAAGCTCTTGTACGCGGATGGTGGAGGTGAGGGGCCCTTTTCAGGGGTTGAGAGCAGTTTATGGACGAGGATACAGAGACTATCGACCCAATATAGCACCAGAATGCGGCGCTTAAGTTGAATATGTAAATGCATTATTTGGCGTGAAGGTTGTGACTGTGACTTTTTGAGGGGAGGTAGTATTTGTAGGTCGAAAGGATCTAGAGTGGCGTGGCGCGGCAACAACGAGCCGATTTAGACTGACTGACTGACTGACGTTTGCTCTTTCCTTTCCTCTGATATCTTGATGTATTCCTAATTCCTTCCTTTTTTACCTTGTCCATTCTCTCGATTACTACCCACGCTCGTTTCATACTTTCATTCGTTTCTACAGTTAATCATCACCAACTATTAATCACCGAATAACCTCACATCTCGAGGTTCACCATATGGATCATGTCTTGAGGCTTCTGGCCTAACTTAGCCTCTCTCACTCTCCTCTTTCTCTTAATAGGTCTTCAGTCACTGCAGTGACAAAACATGGCTGTACCATGGAATTCCATGGGTATGCCACCGTCTGACGCCGATCGCGACAAGATCGTTGTTGGTCCGTACGACGACTCTAGATATACAGCATCATCATCCGGCCTTAGTTATATCCGACATCCTTCCTCACAGCCTACCAACTCTACAGCCCGTCTAATTCCTCAACCTCTTCTCTCGCCGCCCATCGCAAGGGTATCACCTGGTCCGAGGAGCCCTTCAAGTCCGCGCAGTCCAGCCAGTTTCCAATCTCTCAACAGTCCCTCGAGTCCTGGCTTTCCTCTCAGTCCATTCTACCCGCCGAGTCCAGGTCCACTACAGAGGGGGCAATTCCCTAATTCTCCTACCAGCGATGGCTTCAGCTCGCCGCGCATGTCTGGAGCAACAGCCGCCACAGACCCTCGACTATCGACCAAGGCATCAAATATGATGGAAACAGTTCTCGAGACGCCTTACTTTGACACGCCGCCTCATACACCTGGATCGTGGGGCGATGCAAGCCGTGGAACCGATAATCTAGATGCTACAGAGGTCTCCCTCAACAATGGCTGGAGACCTTGGTGGTTGCGCCGAAGAGTAACCAGCATATTCATTAGCGCGTCCATAATGTTGGCTGTAATTGGCGAGGTAGTGATGTGGTGGCTTTCCAATAATGAAGTTGACAGCAGCCTCAAGGGTCTGTGGACTTTTGGACCCGTTGTTGGTGAGTGATCGTCAGGGTCCTTACTCTGTGTGGTTGGGATCTTCGTCCGTCTAAGTGCTCACATATACCAAGTTGTTTCTATTATGGCCATCCTATGGGCACGAGTCGAAGCTCAAGCATTGCTTTATATGCCATGGATTGTTCTCGATCGCCGACCAACGACTGTTGACGAAACTCGCCGCAAGCAAGCTCACCGAACTATTCTACTCGACTATCCTAGCCTTGGGAGCTTTCAAGCATTAACTAAAGCATTTCGAAACCGCCACCATCTCGTCGTTGCATCTATCGTTATCAAGCTTCTCCTGCGTGCTCAGATCGTTCTTTCTACTGCCGTCTTTCACGCTGAAATTTATGTCGACAGCACTACCAGACTCCGAGCCAGGCTTGGCGTTCTACATGCTATGGTTGGCGTCTTCCTCATCATCTCTGGCGTCCTTCTTCCTATGTTGTATCATGCGCCATCGCCTCGAGGTATTGCGCCTCGAGACCCTACTTCTCCCGCCGGAACTGCGGCACTCCTAACAAGTAGCCAGCAATTTCTCTCACGACTATCCGGAACTGGACATGCAGATATGAATGCTGTTGCTGGTAGGTTGGCAGGCTCATGGTATACGACAGAACTCACACAACCCGGACGTCGACCCGAGGAAATGTTTCAGCTGAGACAACATGGCGGAGGAAGTGGTGCCCTAGGCATGAACCCTTCCAACCGACCTGAGGAGGCCACGGGGACATACCAGCCATGGACACAAGTCACCCGAACCAAGCTCATCAGTATTGCTACTTCTGTTGCGTTGATTGTTGGAATCTGTGTCATTTATAACTTGAAAGGCAATGAAAATGGCCTAGAAGTCGATGATAGCATATTCATTGTTTGGACCTGTCTACCAACCATAATTTTTGCCGCTCTCGCCGTCTTCTGGACCCGAATCGATATCGACAACCGACGCCTGGCCCCGTTCTTGAAGCTCACCAACTCGAAATGCCGATTTCAGGAGTCTTTGGGGCTGACGTACATGAACGAGTTTGGTTTGCGTACAGCTGGAAAGGCCATGAAGAACCAAGATTGGGCCGTTTTCCTTGCCAAATGCACTTCGATGCTTGGCTGGTTGATGCCAATCTTTACTGCGGGACTGTTTGCTGTTGCCCAGATGGCACAAAGGGCCAACCTGGAGCTTGGACCAGAGTCGCAGTTTGTATCGACAACTAAATCGTTGAGCACCGCCATCGACAGCGATACAATCGAAAATGTGCTCCTGAGAGAAACTCCCAAGTACCCGAGATGGACATGGGAGGATGTCGCTCTTCCAGCGGTTTCGCTTGTCGATCACCCAAGCGAGTGGCCACTTCCAAACACGGAGCTTGTGGCCAAAGTCCCGAGCCTCAGGGGCAAGCTCACCTGCGAGACGATATCTCTGTATGGAGGTGAGGGTGTGGATTGGCAATGTGTACCATTGGGAGGATCCACGAAGCAACCCATCTGCGGATCTGATCAATCTCGAACTGCACTTGTTGCGTCTTCATGCTCACAACTCTCCTCCAAATACTCCATCAAGTATATTTGGGGTAGCTGTTCAGATGACGGTATGATTTCTGTCATGATGTGCAATCAATCGGTTGTCGAGGTTGATGTCTTGACAACATTCCGCACTGAGGACCTGTACATCAACTTGAATGCTATCCCCATTGTGAATGCATCGAGTGAGACGCCTTCGGATGTGACGGCGGATATCACGAGTGTTTATGAAGCACTTGATAACGTTGGCGCTGATAACAAAACCATGAACGGACTCGATGCATTCTTCCGTACTTTGGTGCTCTCAAGGTTACAAACAACTTTAGAGCGTATTGCGATGCCTGAGAGACAGAATTCAGTTTCTCAAGCCATCCGCCAACTGCATGGAATCCTTGCCGCGCAGGCAATCAATAGCGACTTGATACGACAGCCCTTTTCATCTAAGCTCCGTGCTCGTGATGATTCTCCAACCGATATTCCAGCCTCGGTTGATTATGTTCTCCCGCGTCTGATGCAAGGAAGTGTGCAAACCTTTGTCCTCATCGGGTTACTAGGCTTTACGCTCGCATTCGGACTCCTTTCGCTACGTACGGCATCTCGTGGGACTCTGACCAAGAGCCCTGGTAGTATTGCCGCTCAAGCAAGTCTTCTTGCAGACTCAACACTGTGGTGGCGCTTACCAGACGGAGCAGAATGGATGGAAGATGACGATTTAGCGCGATGCCTTCGTCGAAGGACGTTCCATCTTGGGTGGAGCAAGGGGGCCGCGGGAACCCGAAGCTACGGTATCGGGATCGTGCAGGACGAAGGAAAAGCAGCGAGACCACCAATGGTCTCGCAAACAAGTGCTGATAAGAGCGGGGGATTGGTTCCTGGGCGATACATTAGTATGGCCCCTGGGGTATACTCTTACGGGGATGTTGCGACATATGAAAAGTCGTAGAGTGACACCCTCGGTATAGATCTTGAATTATTTAGTCTTGGTTAGTGGATTTCGGGAATGCGTGGCGTTGGAAGGAAGCGATTGGTTGGGAATCATGAACTTGTTGGTATATCTACAACTGTACATGAACTTGTCAGGGGCTAAAATTGGTGCATCATCTTGTAAATACACGAAGTGCAAAAGTGCAAGCTCTCCAAGGCTCGGAAATGTCTTGGCAAGTAGTGATCGAGTATTCGTGCATGTGTTGAAAATAAGCCTATTTGAGTAACCAGAAACTGGGGAATTGTGGAGACTCTGCCCAGCTTTAGCCATGGATTTATCAAGTTTGAAGCGTCTTGAAATTGATGAGTCTTTAAAACTCAACCACTCGTTTACATGGTAACTCCTGATGATGCTAATTTCAAATTAAAAAGCATTTGGTGACCTGAGATTCGTGTTTGTCTTCCTCTTTCTCCATCTTTTCTTTTCATCTTCACATCGCAGTCTAATACGCAATTCAACATATCATGGCGTTTACATTACACTCACATTCTGGCGAGTTCTGCCCTGGCCATGCCAAAGACCAACTCGAAGATATTGTCAAACATGCTATTTCTGTTGGTTACAAGACCATTGGGTTCACAGAGCACATGCCTCGCTATGATCTACGCGATCTCTATCCCGAAGAGGTTTGTATCACCATCTAGCTTATCAGTCATACACTGTCTGACATAACACAGCTCGATAACCCTCAAGCTGCTCTAGAAGCTCTTCCCCCTCGTCATGAAGCATACCTCGTGGAAGCTCAACGTCTTCAGCGCGAGTATGCCTCACAAATTCACATCCTCATTGGCTTTGAGGCTGAGTTCATCCGTCCAAGCTGCGCAGCACACGTTCGCAAACTCGCTGAGCATCCTATCGTTGATTACTTCATCGGCTCAGTGCATTATGTCCATAACACTCCCATTGACTACAACAAGGAGATGTTTGCCACAGCCCGCGACGCAAGCAGTCGCAAGACCGAAGAATCGCTCTATGAGGATTACTACGATCTTCAGTACGGCATGCTTAAGGAGCTGCGCCCGCGCGTTGTAGGACACTTTGATCTCGTGCGGTTGATGAGCGAGGATCCAGCCCGGGATGTTCGGCAGTGGAAGGGCGTCTGGGAGCGCATTCTGCGAAATCTGGCTCTTGCGAGGGAACAGGATGGATGGCTTGAGGTCAACAGCGCGGGACTGAGAAAGGGACTTGCTGAACCTTATCCTGGTAGGATAATTGCCGAGGTAAGTTGACACCATCTCATCATGTGGGATATACCCGAGTAAAAGCTAACTAGTCACAGGAATGGATTAAGATGGGAGGAAAGTTCACTTTCTGCGATGACAGTCATGGTATCGCACAAGTTGCCACCAACTATGCCCGAACAGTTACTTATCTCGAGAGTCTGGGCGTCAAGGAGGTTTGGTGTCTCAAGAGAACACCTAACTCTGGCGTGGATGGAACGACGAGAGCTACTGTTGAGGAAGTCAGTGTTCCTCTGAATGCGTTCCGTGAGAATTTCCCATAAAAGATACATATGGTCGGGCTATTGGTTTAGAATAGAAAGCCATAAAGTCATAGATTAAACAGGACTAGAACTATAGAGCAAGACAAGAAGAGGTCTGATCCAGAAGGAAGAGGAATAGGGTATCGCGAAGAAGAAGAAGAAGAAGAAGAAGACTACATCCAGGCATGAGAAGAATGTGTTGTAAAGCTCTGATAGAAAAAGAAACACCATGGCAACAAAACTCGGGCATCATCTCCCACTTGTATCCTACTCTCCAGAGCAGTGATGTGAAAGATCTGACAGCCATTCGCCATATATCAGAAGAACAAATGTCCAACAGAAGTAGCAGCATCTTTAATGCTGAGGCGTCTCGGGAATCTCCTCGATAGGATTCGGCGGGTTTGGCTCTGGCTTAACACCCTGCTCTGCGGCCTTGGGCTCATTGGCTCCCTGTCCCGGGCGAGGGGCAAATGGAATACCGGAAGTGTATTGGAAAAGATTGCTCTTCTTGGCCGGGCTAGGTGTCGCCACAGGCGTTTGCTCAGATGGAGTTGGTACGTTAGGTGGAAGCCACTTCAAAGGCTCGCTCTGAGCAACGGGCTCAGGCGCAGGGCCTTCGGGTTGGTAAGGAACAAAGATATCATCTGCATCCGTGCTAGGGTGTACGGAAACAGAGGGGATGGCAGGAGAACTCAGGGGAGGAGACATCAGCTGAGTGACTTGCGCAGTGGATTCAAAAGCGTATTGCTCTTGTGAGGGAGACATAATTCTGCTCGAAGAGGCAGTGGTAGGCGGTGAAGGGATGCGGGCATTGCCCGGTGCAGGTTGAGTAGGAGAGATGTCTTGCGTCTCGACGGAAGCACTGACGGAGGTTTGATCGTGGTTAGTGGCTGATGATGAGTGCTCAGTACTGGAAGATGCTGTGGCAGGCTTGTATGTGATAGAAGATTCTTTGCCCTTAGCTTTCTCAGCTTCAAGGCGAGCTCGCTCTTTGGCGTCCTTCTGAGACTGGGTGATCAAGTTGATACGAATCTTCTTCATACCAGAGGTGATGCTGTCAATGTCATCGCCACCCATGCCAGATGCACCGTCCTTCTTCGAAGCCTTGGCTGGCGACTTGGCTTTCTGTGTAGCTGTGGCAGGTCGCGAAGGGCCAGCGGTAGTAGTAGCTTTCTTGGTACCCCGAGGTGCTCTGGGTGCAGGCTCCTTGCGAGGGGCGGTAGAATTCCTTGCCTTCTTGACTGGAGGATTGGTGCTGGCAACAGATTTCGTAGCCATGGGTGAGTTGGGGACTGTACGAGCGTGCTCCACCACCTCAGGCTGATCTGCTTCGCCTGGTGATACATCTCTTGTTGTGAGGGATGGCGGGATCTCACTAAGACGACGACTGGTCCTCCTCACTGCCGGTTCGCCGCTATTCGTTCTCGAGGGAACACCGCGCGCAACCGCCTTTGGAGAAGTTAGCTTTGCTTCATCACATGACAGTCTATAACCAACCTTGTCCGAAGAGATGGGAGCAGCGCCCATTGTTCTTCTGCGGCTTGTGGGTGCCTTTTCAGTAGTTGGATCAGGAGGAGGTGCTGCCTTGGCTCGTCTCTCACGTAAAGACATGCGAGAAGTTGGACGCGAAGAGATAGCAGGAGGGTTTGGGTCAATGCCCATGATTATTGATTGGCGATCTCGTCTCGCTTTACTTGCCTCTGCATTCAGTTCCTCAGGCTTGCAGCTATCGGTTTGACGACTAGAGGGAATCAGGAGCTTGCAGAGCTCATGGGCTGCAATGGCCCAAGGAACTTCTGGCGGAGGTGGTGATGGAGGCCTGATCATAGACGCACCCAAATTGGACAAACTACGTCGCATCTTGATGGGATCTGAGACCTTAGCCGTTGATGCCTGTGTTGGTGAGAAGTAGGTTGGGAGGGTAGCGCTCTGTGGCTTCTTGGCTGGACCATTTGGAACCTCCATCAAAGCCTCAAGCTCATCCAAAAGGGATGGCGACCACCATGATGGGTCGTAAGCATGAACGGAGTCCAATGACGGCTTTTGCTCGAAACTGTATGACGTTTCTCCTGAAAGGCATCCAATCTTCTGTCCCATTTCGACACCAAGACGGCCAACATTGTCTGGCTCTTGAGCGTAAGTTTGATCTCCAGCGAGTCCACTGAGATGACTTAGGATACCAGAGCACAAAGCTCGATCGCTATAGCCGCCTTCTAGCACGCTGATAACTCGACCATCAACGTGAAGTCCCTCTTCAGCCGCCAATTTGACGACATCCTGGGCAATACGGGCATAGAACTCTGTCGGCACGTTGACCTTGTGACGCTGCATTCCTGCGCTCTCCCATTCACTGGCATCAAAGCCAGCAGAGAAGAAGATGGCAGCCTTTGGAGGCAAGTTTGATTCTCTTAATCGCTCCGCCTGGTTCCTGAGGTAGTTTCTAACCTTGTCCAAGAGCACAATATACCTGGTCTCGTAGAGTTTCCAGAATTCCTCCTCGGACTTCCAAGGCTCCAGATGGACATTCCAAACTGTCTGTCCGTGTGCATTGTCGATACAGATACTGGCGCTCCTAACCTTTTCTTCGTCGCCCATTTCACACGGATACGAGTTGATGTCGTGCAAGCTGAAGTAGCCAATTGAAGACTTCTTCCATGCTGCCGCATTCTTGGCAGCATTGTTTCCTCGAGAATTGTGCTGCCATGTAATAGCTTGAGAACCATCACCATGGTGAAGATCAAAGTCAATGATAGCAGCATGCGTGAGCCCGTGGTTCAGAGCCGCATGCATGATACCAACATGAACATTGTTGACCCAGCAGAAGCCCGAAGGATAGGAGGCGGAACAATGATGACCGGGAGGTCGCACGCCAACGAAGGCCCGCTGAGGTCCGGGACCGAAAACAGTGTCGATGGCTTCGCAAACAGCTCCCAGAGCACCTTCCATGGCGTTCAGAGACTCTGAGCAAAGGTAGAGATCGCCTTCGTGGAACTTGTCAGCTTTCTCAGCCCCTCTGTTCATCTGTGGCCTCTGTAGTTCCTTTCCCCCCATTGCAAGTTTCGATTCGGCTGCATCACACATCATCTTGAGCTCTTCCATCCATTTTGTCCCATGCACATTAACTACAGCTGGTGACAAGAGAGAAAGTCTACGTTCCGTCTTCTGTATCCGGAATGGAATGCCATGGATATCCTCAGCCTCTCTCTTTGGGTGAAGTGGATATTCGCCTTCAGAGTGTCTTCCACCCAAGCGGACATACGCTGCAGATATACCCAACACGGCAGCCTTAATTCTTTCTGGACGTTCGACGATAGTACTAAGAGCGGCACGAGAAGTTCGGGGTCGGGAGAAGCGATGTCCATAGACGGCATCGTTTAGCACTACGATCATCTGGGTTGGGCGAGTGGATGTTGCGCCATGATGCGCCTGCAGCTCGTCGCTCAGATTGTCATGTGCAATGGAAATCGCAGTTGGTCGAGGTTTCTCCAGCACAGGAGGAGTAGATGATAGAGGCGACTTGGCCTGAGTTGGTGATATATGATGCACCACGCTAGAACGTCTCGAAGGGGTCGAACCGGGGCCGATACCATTAGAGGAGCGCAACGAATTCATAGACGCCTTTCGTAGTAGTGTGGGTGTGTCCCGAGAAGCTTCGCGGCTCCGGGACGGGCTACGGGACAGAGCTCGAGCATTTGGTGCGGGCGACTGTGAAGTGCGACGACCCGATGGGCGGAAGGGAGACGCTGGTTCGGAGGAGAGGCGGGACGGAGCTCGGCCGGGCGAGGTTGAGATAGAGAGTTGGTTCAAAGACTGAGTCAAGTCGTCATGTTCGGGCTGTCTGAGGTTCCGTGCGGAAGACTGCCGCCGAACCGACAGCGATGGGCGGTTTGGCGAAGCCATGAGGCTGAAGTCGACGGATGAGGAATATCGATAAGACGAAATGGTATGAAACAAAGAGTAGCGGGGTTGATCACGGTAGTGGAGGTAAGTAAGTTGAGGGATGGGGCAAAGACGAGGTAAAGTCAGAGCCAACTGGCCCCTTTGGTCGCCTTTGGAATAGCTCCAGCTGCAGGTCCTCTAAGTCTAAGGCTTGTGCTTGGGCTTGAACCTTTTTGTGATCGATATGTGGATGTCGGTGGGTGACGTCTTTGCCCCCTTGTTCAGGGACCAGATCGCGTCTGGAGTAACGCGTTAGGGTCACGTGGTAGTAGTTTATGACGCTGTTGTGTTTTGGATATTACCGCATTAGGCGTGCTAGTAAATAACAGTGAGCTACACTTCCAATTGGAGGGGTTCACGTCGTTTATAAGAAATAGAGCAGATAACTGAGCGAGATTGTATTTTGTTATAGCGACATTAAGGAGAAGTTTCTCGGGTCTTTTAACCCACAGCAAAGTCTGTCGTGAGCGGAATACAAAATGACAAGATTGAAAAGACAGGCAGGTATCCGTAGTTACGGTAACAGTTCATCAACCCCTGAATGTTTGTCGCACAGAACGGCAGCAAACTTCTCGAATTCCAACTGCTGAGCGCTCTCTGACTATGAGATCATACTAAGGGATAACGTTTATCAGGTCTAGAATAATAATACGATCTATATAATATATAGTGATTCACATATTGCACATGTCAAAGTTTCATAGTAGCAGTGGTATACCCAGGAGCGGTGATTCGCGAATAAACCCAGGACTTGTATCCGTACCCGTGTGTACATTGTTGGTTTCTGTTCTGTAGGCTGCATGTGCTCAGACTGTTGGTTCGGAAGCTCTGAAGGATCAGATAAATTAAAGTCAGCGATAAATTACCTACCAGATCTTGATCGAAGCTTATCAATATGCTTGATTACCAGCTGAATGTCCAATAAACAAAACAGCTCATTGTCTTTCGTCCCCAGTATTTAGAGTCAACGGCTCAAGAATACGAGATCAAATGGTTGCCAATGACACAATCTCACAGACACCATTAAACAGACAGCACTTTGCCGTTATGTCGGCCAAGTCTAGAATCACCGCTGTAGAGATCATGTATGCACTCAAGCCCAAGCCCAGAGTGACATGGATGCGTTGACCCAAGCTCAACTGAGTAACCTGGGCGAGCAAGAAACGAAACGTTGGACTCACCGCTAACAAAAACAGCGAGTTTTCTCCAGTCACGGAAATTCATTTTTTCTTCAGTCAAGGTCCCTCGTGGCGCTCGACAACTGGACCCCTCACATTTAAAATGACCCCAGTCCCAATCACCCCATGTTGCCGAGACATTTCTGGTCCACTATCGACGGTCCTGTCTCTTTCGCTAGACTGACTTGCTTGAACCTGGCCTGACTTTGTTTCCGCTTGGTCGGGCGTTTTGAAGGATGCGCTACTACGCTGGGATGCGGATGAAAGCCGCTGTTTGTCTCTTCTCATCCCAACTTGCAGACATCCAAACGATTTTGAGGGGAAAACTGAACTGATGATGAGATGCCGACAACTCCGATTAGGCTTCAATAGACTGAATTGAGAGTGAGTGACACATGCTGCAAGCAACCGCCTCTGATCTAAAAATGAGCTCCGAGTATCCGTACTACCTCATTGTTAGGGGTCAGCAACAAAATGAGCTTTAAAATAAACTTCCCGTTATGACTAAATGGTTAAATACATAGTACCTTGCATCACAAACAGGGCTGAGCGATTTACGAGGTCATGTCCATCCATACCAGCTTCAGGTGGAGGAATTTCTTCGCTGGATCTATGACATATGCTGGTATGAAACTGAAGCTTCGAATCTGGATCAAGGCTGATCTTCGAATATTCTCCTCTGATCAAGCCACCGAGTAATAGCACATACTCATTGATATTGCTGCTAATGATGCAGCCATAATCTGTCCATCGGCAGGGGCGTACATTCTCTAGGCTCTATCCAACGATGTGCTCACAAAAACGCCAAAAGATGCTGTGCGATGCGGGCCCCTTACACTTCTCTCTTTTTCTGTGAGGAGACACAGCATTAGCAAATCGATACCCTTGATCTGCCAAGCCTGCACATTCAAACACATTGTTGACGTCTGCCCAGACAATGCGAGCGGAAAACGGCATTGCAATCTCTCCCAGACTCTCATCGTCCTGACTTTCAACGTCCTTGGGTGGACGTGCTGGGCTCTTTTTGCTGGGGCCACCTGAAGCCCTTGCAAAGCCTTGTCGACTTTATCTGGGCTAGCTCAGAGAACATCTCAACCCGAGTGGCTTTTTCCTCCACTCCTCTTTCGTGAATCGTCCCCAGTTGCAGGGCACCCCCGGTCTGCCTCCAGCGTCCGTCCGTCCCGTTGTAGCTCTGCGTCTAAGACGCGACGGACGTTGACCACCAAATTTCTGCGTGCAATTCAGAGAGATCCTGCTAATCACATCTCAGCCGCACCATGGCGCTCTTGCTAATTGGTCATCTTGGCCCAGAACACCTGGAGACTCTGCCTCGTGGCTGCGTGAAGCCCGGAGCTAGCTCATCACCCTGTCCGCAAGCTTCCTAGCGTCCTGTATGTCTGGAGTCTGTGTTTGTCAATCGAGCGAGGCGATGAGCCGACCCTGGAAAGGAAAGGGAAGCTCTGTTCAGCTCAGGTCGGCGTCGTGAATAAATTCCCGACTGTCGGCCCTTCATCCCCGAGGATTGCTTTTTGAAGGAATTGCTGTTTTTCGCTCATATTCATCTGTAGAAGTGACTGTCTTGCCTTGGACCTGACATCGACCCCTAACATTTCATATCTCGAATACCCAATTCTCACAATGAAGGGTGCTGTTCTTTCCGTCCTGGCCAGCGGTGCCGCTGCTCAGATCACATCGATGCCCTTTGCTGCCCTCGGTCTGGGTCCTCATGTCTTCCAGAACAACGCCATCAACCCTAGCGACCCCGAATACTCGACCTGCCAGCAAGCTGTTGGAATTGTCCAGGACTGTGTTTCTTCTGTTGGTGGTCTCGACGCTGCTGCGACTGCTGATCCTTCAGCCCTCGTTGCTTGCGCATGCTGTGATGGACGCAGTAACGCTGCTCCTCTTTACTCAGTCTGCTCCAACTACCTCGAGGATGAGGCTCCCGAGAACACCTCTCAATACGAAGGTGAGGTTTTCTTCTAGTTACCAGGGGAGGAAAATGTGCTAACAAGCTGTTTTAGCTTATGGCACTCTGTACAGCGCTTGCAGATTGAACGCCAGATGTACCGGCGGTTCTGGTGGTTCTGCCAGCGATAGCCGTCCTACAGCAACTTCAGATGATGAAGATCTCTCTACCATTACCTCTGCCACCAGCCCTGCTGAGCAGACATACGCTGCAGCCTGTTTATACATGCTCGATATCTTCACTTCTTGCACAGCTGAGGATCGCCAATTCACTGAGCTTCCTCCCAGAGAGCAGGCCGAGTGCTACTGGTAAGTTATTCACTTACACGGAAATTGACACAGACTGACATTTTATAAGCTGCCGTGGATCTGGTTCCCGCCGAACCTGGACCGATGAGCTCGACAAGTATGCTTCCACTTGTGCTGACTGGGCGCGAACAGGCGAGCCCAAGACCGCCTACTCTGGTATGTGTGTCACTTGAAACAATCCGAGCCTGAACTAACCCAACAATAGTCGCCAAGAACCTTGCTACTTTCTGCGACCGCTTCGACGACGTCTGCTCCCCCTCTGTCACCCGCACTCAAGACTCTGGGTCCAGCGAGACCGACGAGGCCAACACCACCGAGGACTCCGGTTCTCGCCAGACTGGCGCCTCTGACAACGATGCCTCAACTAGCGAACAGAACATGGGCCCCGTCACAGTCACTGTTCCTGCTCAGCCTTCCAGCACCGACAGCGGTAACAGCGCTTCTTCAGCTCGTGTTGGCTTCGGTGCTGTCCTCGCTGCCGTTGCTGCTCTGGCTATTGCTCTGTAAGAGCTCTTATGACGATTGAACCGAGAAGTGATGGAGTTTATTAATGAGTTTCCGTTTCCGAGAAGACGTGGTGGATCTAACGACTTTTCCGGGTTATTTAATGAAATGCTGTAGGGAAACTCGTGAACAATGCGCAGTCTTATCAGGATATCCTTGTTGGCATTTGAAGCGCCTTCGTATATAGAATCATATTCGTTATCCATAATTCACTTTTTACCAACGCCTCTTAATTGCTGCATATGCTTTTATTCCGATAAATCGACGTTGACCCCCTTCAATGCTCCAACTGCCCATTCGGGATACTCTGTTTTATCCGCATAAAGCCAAGCAAAGAACTGTCGCACGAATGTAGGGAATCGATCCTCCATAATGGCCTCCCTTATTTGTCGCATAAGGTTCAGTTGATAATAGACATTGTGAATGGTCAGTAGGTGCGCCGCTACCGTCTCTTTTGAGGCGTTGTGGTGGACAAATGCCCGAGTGACACCCATCCCTCCATCAGCGGTTGGCTTGCAGACCATGCAGTTGCAACCCTCCTCGACAGGCCCGAAATCAGTAGCGTATTTCTTGTTGCGGATGTTCAAGACGCCATGTTTTGTGACTGCATTGCCAAATCGGGCTGTTCTTGTTGGCCACACACAATCGAACATGTCGGCTCCCAGCGCAACGCTCACGACCAGATCTTCAGGGTAGCCAATGCCCATGACGTATCGCGGCTTCAGGTCAGGGAGCAGTTCTGTGCAAGCTGCTACAACTCTGCAATAATCAGCCTTGGCCTCACCACCACTCAATCCACCAATGGCGATGCCTGGGGTATCACGGGCCAGCATCTCGCGACAGCATTCTCGTCGCATATCGAGATCAAGACCTCCCTGAATAATGCAGAAGAGATTTTGGGACTCGGGTTTCTTGTGAGCTGCGATACATCGATCCAACCATCGCACACTTCGCTCCATGGCCTCGCGCATACGTGCCTTGTCAGGAGAGGTTGTGACAAGGACATCGTCCAGCTGCATCATAATGTCGCTGCCGATGCTGTTTTGCAGTGACATGGAATGCTCCGGAGTAAGTAACATGGGTGTTCCATCATGAGGGCTCAGAAATTCGACACCTTTCTCAGTGATGGTTGCAAGCTTGAGTAAACTGACCATTTGAAATCTATGAGTCAATGTTAGTTTGGAATATTCTCACCAATATAGAGAAAAACTTGCCCTCCACTGTCAGTCAGAATGTTGTGGTTCCATCCTTGGAGTTTATGCGCTCCACCTATCGCATCCAAGACCTCTTGTCCTGGTTTCAAGCCGAGGTGATATGTGTTGTTTAGACATAACCGACAACCAGTCTCTTCAAGCTGTTCAGGGGTAATGCCCTTTAGAGACGCTTGAGTTGCAACAGGCATGAACATAGGAAGTTGTACGACGCCATGAGGAAGAGTCAATATTGATGCCCGAGCTCTTGTTGTCTACGTTGAAATATGTGTATCAGTCTTAGACCCTTCGACCCTGGCTTCGACGGCTAAGTGAAGCCATCACCACTGTAAGACTCACGGAGCATTTTGCGACAAGCTCGTGCGTCAAGGCAGGTGACTTGTAAATGTTTGATGATGACGACATTCTCTTAATCGCTTGCATCTGCTTTAACCCAAATGTGTTACAATGAAAGAAGAAAAATAAGACAACGCTCTTCTCCTCTTCGTCGTGTTAGTCGCGTGACTGGGTTTTTCAATAAAATAGAAGTTGTATCGATGAGAGACAGGGTTTCAGTGGGGCTCAGTGCTGTCAGAAGAAGTTCCAGGCGCTGAGCTGATTGGCCAATGAGACGCTCTCCGGGCCATTATCGGTAGATCCCGCCCAAGCTTCAACCTCCAGCGAATTTTTGTCGACTTCAGCTGTACGCCTGGGTACTGCCCGTCACGAAGATACCAGAACGGCAAGCCAACTGAGCTCGCCAAACGGTCTCTGAGTCGAAATGGGGAGTCGCGTTGTTTCGCCCGGAGGGGCATTGTTGAGATCTTCTCGACTATTCTCCCTCCCAAAGCCATTACCCGAGCCTCAGTCTACAAACTTGCACATTGGCGATCACAAGTCTCCCACGATGACACGACAATACCCGCAGTACCAGTCCATCACATCGCCTCTTTCGTCTCGGGAAAAGGGTGACTGGGGCTTCAAGCGACCATTCCCTCTCAAGTCCACCTTAACGACCTCAACACCCCTGATCCGAGTCAAACAGGTCGATTCTATCGAAAGCGTTACTGATTTCGCTTCTGCTGCCGACCATACTCTTTCTCTCGAGAAGTTCCAGGAAATGCGCATTCCCCTTTCGATCCCCAAAGGAAACGAGAAAAGCGGCATATCTGTGAGAAATGATGCTTGGCGAAAATCCGTTTTTGAGGAGGACCTCGATTTTACCGAGTATCGTAAAGGACGAATTGATGACAAGCGATGGAAGTTCCAGGGACCGTGGCTGGCTAGGATGACTGAGGGTGCCTTTATCGGATATCTCAACAAGAACGTACGACCTAAGCGAGCCGAGTTCAGACAGCTGCTCAAAAACAGACTTGCTGAATCTCTAAACTCCAAACGAGCCACGGCTGCCATGGAGCAGGGCAACACCGCGCCAAACAAAATCCAGGCTTCAGACATCACCGAGGATCAGTTTACAGACTATGTGCGCGCTTTGCGAAGTGACCGTGCTACACTGTACGGCCTAGTCTCCAAGTTCCTTGACCTTGCTCCTCTTGGCCAGCCTGTTGGCATTATCCAGACCTTCCTCGCCGCGGGAGAGAATGCGGCTGCTGAGAGTCCTTACGGAAAGTCTGGGCCTCCTCCTAGCCATCCCTCTGCTGGTATTAGTTATCTGAGGACAAACTCCTACATGGAGAACCATCCTGTCTACGGACCTCAAAAGCAGCGCACTCCTACGCTCGCTCGAGTAGTTTACCCCAGGCAAGGCCCATCACCTGCCAAACTTGGTGTTGGTGGTTTCGTGGCCGACTCTCCCCCAGGAGACAACGAGTTCAATACCAGAGACTCCCGTCACAGGGTTTCGCAGAACAAGAAGATGCTTACTGGTATTACACATCTTGACACAACAACCTTTGGTGGTGCCAAGGCATATGTCAGCCCTGAGACTGCAACAGTCGACCCTAGTGGAAAGGTCGTGCTGCAACTCCGAGAAGCCAACACTGAGGCCCAGCTTGTTGCTAGAGAAGCTCAGGGCCGTGCTAAGGTGTACAATGCGACAAAACAAACACTCAAGAGAACGAGTGACGAAGCTGATCCTTGGAGAACCGAGCGTGTCGCTAATGAGCTTATTGGTGATGACACTGCTTCTACTCCCGAAAATGATGCTGTGAGCAGCTCCAAGAACTACGGCCTTGATAACGACAACCAGCAATAAAGTGCATGGGTTATGGACAAGGGCTGAGGCAATGTATATCGATGTCATTTATTTTCTCTGATATTTAGAGAAGATATGTACCAAACAACTGTACAAATAGAAATGAAGCAATTACCCAAGTTACATCTGTCGGTCTGTCATGAAGACTTACACTTGAAAGATGTTATGAAAATGGATGCAAGTTTGCCTAAATGCATAACATTCTTAGCCAATCATGCAGCAGCTTCACTCTCAAAGGTCTATTAGCTAAGCAGAAATGATTCGCTACACACCCACGTGATTTTTGCGAAGCCCTAAATCGAAGAAGGAGCGACCCACCCACTCAACACCAAAATTCTAGCTGTAGCGGAAATCTCATACCAGCGACTTTCTTCAAACCTATCGCCCAACGTTCAACAGTCCAATACCGCCAAAATGGGTCGCGTTCGCACCAAGACTGTCAAGAAGTCCGCCAAGGTCATCATTGAGCGTTACTACCCCAAGCTCACCCTGGACTTCGAGACTAACAAGCGTATCTGTGATGAGATCGCTATCATTGCTTCCAAGCGCCTCCGCAACAAGGTTAGAAATACCGGCTCGACGAAATACCACCGAGGGCAGCGACTAATTCAGGATTATTATAGATTGCCGGCTACACTACCCACTTGATGAAGCGAATTCAGCGTGGACCCGTCCGCGGTATCTCCTTCAAGCTTCAGGAGGAGGAGCGTGAGCGCAAGGATCAGTACGTTCCTGAGGTCTCTGCTCTGGACTTCACCCAGAACTCCGAGAGCGGCCAGCTCGACGTCGATGGCGAGACCAAGGATCTCCTCAAGCACCTTGGCGTATGTGCCCTTACGAGATTCGAACAAACTGGACGAGATGTTGACAATAAATGCAGTTCGAGTCTATCCCCGTCAACGTCATCCCCGTCACTCAGCAGCAGGTTCCCGAGCGTGGTGGACGACGATACGGCGACCGCCCTCGCCGTGACTAAAAAATTGGTATATGGGATTATTATGATGGGTGTCTGGCATTTACAGGGTTTCACTACTTGGCGTCTTAGGACAGTGAGTGCATAGGTCTCAAAGAAAGATCTTTCGACCCCCCAAGGTGTCGCCGATTCTCTGGATGTCTCCAGAGATGACGCTTGATCGCCAATTACTCTCTTCGCTTCTGTGAATATGACCTTGTCCAAGGCCAGTTCGCACGTTTCAGGAACTGAGCCGAGGGACTGTGATACTGTTGTCTACATCGATGCGACCAGTATTTGCGGGTGTCATGATGGGGTATCTTCCTATCCTTATTATGGCCCTGCTTGTGATACACGAGTCGCCCAACGCCTATCTTCGAATAAATGCTACAAACACCCAAAACATGATTTTATCAGTCCTTTTTCTTATCCTCCAGGTTGAGTTTTGTTCTATAGCCCTCGACAAGTAAATGTTCGTCATCGTAGACTTCTGGTTTGTCAGACGCAGTGGATGGTGCTTTAGGATCATTCTCCTTCAGTGTGATATTCATCTTCTTGCTCTTGCTTTGCGATGCATCTGGTTCACCTCGCTCAAGAGCAAGGGCGGCCTCATCTCGAGCTGCTTGTCTTTGCTCTTCGAGCTTGAGCTGACCAAGCTCTCGGGCAGCTCGGTCGACCTCTGTTTCCTTCGATTTGTCCTCGTCGAGTAAATCGATCTCAATATCTGGGATACCTGCCCGTTCCCAGGCAGCTGTCTCGTTGAGCTGCACCTTGACGTAAAGAGCGCGACGGGCGCATTGGTTGGAGCACCACTTTTCTAGGTCCTCCCGCTTCATAATATTCCCGTTGGAAATCTTCCATTGACCGCCAGGACCCGTATTCCGTCGTGGTCGCGAGCAGAGGGTGTAACCGCAAAGCTCGTTCACATTGCGCTCGATAACGAGGTCGTCGTAGTCTGAAGGTTGAAAGAGTCGCACATGAGCCTTGAAGTCGGCGACATCGGATGGAGAAGGGTTGGAGGCATTGTGAGGTGGTTCGCGAACGAGAGGGTATTCGGAGAGGATGACCAAGCTGTCGAGGATTTCTGCTTCAAGGTCTTTACGATGCTGGATGATCTTGGCATGCTCTATGGCGATTTCTCTAGGGTCGGCATTTCGTTCTTTGATGGACTTGGGCTTCTTGAGGATACCCTTTGGGGGTTGTTTAGACGCTGAGGCCATGATGAATGAGGATTATGATCTTGAGAAAAGGATATGTAATACTGATCCCAACTCAACCCGAACTTGGAGCTCAGAAAGATCCAGAAATGGCCCCGCAACCTCTGCTAGCTTCTGTTTTACAAGTGGCAATCCACTGAAGGAGGGGAGACTGCCAGAAGAACGATTGGACTTTATCGGCTGATAACAAAATAACGAATGTAGGTTGGTACTTGAGAATAGTCTGGTAGTGAATGTGTTTTAATGACGGTCCCGGGACCTTGAAAAGTCCAGTCAACCAATCAAACAAGAATTGAGTCTCTCCATCATGGATCCATATGATGATGCACTGTAGCACAAACAAAGAGCAGTCAGTCACTTTTTTCATCTGGTTACATTTATATGACAGAAACGGTATAAGCAATGGTTTCAAAGTATGACAGGCTAGTGTTTGTTCATACTTGATACAACGCATGGGCAGTTGGTTAGGTAGTTTGTTTTAGAAGCCCAGCCAGTGTTTCTACTACCCCATGTTGTCATGCCTTGAGCCTTCGTTTCGGGCTGTTCGGCCATAGTAAGAGATAACTAACGTACGACCCCGCGAATTAAACATAAAGCGCAATGCGATGCCAATGCACCCAAAATCAACTCATGATTGCTTCCCCAATTTTATAGGCTCTGTTGCCTGTCTTACATCACTGTCATTCACTACCCTGAAGAAGCAAACGTAAGTCTTATCGTGATAGTCATGACCGACCATCATCGGAACTAGGCATCAACCGACTATAACTGAACTGGAAACTTCCCTCCCAGCTAAACTGGAAGTACCATCGTCCACGCGCCTAACACTTTTAGTCGTGAGATGGACGGAGTGACGGGCTCATAGCGCTGACGTCGACAAACGCCCCAGCTCCAGGCCTATGCTCCGCTAAACACCACCCGCCTCCTTGCAACCTGCATCTCATCTCTCTCATGCTTTTCCTCTTGAGGATCCGAGCATCCATTCCCACTTAATACTTCCTATCGCATATTAAAAACCGAGCAATCGCCTTCCTACATAGACTGCGCCTTCAAACAACTCATCACTATATCCTCCCCCGCCTCACTTGATCCCACAGGCTGACGACGCCCCCCTGTCGTGCCCCACACTCAACCAAGCGAGCGAGCAAGCAAGCAAGCTGTTGACCTACTAGCCTACGAATACCTAATCCACGTACTATAACCTTGTTGCTCCATACAGCCACACGCCCAGAGAAGCTTTGATCCCAGCCTCGGGCAGCGTTTGTCCTGCAAGAGAGCTTCCAGAGGATCAATCATCAGCAAAAATGGCCGCGCCATTCAGAGTCAAGGCCATTTACGAGTACTCATCGCCTCATGAGGACGACCTCAACTTTAGTATCGGCCAGGTCATCACTGTTACTGATGAGGAGGACGCCGACTGGTATGGCGGGGAATATGTCGACGACCACGGCGTGAAGCAAGAGGGTATTTTCCCTCGAAACTTTGTCGAGAAGTTTGAGCCTACCGCACCTCCTCGTCCAGCTCGAACCCGTACTAAGAAAGAGCCCGAACCTGCTCAACCCACCGAAGATATCGCTTCTCCCCCACCGCCACCTGTTCAGCAAGAGGCTCCTTCAATCCCCGCGCCCGAACCTGAGCCCGAGATCGAAGAAGCCCATGAACCCGTACATAAGCATTCGGCTCCCGAACCGGCTGCCCCGGCCGTCCCGGAGCCTGTTCCTTCAAAGCCCGCCGAACCCGTCCAGGCTACAGCTCCCCCGCCTGTTGCAGTTCCTAAGCCCGAGCCTCCAGCCCCCGCTCCTCAAGCTCCGGCTGCCGCTTCGCCAAAGCCCAAGCCCTCCGGGCCTCCCCCCAAGGCAGAGAAGCCTTCTGCTAGCTCGTTCAAGGATCGCATTGCGGCGTTTAACAAGCCCGCAGCGCCTCCTGTTGCGCCCTTTAAGCCAAGTGGTCTGGCTGGCTCAGGTACAGGTTTTATAAAGAAGCCGTTTGTGGCTCCTCCTCCCAGTCGCAATGCTTTCATACCCCCACCGCAGCAGACCCCAACCGCCAAGGTGTATCGGCGCGACGAGGACCCTGAAATCAAGGAACGGGAGGCAGAAACCCAAGGACAGGCCGAGAGGGCCGGGCTTGTACCAAGTGAAGGTCAGGGTGGCGAAGATGAAGATCAACCTAAGCCTACAAGTTTAAAGGAGCGCATTGCACTGCTTCAAAAGCAGCAGCAGGAGCAAGCGGCACGACATGCCGATGCTGCTGCCAAGAAGGAGAAACCGAAAAAGCCTCAGAAGAAGCGTGAGAGCATCGGGCATATTGATACCCCGGTTGAGGCGGAGGCTTCACCTCAAGAGCCTCATGCTCCTCTTGAGCGCAGAGACACCCAGGATACTGATGCCAGAACATCTATGGACGAGCCACGACAAAATCGCATGCCACCACCTCCACGCCGTAGGTCTTCCAAGGGACCTGCCGTGGAACCTGTCCATGATGGTAATGAGGCGGATATGTCTGGCGCAGGTGACACAACCGAAGGCAATGATGACTTAACGGAGCGGGATGATAGTGATGGTGTGGCTAGGAACGCACCGCGAGCACCTGCATTGCCTATACACGCCGGTCCTCCTCCCGAGGCATCAACATCAAGAAAGGAGGATAGCGAGGAAGCGGAAGAGGAAGAGGAAGAGGAGGAGGAGGAGATGGATCCTGAAGTCAGGCGTAAAGAGGAGTTACGGGCGAGAATGGCCAAGATGAGTGGTGGTATGGGTTTCCATGGTATGTTTGGTGCCCCTATGCCTGCGCCAGCGCCGCCTCCCAAAAAGAAGAAGGCCCCAAAGCCAGAGCGAACATCGATCGACGAAACTGTCGAGGAGGCATCGCCAACAAGCCATGCTGCACCACCCGTTCCTACTATGATGGCTTTGCCTGGATTTGGCGGTTCAAGTAAGCCTGAGGAGCCATCCCGTCCTGAGGAACATGAACCAGCTGCCCGAGCGCCACCACCTCCTGTGCCGTCTCAGCCGCCCCGAGTTCCAGAGCATGCAGAGATGGCAGAGGAGGAGGCAGAGAGTGACATTACTCCTGCCCCTCACGCTGCACCTACAAGTATGTACCATCAGATATCAAGATCTTAGGTAATTTGGATGCTAACCGTCACTCAGTTCCTCCTCGAGATCCAGCAGGCCCTCCTCCTATTCCTGGCAGTCGAGGAGCGCCTCCCCCTGTGCCATCCGAATGTAAGTTAACGCCTATTTAAAAAAAGATCATGATACTCATTAGTTCCAGCTCGGCCTCCTCCTCCCGCACCTCCCGCCGATGCGAAGTCTCAGTCCGAAGGATCCCAGTCGGGCGATGAGCTCTCTGGTGGCCGTGATAGCGACCGAGAAGGCCCTGTAGCTGCCGCAAGGTCTCCTCCTATGGCACCGCCGCCAGTTCAGCCCCCTCACTTGCCTGCGAGATCGCCACCACTGTCCCCTACCCGCGAGGAGTTCAGTCCTACATCTCCTAAATCCAATGCTAGCAATAGATTAAGTCGACTGCCGCCACCTATTCCTGGATCTGCACCAGCTCCACCAGCACAGAGTCGGCCACCTCCTCCGCCTCCACCAGGTGGTCTTCGTCGACAGTCCACCCAAGACTCTCAGGCACAACATACCAGGGGACCTCCTCAGGCTGGCGAAGAAGAAGCTGAGGAACTTACCGAGTATGAGGGCGATTACGATACGGATATTGCTTCTTCAGTCCCCCATAAAGACGCTCTCAAGTCACACGCCCGTGAATCAAGCCTTGAAGATAACACTATTCTATCGCCAGTCTCCGATGCTCCTCCTAAACTACCACCCCCTATTCCCACAGGCACGGCCCCCAGAGCTGTTCCGCCGCCTGTCCCTTCGCAGCCGCCTCCTGAGAATAAGCGGCAATCAATTGATACACCTCGCGCTGCTCCTCCACCGCCTCCACCTACGGATAACAAGCGACAGTCTATTGACGTGCCACGCGCGGCACCTCCCCCTCCCCCTCCTGCAGGTCTACTTCCTCCTCAACCGCCTCAGTCGCCGCGCCTGGAAGAAGACTATGATCCCTACAATTATTCAGCACCTCCTGGAGGACACGGTTATGCCCCCAGAACGCCCAAGATTGAAGAGGAGGGTATCTTCCCCCAATCGCCGTCTGTTACTTCTCCGATAGATCGAAGAGCTCCCCCTCCTCCAGGTGTGCCTGCAGGTCGCACCTCAGGGCGACAATCTCTAGACATTTCGAGGGCTGCTGCCGGAAACAGACGATCTATGGATGTTCACCGACCATCAATGTCGATGGAGTCAGGTTTTATTGCGAATGACTTGGACCTGGCTATCCAGAGTGGCTGGTGGAAGCAATCTAACCAAGTACCTCCCGTTCTCCAGGGACGTAAAGATATTTACTTTGAGGCTGAAGAGTCGACATCTACCAATGGCGGCCAACAAACGACGATAACTCGCGAAATCTTTATCTTATATCAAGATTACTCACAAACCTTCTTGACAATTCGATACGACCCCTACAATGCATCAGATGTTCAACTTGAGCAACGTCACGAGCCCCCGCCGCGTCCCCTCCGCCAGGATCAGATGGAAGAGTTTTATGAGCGATTTGGTCGCCACATCTCGACGGCTGTAGCTGCCAAGAAAGACTCTGTTGTCGCGGACGGCACTCCTCAAGGTCTTGTTCTAGAACTTCTCAAGCCTTATAAGGATGCTCTTCCTCCTGTTGGCACTCGTGCCTACGGTGCCCTTGTCTATTCAAACATGGCCAATGCATCAACTCAACAGAACGACGTGATCCGTGCTGGCGACATCATCACAATCCGCAACGCCAAGTTCCAAGGCAAGCATGGTCCTATGCACGCAAAGTACTCTGCCGAGGTGGGCAAACCGGACCACGTCGCTGTAGTATCTGAGTGGGATGGCACCAAGAAGAAGGTGCGCGCATGGGAGCAAGGCCGCGAGAGCAAGAAAGTCAAGGTAGAGAGCTTCAAGCTTGACGACCTTCGTAGCGGAGAGGTCAAGATCTGGCGCGTCATGCCGCGAAGCTGGGTTGGCTGGAACAGCCAGTCCTAGTGCAGCTGGGGATGGCGTAGCGATGGCGATGGCGATCTCTAGGAAAAGATGTCCATGATGATGATGACGACGAATAATAGGATGAGTTCAAGACTGGTAGTTGGGCCGTGGCTGTATCCTCAGGCGTTGAGTAGTGGGTTCAGGATTCGAGAGCGTTACAGGAGGAGAAGGAAACGATGCGCAGCAAGGTGTGTGCTCAGATAAGAAACTGTAGGACACGAGTGGAACATGAGAGATTTAGTTAGTTGTAAAGCAGTTCGATTCAGTAGGCTATGTTAGGTATCGACCAATGCGTCTTATCCTGTGTCACCTCTCAGATTCACTTTCAGCATCTCACACATTGAGAATCCCACGATTGTCTCTGTTAAACAAAGTCTCGCATGAATCCGAGACATCATCTATTTCAGGCACGGCCCGGCCGTCGATGCAGCGGTTCCACGGCCACGTTTTTATCTCTTACCGGCTACAACTGAGGCCTTGGAGAGTTACATTGTATAAGCGCAAGGAAGTACTGTGTCTTTCGTTACTTCGATCGACAAGATCTTCAAATGGCGGAGAATTGAGCATCAAATCATACCTTGAATGACAGTTTGACAGGTGGATGGTATTGCAAAAGCGCATGGCATGCTACCTAAAAGGGAACCTAACTCGCATGGGACAGTATCAGGAAAAATAAGATGGTTGGCACGAGGTCTTGGACCTTTGAGATTTGAAGTTTGTGTAAGCAGGAAAAATATGAGTGAACTCAGCGGATTCCGTGACTATGGGTGGAGTGATAAGATCTGTTAGTCAGGTCACCCCTTCATGGAATCGGGAAGAGTAGGGAAAAAGATTTCATAGCGACAAACAAGATACCTTGCACACGGGATGAGATAGCAAAACTTAATGCCCGATGAATAATGCTCAACTTGAACTGCGTGGTCACGGCAGGCAAAGGATGGCCATGGCCCACGTTGAAACGCACAGGACAACTTGTACACAACATCTCGCGTATCAGAGACCTACACTCGTGATTCAGCAAATAGCTGATTCCCGTCAAGTTGTTAGGCACAATGTGCAGATGCATGGGAAGAGGCGGCAGAAAAGGTGCAGGGTCCGAAGGTCCGGCTGTTGTCCATTCGGAACTCAGCCAAACCATCCATGCATCGACTGTTCTCGCCTCAAGGGTACTTCTTGTTCATTGTGCAAGAGCCTGAGAGTGGCATATTTCACCGACGGGCCGGTACCTCCATCTCCAACACGTGAATATGAAGAGAAGCGCGGGGGAAACAGCCGTCCGTTCAGGCGGAAAGTGAGGCGTCAGGTATTTCTCAGCCTGAACTTGGGGTATGTGGCTACGCTCGGTTACCAGGGTCGAGGTGTTGTTGGCGGCTATCGATTCTGAGGCCAGACTCTATATGCCTCTAAGCTTCACTCGAAGCCTTCGTTATGAGCCCAATCATTTCAGGGCCATGATGTTTTCAACTTCTGGATTGAGTATCTGCATCTTGAAAGTTACAGTACGTCGCTAGCTTAGTTCCCGTAGCATTGCGTCAAGCCGACCTGCTGGTCTCGGCTAGGTGCAGTAGTGAAAGATGGACAAGGAAACAGATCAACTGCGCCAATAAGCGGCTTAGGTCGAGATGATGGAGAAGATTGGGTCTGGCCTGAGACAAAGTGAGGTCAGCTCGGTGACCTCGAGACTTGAAGCTTACCAAAGAAGCTGCGGTGCTTGTGACATGACGACATAAGGTTCTGATGAGCGGTGTATCCGCAACTACAGCTTCGTGTAGGTGAACGAAAATGGAAATGTGTCTGCCTCTGCTCTGATTGGGACAGTCAGGTAGTCAAAGGGATGCTGTAAGCAAATCCCGCTTCTTCAAGATTCTAGCAGACGGTTCCTTCATTCCAAGACTGCGGCTTCATGATGGTCAGGCACAGGAACGGCGCAATGCCAAGGGACCTCCAAATACGACGACTTGACGATTGAATTGAGTCCCAGGCCGTGGACACGACCTTACGGTGCTCGTTTGGCTAAGAGGAGAAGACTGATCTTGTGATTGGCTAAATCGTTTCATTAAACAGGGGCCAGAGCCCCCGACGACGAATGGGCTGTCAACACATGAGCAAGGACTACATCTCGATGGGTCGACTTGGTGGTCATAAATCACCTTTGGCTTGCATGTTCAGCGCGTGCGATGCGAACCAAGAGGTGGGATGAAGCTGCAGGGCCTTGGGAGCAAGAAAACGTCAGAGGTTAAAGTAGGATGCCAGAATGAACTCGTCAAAGAGCTCTTTAAGCTTAGACCGACTTGCCTAAATCTTTTTATCACTTAGGGTCAAGGTCCTAAAGTTTTCTTACTTCCCCCAGGCAGGGTACGACAAACAGTGTTCGAGCCCGGGTTGAAGATCACGTCGGTCGTGTAACTGAGAAAGTCTGGCAGCGTGTACAGAATGTTGTACGATTCACACTCAAATTGATAGTGTAGCGACGAATAGTGACGTGTATGAAACCCGAATGCTTCAAAGTGTCGATGGCGTCTCAAGTCCTACATGCTAGGACGCATGGTGATGGAGGTGTTGGGTTCCAAAGCAAGGCATTCCCTGGGTGTCAAGATCGAATTCTGAGAAATACCGAGTTCCATCCGCCAAACCCCATACTGACGATCCAATTGTGACGACAGCAAGAAGAAGACATAGCTGTCGTGCTTCGTGATTGCTGCCTTCGACAAGCTGCCCCATGACATCTTGTCCAAGTATCATGGGCCAGCTCAGTCATGAATGAGTTGGCTGACCCGCCGCGTGAATCTTGACGCCGGGATGTGTATGGAGCGGGACGGGCCAGTAGTTGCAGTGAGTCAATTAAACCCATTAGTAGCTTAGCAAATCCATCTGGCGCAGCAGGCAAATCGCCGAGGCTGATGCTGTTAACTGTGGATAGTGGAATTTGATAATGGGCCATCAGTGATCATTTTAGGCTCTTGCCTAGCGTACCCTTGTCATGACATCTCCCTAAATAGAAGCACTTAAAACTAGTCAATGGCGGAGTAGAGGACATCGCAGCCTGGCATTCCCATTCACCGCAGGCCATGTCAAAGGATGTGGCTCTGTTGAGTTGAATCGTCATTACAGCCTCGCCACCGACATTGCCAGCGAATAGATAATTTCAACCTCATTAACGAGGCAGACACGGTAGACAGAGAAGGCTGACGCGTTCGATCATGAGCTTCTAGTGTTAGCGGTAGGCCCAAACTACCTATCCAAGGTTATGTGCAACCCTGAGCGAGAAAAGACGGAGAGGTGAGATGCCGTGGGATCCAATCGGCCTTGCATATGAGATCCCGGGGTCACCGGGGTGGTCTAAGACATTCTGGATCAATGAGAGAAGCCAAAGAGATCCATGAATGCTGAGTGAAGAATTGACTTGGATGGTTGAGATCAGGCTTGGTTGGTGGAAGCTGAGAAGGTTAGTGGATGGTGAAGGAAACCCCAAAAATGCAAGGATCGGGCGTAATGATACACAGAGCCAGGAATAGGTAGGTAACTTCCATCTCAAAAACTCAAATGACTCAGCAGTTTGAAGTTGATACAGTACATATTTGACGTTTGGCTGACTCGGATAGCATATGAAAAGGAAATATTTACTGTGCATGCGCATTTGTGATGCCTCAGGTGGCATGTCTTGAAGCCTGAGACACCTATTATCGCGCTCTGGAGGCAGCTGGCACCTTCCGTGATGAAAATCAGACCAGCAGATGAAGGAAGGTACGGGAAGATAATCGGGAAACAATCTAGAAAAGGAGATATGACTCAAATCACCTCGTGACTTAAGCGAGGCATCATCGATAAACAACATCTCCTCATCTCAATTGCAAAGTCAGGAACTCGCTCCAAAATCAGGACAAACATCCAACAAACGAATCCTTGTTAGGCAACTGGACTTTACAGAGCCTGTCTGCCGTGCAGTACAGTACTAATGTTGGGCTATACAGTGCACATGCACGCACTCAACCAGCCGGGACGTGTTCCAGAAATCCGCCATTCCTCCTTCGGGTCATGATGCTGAGACGTTCAGTGCCAGGGCACGTTACCTACTTATTCGGATTCATCAATGATTAAGAATAAATGGGTCGTGAGCCAACACACGACGAGCCGAGTTTCAACAGCCTCGCACGCCTCGCTCCACCAAATACTGTACTGAGATACAGAGGACAAGGGCTTCGTGGGGGAACCTGAAGGGGAAGCACAGCTGGCTCTGCGTGGTGATGAAAGATTGGCGGGTGGTAACGTTAGGGGTCCTCCAAGCATGGAGAGAAACGGATCTGTGCTCCTCTACTCCGTACAGCAGGCAATGACCTCTAACAAAGCACGCAAGCGCGTTAATTATTCGGTCTTGGTCCGAGACCACCCTGAAAAAAAAATCTCTGTTCTGTTGACGACCATATTCTAGTAATCAAGCTTACAGACCTCTACTGACGCTACCCTTGATCGACCACCATTTCAGTGAGATCCCATCGATCGGCGGGCATCAGAATCCGCCATCCTGACTGAGAAACGATTATCGCCCATCACCCCAGGAAGACCGAATCGACGGGACGGAGGAAACAGCCCACCCATGGTGTGACTATGAGCTCGACATGAGCTCCAAACAGCCATTGCACCCTAGCTGTGGCCTGTCCCCGTGTGGTACACCGTCACAACGTCTTCACACGCGCACCCTCTTGCTCACTCTAGTGGCCGAGCACTGGCCGATGCGCACTAGGGATTTCATCCGGGGCAGTCGTTGACTCTGCTCCCCCACGAAAGACGTGTTGTACGGTCCGCGGATAGGACTAGAGTCATCTACTTCCTGCTGTAGAGCGCTATGCCTCAGGCGCCTGTCCCCGATACAGACAGTCGGTTGTGTGTCAAAATCTGGAATGCATCGCCTGGGGTTTTCAGCCACCTACCGTTGAAGTCGCCTCCCTAAGAGTGAACCAACTTTTTCTGGCGCCGTCTGTGACCCGATTGTCTGCCCACCGTTGACTTTACGGTAGCAATGGTTTAATTAATGGCAACGCAACGTATTGCTCACTCCTGCCGATACCTTACTGTCTCTTCCAGCCAACAATAATAAAGTGCAGCCCAGAGATACTAGGGCTGCAACAGTGTCACTGCTGGCTGCATACAAGAGACACTAGGGGGTGTCTATCGAAGGTTAAGCACGAGTCTGCGAGAAGAGGTCTGAGGCCGGGGCGAGGCGAGGCGTTTCTTCCACTTCTCACTGTCTCCCCCGCCGTGGCCCGAGTTGACAGTTGGTCCAAAAGTGGTCCGTCCCGCCAGGTTCCTGATGTGGCCTCGAGTCCAAGTCCATGCCTGAACACACTTCTTACCCCTGGCTTCTCGACAGCTCCACTGGTTGCGTATTAAGGTCAGGCTCGGTACCAAATAAGCCCCCCTCCCCACCTACGACCAACGTCCGTTAATCTACCATCCATATCCATATCAAGGCAGAACCGACTTAAGGTGAAGATATATCCCTTTCGATTGTCTCCTCATCTATGCTATTATCAAATTCACGACTCTCGACTCTGACTCAACCTGATTGAAGCCGGCTGTGTCATATACCACACACTACACACAAACAAACTCAAGTATCGCTTCACCACACCCTTACTTCAGGCACCTTTACTTGAAGCTCAGTATTTACACCACTTACACGCACTCCTAAACTCTACTACTCCCTCAACACCAACCACCCTGGATACCACAACACTCCACCTTACTCAATTGACAACTATCGCACAATGACACCTGAACCATCATTACGGCGACAACGGAAAGTTATCATCACTACATCTCCAGCCCCCTCCGATTCTGATTCACGCCGTGACTCCTACTTCTCAGAAGTTTCTCAATCAACAGCCCCTACCTCTTTCCACTCGGCTTCCGGATCTAATAATAAATGCCTTGATGTTGCTCAAGGGAACAGACCTACAACAGCTATGAAGTCAACAACCATTGAGCACAGATTCGATACTACCTCTTCCTCTATCGCCACATACGACTCGGTCCTATCTGAAATGGCACCTTTGTGTCGAGATTTGCCAGTCGGCGGCGAAGAGGTAGAATTTGAAACTGAGGATGAGGAGGAAGAAGAAGAGGAAGAGGAAGAGGAAAGCGGCGATGAAGACGATGACGATGACGACAGAGAGGATGACCAGGAAGACGCCGACAAAGACTACATTCTATCTGACCCTGAGTCGCTTCATATCCCTCCAGTGTTGCCTCCTTATCGCGGAACCTCTAACGAACGCCCCTGTCGACCATCTACGCCCCAAGACTTTGGCCGTCTATTCCCTTCACTGGACCGACTTGCCGTACGCCATGACGATTGTACTTCGGACGGCAACATGAATCTCCGTGTCGATACCGTTGTTCCTTTTGGACATACACGACGCACGCTTGCGGTCCAGCTATTCCACCTGCGCATGCACGATCTGGCTCGCCGAGAGTTTTCTCTTCGCCGTTACTGCCGCGACTCTGGTCGAGAGGTTTGCAACTCTAAGCGTGCATATGCTCCAGCGCCGACCAGTACTGTCGCTGCAGCACGACCTGTCCTCCAAAGGTCAATGAGCTCCGCTATGCGGACGATGGCTACCCCATTTCACCGACCAACCTCTAGCAACTCTTCAATCTTCAAGTTCGGCAATGGTACCAACGCTTCTACAACTTCTGATAACGCCTCCGTATGGTCCGGTTCGCATCACACGGAGAAATCAGACTCACCAACGCCTAAACCCAAGGCACGAATGGTACCTACAAACCGAATCAAGCTCGAGTTCAGCAACTATGCTCGCGTGGATATTGCACGACGAGGTGGACGCACCAACAAGCGATACGAGTTTGAGTGGTGGGGTCACACATACGCCTGGAAGCGTGTAATTGACAAGAACCTCAATGTTGTCTCATTCCACCTCGTCCGAGATGGACATGGCGCACCCGTCGCTCATATCGTTCCTGAGATGCGAAGTCCCAACCAGATTCTGGACGATGAGATGGCTGGAGCTTGGGTTACCCCTTGCTACATCTGGATTAGTGACAGTAGCATCATCGATGCCATTACCGACGTGGCTGAGTAAGTTCATGATGAAACTCCTTGATCGTAATTTAAACTAACAGAGCTTTTAGTGTCATCATCGCCACCGGCCTTATTTCCCTGGTCGACGACTGCATTAAGGAGCGATGGCAAGCCAAGAAACCCTCACACCGAGCTATCCGCAGGGACACTGGCGATGTCAACCACGCAAACCCTCGCTCGTTTATGCACAGCTTCTTCCAGCGACGCCACTCTGAAGAACACTCTTCAAGCCGTGGCGCATTAAGATTTGGACGCAAGCCCGTCGCTGCGTATTAAAGGCTAAGCGACATCGGAAATAATATCGAACACACCTGATATTCCCTATACGAACCTCTATGGAATCGTCATTAGTTCTATTTCAGAATGGATACTATATGTTGGTATAAGATCACGACTTTCATCTACTTTTCTTGTTTTAACATACCTTTTATCCCGTCACGAACAGACGGACATGTACATATTTGGACTTTTTCTTGTTTTGTTATCTACTGCACTCACCCACCACAGACTGGTTGGGCTGTGAGGTTTTTGGACGGGCATTTGCGGGATAAGAAACATCATCCCCACGATTACAGCATGCGAGGCGCTTGGGAGTTTTTGGATAGGGCTATGAGAGATGGGAAAGCCCAGCTTAGGATTGATGATCTGGCCTGGCTTGGTATTAACCGGTGTCTTTGTTTACCCCGGATTGGACTACGCCTCTTAACCCCAGATATGAAAATGGGCATGGCTTGGAGAGAATTGAATCACTACAGAATTATTGGATTGTACGAGACACATACAAAACCAGTTTACGCTATGATCAGGCTAAAGCTGCGCAATTGGGAAGAGATACAATAATGACCTGACACGAAGGCGAAATTGACAGATTTCTTGGTGATACTGCGCAAATTTTTCTTGCAGCTGCATGTCTACTTGGTCCATTGGTATAACTCAATGCTTAGTCTCCTCCATCCACTCAATTGGGTGAGATAAAGGGAAGAAAAACCCTCATCCACCCCCATCTGCAACCCCTGTCAAGCCAGCTCGAGATGCATCGGGGGACGTGGGAATCGTGCCATCCGTAACGCCACAGATGCGGGGGAAACGTCCGTCTCTTTTTCATTTCTGCAGACGTGCCTTGGCATGAGAAAGTCTGCCATTGACGTCCATGTAAGTCTGACCAGCTCGTTATCCTATCCCACGCGATAATCGTAGAGACGCCAGAAGCGGTCGAGTTACAGCTGCTCGACATCATCGTGGCCGTCTGCTCTGCCGAACCATGTGCCAAAGTCGAGCTTCATGAGCAGACGATTGATGCCACCAACCCGTGCAGCTGTGAAGCCACCTCGTTCCTCTGCATCGTCTGTGTCCCGGGCTCTGCCGTCGCGCTGATCGTCTTCGTCTTCCTCAGTTGCAGTGGCGGGAGCTGTGTCGCCCTCCCATTCGGCTGTGAAGATGGGGTCAGATTCAAGAGCGCGAAGGGCGGCGACGACATCTTCGATGCCAGAGCGGACACGGGACTCGATGTCGTGAAGACGGCGCTTAACGTCACGCTCTTCAGACTCAAGATCGACAAAGGCATCGACTACGCCGGCATCTGTCTCGAGGTCTATAGACGTATAGATAGCGTGAAGACGATGTAGATGGGCGACGAGGTGATCAATGTGGATGAGGAGGTTATATAGAGGTTGAGTAAATGTTGGCTGAGTGAGAAGCAGACGATGAATGAGAGTACGAAGGTATAGGCGATGAGCTGTTGAAAGAGTTTGAGGATCTTGGGGAGGCGTTGAATCTCGTGCTTTGGGAGTACCATCTTGAGCTGTAGGCTTGTCATTTTCATTGCCTAGCCATAAGTCATCATACTCTTCCCCATCTGTATCAGCACCCCCTGATTCATCTTGTAATTTGGTTGGTGTTGGTGCTCTAGACTGCCCATGCTTGGGGTCATTGGCTGTCAGCCACTCATGGAAGCCCTCCCATAGCCCAGCAACAATCTCAGTCTGGAGATATGCTTCTGTTTCTGCTAGGAAGAATATGGCAGCACTTGCAGTTGTCCAAGAGCTACGCATTGAAGACGACCGAGACGTCCATCGCTTTCGAAGAAGGATAATATGTTCCCGGTCACCTTTTGCGGTTGGATATTGACGTCTCAAGGATGTAATCTTCCAGAGATCCGTAAGTCGGATGTGCGCTCTGCGCATTGATAGTAGATAGGCGTTGATACAAGAGTATATCTGTATGTCTGATGGTGACAGTACCATATCCAGTGGTGGAGGAATCTGGATGGACAGCAAAGACGGGACAGAGAAAAGGAGGTTGCGAAAAGGCGACTCGGATAAGAGGCTTGCAGCATCACGGCTGAGACCTGAACCTGAGCCAAAATTCGTAGTCGCCTTGCTCTTGGTGAGATTTAGTCGTAAAAGGTCCCGAGCAAGCTCAAGTTGTTCATCTTCCTCGGCATGTTGACCCTGCATAGATGCTAGAACAGCCCATGTCCTTGCGAGAACCGCCGCAACTTCACCCTCTTTGACCGTCACGTTCTTTAGGCCGTCACCCTTTTCGTAAGCCAAGTTATCTGCTCGCCTCCAACGACTGCGTATTTTTTCATCTGCCTCGTGGGTTAACTGCATTGCAAATTCACCACGACCGAGGAGGAAGAAATCTCGCAATAATTGTAGCATTTCCGTCACCTTGGCTAGCGGGAGGAGTTTTTGAAGCGTGTTTTCGGATAGAGATATCCGGACTGCAATGATGGCTCTCGAGAAGCTGGTGCTTTTTAGTGGGAAGGAGAGGCTGGATAATTCTTGAAGCTTTGATGACAGGTGATCTAGGCCACGAAGGCCTGAGTCAACGCTGCTCTTGACTCGGATGTGATTCAAGGATTTTCCAATGAAGAGCATGGATGAAGCTGTAGCTGGTGTCACGAAGGCTGGCAATAGACTGGACCGTGATATATACTCCTGCTTCCGTTAGCAATGTTTTGCAAAGGCGCCAAACAAGACCTACTTCTTCGGATTCTTCGACCTTCTGGACGAAGAAATCATCACCTCCAAAGCTCGGAAGTCTTCCGTATAATATCCAAGCAGAAACCTGTTTCAGCCATGCTGTTTCTGCCACCGTAACAAGACTCATAGCCGTCTCTTGAACATCCCTATACCCACTCTGCAGCTCAAGTCGTAGACGATCCATGAGCTGAGCACCGTGGCATGTCTCCCCCTTCTTATTCTTCGCAAGCATAAACTGCACCATCTCCCAAAGCCACTCCATCCTCCTAGTCCAGTCCTTAAACTCGCCTATCACCGCCGTCAACGGCACAATATTATAAGCTCCCACAAGATCCGGGTCATCTTGTAATATGCTCGCCTCGACATCGAGAACTTTGCGCTGGAAGGCTGCTAGATGTATGGAGTCTATGGCTGTTGCGACGGCTCGGCAGATGGTCGAGGGGTGCGAGTTCGCTACTTGGGCCGTGTAGCTGATGAGTTTGATGTGGACGTCGCTGAGGTGGGCGGCTGAGGCGAGGAGTTGGCGCTCGGCTGGTGATACGCCGGAGAGGGCATGAGGCTGAGACGCATCGGTTCGTAGGAGGGGGGAGGGATGTCCCGAGAGGGAGAGTAGGATTTCGTGGAGCATGACTGTGGTTCTGGTTCGGAGCTTGGTATAATTAGCGGTGATGCTTTATAGGACGATAATGGTAGGAAACGTACCGATCCTGAGCCTTTCTTAACCTCATAGAATTCCCGATATCACGTAAGGTAATTATAATAATACCAAGAAGCTCAAAGCGGCACATGAACCAAGCAGTCGTGCGTCTGGTATGTATTGTTGATGATGTTGATCCTGAAGATTTATCCAAAGCTCCAAATTTGAGCCTTGACAACCAATCGCGGGCGTTCAGCCAAATCCAAGCTCAGACGGAAAGGCTTCTCGTTTATTGTGACTATTGAGCTCTTTAGGCTTTAACATAGCGCGACATTGATGAGAAGAAATCAATATTTTATCGAATCCGAGGTGAAGCTCCAAAGAGCGCGACGCGAAGGTCGTAGCTGCCCCGCGATCTACCGTGAACTTGATAGTTCATACTGTGCTGCCGACTCACTTACACCAGTGTCCAAACCTCATGTTTAACACTATTCGCCACAGCTCAATTGAAAGGTTTCTACTCAAATCTTACAGCTTTTCAGAACTAATAAATGATCGATCCGCATTACCGCCCAGCAAAGTGTTCAAATAGACCACACCAAATCAAGTCACAAGTCTTCGCTATTCCGATATCGTCACCACTCAGTAATGTCCCTTGGCAGGCTTCTTGCCATTGGGATCATATCCACTGGCGACACTCACATTATCACCATATGTGCTGTGTGAGCCCTGACCATTGCCCTCTCTTGTCTCGAAATTAGGGTTGTTATCAGTACCTCCCACGATGATCTCACCACCACCCTTGACCTTGCCAACTACCATGCCCTTAGCAACACTCTTGAGGATGGCACGTCGAGATACACCTGTCACATCAATGTAGACGAGTCCCACGTTCTTAACACCGCCGCCAAGATTGCGCGACAACTCACCAGCCTCCTCACCCCAGCGGTGGCCGACAACAGTTGTCACGCTGGATGATGTGCCGGTGAGTAGATTGCGACCGGCTTGCTCAATACCGTCAACGACAGTATTGAAGGCCATCAAGCTCTTGTTCAGAACACCTGGTTTGTAGGTATCGATCGCATTACCGTCCTTGTCATAACCTCTGGCTCTACCATCTTTGCGACGAGTGACAGTTGCACCCAGGTTCTGTGCCATGTTGCCGATAGTGCCCACAGTGGTTGCCGAAAATGTGGCTGCTTTGTTAGAGAAGTTGTTGATCCGGCGAATATGCGCATGCGTTGTAGGTGCAAATGTCACAGGCTTGGCGAGAGGCTTTGTGTTCTTGGTGAAGTTATCGGCTTGGCTCTGAAGGGTTCTAGAGACAACATCGGAAGTTGTGACGATAAGGCGAGATGCCTTGCTTGCACTATTCACAATGGTTGACTTTTTATAGGCAGGGTGCATGTCCATCTCAGCCCATGGCTGCGACACAGGCTGCACAGAAATGTTCTGGCCACCATCGGTAGGAAGAGCAATCTCGACAGGTTCTGCGCTAATGTCAGCAACCTAAAGCATGAGTATCAATTTTGCAGTCCATACCTTTGGAACCGGGTTTGATTTTGCTGTCTTCCACCACTTGATAGCTATCGGTCAACTCACCAAGGACGCTGCCGTCTTCCTCATCGATAAGAACAATCCTGCCTCCAGTATGTGAGCTATGGCTACCCTGGACATAACCTTCTCCGGGGTTATAGTCAGCCGGGTTGTAAGCGGGGAGTTGCTCGCCAGCTGCTTCGCGCGCCTTAGCTTGGGCCTTCTCGGAGGGTCTTGGAGGCTGAGGAGGAGCTGCTCGTTCAAGGAAAGCAGTGCACTGGGCGAGGATGGTCTCGAAAGTATCGACATCTTCCTGAACACCCGGCCTGGAGTTGGTGGGAGGGAATTCGATCCTGGTGAAAGCGCCGCTATCGGGGCCGAGATCCCAGCGAGGAATCAAATAGCTCGTAGGTGGTTGGTGGTAGATCTGGGTCGTAGCGGGAAGAGGGAGGTCGAGCTCAGGAGGCAGGTGAAGGTGCAGGTAGAAGTCCTCCTCGCCATCAGAGCCGCTGCCTGAAGGTTCGACAAAGCCAGATGAGGTCGGGACCATGAGGAGGGACAGGGTCTGAGGTCCTGAGGGAGTGAGGGACTGCTCTTTGCCATTTGTAATGTGATAGGCGTTGATGCCCTCTACAGCGTAGAGGAGCTTCGGATCCTATTCGAGATTTTGTCAGTATCATGAGTGGCGGCAAAGGGAGAACGTCATGGGCATGCCATGATGCGCCTGAGGTGTATTCTCGGACTTACATTATGTCCAGAAGACATGTTTGCGATTACCTGGTCTTGGTATGAATGGAAAAAAGATACAATCTTGGTACTACGCAATACAAAAAGAAGAACAAGTTTAGGACAACGAGTAGAAGACAAGAAAAGGGGAGAGTTGTTGAAATCCTGGAACTTGGAAGGTCGCAAGACGTTATGTGATGGAGGGGTCGGGTTCAGGTTCAGGTTTATGTTTAGCAGCTTATGACAACAGCAGCATCATTCGATCCACCAGCAAGAAACACAATTCAAGACAAGCGCGGTGCGCGTCAATGCAATGCGACAGAGCTATAACTTGGGCGGCTGTTGCAGGAGCTTGATTTGAAGAGCTGTGTGATCTAGCGTATCCTCATCAAAGAGGGTGGGCGTCTGTCGGCGCTTAAATTCGTGCGGTGAGAAGCTCTATTGACGAGCTGTGAGGCCTCTTGAGGCGATCGACGTCATTCATTGGTTGGGGGGAGCAAATGATCCTGGCATCGCGGTATCGCCACTCACTGGGGAGTGACACTGTTCTAGGTCTGGCCATTCTGAGTCAGTTTTGAGTCTAGGGAGTAGACACATGAAAGAGGATATTTTCTTTGTTGGGGTAAACACTGTCGTCTCATGATGGGATCAAAAGACAATTTAGAGGTTGATTGCGTGTGCACATGGGCGAAGCACTTAAGCTTAAAGTCCCTGGCTTTTGCTTCAGAGGGTCCAGACTCTCTTGGAGTTTAGTCCATCTTGGCGTTGTAACGGGGCATGGATCTTGATGGCAGTCGGCAATTGGCAGTGACATTCAGGAGCTCTTTGGGAGGCAGCATTTTGCCGTCCAACATAAAAATTGCCCACGCGAATATCGAGGCGCATTTCGGGATTATGATGAACCGAGTTTGTTTTTGACTTTGAGAGGCAACATCCATGGATCTCTTTGATAGAAGATGTGTTAGGTAATCAGTCTATCTGGCTTAAAGGTGATTGAAGCAGGTTGCGAAAAAAACCAGGTCACTTATCAAAGAGTCTGCTAGCTTTTCCCTATAACAACCTTTGACGTGTGTAAGCATTTTTATCGCCTGGGATCAAAGCTGTTCTCTTTTGACCTTCTTCAACGTCCCGTGTCCGCCTCCGTGCCCACAGCTCGAATTTGTCTCCCGTCCCCATAACCCCATAGACTTGTTCCCGACTTTTCAGCCCTCAATGTCTTTTGATGATGGGGTTCCGTATGGATACCCAAAGCCAGATTTAAAAGTCTGGAGCGTCTTGTAGTTGGATATACATTGGTAATAAATTGCTGCTCTCATTTCAGTTGCCAGTTACGGTCATCATGCTATGACTCGGCCGAAGAAGCTACGGAGGCTAATCCGATCCAGCACTCATATTGGATGTACTTCCATTTGCCCTTCTACATTCATTCTGTGTCGATATATTTCCAGCTCTGATAAACTACCACGGCTGACCTGGTAGATATATAACTATACGGGTCGATAGTTGAACTCAAATATGCATCGACCTGTAAGGTATTGTAGCGGCATCTGGGAACTATCAACGGAGAATTGAGGCTCATCCACTTCAATTCAACATCGAGACCCCCACTCAGGCTAAGAAGACGGCCGGCGGCGACTGTCTCTTTTATCATGTTGTTTTACCCCATCATTACGTAGCGATATATTCTCCATATCTTCAACCCCATATAGTTCCCACATCGGCGTACCTAAACCTCCAAGGACCCCAGCGGCGACTTGGCCCCAAAAGTTGTTCTTCGTTGGATAAATCTTGTTCCTGAGCAATTCCAACGACATATGTCGGAAGAGTTGCGCAAGAACACGCGAGTCAGCTATGAGGAACACAATGAGGAACTCAACTCCGCTAACAAACTGACGAGTCAAAGTAATTTGAACTGTCAATGTGTCTGTCGTCACTTATAAGTTCGTCTTGGACGTTTAAAGTTGCGCGATCCTTGAGGCTCTGCTACAGAAATGTCAAACTCGGGTTTACGGCTACAGACACTCGGAATTGACACACTAATTTAGTTTTCCCTGCTTTCCTAGCGTAACCGGCGCCTTTCGATAGACATATTTCCGTAAAAAGTCCTGTTTCGGCGCCCTCAGACTACATCTCCAGCAACAGTGAGAGCAGGAATGGATCCATGATACCTTGTCTAGTAGCTTCTCGCTTGTCACTTTGCCCAGATTTATGCATTTCCGGCATAGATATTACCATGCCAGGACTAGTTAATCGGGTGCGTGGACCGATGATGGGATCTCATAAGTCGGCTTGACAATATGAAAGTCGGCCCGGGGATCTCATTTCGTCTTCCTTTTCTATATGCAGCTTGCGATCCTTGTTAGATCAGTAGTACCCTGGGCTTAGTTTTACATAAGTACTAATGTAGCCCATTCAAAGTGTCGGCTTGCCAGTTCTTTCTTCGTTATTTTACATTGATGAAATCTTCAAAGTTGACGCTTTCTTGACATATTGTTCCTCCTTCTCAGGACCTTTGCTCAAATAACCGTCTTTATTGACTTCTGAAAAGAGGTCGTCAAGTCTCTGATCTAACTCTGCACAAGAAAGACAGCTCTGTAAGAGCACCGAAATCGGCAAAATAGCTTCTCAGCTCCGCATTCAGTCTATACTCTCACCTACGGACCCAGAGGGTGACAAAGAATCCAACGCATCTCCAAAAGCTTCAATAACTTCGAAAAGAAAGCTCGAAGAATTATCCTCAGCCCAAGAGGGCACGTCACCGGCGTCAATCTGGCATGCTCAACATGACGAGCAGTATAGACCTGATGCCGGTGATGATAACTCTCCGGGTAGACTCACGCCAGCCACCTCTGATGAGAAAGCTGGAAGGAGAGGATCACGAATAAAACAGCCGATTCGATCTAGCATTGCTTGTCTGCGATGTCGAAGATCAAAGATCAAGTGTGACAATGATGGAGGCAATAGCCCGTGCGACACGTGTGTTAAAGGAGGACATCAGTGTCAATATCCAGAAGCAGTTCCTCCTCCGCCAAAACGAAACGATTCCCCTCCAACAGGGAAGCCCGAAAAAGAACCACAGCAGGAGAAAAAGCGAACCAGGAAGGGAGATGATATACCCAAATGGAGCAGCAAAAGATCAGCCGTATACGCAGCCGAAGTTCTCGCATATCCCTTTTTAACGACGGAACTATGGGATCAGTTGCTCAACATTTACAAACTACACTATGCCACAGAATTACCTTTTCTTCACTTGCCATCTTTGAAGGAGAAAATGAGCAGTGGATCAGTCCAAGGAAAAGATTATTCACCAGAACTGAACTTGATCCTGCTTGGTATCTTGATGCTTACAGCCCGTTTTCATCCCGATCTGGTACGGTATGTAACACATTTACCAAGTCAACATGGCACAAATATCCGATCTTCCGCCTCCAAAACCAATTCAGGACCGTTGTACGCCTCGGACTTCTTTGCCACTGCACTCACAACAGCTCTGGGCCCGCTAAGGACAGTCATGGGTACTCTCACAGTTGAAAGAATACAGTCTTTCCTGATGCTTGGATTATTCGAATGGAGTCAAGAGAATGCCCCGAGTGCTTGGATGTATCTTGGGATAGCCATTCGCATGGCCGAGCTGATGAGGCTAGAGCAAGATGACCGGCGAATGGCTATACTGGAAAACCAGGCATCCGACACAAAAGGATTCGAGAAGAGGTCACCAGAGATTTCGATAATAAGAGAGACACGTCGACGGACAATGTATAGCTGTTTCATTCTTGATCGTCTGATGAGCTTCGGGAGCGAGCGACCGCTAAGCATTGCAGTCGAGAGCATGTTGATCCAGTTGCCATGCTCTGAAATGGCTTATGACCTGTCTCTTGAAGTCTACACTGGACTATTACAACCATACGGAGGATCGAGTCAGCCTCAGATCAACGATGATAGCACGTTGAGCCGATTTATCAATTTGGTCGAAATATGGGGCGAGATTTCGAGGTACATTTCGATGGGTGGCCGGTTACAAGAAACGTATCCCCCGTGGGACCCCAGGTCGACTTTCTACAAGTTACGAGAGAAGACAACTGCGTTCAACGAAGACCTACCTGGCACTTTCACATTATCTCGGCAGAACTACTACCGACATGATAACCACCAGGCTACCAGCACCTATGTGTCTCTACATATGCTGGCTTCAATTTGTCAAATTGTTCTCAACCGGGAATATCTCCCGTTTCTCCCCCTGCGATCCCGCGGGCCTCAGGGACCTCCCATAGGCAACCAAACTGTACTCAACTTTGCACCAGATCGATTCTGGGAAGAGAGCGCAGAAGATGTTTTCCAAGCATCCCGTAACATCATCGACCTGGTTGGTCTCTGCAAGGAGAAGCTGCCTCTGTCCTCGCTGTCAATATTCTCTATCTGGCTCGCTGGGTTCATGTCTGTCTATGCTCACCATTTCCCGCAGATTGATACGAGCCATCGATTGGGTGAACAGGCTGAGAGCCCCCATATGGGAGAGAATTTGAGTATGCTTGAACAGGGACAGGCTGGGACAGTTTGTCAGGCATTGCGAAGAGCCGCAACTTACTTGCCCAGCGCTCAAAGATACCTGGATAATCTTGAGGCGGTAGACCGGTGTTTTACACAAGCAAAGAACTCGACGCATGGATCACTAAGTCTTAGGCTTGGCGAAGTTGGCCACGGTAGCGAACTCAACCAGACAGGATCGCAAGATAAACAACGACGAGGAGTATACGATATGCATCGCACAAACAGAAGCCCTATGTCAGCGTCTCCGAAAACGAGAAACTCACACCGGCCCATGCTGGAAGAACCCCCCAAACCCACCTCTTCAACGTCAAAGAGTCAACTCTCGCTGCTGGGGATTGACGAAGGACCGCTGGCAATGGATACACCGAAGATCTTCGTGGACAATATTGAGGCCTTGGAGTCGCAACGGATGAGTTGGGTATTGAATGATCTAGAGGCCTTCTCGGGCGCAGGATCATTAAGGGTTGCCTTCCTGGGATAAATAGATGCTCGTTTTGGAGTTCTGTTTGGTATTTCGATACGGCGAATCCGTGTATAATGAATTAACGGTCAGAATAGAGGTTATGGGATGATTATTTGGGCGCATTTCAGGTAGACTGGCGGTAGTAGCATTGACCTTTTGGCATCTGGCATTTTATATACCCCTGTGCAACGAGTGTATTTATAGCATGTAAGATGAATCAAGTGAGTTTTCGCAGTGAAGCTTTGATTCAAGGTAATAGAGCGTTGAGACTCAGGCAGGAAGCATCTTGACATCAAGCGAGAGCAAGTCTGCCAACATATGCCTTCCCTGGCTGGACCTTCTAAGAACAGTCTGCAATCAGTCGATTCTCATTCATAATCAAGGGACCTTTCTTTCTTCTCTCCACTCTCAACACCATAGACAGACATCCAATGCTTGGATGTGATATGAAATCCTTCCACAAACAAATATTGACGTACCGGTCCGAATCGCATAGACTCGGTACACAACTGACGTTACCGCTGAGAAATAAGGCGGTCGCCCGGCTTTCAATTCGGCAATACTGATCACTCATCATTTCCGATGCTTCGAGGTTACACGACAGCAAACTTTTAACGAGCCCGCTTACTTATAGCATGACGTCCGGATCAAGTCACTAATGGATCGCCAAGACCGGCAAATGCAAGTCACTGCGCCTAGTGCTCACCCCTTGTCTGCTGCTTCCAAATCCAGATGTCTTAGTGGACAGCCAAGCTACCAAGAGGGGCCTACAGCTGGCATCTGCGGCAGCTTCGCGGGGTTCCTCGCAAACCAGCTTCAATAAGTCCCATCTTATCGAGATATGAGCGAATCCCGTCCCATGTACAATCGACAACAGACAAGTCGATGACCCGTACAAACCGGTTTACGAGGCAGGGCTTACATATGTACAGTACTTTGCTTCTTGCGGCTCAAAGCAAACCTGTACCGAGGTTCTGCAGGGAATCGATTTGGACAGGCTAAGGTACCTTGGCTGAGCAGAGACAGCCCAAGGTACAGATCTCCGTTGCTTCAAAACATCTGGGGTAAGCTCTCAGATCACGCAACATAAGGCTGAAGTTCCGAAACACCATGCAAGACGACGAGCACCATTTATAGACACTTAAAGCCCCAATATCGACTGGAACATCTGGTTCCAACGTGTTCTTCTACCGAACGATCGCCTCTCGACCCATCAAAGCTCAAGCTCAGACCTGGCCTGGTGAGCTTCCACATCGACATCACCTCCCACGCGCGTGGGGCGTGGGGCTTGACTCTCGTGATTGATTTGCCAGTTCTTCGTCTCTCTCCCACCTTCGCTCCACAAGTGCTGATGTCTTCCAGTTTGAGAATGCATGCCATGACAAACTTATTTCAGAATTGTTCACATGGAGAAGGCAGTAGGTCGTCAGTACATACGTAGCCTACATCCGCCGCGCCGAAGCTTGTGTGAGGAGGGCCATTTGCTTTCTTTGAGGCACAGCCGGCTTCCCCTTGCGATCCAAGTGGACCGTGGTTCCTGGCACAGAGTCTCATCGTTAGACTGTTCGATGTTATGACGATTCGCTGAACTAAGAATAGTGTACCATCCCCCGCGTTGTTTGGATATCCTGCCCGACCGGTTCAATCAAGCCATGAGGAGTCGTCCGAGCTATTCTCCACTGGGGAGGCCAAAGTGTTCAGGTACCTTGGAGCTATTGAGATGGTGGGAAGACTATTAACAAGAGCCACGCCCTTTGAGACGATTCTTGTTGCAGCTTATAAACCATATATTCCCCGTCCCTCTGCATCTATCAAACATCAAACCCCGACCTGAAGCCATACTTTGTTTGTTAAACCTGTGTTTGCTTTGCAATGCCTTCCATCACAGCGTCTTCAGCTACTCCTCAAAGGGTAAAGCCGACGACCGCCAAGCCATCATCAGCTTTGCCCAGTATTATTGATATCCGTGGTGAACATGTCGAAATCAACCTGAAAGACCAAATTGCTTCTATGTTTAACCCTGACGAGGGCCCAAGGAAGCTTCCAACCCTTCTTCTATATAACGAGAAGGGGCTACAGATATTCGAGGACGTATGTTGATTCTGTTGAGAGATCCCCGTTGCTGTTACTCATACTACTCCAGATCACGTATCTGGATGAGTATTACTTGACAAACTATGAAATTGAGATCCTGAAGAAGTCCTCTGCGGAGATCGCCAGTCAGATCCCAGAGGGTTCGATGGTGATTGAGCTGGGAAGCGGGTTGGTCAATTTCCCCATGACTTGAGACATCATTCACTAATTGTGAGAAAGAAACCTTCGCAAGGTCTGTCTCCTTCTACAGGCATTCGAGGAACTTAAAAAGCCCATCCAGTATTTTGCTCTCGACTTATCTCTCAAAGAGCTTGAACGGACTCTGGCTCAAGTTCCTGAGTTCAAGTATGTCTCATGCCATGGTCTTCATGGTACATACGATGATGGGAGGGAATGGCTCAAGCATCCTTCTCTCACGAGCCGCTCAAAGTGCATTATCCACCTCGGCTCCAGTATTGGTGCGTCTACACCGGTCGTTCAAGTTTCAAGGTGCTAACGTGAGAATTACAGGCAACTTCACCCGAGACGGCGCAGCTGATTTCTTGGGAGGGTTTGCAGAAGTACTCACACCATCTGATTCCATGATCGTTGCTGTAGACTCTTGCAGCAACCCGGCACAGGTCTAGTAAGTCAACGATGTTGCTTGTTGTAAGCAATACTAACATCTGTATAGCCATGCATACAACGGTACGTTGCAATTCAGCGCTGAGCACACAATTCGATGTTAATGCCGCAGTTCTCTAATACAGACTCCAAGGGGGTAACCCATCAGTAAGCTGATTGGCTCTACCTGGTTGATTGGAAACTGACATCATGTAGATTCGTTCTGAATGGTCTCCAAAATGCCAATGAGATCCTTGGTGAAGAGGCCTTCAACACGGATGAGTGGAGGGTCGTCGGTGAGTATGTCTATGACGTTGAAGGTGGAAGACATCAGGCCTTCCTCTCTCCCACCCGGCCAACGGATGCTCTCGGATCGAGAGTTTTGCCTCATGAGCGCATAGAGATCGAGCAAAGCCTCAAATATTCCGAAGCAGAGAAGGACAAGCTCTGGAAACTTGCAGGCTTGACCGAGATGGGTCGATGGAGCCGGGGAGACGAGTATGGTAGGTCACATTCTCTTATGATACATGTCCCACCTAAAACACGCGATCAGAGGCCTTTGGGTCATGCATCCCCGGACTACCCCGCGAATGGTACCAAAGGAGGGTTTCCCTTTCCAGCTGAGCCGGCAGCATGAGTCCAAACTCGGGAACGGACCCATATGACGTGGGGGTACATGCTCCAAGCTGAAGTTATATCGAGAATACAGGGAATCTGGTGACACGAGACTAACAATTCTTTAGGCCTTCATTTTCTGCAAAAGTCCAGTATGCCGTTCAGCCGGATCCCTTCTCTCTACGCCGCAGAGCCACTACCAACAGTCCAAGACTGGAAGGCACTTTGGAAAGCATGGGATGTAGTAACCAAGGATATGATGCCAGATGAAGAGCTCCAGGAGAAGCCAATCAAGCTACGAAATGCATGCATTTTCTACCTTGGTCATATTCCGACCTTCCTCGATATCCAGTTGACCAAAACGACTGGCAATGCCCCAACTGAACCTGCAACCTACTACTCCATCTTTGAGCGAGGTATTGACCCTGATGTGGATAATCCAGAGCATTGCCATACACACTCTGAAATTCCTGATGAATGGCCGTTGGTTCAAGAGATCATGACCTACCAAGACAGGGTCAGATCTCGTCTTCAGAACCTGTACAAAAATGGCCAAGACAAAATTTCTCGAGATATTGGTCGAGCTATATGGGTTGGCTTCGAGCATGAGTTGATGCATATCGAGACCCTGCTCTATATGATGCTCCAGAGTGACAGAACGCTTCCACCTCCGCATACCGTACAGCCTGATTTTGCAAAACTGGCTCAGCAAGCACATGAGGCTAGGGTTCCTAACCAATGGTTTGATGTACCTGAACAAACCATCACTCTGGGAATGGATGATCCCGAGGATGGTACTGATAATTCGCGCCATTTTGGCTGGTAAGTCTAAATCGGTATGCTTATTTAAGGGTCAATCGTGACTGACTTTATCGAACAGGGATAATGAGAAGCCTGCGCGACAGACAAAAGTCCATGCCTTCCGAGCTCAGGGCAGAGCTATCACCAATGAAGAGGTATGTGCAATTCGTCTTCGAGGTGTCTTCTAGTCCTAATCAAAGTCACAGTATGCCCAGTATTTGTACAACTCCAAGATCGAGCATATCCCAGCCTCATGGTCTTCCGTTACAAACGCTCACACAAACGGCGCCACTAACGGCAGTCATGCCAATGGAAATTCGAATGGTTACTCTAATGGAAATGGCCACCACGCAAGCCAGGTCCCGGATTCATTCATTCAGGATAAGTTTGTCAGAACGGTATATGGTCTAGTTCCTCTCAAGTACGCTCTTGACTGGCCTGTCTTTGCTTCTTACGACGAGCTCGCTGGTTGTGCAGCATGGATGGGCGGCCGTATTCCAACTTTTGAAGAAGCTAAGAGCATCTATGCGCATGTTAACAAGCAGAAGAGAGCCGAGGCCGAGCGCACCTTATCAAAGACGGTCCCTGCAGTCAATGGGTAAGTCCATCGAAATCGTTTACTCTTCCAAGAATAATAAGTGGCAGTCACCTTGTCAACGACGGCGTTGAAGAGACCCCGCCATCCAACTCCTCCGCTTTGGTCAAGGATAGCTCTTCCGAGCTATTCTTTGATCTTGCGGAAGCCAACGTTGGTTTCCGTCACTGGCATCCTATGCCGGTTACTTCCCGAGGCAACAAGCTTGCGGGCCAGTCGGAGATGGGCGGCGTCTGGGAATGGACGAGCTCATCACTTGATCGACATGAGGGTTTTGAGCCCATGTCGCTCTATCCTCTCTACACGACTGATTTCTTCGATGGCAAGCATAACATCGTCTTGGGTGGTTCGTGGGCCACACATCCACGCATTGCAGGACGAGCTAGTTTCGTCAACTGGTACCAGAGGAACTATCCCTACGCATGGGTGGGAGCCAGATTGGTCCGAGATGTTTAGGCATCTAGACTAGAGCATTTGTTCCTATATATACGAATGGTTTCATGTTATAAACGAGCCGTTGGGACGGATTATGAACTACTGGAGTTCGATTATTTATATGGGCCCAGGTTGCTACGAGAGGAATCTGAAGGAGGATAGTCACTCCCTGAGGAAGCAAATGTATTATTCATGTCCATCTCTATTTTACTCCTATGTTTTGAACTCCTTACCGAAACCAGCTACTCTGTGATGATAGCAAATGTTGTCTCTTGCAACGTCATGCCTTAGGATATCAATCATTATGTATATCCGTTCCAAATTTCAGGGTGACACTTGTGAAATCAGCCATAATAAGGAGTTTTCATCCTGTTCCCAAACCGTCATGAGCTCATGTTTCGTGAAGGCTCTTGATAATAGTGCAATTGTTCCAAATAATTAGGTCAATGAATGAAAACACACCATTCTGACTCTAACATTAGAATGGACGCGGCGCTGCCAGTGCTTTGACCATTTCTCTCAACCGTTGAGACTACCATAGATATCGAGAAGCTGCTCAAACACATAGCCAGGAAGCTTAATCCCATTCTCTGTGATGAGCTTGGAAATGAGGTCAGGGGGCTGTTTAATTCGTTAGCGACTCGATCGAGAGCTATGGTTTGGGAACCACATACGGTAAAGTCGACAGCATCGACTATATCCTTACTCTTGTTATCAACACTGAAGTCCAGGATTTCCTGCTTAAAGCCAATATCCCGTTGATCCATGACAAACTTGCGCGCAAACTTGTGTGTTTCGGCAGCAACGTAGAACGGGAGACCAGCTTGAGCAGCCAGCTTAGAAAGCTGAAGTGTACCCATTCGAGAGATGATACCGCCGTTGGATGTGACAGCCTCAGCACCCACAATCACCATATCGACCTGGCGCAGAAGACCCATGACATAAGCCACTGAAGCCTCTGCGATCTCGGCAACGGGAATACCCTTTGAGCGAAGCTCGCGCACTATGCGATCACTCTCCTCAACACGGGTTTCCTCGCGCACGTAGATAACCTTGAATTTGGCTGCACCGAGGTTCTGCACCGCACGCTCCAGAATTCCAACAACTGATCGCGAGGCGCCGTGTGTGAGAATACATTGGCCCTCGTGAATCAGCCTCCATCCTGCATCTGCAATGCCTTCTCGCGCGGCATTAGCACGCTGGGCAAAGAGGCGTCCGTTTCGGAGAAGATGTTGCCTCACGGCCTCGAAGCTGCCATCCTGTTGACGAAGTGACGAGACGAGATACTGAAGAAAGAGATCGGTTCCGGCGGAAAGGGGTACGGGGTTCGCAACGGAGGCTTTGAGACGATCGGAGTGCGCTTTGACGGTGTCGAGGATCTCGAAAACGGTGGTAGAAGGGTGGGCGTTAAGAAGAGCGATTAGGGACTCGATGGCGGCGACGGGCTTGGTGAGGTATGGGTCTGAAGCAAGAAGGCCTCGATATGTTTCGACGATACTGGCAGATTGTTAGACGAGTAAAGAACAGGTGACTTTGGGGACGGACTCGAAATCCGAGGTTGAAGAAGCCTGAGGTTGCTCAGCCGGAGCAGCGGCTTAGATGAGTTAGCAAGGAGACAGGTGTTCGCAGTATAGAGTAGTTAACCTGTTGTATCGACCGTAGCCATAATAAAGTGTGTGTAAAACGCCGGTGAGTAGGTATTTGGAGTTGAGATGATACTATTCCCAATCCTAGGATCTTTGGAGGGGAATTTTCGAAGCGTTGGTGAGTCAATCAATCTCTCGGAGCTGGTTTGGCGGGGTGAAGTGGGGAGCGGGGCCGAAAGTGACGGCACTGCTTAATTACAGGTCGTTTATAGTTGAAGTCCCCTGTAAGTGCCCCCAAGGATAGAGAAGTGCCTCTCTGATGTGCAATAGCAAGCAGCGTTCTAGATTAAAACGTATCAAGTGTATGCAGTTCGCGTCGAAGTATAGTGCTAGTTTCGTCTGGAAATAAGGTCAACCAGTTGCGTTGCATCGTTCAATAACGTGCTGTAACCTGTTGATATCGAGAGGTCATCATTAAGTTGACTACCCTGCAGCCGCACCCCGAACAAAAGTGCCCCTCGCTACCCCTCCACCGCTTCCGATGTCTACACCCCTCTCTCCGTCTTCACTCCGGACCTCTATAGCTTTTGATTCTTGACACCTATTTATTTCGACTCCAACAGTTCAATTCACTTCGGGACAAGCATATACTAGTCACAAACGGTAAACATAGCTAAGAATGGAGCTCCTCGATCCCGCAACAGGCGCTGCCCTCCCCAACGACGCCATCCAGCGCATTCTCTTCGTCGCCAACGCCGTCCATGTCTATAACATTCCTCCTCTTACTTCTACAAAGGGCTACTCTGCCAGTACATGGACCGCCGAACCACAGCGCCATATCTTCACTGCCCGTCTGCGCGTCGTCGAGACAGCCTACGAATCCGAGTCGTCAACCAACAAGCTCAAAGTGGATGCGGTGCTGGAGGATGCTTCATCAGGTCAACTCTTCGCCGCAGCGCCTTATACCGCTCCCGGTGTTGTAGAGCCGGTCCTCGATAGCAGCCGCTTCTTTGCAGTGACAGTGCGCGATCCGCAGGGTCGAAAGGCTATCCTGGGTATTGGTTTTGAGGAGAGAAGCGAGGCGTTTGATCTGAGCATTGCGCTTCAGGAAGCGCGAAAGGCGCTAGGCTGGGAGGGCGAACAGAGCAAACCGGCTGCGACGAAGGAGAAGGAGGAGCATAGAGATTACAGCCTCAAAGATGGCGAGACTATCACTGTGAGCTTTGGCGGATCAAAGTTCGGTAGGCGCAAACAACAAGATAGCTCATCTGGTTCAGGAGCTGGAGGTGATCTTCAGTCATTTGCGCTACCGCCACCACCTGCTGGACCAAGCTCGTCAGGCGGGTTCTCATTACCACCTCCACCAAGTGCAAATGCTGTTAAGCAGCAGAAGCAATCAGCCAAGGATCTTGGATTTGACGACGGACAGTTTGGAGAGTTTGCTTAAAGGATTTCACGGATAAATTGGTGCATCAGCGATATGATTTGAGAAAAACACACAGTATATACACTAAGACATGCTAAACATTGAACGCCAAATTGATGCTACTAATGGTAAGTGACATGATGATAACTTTGATATTATGGATCGACATGCATGGTCGTTCCGTGGTTTTGTATGACGCTTGAAAAATCAACACATTATCCGGCAACGCCTTTCAAGTGTGCACCAATGAGCCTAAACCTCAGGCCAAGCATTACGAAGACAGGGAAGACTAAGCCGTCTCTCCCTAAGCGCAACAAATCGCTCATCACTCAACTCCTCTCCAAGTTCAGAGCCATAGTCCTTCTCCTGAACGAAGGGTGCCACAACATCAGTTGGAGTTGCTGGGGTGGTCTCGGACTCGGCGCTATCACAGCTAGATTCAGGACCAAAGAGATCCTCTGTGGCCTCTTCGACGGTTTCCAGTCCACACGAGGTCGGCTCCTGGCGAATGTATGGTGGTTCATAGACCTGGTGCACATCGCCAAAGTAGCCCATGGGGGCAAAGTGTTCGGAAGTGCCGCTCAGGGGTGTCAATGGAGTGGTAAAGCCGTAGGGAACGGGACTGAAGCAGACGGACGATGCGACACTAGGGCTTTCGAGAGTCCATCTCTGTGCCCAAGTCTCTCGGCTCTGGATTTCAACATACAGTTCACCAAGGCGGGAGAAGATAGCCTTCTCCTGTTCAGCGGCCTGGTTGACCTTAGACTTCAGCAGAGCCAACTGCTTTCTCAGCTTTCGTCGACCATTGTCGCCCACAAGGCTCTGAAGCTGCAGTTCCACGGCGCAATATTGTCTCATGAGATCTGCAGCTCGGCCAGCCTGCTGCTGGAGACAGGAAGTAAGATACACTCGGTCTGTATAGAGACTTTCAAAAGGTCTGGGCGAAAAGATAAGACGAAAGTTGGTATAGGGCTGTTGATTCACACTCTCTCGTGTAGGACGGCTTTTGGAGCTGGAAGAGCGTCGACGTCTCCTTCGTGAAGAAGGACTGCAAATTGACGGTGTGTCTGGGTGTGGTACATCCGGAAGGGATTGAGGTGAAGGTGGGATAATAGGACATGTTTGTAGCTTAGGGATAGCAATGTTTAGCTCCTCGGGAGGCGGGGTAATTCTTGCATCCATGGGTGGTAGCTGCACCATGCTATGAATTGTTGCAAAAGTTGTATTCATTTTGATAGACTTTGAGTTTTTGTTAATGATAGTAGCAAAGAAGGAATAACCTCTCTGCGAGAAACAGCATCCATCGTTACTAGATATTCATATCTCTCATCCTCCATTTCCTTTCCACCGTGGACAAAGGCCACTGCGAAGAAGGCTATACTGTACATGAGGGGTCTGTTCGCTTTGTCGCTGTGTTCGCCTCAACAAAGCGAAACAGCAAGTTCCGCCGCTTGACCTAGTGATTCTTTGGAAAAAAGTTCTTCTAGTGAGAATCGTTGGTTGTTCCGATGGAACCGTGCCTGGTGGCGACACTTAAAAGTCACCGCCGTAGTTCGTCAATAAGACTGGTCAGTCTTGGCTTTTGGTGGTTTTTCAGTTGGCAGTCAGGAACATGAAAGAGAGGTCGTAGGGTCTAGAACAGCTTGTCATCTGGTTTGCCTTGCTCCATGAAATTGAATAAGGTGGCCAAGCCAGTTGCTTGTTTGAACCAGGAGGTGGCGTTGTTAGTCCCCGTTGTTGGCTTGCATTGGCAGCCTCATAGCAAGGTTTGATTCATTTGCGATGCAACCCAACAGTCAAATGAGAGGCGACTTGCTTCTCATCAGATAGCAAACCCATCGTGGCCCGGTGGGTCATTGAACCGCCATAGCCCAGCCTCTTCTGCGGCTTTCCTGATTGAGGAGATCTCTTGAGCATTGACTGCTCGGTTGATGTCTGCGTATCGGACCTCCTGCTTTTCTTCTTTGCCATCTGACTTTGTTCGCTTTGGTTTGCCGACATGAGCGTCTGGATGATACTGCTCCATGATGTTGATGAAGCAATCTGTAGAGACCTCATTTGCGAGGAACTCCATGATTTCGGCTCCTTCGTCCTCTTTGCCTGGCATAACAAGATGGCGAATCAGCAAACCCTTTTTTGCTATCCCATCTCCGGTGAAGCACAGGTCACCGACCTGAGCGTGCATCACCTTGATGCTCTCTCTGGCTGTTGCAGCGTAATCATCGGCCTTCAATAGCCTTTTAGAGGTGCTTGGCTTCCACACCTTAAAGTCAGCAAGGTAGATATCGACCAATCCATCCATCAGCTGCAGGGATGCAAGAGAGTCAAAGCTTGATGTGTTGTAAACGATAGGAACTGTCAGGCCTTGGTCCCTGGCATGGAGGATACTCAACGCCACCTGCGGGACAACATGCTCAGGCGTAACAATATTGATATTGTGTACTTTGCCAACCTCCTGCAGCTTGATGTACCAGTCACCTAATTCCTCAGGGGTCAAGTCCATCCCGTTTCGCTGATGTGCGATATCGTAATTCTGGCAGAAGATGCACCGCATGTTACACCCGCTCATGAAGACGGAACCACTACCATTGTGCCCCTGAATGCAGGGTTCTGTATAAGTTCAGTCAGAGGCTGAATAGAAGCATATGATACATGACTGAAGGTGAGCTAAGTAGCTGAGATGCAAGGGAGTATCAGATGCAGCGAGCCGAGAGCAAAGAGCAATGGGCAGCAGATGGACTGACCTTCACCAAAGTGGGGAGCGATTGTATTGACTTTCGCCTTCTCTCCGATGAGGCACATGCCTGTCTTCTCGTACCTGTTTACGCCACATTCTCTCGGACATAGATTACAATTGCGAAGGTGAGCATACGCCAAAGAACGCTTCTTGGCTGCGTCGCGGGAACTGAGTGTCATATATCGCGGAACATAGTCGTCAAGGAGGAATGGGGGAGCAAGATGAAGAGAGCGATTGAGTATCTTGGGAGCTATGAAAGTGGTTTTGGGACCATTGACAACCCATCGCCTTGACAATGACAACATCATGGCTGATATCGCGTATTGATCATGGTGACAATTGGTTCATCTTGATTGGTGTTGAGGAAGGTTGTATTTATAGGTGGCTTAGTCATCGCTTCTCCAGGTGGTGGAGGGCAGTCACGAATGGGCAATCTATCGGTTATCTCCCGAACCAGTTCCAAGAGAAGGTGCTTCTATACACTTCTATCCTAAACAAGGTATGCAACATCGAGAGCGTTTGGCAGTTATGATTGACCCTCCCTGGGAATGACTCCAGCAGATAAGTGATTACCCTATAACGAGAGATGAAAAGAACCTAATGGCTATAGTTGCGAGGTATTTGCATGCTAGAATTTTGACCTTGGAGGAGTACGCAAGGCTCGGAATTAGAAGTCTCATCATTCAAAATTCTCTGCGCTTTCAAGTTGGTTGAAGGTCTTAAGTCTGTCATTGTTCGAACTGGCACTCTTACATGAGTTCATCGCATGAGAAGATAACCGAATACAGACACCATACCTGTCGTGATGTTGTGAAATTAGAGGAGAAGGTCACTGATAATTGTCCCTAAAGGTCCAAGGACAGTGAGGAATATGAATACCTCGGTATAGTGGCAAGTTCAGCTTGGGGATGAGTATTGTAGTCCTATCACCAGGTAGAAATAACAGCTAGATCATGATACTACGGTTACAGACACACGCAACAGAGGACAATGGGATTCTAGCCCAATTTAGGACTTCTCTCCTGTTAAACTCTCCTGACAATTCATCGGATAAGATCTGAATGAGTTCCATCTGGCGGTTGTCTGCCAGTGGCAGATCTCCATAATGATTGGAGTGGTGGAAATGTTTGTATTCATAAGCTGTGTTTGTTTGTTTACTCTCCGATTTAAATGAGGTGGCGAGTTTACCGAAGAGCATTCTCTTCACAGCATCTCGAACATTGCCTTTGCTCACTCAACACCTTCTCGTAATCAGGCCGCCTGAGATGCTTTTTGGAAATTCTCTAGTTTGCCTTTCTGGCCCTGTTCTTTCTTCCCTTAGCTGAAAGCCTTCATGTGACCCCAGACAATGCAGATGAACAGCTGCGTAATGTCTATGACTACATTATCGTTGGAGGCGGTACTGCAGGTCTGACCATTGCCAATCGCCTCTCTGGAAACCCAGCAGGTACTTAATGCTGATAGACTCGACGAGCCTCGCTAATGGTGCTCGTAGTTTCGGTCCTGGTTCTCGAAGCTGGTCCTTTGTACGTCTCTCGCAACCCACCAGATCTCAACAGACAAATCGCATTTCAGGGATGACGCGAGAAATCTTTCGATTCTGGAGGCCTTCCTCCTGTCCCGGGCAAAGTCGGGTCAGGTGGATGGCAAAAATACCAGTGGGGGTTGACCACTGAACCCCAGACCTATCTCAACAATCCGAAGGTGGGAATCCCTCAAGGAAAGGCTGTTGGTGGCAGTTTCATCCTCAATGGCCTCTGTTGGTCGAAGGCTTTGCGCAGCTTGGTCTACCCGTTATTGGTGACGTGAACAATGGGACAGCGGCAGGGGCCATGATACTCCCTTCAAGCATGCAACCTGATAATCAGACGAGGTTCGATGCCAGAGAAGCTCACTTTAACTCGGCATCTCGGAGATACCACTTGCACATTGCAACTAACCAGACTGTCACACAACTTGTTTTGGATAGTAACAGTGCACACAACTCAAGTCGGAGAGTGATGGGAGTCGAGGTACGATTAGGTGATACAAAAGATGAGGTGGTTACTAATCCGTATTATAGTTTGCTCCAAGAAACAAGTCCAAGGCGAGATCAATTTCTTGTATCCGAGAGGTAATTGTTTCCGCTGGTGCGATCTTCACTCCCACTTTACTTCAGGTATCGGGAATTGGGCCGTCAGATGTTCTCAAGTCGCTCGACATTTTGGTCAAGATTGACCTTCCTGGCGTCGGATGTAATCTTCAAGATCATCCCATGGTTTATGCCAACTACTATTGTGAGTATTCGTGTCTCATGTAGTACAAGTACTAATGGGTCCAGATCGCAATGAATCATATTTCAGGAGCAATGAGATAGCCGACGGTGTGTATGATGAAGCTGCCGAGGAGTATATACGGAACAGAACAGGTGAATACACATTTCCGAGAGAGATACCCGTTTCTGACAAATTTAGGTCCTTGGACAGCACCTCTCATAAACACGATTGCATTCCCGAGTCTTCGATCTGCAACAGATGACTGGAAACAGTTCATGAATAAGAGTTCGGGGGATGGCATTCCCTCAAATACCCCCAACTCTGTGAAGAAGGGCTACGAATTCCAGAAAAAGATTCTACAAGACCAAATACTCGGCAATGACGCAGGAACTTTTGAGACCATGGCCATCTCATAGGGGCAGTTGACTGTAGCTGCTCAAAAGACCTTCTCCCGCGTCACCGTCCGACCCTCATCATCCTCGATCTTCGACTTGCCAAAGCTGGACCCACGATACTGCTCCGACCCGATCGATTGCGAGATTATTGTTCTTGGTCTCCAAATGAACACGAAGCTGATCCAAACCAACGCCATGAAAGAACTCATGCCCGAAGCGAATCGGTGTTTGATACTACAGATCATCAGACGTTGATGAAGCATGTCATGGAAAAGATCTCGACAGAGAGACATCCTTCAGGGACAGCAGCCATGATGCCTCTTGAACTGGGAGGAGTTGCGGACCCTGAGCTCAAGGTGTACGGCACGTGCAACTTGCGTATTGCTGATGCCAGTATCATGCCCCTGATTCCATCAGCCCATCTACAAGCTAGTGTCTATGGCATTGCTGAGAAGGTAAGATTCCAATAGTTAATTGAAACGAACTACTATTGACAACTGAAACAGGCGGCAGACATGATTAAATCAGCCAAACTGGATTGCCGTATTGGAGAACGACTTCCTTTCCCTCCCAGGTCGCGACCAGCCATTTGATCACATCCATCATGCTTGGATAACACATATAGATCAATCCAAAGAAAATGCTGGCATTCTGGGTTACCAGGGATGTATTCTTCACATTGGACTTGACGCTTTCGGGGTGAAATGGTCATAGATTGCGAATTAGACTAGGTAATGATAATGTAGCATTTCTGCCTGTTCCCAGCATGCTCAATAGAGCGAATTGTCCAACAGATGGAAATAAATGTATGGCTATAATATCATGCTGATAAACTTGGCACATCTAGGACTGTATTTCTCCATCTGGCCAGCTTCTTGTCCGTCAAACTCCAAGACGGAACCCGAACGTCAATTGACAACAAAGAAAATCGACCCTTAATCCTGTGGTTCCTTTCTCACAACCTCCGCGTGTTCTTCATACCAAGCCAACTGATCAGTCATGCGCTTGATCTCTGAATTCTGAACAGCCAATCTGTCCTTCAGCTCAGCCATCTCACGAACCAGGAACTGATTCTCAGACACCAGCTTATCCGCTCTCTCTAGACGCTCTTTGTTCTTTGCCTCAATGGCAGACACCCGCTCTGGCCAAGTTGGAGTCACAATAGATACCACAGTTGGTCTCTCCTCCATGAGTCGTGTGCTCTTCACGCCAGGATGCTGCTCGGCTGCTGGTATGACAAAGAGAGGAGACTGATGGCCTTTGCCCTTGATGCGGTAGAAGCGAGTTAGAAGATCTATAGGGACAATGCCTTTGGCGTAGACTTTGCCGCCTCGTTCCTCGTTCCAGATTCGTTCGCCAATCACACCGCTTGCTTTCCAGATCTTCTCCTTCTGTTCGATCTGTGCTTCGGCAACATCGATAAGACGGTGGATGTAGCTTCTGATATCTTCGCCGCAGTTCACGAGGATGTACTTATCCTGTGGATAGACAATCTCACGGCCCCCTGAGACGCCATCGGCACCGGCACGGCCCAACAACTGCTGTGGGACGAGGGCTTCTCCTTTCAGGACGTCGGTAGCGTTGGCGTAGTTGATTTCGAGTTCGTGTATACGACCGATAAGATGCTGATGATGAAGAATCCATTGACCAAGAAGGCAGTTGCGAGCAGCTTCGAGTTGCGATTCTCTCAAAGGATGGTTCGTTTTCTTATCCTCGGGGTCTTCGAAACCAGTTGGAAGAATCGACATCAAGCCGCCAGTAGAAGAGTACTCATGATCGATGATTTCAAGACACTCGTTCGCATGCATGATGAGATCGTGGTGTGTCATGTAAGGACGACGGATATCTCCCTCCTTGGCCGAAGGACCAAAATCCTCAACTTGTGTCAAAGGACAACGATGTTCGATCCCATGCACTTCAGACTCTGACTTGACGACATTGTGAAGAGCAAAAAGAGGATCATGGTGAAACGGGTCATCGTTCTCATACGGACTGTTGAGGTTGTTCAACCAGTCAAAAGCCTCGTTCTTCTGGAAGATCCAACCTTTAGAATCGACATCCCCTGTGCCTACAGGACGAGTGGTGGTAGACGGAGCAAGCTTGCGGATGATGTTGGTGAGAGACTGGGCATGCTGCTTGAGGGCGAGAAGAGTGGGAGGACGGCCGGACGAGAAGTAGGAGCAGTTGATGTGCTGTAGAAGTTCGAGATCTTGAGGGTCTAAGATGCCATTGTCTGGGGTGAACAAGTTGGATCTGTAGGAGGTTGCGTAATCGTTGGAAGGGACGAAGAGAGGTTGAGTGCCCTCCTTCTGCTTCCCCGCTGCTCGCAAAGCTACCATAGCGAACTAGAATACAGGTGTTGGCACAGAGTGATAAGAGAGTTACAGGTTGACAGGACAGAGATCAGAACAGGATGGATTTTCTTTGAAAAGGATAATGAGATATCTATTCATAAACAGACATAAAGAAATCTTTCTAGTAGTCTGTCACAATATTGGCACCTGTAGGGCCGGGTGATTGATGTGATGCTATTCAAAGAACAAAGAAACCAGCTCTTTGTTGCAAGTGCCATTCGCCATGGTCATGGTGGGCGCATAGACATTGCTTGAGCAATCAAAAGACTCGAAAACGGTCAAATTGTTTCCTTTCTTTGTCTTTATGGTAAGTAGTAACCGGTAACCCCGAGAAATGGATGCGTTTAGGCCATTAACAATCGAGCTGCGACGGTCTTGAGATGGAACCCCGGGTATTGTTCACAAACCTTCATCAACCGTCGAGTACTCTCTGCTTGTCGGGCTCTCGTCATGAATGACAAGATTGCTATATCTTGATAATGTCGCCAGAAATACATATCTCTGTAGTACAAGCGACTCGTCCCTTAAGTTTGACGAAAGCTTGCTCTTGTTAGTGAATCACAGTTGGTATGAATAAGCGCGTGGTCGAGATTTCCATGTCTAGTCGCGAGTATCTGTCATTTGGATAGAATTTCCTCCAAAGAGCAACCTGGCACCTCGGCCTGCGTTCCAAGCTGGTACAACAGAAAAGAGTTTGCTCCGTCTCACACAAACATCCGTTCACCGTTGTACGCCGAAGGCATCGCAGCTTTGTGTACACTAGGAGCTCGCCTCTTTATGCAGGGTCAAGCTCTACATTTCTGCTTCTTCGTGAAGGGAATGTACGCTTCATCAAGGGCAACTTGGATTGAAGCCACTCTTGGTGTTCCAAGCCCAGATTCCCGGTCTCAATCAACAACGGTCCGTTACCCAAGATGCTCTACGACAAGGCTTCACCTTTACATGGCAACAATTGAGGCAACCATACGCAGAGTAGATCAGGAATGTTTAAGCAAACAGCCACAAGGTGAAACACAAATGCCGACATTCAGATTCAACGGATAACCAAGGGATCGTAGCCGATGGCTGTACGGTAATACACACGTGACTGTGTCTGAGTTGAACAAAGAGCTTTACAATCAAGAGGCCTCGTCTTGACACTCACGAAAAGTTACATACGGAAAACAACGTTCTGGACCAGTCTGTAATGGTGACGCAGCCATGGGAGGCCCAATCTGTGAAGCCGCAATATGCTTTGTTAGGCGACGTTTGCGGTAACGGCCACGCTGCAAGCAAAGCAACGCAAAGCCAAAAATTGAGGGAGACATGTGGGAATTCAATAAATTCACGTCAGAGGAGATCTCATTGGTCGAATCGCGACATCTTGAAGGTTGATGCGTCGAGATAAAATTACAGGCACGTACCTCGGCCCAGTCAGTGCCAGTTTGAGAGTGAGAGCTTGACGCCAGAGCAGACCATTTCAGCTGAACCAGCATCATCCTGATTGCGCTAGGGCCAGATGAAGAATGGCGCATGCATTTGTGGAGAGTCTAGCCTTTTGGAATGAATGATTGACTGGGATACGTAGATGAAGTTGCATCTGTAGTATTTTCGTTCTCAGATCTCGAGAACTGTTTGAAGAAACGACTGCTGGATCCCTATCGCCATCGCCAAGCGGTGAGAAAGTCATGATGTCGTTGAAGGGATTGAAAGACATTAATGGGCATCAACCTTGACAGACTAAAAGAACAAAGGATGGTCTAATGATCAAGACAGGGCCGATGAATGGAGTGTCTCTTGCTCGATGAACAGTAGCGCGATGATCAAGAGAGATAGCCAAGTAAACAAACCAATGGAGCTAGGTAATTATGATCGCAGATACAGTGACTGCACTGTAAGTCAGATCGTCATTGAGCTACCGTTGTAGGGAGAGGTGAGTTAATTTGGAGATCGGGGGGGGGGGGGGGGAGAGAAAACGAATGCTAATGTAGTTGATGTCATTGGCGCCGAGGACGGAACTGAATGTTCCGAAGTGAGGGAGTCAGTTGGGCTGTGATGAATTGAAATGGTAGCGCCACGGGAATGAGAATGAGAAAGAGAATGAGGACGAGCATCGCATGAGAATGAAAGAGTCTCAAAAGGTAGCGGAGATTTCCAGTCTTGGCAGACACTCCCAAGTCCTAACTAAAAGGGGAGACGATTAACATTCCGATCCGGATCGTCACTGGGGTTTATTCATTGACTTTTGACAGAAGGTGTTTGTGCTCATGCTCACTAACTCGATGGCGGATGGGTTCAATGATTGTGGTTGTGGTGGTGACGGATGCATCTGACATCACATATCCAGATAGAAAGTCGATCCCTGTCAAGCTGTCTCGTCTCCGTCGTGTGTGTATGCATGGCAACACGGGAGAGCGTCGTGGCTGTGCTTCTGTTTGATTGAGTGTAGAATCGACGACAGTAGCTGAACTCGACAATCAAAAAGACGTTGATGCATGATCTAGATCGAGGCCGTGATACTCGTGAGGCACAGAATAGCCAAGTCTAGACTTGGGATGCCGTAAAACGTCGGCAGCAGCCTCACAGACTCACTCTGTTACAGTCCAAAATCTTTCATTTGGCTCCCTCATTTGTCTTGTCTCCCTGGCTGGCCCTGTCGGTATGCCCGTGCACCATGAACTGAGGCATCACATCACGCAGCACCAAATGAATTTTAGTGAGCGTGACTATTTACAGTAGCGCAAGGGCAGCGGGATGAGGTGTCCACGTCGCAGCGGATAGTGGGTTTGTCCCGTGGCCAAGCTTCAACAGCCGAAATTGAGGAGGAGGATTGATTTCGTACGCAGCAGGCCCTGACCCTTTTGGAGATTTCCAGAAATAAAGTTTTGGGGGGTGACAATGGGATCATGAATTACTCTTCAGAAACAGGGTCTTGTTTTAGAGTATCATTTTCGTATTTGCCCAACCATCAATTAATTGTCATTCGTTTCATATCAATCCCACAAATCGCATGCGTATTGCAAACGTTTTACCGGTTTCTCGTTTTACTGTCACCGTGCTATCGTCCGGGATCAAAGCGTCCATACCTGCAGACTACTCCGTATCAGTTTGCATTCAGAGAAGGGAAGTGATTTGCAATGCCTTCCAAGGCCAGCTGTCCCAGGTTCCAGTTAGAGTGCCGGGGGGCTGGCCTAGACCCTCCATCCATCTTCAATTACCGCTGATGATGAAGGAGTGCACCAGAGGGCGATTGGCCAGTGTCGATCTAGCCCCAACTCAGGATTTTGCCTGTGTTTCCCAGCAGAGCTTCAGGCACTTGGCGATGAGCCTGCAGGCTGGGCGCTACGCTGTGACGTCGACATCAGCACCTTGTGCCATGCCAGCCGTTGTCAGTCACCCTGACGTTGATGCATGGCATCACACCTTTACGCTGGATATCTTATGATAATATTCTCAGCAACTATAGAAGAAGCCAAGATAGAGGAATTCAAAAAACGGTATCAAGCAGCCACAATCCCTCCAGGTTCAGGGGAAGCATAAATTGCAAGCAGCCGCGTTTTTTTACTTGTTTTTCGCGATTCTATACTGAATTTTTGCTGGGCTGAGACATGACTTCACCTTGATTAAGGGGGTCCTCTTAGTGCTAAGCTTTTCGTCTTTGGTCGCATTTGCACTACACAAGCTCCAAGTCTCCTCCCATTGGATTCACACACCCACCCCTGACAACCTGAGCTGAGCTACCGTACCTTAGCCAACATCTGAGGAAACCAGCTTTTTTCCTGTCTAATCTAACTAAGTATCTATTGCATGGCTTGACTGGATACGTTAATTACATATAGCCCGCCAGCCCCATCCATCTATTGTTTTATCTTTTTCGAGTTTTCGTTCTTCGTTCCTAATTTTGGTTGCAAGTGCGCAGATTCCATTGGAACGCGCCTGCCTCCCGTCTCAACCTAATCTATCTGCCACCCGCCCCCCGCCAACGGAAGGGTAAGGTGCACTGCACTACAGCTTGCTTCCTCCAGTGTAGCTGAGCGACGCGGCCCAAGTGCCAGCTTAATTTCTTCGATTTCTTCCTAATAACCTCAATTTGCGACTTTATCAGCTTCGCGCGTCGAATTAATCGAATCGAGAATCGGCAACCGATTATAATAGCCCAAATCCAGGGTTTATACCAGAGCATCCACCCTTGACGTAGTCCAAGATACTGCAACTGGACTGCAATCATGGGAAATTTCATCAGTTGGTTGGAGGACAACCTCCCCTCCCCCAACACGAGCAACTCGGGCGGTGCGAGAGGAACGCAGCCTCAATCCCTTTCGGGTATGTTATATAAACGAATACTGCATAAATCCGACGCGGGACTAACAATTCTCAGGCATGGTTTCGACTCTCGTTCCCGTGCTCATATTGTCGGGAGTCTACCTCGTCGTTTTCCTTGTCTTTCGTAAATCCAACAGGCGATTCTATGCGCCTAGGACGTATCTTGGCTCCTTGCGCGAGCAGTAAGTCGCGATGCACCACTGAACTCTGAATATTAATTCTAACGCCTTCGCAGTGAACGGAGTCCCGCGCTACCTACTGGTTTCTTCAACTGGATTGGAGCTTTTTGGAAGCTTCCCGATGCCTACGCTCTCAAGCACCAGAGTCTCGATTCATACCTCTTTATTCGATTCCTTCGCATTTGCTGCACCATCTGCTTCGTGAGTCTTTGCCTCACATGGCCTGTTCTCTTCCCAGTAAATGCCACTGGTGGAAACGGAAAGAAGCAGCTTGAGATTCTCTCATACGCCAATGTCAACATTGATGATTCGACTCAGAGGAACAGGCTCTACGCCCACTGCTTCATTGCCTGGCTCGTTTATGGCTTCGTCATCTACACTATCATGCGCGAGTGCATATTCTACATCAGCGTGCGACAGGCTTTCCTTCTTACTCCCCAGTATGCCAAGCGCATCTCATCCCGCACTGTTCTCTTCACTTCAGTTCCCAAGGAGTATCTCGATGAGGCCCGCATTCGCACCCTCTTCAACGACTCAGTTAAGAATGTTTGGATCCCCGGCGACACCAAGGAGCTCGACAAGATCATTGAGGAGCGCGACGATGCCGCCATGAAACTCGAGAAGGGAGAGGTAAAGCTTCTCAAGCTGTGCAACAAGGAGCGCATCAAGGCCATGAAGAAGTCGGGCCCTGAAGCCGAGAAGGTTGCATCTGCCCCATCTGACCCTGAGTCTGGAAACCTCTCTGCTCGCTGGATCCCTGCTAAGAAGCGACCTTCACACCGTACTGGCCCTCTGGGGCTTGTTGGCAAGAAGGTTGATACTATTGAATGGGGCCGCGAGGAGCTGAAGACCCTCATCCCCAAGGCCGACAATGCTCAGGCTGACTGGCTCGCTGGCAACTATGAGAAGCACTCTGCCGTGTTCGTCGAGTTCTACACCCAATCTGATGCCCAGGCTGCTTTCCAGACTACCACTCACCACCATGCCCTCCACATGGCTCCTCGTTTCATCGGTGTCAAGCCTGATGAGATTGTCTGGAAGAGCTTGAACTTCCCCTGGTGGCAGGTTGTCATTCGCCGATATGTCGTCTACGCCATCATTGCTATTCTCATTATCTTCTGGGCTGTTCCCGTCGCCATCGTTGGTATCATTGCTCAAGTTAACACGATCAAGACTCTTCCTGGTCTTACTTGGATCCAGGATATCCCTCAGGTCATTCTTGGTGTCGTCTCTGGTCTTCTGCCTTCCGTTGCTCTCTCCATCCTCATGTCCCTGGTTCCTGTTTTCATGCGCCTTTGTGCCAGACAGGCAGGTTGTGTTTCCATCTCCCAGGCCGAGCTCTTCACCCAGAACGCATACTTCGTTTTCCAAGTTCTCCAGGTTTTCCTGGTTCAAACTCTGGCAAACAGTTTCGTTTCGTCTATCGCGACGATCGTTAAGGATCCCAGCCAGGTCTTCAGCATGCTGTCATCTTCCATCCCTACCGCCTCCAACTTCTATATCTCTTACTTCATTGTTCAAGGTCTGACTATCGCCGTCGGCGTCCTGACTCAAGTTGTCGGATGCATCATTTTCAACCTTCTGTACAAGTTCCTGACTAGCACTCCACGATCCATGTACAACAAGTGGACTACTCTCAGTGCTCTCACTTGGGGAAGTCTTTTGCCCGTCTACACCAACATCGCTGTCATTAGTGGGTAACCCCTGAACTCGTGTGTCGAGCACCGCTAACCTTTCTCAGGCATCGTCTACGCTGTCATTGCACCTGTCATGCTCTTCTGGTCTACCATCGGTATGGGCTTGTTCTACCTTGCCTACCGCTACAACATTCTGTTTGTTACCGAGACCAAGATCGATACTAGAGGCCTCATCTATCCTCGTGCTCTCAAGCAGCTTTTTGTCGGTGTTTATCTTGCTGAGGTCTGCCTTGTCGGCATGTTCATTATCTCCAAGGCCGCCGGCCCTGCTGTCCTGATGGCTGCCTTCCTTGTCTTCACCATTCTATTCCACATCTCCCTCGCTAAGGCTCTTAACCCTCTTCTCTACAGCCTGCCTCGCTCTCTTGAGGTTGAGGAGGAGCGAATTCAGCGAAGCCTGCAAGGTTCAGAGTTGGAGGACGGACATGTCCAGAATGGAGAGGGTGCCGCTTCCAACGGTGCTTCCAACGGCGCTGGCAAGAGCCACGGTGTTAGCATGTTCGTGCCTGGTGGTACTGACAGTGTTCAGAAGAAGGGCAACTTCTTCTCCAAGTGGCTCAAGCCCTGGATCTACGCCGATTACGCCACCATGCGCCAGTTGGTGCCTCATGAGCGTAACATGGGACTCGACTATCCTGAGGAGGTCGAGCGTGACGCTTACTTCCCACCTTCAGTCACAAGCCAGACACCTATCCTCTGGATCCCTGCCGACCCCGCTGGTATTTCCAAGCAGGAGGTGCTCAACACGAGCAAGGTGATCCCCATCTCAGACGAGGGCTGCACTCTCAACGACAAGAACCGCATCGAGTGGGACACTGAGGGAGCACGACCTCCTATCTGGAGCGAGAAGATTTACTACTAGAGGTGGATATGATTTCGTTAGTGTGATTGATACCCAAACACATGCCAGCTATCAGGCTGTGTTGCTTTGAAGCCGTAAAAGTGTTTGAAAGGAGATGATGGAAGATTGGGAAACTGAAATAAACGACAGCATTGGATTTAGCCAAGATGGGTATGTCATCGATCGTGTCATGAAATATACTATAGTATCCTGCACGGTTGTTAGATCAGATGGTTATTTAGTCAATGAATTCTAATGCTAATGAGGAATGGTTGCAAGTCAGTGACTGTAGTATCAGTGACTAGGAACAAGATAGATTATGAAGATGTCTCATAATCTATCGCTTACTCGGGCCCTGTTCAAACCAGATATGTCTAGTCCGGCGTATCCTCTGTCATGGGGTTTAAGGTTCTGTGATAGTTGATTGGGCAACTAGAAGTAGTACGATCTCTCCACACCGGATGGCTTTTACCTTGTAATCCGCAGTAGGGCTACAACTCGCCAAAGGATGGACAAGGCTTTTACAACTGAACTATTGAGTACAACTGAGACATGGAAACAAAGAGCACAATGTAAGCTTGAAAGCCAAGACATGTGACATATGGGAACAAAGGGATTGATATTGACATACAAAGAGAGAGAGAGAGAGAGAGAGAGGGCTTACGAGTCCAGATGGTTTGGTTGTTGGGGTGAGTTGATAGACGAAACAGGGATTTCCTAGATCGAATGGGCCTAGCATTAGGCCTAGAGCACCTACCAAACTTACCGGGAAGCGGATAGTGGCAGCCACAATTGAAGCCACAACCGCTATTGTCGTTGAAGCTGTGGATATTGATTGCATCGGAGACAATTGTTTATGTCTGCAGTGATTGTTGGATGTGACACAATAGCGATAATAACAAACTACCCAATCAGTAAAACTCAGCAGTTGAATACTGCAGTCTTTAGCTGTGGCGCTTCTACATGTGACAGCCTCCCTTGACTAAACCCATGCCCTTGTTCCCGTCCGTAGCCAACAAGGATCTAAAGAGCTCCCCCTCCATCAGCTTCTGATGTGATGGTCCCACAAGCCATTGTTGTCGTGCCAACCACCATCAACAATCACCTCGTCAAGCAGAAAGCGGCAAGTCATTCACATTCTCGCGAGGGGGATCTTGATTTTTAGCCCGGCTTTTGACAAGATAGGTCTAATCGCGAACCTTGCTTGTGTGTTTGATTGATAGTACGATATCGACATTGGACGATACGGCTCCAGATCCCGGCTGCACTTACCCTTACCTTGCTGCTGAGATCCCCTCATCCCTGCTCCTTCTCTTTCCTTCTCTGTGCCTGTGCTCTCTTTCTTCCCCCTCGGCTTCTCTCTTGACTCTCTGCTTGCTCTCCTACAATCCTATCTAAACCTGGACATCGACCCCATTCGTGGCCTGTTCTTGAGGCCTTTGCATTATTAGCAGGTTTGGTCAATGTTGAGAGTCTTGACAAGGTGCGCATAGACCGAGACATTGCGCAGAGACCCTTGGACATTCCTTCGTGTCGATCAGCAGAACACGTACGACACTTTTGCGCTGCGGATTCTCAGACTCTACACATATTCAGAGTAAGGAAGTTGGGGGAAGTGAACAACTGCAACCGAGATACCATCCAGCTTTCGAGCTACGCGGTGATGACCATGCTCTGAGCGCTCAGCATCATCGTCGGCGAGAAAACTACGCTTGAAAAGCGACTGCGATTGCTTCGCCTGCACCTTTCGGATTAGCGAGTCATCTCAACTTCGAAGAAACCGCAATGACTCCAACGACCACCCGCAGCTATCGGCCTGCGCAAACAATGCCCAAAATGACAATCTCTACTACTCTCCTCCTCTGCGCGAGCACACTTCTTCTCGCCTTTCCCGCTGCCGCGCAAACTTTCCCATACGTTCCCACAGAGATTCTCATGCCCGATCCAACATGTGTCGACGGTAGCGTTCCATGTAGTGCTTCGAATCTAGCATACATCTTCCGGCAAACAGCTTCAGGCAATGTCGAGTTTCGAGCCCTCGACTTTTCTAAGAGTATCGATGCGGACGAGGACAGCCTTGAGCGCGCAAGCAATGACACTGTCTTACCTTTTCTCGACGGTAGTTCAAAGAGCACTGCCTTTGGTGCTGCGAGAACGGCGAATGGCTCTGTACTCGTTTATGCAGGTGACTGCGAATCTGGCAGCGGCGATGTCTGGAGCTTCGACTATAGCAACGATCAAGGCGAGTGGTCTCGTCGGGGTCTCAAGAACGGCGGCGACACCCGTCGTGCACCGTATTTCCTCGGAGGCACTGTTGCCTTTTCCTCCAGCCTCGCTCCTGATATGGACCAGCCAACTCTTTATACTTATGGAGGAATGTGCGAGACACCCGAGTCTGGAAGTGAAGCGACGAACTGGCAGAGTAATGCCAACTACACCAAATCGATGCTGAGACTCGCACCTCACGATAGCGATGCTTTTACCTCGTATGAGATGAGCGTCGCTTCCAGTGGTGGACCAAAAACACCCATTGCAGGCTTTACTCTAACTGGTCTCACGCCCTCGATGACCAATAAATCTGGCATTGTGACGCAGCAGATGAGTTATGTACTTCTTGGTGGACATACCAAGACAGCCTTTATCAACATGAGCACAGTCGCTGTATGGAATCTTCCCGCTGAGTCGTGGAGTTATGTCAACATTCAACCTCCAAACGTTGATATGCCAAAGTCAGATCTTGCTGTGAAGGATGCGAGCTCTCAGAATCGTCGCAGAAGCACAAACACTGCGGATAATGTCTACAGCCGTTCTGGGCATACTGCGACGCTCAGCGAGGATGGAAGCTCTATCATTGTTATAGGAGGATGGGTTGGCGATGTTAATACTCCTGCTGAACCACAACTTGCGATCCTCGAGATGAGCGAGATCTACAGCGGGTGGCAGTGGAAGATCCCTGACGAACAACCTGATTTCAATGGAATCTACGGCCATGGCGCTGCAGTGTTGCCAGGAAATATGCTCATGGTCTACGGCGGGTGGGAGTCTTCGGGCTCTTCCTCACGGAAAGTCAAGCGTCAAGCCTCATCTGGAACACTTCGCTTCTACAATATCACGTCAGGTTCATGGGGATCCCAATACACAAACCCCGCCTCTAGCTCATCGGATGATGATAACGACGCGCCCAAGGATGATAACAAAGGATCAAACTCAAAGCGCCTCGGCCTCGGTCTCGGTCTAGGCTTTGGTATCGCTGCCCTGATCGGCATCATCATTGGTGCTCTGTGTTGGTACAAGAGACGCAAACGGCATATCAGCAAGCGAGAAGAAGCTGTCAGGGCGCTGTCTCAAGATCCCAACTACTATAACAACGAATACCCCGAGATGATGGAAAATGATCCTTGGGGGCTCGATAGTGCCCCTTGGTATGGCACTGGCGAGAGCCCTTATGCCGCTGGTGAGCGATCCCTAGGCTACGAGTCTATGAGAGGCGCTCGAAGTGGTCTCCCCGGACTTCACATTCCACACAAATCTATGGCAAGACCGTCACGAGGAGGCTATATACCTACGGGACCACGGCCTACAAGTTTCCCGGGTCCAATCCATCCGATCTATGAGGACGATGAAGAGGAACCCTATCACAATCGAGGCCTTTATGATCACGTCCCGACACCTACATCAGAGGTTCCTTCAGATCCTTTCCAGACTCCAGTCGCAGGCGTGGGTCCGAATAATATTCCTCACCCCATTTGCCTGACTCCTGGAGGTGGTAACAGAGCCTCAGCAACACCTAGCCCTGAGAGCCCGCGACATGATCCTGAGGTTCAAGATTGGGTCACTGAAGTTGATGCTGCGGAAGGACTACTTGCACGCATGAATAGTCGACGAAGCCAACACCAGAATGTACAGAACCTCGATAGCGCCGAAGGCTTGCTTGCGCGCATGAATAGCCGACGAAGCCAGAACCAAGGAAGCGTGGGTCACAGCCAGGGTCGTTCTTCACCAACGCGGCATAACTCGACCCGTTCAGCTGCTCTGCGAGATGATGAATCACGAAGCGGATCTAACTTGTCCGAGTCAGCACGGAGCGCAGCAGAAAGCATCAAGGCTAAAGCACGTCAACTCAACCCTCTCGCTCCAGCATTCCTAGCCGCCGGTGCCGAGCACCCTAAGCCAGGCAGTTCGTCGTCTAGTAGTTACAACACAGCCCGCTCGTCATTTGGTGTTCTTCAAGCAGAGGGTCCTTCGTTACTTATGGGAGACCGAGCTCCTCGCTACGATGATGATGAGCCCTCGTCGCCGTCCAAGTCAAAGCCACGTAGGGGATGGCTGGGCTCTCTTCGGCGAGTGTTTTCAGGGGCTAGTACCCCAACATCATCCCGCGAAGATATGTCTGGCGTGCGGCGTTCGTTTGACCAAGAGCCCGTGACTGGTGATTACGAGCCCGGTCTGGTAGGTCTACGCGGCGAGCTTCTTAGAAGGAAGAAAGGTCGACAGGACTGGGAAGGTGTTGAAGGCGATTCGCATGGTGCTATGATGTCTGGTGGAGCCGGACCCGAGCCTGGAGCTGAGTCTGACTGGGATATTGAGAAGGCTGTTGAGCAGCGATTGGTGCAGGTCATGTTCACTGTCCCTCGAGAACGTTTAAGGGTTGTTAATGGCAACGAGGAGGGAAGCGATCGAGAAGACGAGGTGCCGATGAAGCCACACAAGGCTGAGTTTGTTGATCCAGATAACGAGAGTCAGACATCAGGGGGTGTCAGTATTCGTGAGAAGCGGGATGAACGTGAATTTGGACATGCTGGCATTCGACCAGTGGTGGAACCAAAGAGGGACGACGAGATTAATGAAAAGCAACCGCTTGTTCAGGATGATCAAGAACAGCTGAATGAGAGGCGGCGTCTTGAGGAAGAGAGACAGCGGCTGATGGATGAGAAGCGTGCTGAGGAACAACGTCTCTCAGAAGAGAAATCTCGACAAGCACAACAGAAGGACAAGGAGTCTACGAGGAGAGAGCAACCACAACCTACATCACAAGAACAACAGCAACTTCCTCCAGAAAAACTACAACACCCGGAACCCCCTCATCTTCAGCCACCTCAACCTCTCTTCCAGCGCAGCTCCCGGGATTCTTCACCGTCGTCATCACGTTCTCCTTCTCCTCTACCATCTCCTGGCCACCCCTCTCACTCAAGACGACACACACGAGGCAACTCAAACAACTCAATCGGCGGCTTCCTCCACCCAGATCTGGCTCCACTAGAACCGCGCTTCTCACACGAAACAGATCGTTCCTCGGGTGTACTTCTCGAAGCTCAAGCAGTTCCCCTCACACGAGAACGAGCTCGAACACGCGTCTTGGCTATGGTCGATAGTTTCGAGAGTCTAAGTCGCGAGAACAGCCCGAGTCCCACACGGTTCCAGTAGTTGGAGAAGAAAAGATGCATAAGGTTTTGCACAGAGCGTGGATTTGTTACTTTGGTTTGCAGGGTGTTTGGGTGCAGGATGACTGGAACATAGGGATTGCTTGATTTGGAATTCGCTTCAGCATTTTGGAAGCTTCAGGACATATTTGATTTGGATTGCCATGAGTCTTGGATCTGTATATATACATCATGTATCTATGTGCTCAAGATTCTACCCTACAATTGGGATACGATTAAAAGACAGGAATTCGCTTTTACACTTCATGCCCAGTCTTGATTTAGTCCTTCACCGTCTCTAACCTCCTTGAGTAATGTTCCAGTCTGCAAAGTGTTCCACAACGTTGACTTTCTAGGCTCATCACTTGAAGCCACGAGGGCATCCACAAACTTATTAGACTTCATGGTCTCCAGCCGTAAACTAGTGTGTTTCAACGCTACTCCCACTTTCCGCGATGACTCTCCATAGTGCGTCTTCATGACTAAGTTGCAAACTCATGGGCCACGTCAAATGTGGCGTTCGACGCCTCAAGAGCATCGGTTCTGCTCTATTCAAGCGGTGGACAGCTTGACACCACGCGCGATTCATGTTGCCTCACGTTTCAAATCCAACCATAGGTCGCGTGAGGCGACGACTAGGTATAAATCAAAAGGGGACGAGTTAAATGTAGAGATGGAGAAGGAGGCGGATAACTTCACCGTGAAGCTAAATTGATCACCAGTTCTGTAGTGAGCGTCATGAAACTTATGAAAGCAGTCATTTTCGTGTCACAGAGATGAAAAGTGCAAGCTGTAGTTCCAGACCAAGAAATGAAGAGCATACTTTTGGCTGCTATCTCAACCGCGTCGCCCGATGCATTTGTGCTGGCTCTATGTACGTAAAAGTGACCCCAAACTGACAACGACGACCTGCATATTATATCCAGACTTTCAAGCCAACACTGAGCGCCCACGCAAGTCATTCAAACTCGGCGACTCTGTCACGCCCCCCACAGGTCGCTGCCCCTCATCCATTGTGCCATAATTGCTTGGTCGAGGTCGCCGTTGCCGTAATGCCATCAAGTATAAAATCAGAATCGAAAATTAAGCGTTGGTTTCTGCCGTCATGCATGACCTTTCCAATACTGCTGTACGAAGCAGCAGTCACTTGGCTCGCTTGCATATGTACCATACCATGATCCCGCCAGTTGCTGGGGGCGTTCGTCCCATGTTCCGTTGTGTATGTAATCCCCCTTGTAAAATGCCAACGCCTTCCTGGTATCTCGAAATGCAACAAAAGCCCTTTGGGTTTTAAAAGTGAGCCGGGAGAAAGTGAGATTCGTGTGCTTCATGGGTCATTGTGACCATTCTATCTGCTCGTCTGGAACATCTTTCATTATCCATCCCAGAAAATTCCGCTTGACTCCAGAGATTTATGTTGAGGAAGTACCCTCAATGCAGCACGATGCCGTGCTCTTGGCCAGATAGACAAGTGCCTCTTATCGTAGTCTCATCTTATAAAAGATGGCATTTGGAGCCCAGCGGAATTTCCGGAGTTGCCGAATGTCCTGTCGGTCAAGGTTCGGGCGTTGGATCGGGATTTGTTGCACGGAGCACCTTGGGTGCCTGAATCCTCCTCGAATAGTCGTGGTCATCTCGCAATGTGTTGATACTCTCATGACTTGCGCTTCGAACGTACAATCCTTGCTTGAATGGGTCCATTCGAGGATCGACTTGCAAGGTGCTGTTACGGCTTCCTGCCGCGGCTGATGCAATAGGTGATCCAGCCATGCTCATATCAGGTCGTGCAATGCCCGAGGAGCTATCTCGAACACTGGGGTCGTCCTGATAGGCTTCTTGTTCGTTCTGTTGCTTCTTTCGGCGGAACCACAGGAATAGGGCGAGGGCAGCAGCACCTATGACGGCTGCAATCACGCCTACCACGATGCCGACAACCTGGCCAGTGCCAAGTCCACTCTTCTCGGTAGTTGAGCCATTGGTGTTTTCGCTTGCGGTTGTTCCACCAGTCTCCGTCGGCGCTGCCACAGTGACGGTCCTGATAGTACCGCCAGCAGTGACAGTCTGAACAACCGAAGTGCGCGAACTAGATGTAGTTGACTCGTCCTCGGCTGTGCTCGTAGCTGAGGTTTCATCTTCGGTCTAAATACATGGTTAGTGTCTGTCCAAAAACTCTTTATTACATCACCAGATTCCCGAGGCGAGATAACATGCGTGTTGAGACAAGGCATACAGTTGAGGTTGTTTCTGGCTCCGAGCTGGACGTGGACGTGGAGGTCGATATGGATGTGGATGATGGCTTCAGAGTCACCGTATTCTGTATTGTCTCAGTCACTCTGGATACGGCCACGGTGGTTGGTTTTGCCTGATGGTTGCCTGTTAAGCCGTGGTATCTTACCAACCGCAGAAGGGTTCAAATGGACTGAGATGTACAGGTGGAGAGTTGGGTAGGCAGACACTCGTCCGATCACGGCATATGCGGCGATCACAACACGAAACATCATGTCACAGGATTTGACTTACTTTGGTTGATGAGGGGGAAGGGCCCCTTGAGCCGGAAGGCTCAACTTTGCCTAGAGACACATATCCGTATACTCCGTTACCACCGCAGACTTCATCAGGCCATGCTGGACAAGGAGTATCGCACTTGGAGTTGTCCTCTTGGGTTGACTTGACAGGTGCGTAATTCGAACACCAGCATAGCTTGTCTTGGGTGATAGCGAATGCCCAGTCATCGATACAGAAATCATGGCAAAGACCATTTGTCTGATAAATGCTCGTATCTATTAATATGGTTAGAGGCTGCAAGCTGTTGGATGTGAAGGGGTTACATACTCCTGGGGGTCTCGCCAGTATTGTAGCTAGCACAATATTCGATGTCCAGAGCGGCAGCTAGAGGCGCCCATGATGATGCTATTAAGACGAGCAAGCCGGCTTGTTGGGCATGTCTGGAAAGAGGAGACATGATGATTATGACTTGGTCGAGAAAACTAGGTTGGGCTTAAGGTTAGAATGTGTCGAGTTGAAGGGAAGCGAGGAGAGCCCAGGCAAGAGGATGTTACACACCTTTACCAAAGACTGAGCAAGAGGGCATGTGAGGTCGGGTGCAGAGATGAAGCAGGCTTTTCAGAACATAACACGGTGTCGGAAGACTCTCAGATGGTCGAAGCCATACCACTGCTGACGTCGAGAGGTGTAGTACTACCGGCAGGTGTGATTTCGCGTGGGTGGATGTCCCGACGCCGGAGCAAGACAGCCGGTATCGTCAATCGTGATCCGAGTTGAGCAAGGTAGCACAATGAAGTGACCAAGCAGGCTGTATGCGAATCACTGGGAGATCGGTGGCTTTTCGAAGATGGGATGTAGATTCGCGATGATCGGGTATCGTGTTTGGTTCGAGATGAAAGTTTTATCGATAGGTGACTATTGATAATCGGTGGGTGACAGTGATGAGTCGAGAGCTTCCTGAGGCTCAAATGGTTGTCGATGAATGATTCTGGCAATCCTCGTAGATTCCAGCTGCCAACACAAGCGAACGGTCGATACGATATAATGCGATCCCAAAACTTGAACAATGCCAATTATCCCAAGACGAAAGAAACCCAGATCCAAAAATTACCACAAGGGTAAAAAAAAGAAAGGAGAACAATTCCCAGCCAACGAAATAGATATCGTGGAGATGATTAGGAGGGGAGGTTGGGTGTGATTGAGAAATAATAGGTAGAGGTAGAGAGCTGGACGTTGGAATACGTGACAAGAGATCAAGGTCGAGAAGGGGAGATTTGGGAAGGGAAAAGGTGTGAGGGAAGTAGCGACTAGAGTGGTCAAATCAGGTAAGAGCTAGGTAGGTATCTGTACCTAGCACGGTAGTCCCGGGCCCTAGTGGAGGGGCGGCGGCAGCAGCGACCGGGATGGGAAACAAGGAAGGAAGAACGAAGACGAGCGATGAACTTTCTAACCAAATTTGGCCCAACTTGAGAAGAGAAGAGGGCCTGGGAATAGCGACGGATGAGAATAACCTAGGCAAAATCGATAAATTGGATTGTCGATTCCTGTAGAAGGATCGATGTGTTCCTTGGAGTGGTCCTCAGTCGATAGTTTGTCAACGACTCCTCTCCCTCTGAAGAACGGAACGCCCTGGTAGAAAAAAAGATACTCTTGAATAGAGTTGCACTGGAGGTCACGATACGACCTGGCAACAAAGTCCAAGTAGTGCAGTACGTACCGTCCAAAGTATCGCAGGGGTCGTGAGACCAAAAATGGAAAGGTTCCAATACTCAGCTGCAGAGCCAAGGCTGGGCGGACAAAGGAGGCTCCACGCTCTGAAAAGAACCAAGGAGAGGGGAGTCAAGATGAAGCGGGAAGAGACCGATCCGATGGCCTAATAGGTAGTTCCCTTTGAGCGTGATTGATGAAAAGAGGTGTGATGGTGGTGGTGCAGTAGTGCTATTATCTCGGCGTAAAACGGCCGTTTTTTTTTTGTCTGTTTTCTTTTTTAGGTTGAGTGAATGAGCGGGTGCGTGTAAAATGAGGTGGTAGCAAAAGGATTGAGCTTAGAATGAAAGAATATTAAGGAACGAATTGAAAGGAATGAAGGACAAGTCAATTGTGCGTAGAAAGAGAAGAAGAGAGATAAGATGATATTACAGGAAAGGAACTTGAAGAAATTAATTGAGCCAGAAGAGGTAGAACTGATCGACTTGAAATTACCTGAGGTAAGCAATCCTCGCGTTGTTGCTGGTCAACAGCAGGTCCAGTATGAAGCTGTCCACAGAATCACAGTGACGAAACGATTTTCACATATTATGGGATTACACACAAGGCTTTTCCTCTTGAAATCTGATATGATCCTCAATCACAGTTCGACAGAAAAAATTAAATAAAATTCATTAAATAAAATAAGATAAAAGATGGACCCTCGTTTCGCAAGCTCCCCTATCCCTAACCAACAAGACACTAAAACACGAGGCGCCCGTGGCCTCATATGATGCCTGTAGCAGATGTCGTCACCGCTGAGAGCCAGTGGGCGCTGTTGTTGTTTTAGGGGAGTGACAGTGCTTTTTGGGTTGGTTGAGTTTTATTACGGGAGGTTGACAGGGGGCGTGTCGTGTCATATCGTGTGGAAGTTGCAGGGGCAATCAAAGAAGAAGGAGTGGGATCTGCATGGGCCCTGGACAAGGGTGTGAGCGGCGATCTTGATAGAAGCGAAGAGTGAGACGAGTACTAAGACTGTTGCGGAGTGTTGCAAGAGCCCGTCCGACAATCGCAATTCGTGGTCTGAAATGTGAATTGTATGGTGATGTGGTATGGGAAAGGTGATCCTTGCAAACCGTCATTCTGTCTACCTGTATCTTTCACTGAATGCTCTTATATTCTTTAAATATTAAACAATTCCTTTTCTCCTCACATAGTCTAGTATACTAACATATAATCAGCTGGCTTCAACCTTTTGGCTTTGGCTTGCCGCTACCTTTATGGGCTTGAGAAATTGAAATTGGAGAGTGACAACCACTTCACTCTCTTCTCGGCAACCCTTTATCCGGATTGACCTCAGCCCTTGGCACTCTTCTCTCTGGTTCCCTTTGTGTGATTCCTTCGGTACGTCAAAAGAAAAAGCATCAGAGTCACAAACTCTTTCTTTCTCCGCTCCATCTCCTCCTGTTATGACGCGCAGATGGCTCTTCAAATCTTACAACGTACAACGCTAGAACGAGATTATTGAAACACAACTCCTCTAAAGATCTCGGCGTTTGCTGTAGCTGTTGAACGGTAATTCGCGCTCCAACCCAAGATCTCAGTCAAGATAACTTGACAGAATTATAACTGCCCCAATAGGCCTGGATATTGGTGCATATTTTTGGTTAACCCCCATGCGCATCATCTTGTTTTGACTCCACTGTTCCCACCCTCCAAACGCGCGATTGATATCGTGAGTCTAGCGGCTCTTCTTGGCTATGGAACCATTCCTTATTGTGTGAAAAACATCCCATTCTCCTCAATCGAAGACGACAGAATGAAGCAATTGGGGACAAACAAAGTTGCCGTGCATCCCGCTGTGTATTACGGCTCGACTCTCTTCCCGCTTCTAAGCACTACTTTACCGTACTCTACTGTCTCTCACTATCCCCAACATAGAACTCAACTCACATGAACTAGTGCCTGAGTTCGGCGCCGCGCCGTTGGACGTGGCATCGCCCAGTTTAGGAAACGTCGACCTACCGTAACGGGCCATTTCCGGCCCCTTTTTGTAACCAAGACGATCCCGTCGCCGGACAAAGTAGAGACCAAGATGATGGTTGTGGGTGAGAATTGTAAGACCTCTAGAGGCCTGAGATGTTTGATCGGCATCAAAACCAGTGAATATCTCGCAATATCTCTGGCTGCTCCACAGTCCACAGACCATAACCAAAATCTCAATATCCCTGCTCCGTGGGGCTCATGGTTTCAGTCATTTTGGAGCCGGCCCGCGGAAGGGAGAGAGGGAGCATGGATTATAATGGACTTGACAAGGTTGTAAGTGGGATAAGGTTGGAAAGAAACATGAAATAACATGCGCGAAACCGTTCGGCCATGTTCTTGGAGATTCCCGCATGATAGCGAGCGAGCGATCGCGATCGGTTTACTTACTCCATAGAGAAACAGAACAAGCCTTTTTCTCTTTCTTTATCCTTATCTGAATCGTTTCCATGTTGATTCCAAGTCAATCATGTGTCAGGAATGAACGTTTATCTTTGACGCAGAAACTTGCCCTTGCAATAACACGAGCATTGACCCGTCTCCCCGCTCTCGTATAATCAATCCATCAGATCATAACCCTTGACAATTTTAAATATTTTTGCCATGGTCAACAAGACTGGACAACACAATACGCGGAAGCGAGTCTCCCTTTCACTATTCGACGTCACTGATACAGAGATTCGCTGTTGTCGTGTGACTGGAGATCTAACTCACCTTTAATTTTCTGACCAGGCAACAATCTACTCAGTAGCTCCAGTTCTCTCTCCTGTGTGTCTACCTAGTCTAGCTGATTCAAGGTTATTAGCTTGAGGGTTTAACTTTCAGAGAATCCATCCATTGCCTTGTCCAGCTGAACACGTAAACCAACTCGAGAATACGTATCTTTTAGAACAAAAGTCAATTGATACCTAAGATAGCCTTGGTATGCTCACACGCTAAGAGGTCCGTCTAGTCCATCTTGAGACGACGTTGCTACGGTTCGGTCTTTTTCTGTGTGGAAAATGGCACGATATGCACGATATGGTGGTGAAGCTTAGAAATGGCTGGAGTTTGTGAGCCTCTTCTTCTAAAATCCGGGGCGTTTTTTGTATTATGCACCTATAGTAGCAGCCTCTTATTATCGATAATGATGATCAAAAACTTGGCACTTGGGTAATATTTCGATCAGTTATTATCCAGGAACCATCGCCTTTAATTTTGTATGTCACTGGCGGTCCGATAACCTCGTCACACTCTCATCTGAAGAGGCATTATGATCATGTACTAGGTATGCTATGGATGTCTTGTACCTACACCACCTTTGAATCTCACTCACATTCTCAGTATCCGACTTCAACACCCACCATCAAGCCCAACACGAACTCCAACTGCCGCCAAGTACAGTGACTGCTACCCCATCTCTGCAGACGAGTACACCCTCTTTGACGCGCTTGTGTCCAATTGTCCAATGGCGTAGCTAGCGCTTCCGATTTCTTACATGCTGTATCGTATTTCTCGAGAACCCTTTGCTTGTCAGAACTGACCTGACCTGAACACGGGCGTGGCAAAGATGGATGCTTCGTAATGTCTCAATCTGCGACGCTATTCCCAACCAAATTCTCGGCTGTGTGCTTGGAGAGTCACGCAAGCGATGATATGCGTGGGGGTATTGTCACGATTCTCTGTTACTGTACTGTAGTCTGTATTATGTCTCGTGAAAATGTATCGGCATCATCGAGCCGTAAACCGAGGCTGTCACCATAAATATCTTGGCCGCCACATCCGACATGTTCCTCTGACCGCTGCCATCATGACTGGTCTGTATCACGTTGTCTTGTGTAGTTGAGGCTCCGTTGTATAACTTTACTAAACTCTGACATGTTCGCACATGCCAATAGCCTGGTCCTTCTGTCAATGTACTGTAGTGACTTCTCGGCTCTAGGTTGTGTTACGAAGCACCACTGTCTGTCTTTACTTAGCCGACGAACCTTGACGTACTGTACAACCCCCTCTGCATGTACTATTTTCCCCTCTATGATGCTTCAGTGAGAATACATGATTCCTTCATGTTGAGGGAAGAGGCTGTCACAGGCAAATCACAAGCTCAACCACTGTCGCTATTGCGTGTTTAGCTGCGCCGCATCGCCAGGAGAATGCCACTTCAGGGTCCGCAATCTGCAAGCCGCCCGCCACCAGCTGCAGTCGGTCGATGTAAGTTGCGTCGTGAGGGTGTAGAGGCTCAATTTTTTAGTTTTTCCGCCCTAATGTTCCGGAGCATTTTGCAAACTGCAGCATCGTGGAGCTTTGTCTGTAATGATATTCAGCTGTATATTGCTGTTGTGTCTCTACTCCCAGCTTTTCCATTGTGCAGTACACGTAACCGTTCTGTAGTCTATGACTCTTTAGATATTAATGATTCGTACATCTCAGAGCTAAATACACGGCATGTGGGAGAGATACTCCAGCTTTCCACGACGACGATGGAGCAGTTTTTAAACATATAAGCTCGGTCGAGTAGTCTAACTTACTTGTTGGGTCTGCTTCTGTTTTTGACATGCGTGTTCGTCGTCTTTTGAGCGTCATGGCCTTCCCACTATAGCTTTGAGTTTTTCGCAAATGCAAAGCTAATCGAAGTGAAACACTCGGTCGAGATCTTAGTCGAGGTAATGGGGCAGAGCCGCAAAACAAACCTTTTATGGACGAACCCAATCGAGACTTTTGACTACATAGGTCCGGCTTGCCACGAAATCTCTATTTTGATTACTTGATGAGATGTGGCTCTTGTGAACAGATGAAATTATGGGTGCAATCTTCAGATGGGATGCTGATCTAGGGTAGGCATATCTCACAATGCTTTGCCATGTCTTGTCTGGGGAAAGTTGTAACAATAGCGCTTTAAAGCTGACCACTCACGGTCTTCAGCTCTCGCAGGTGGCACCGCAGGGTGGCCCAAGCTCCCTAGCTCTATGTCATCGCCTAAGTCGGATGCGTCTCTGATCCTTGAGATACGCATCATCAGCCTTGCCAATACAATATCAACATTCACAACAAACATCGATACCTGCATACCAAGCCTCGCAACGCTGCTTCAATACCCGCGACTGAATAACTGAGCCTGGAGCTCTCTATAATATCTTCGATTTACCTGCCGATGTGACTAGTTGACCGAAAGGTCCCTTCCGGCCCCTCCGGCTTCGACCGCACTCAGCCTGTCGATATGGTCGCGATATCAGGCTTTCGGAGTCTCTCGACTCCTGTGAATCGAACTCGACGTATTCCTATGATACTAGGAGGTGTTGCATTCTTCATTATGTGTATCATCTATCTCCTTCTCTCCATCGCACCTTGTATGGTGTATGGGAATTGCTACCGTGGTTATTCGAGTGCTTACAGCTTCGATGCTGACTTGGCTCACAACCCGACCTGGATGGCCGAGATTCCCGACGATGTATTCCTTTCGAGCCTTAGTATACCGGGCACACATGACACAATGACCTACGAGATAGGAACAGAGGTTCTGCAGTGTCAGAACTGGAACCTGACTACCCAGCTGGAGGCAGGTATTCGTTACTTCGACATCCGCGCTCGTGTGCGTGATGACGAGTTGCATATTTACCATGCTAATGGCTACACCGGCTTCAGCTTCGAGGATGTGGTTGGCTATATGAACGACTTCCTGGATAGGAACCCTTCTGAGACGATCATCATGCGCCTCAAGCAGGAAGGTAACGGCATTGGAGACAACAACACTCTGTCATTCGAAGCCGCCTTCAACAAATACCCACTCGGAGATCGACTGTACAACTACAGCGCTTCCGAACCTCTGCCAACTCTTGGTAGTCTTCGTTCCAAGATCTTTGTTCTTCAGAACTTCCCAGCTTGGCGAGGAGGGCCATATGGTGTGAAGTGGGAAGGTCATCAAATGGTTCTAGAAGATAAATGGATCATTCCTGATATCTACCATCTGTCGGAGAAGTGGACTGCGATCCGCGATGCTCTCGAACTCGCCGCAACAGCAGCTCTCGACAACAAAGTCCTCTATTTGGCACATATTTCAGCCTCTGTCGGTGTCTTGCCCATCGAGGCTGCGGCTGGACCTATGAACCGAACTGTCACTGGTATGAACGACATGACTGGCCAATGGATTAAAGATTTTGAAGACAACGAAGACACCACCAGGACTGGAATCGTCATCATCGATTTTCCCGGCAAGAAGTTCATTGATGCCATTCTTCGATGGAACAAGTCATATACGAAGAAGCGGGCATAAGCCCAAGCCGATTATTGGCTGTGCTCAAGCCCTCGCCTGGGACTAAGGCCTCATGTCTTGATACACCAGACACCTCAAAGCCCGGTCGTTGGTTATTGTCAAGCTTTCCCATCTGAGACTGACGTCTCACCCCTCACTCATGGAATCGATACCCCACAGCATTGTGTACCCTAGCTAGCTCTCTAAATTACAATCGTCAGCGTGGCTGAACAAATATCACTAACAGCAAATAAAAATTTTGTTAGATGAAAAGAAGATGCATGTTCAAATGAGGATTATCCAATTTACCCCCCCGTTGATCAATTCCTCATCATGCCCCTGCATCTGACGTGGATACTGTGGCGTCCGGATGCGTTTCACCAGGGCATTTCACTGAGTCAAAGAGACAAGATCGTCAGGGACAGAAACACCAAAAATCAAGGCAGAGTCTGAATAACGAAACAAAGTACAGTACATAAAGTAGGTACAGTACACGCTTTCGGTCTGTGTCCACCCTGTCTCGATTTCTATCAATCAATCGCTGACTGTTCCGAACCCGGTGCGCGTTTCTGACACACCTTGAAATGTGAATGTGTTGTTCTGTGCGTGGTTGGCTATGACGTTAAGACTGAGATCGACATAATGTAATTGTCAAGTTGGGACGTTGATGTAGTAACTTGGTCAAGATGAAATTACTCTGATGGTTATAGGCTGAGTGAATGATCTGATATGTATGTGAAATTACACACGTTGGTTACCCGGTATCGAAGGACTAACTAAACGAGGTGAGAACTATGGGCTATTGCTCTGTCTTCCAAGGCCAGATCGAGATAGAAGCTGAAGTTGTCAGACATGGCCTACGATCGTAGAACAAGCAAATCTGAGTCTCAGTTATAGCTGTCAGTGTTGAGTGATGGCACTCGGAACGTAGAGTTATATCTTCGCTTGACATGTCAAACTACAGTAGAGTACACGGCACTGAGTAAGAAGAGTGCGTATAATCTGAATATTTTCTAGCCTGATACTATTCGATAGGCTTAACTGCCTGAACCGTTTTATACCCCCTAATGCAAGAATCCTACAATACTTTACAAGGCCTCTTTCTAGAAACCTGACTCCCAAAGTCTTTTTACTCTAGTTTGTATCGCTGAAACAGGCAAGCAAATTCGCTGCCCAAAGGGTATCTGCACTCCCTGAACGCCTTGCAACTAAAACACCTGACCCCCCCAAAGCCAATTCTAATAGACACAAGAGTCTGATGTAACTCTTTATTTCGAAGCATTGCTGAAACCGACTGATTCAATATGATATGTTGTTGAGACCAAGTGAAGTCTCCAAGGAGCATGTGTGCATTTGTGTAAAAGCAGTAATAATTGTAGTAGTAGTAAAAGGAGATGTGTACTGATAATGCAAAGGTCGAAAAGGAGCATAATGCGACAAAAGTCCTGATAAACGCCCTGGAAATGCGACTCGTCTGTTGTCCATCCGTTCGTTCCTGATCAGACTGCTTCGTCGTGTCCGAAGTCCTCCTCTGCGGGTCGTATCGTTATTGTATATCCATGACCAAACTCGTATTCTCCTTTTTCTTTTCTCTGTCTTTTCGTTCTCTCGTACTCAAAAACATGCCGACTTCCTTGCTTCATTCAATTTATGTCTTTCATCGTCGGGGCCTCTTCTCACGATCACTCGATAAACTTCCAACTCCTTCTTCGCTTCTTCTCTTTCGTCCACGATCCTCTCGCCCATCGCGGCGATCTTCCGGTCGCAGCCCTCCATCACGCTGTCCTCCACGACCGCCTCCTCTACCGCTTCCTCCCCAATCTTCACCACTTCGGCCACTTTGACCATCACCTCTGTGTCGCCCTTCACGACCTTGAACAAGGTCTCTACCACCTGCTGGAGGAGGGCCCATAGGCTCTCGTGGAGCACCGCTTTGATCCCTGTTAGATCTCCTAGATTCCCTCTCTTCTCTGCCACCTTCGCCAGCTCCTGATCGACGGTCCCGATATTCACGATGTTCCTTGCCCTCACGTTCTCGGCCTGGACTACGATCCCGCTCTCGTTCACGACTTCCTCGACGTGAAGCGCGGCTGGACCTACTCTCACGGTCACCACGGCGACTTCGGTCATGCTCGCTACGACCTGAGCTTTCCTCCCCATTGGCGGGCGCCCGGCTTGACGATTCGTTCCTGATAGGATCTTGCCGTTCTTGAGCTGGTGTAGCAGTAGGAGAACCCCCAGTCAAGACTTGAGCATCAGAATTGCCAAGGGTTTGGCGTGAATGACGACTTCTTCCGCTGTTGCTTCGGCTCACATCCGGCATATTGGCCTGCGCTTGTTGCAGGGTGCTGTTGATGCCTGCGAGCTGTCTCCGCCCACCACCGTTGCGAACACGCTCGTTTGAGGAGGCTGGACCGGTGGGTACATTAGGCTCGCCAGCTGGTGATCCTGCGTAGCTGCCAGGTGTTTGTCGTTGTCCAGGGCCAGGACCTCGGTCGGGAGTGTTAGTTCCAGGCATTGACTGGCGATTGTGGCCATGATTATGACCATGAGGATGAGTTGGTGGCGGTCCAGGAGGAGGCGGAGGGACTGCACCGACTTGGGCACCGATTTGTGCTAGACGCTCTGGATGGACCCCTGAAGGTGTAGCATTAGTGGATGCAGGAGAAGGCAGACCCTGGCTGGGGCCGGCGTTTCTCATCCGGTTTTGAGGGCCGCTGGGCGTGCCTGAAGGCGTGACAGGGCCGTTATTCTGCTCGAATCCACGTCTTCCTCTGCCTGACGCCGCCGGACCAGTTGGTGGAGGTCGATCCGGAGTGGGAGGCCGTTCGCCTTCCGCACCAGCAAACCTGCCGTCAAGTCGACCTGGCAGCCCTTGAGGTCCACCATGACCTCTATTTGAGCCTCGTCCACGGGCTCTTGGTCCGTAAGGGATCTCAGTGACATTCTGTATCGAGTTGAGACGTCCATAAGAATCATCTTGATGGGGTGGCTTGTGCTCAGGCTCAGGAACTCGAGAAGGAGTTCCATGAAAACTAGAAGCATCGCGACCCTTAGGTGCAGAAACTCGCTCAGCCTCACGGTCCATTGGTCTATCGCCGCGGTATGGCGATCGCTCCCGAGGATCTCTTCCAGAAGAAGGCCGGTGTTCCGCAGGATAGTTGCGATCATGTCGGTCTTCACGTCCACCTTCTGGCTGACCACTCTCATGCCCATACCGACCTCCTCGTCGAGGAGATTGAACGCGAGCGTTGTGGTCTCGTGGCTCGTTCCGAGGGGCGCGTGAAGGTGTGTTGTCTCTGTTGCCCATCAGGGCTGCCCTCTCCGGATTGATCGTATCCATTGGCTCCACGGGAGCGTTCTTACGACCTCTACTAGCCCGGTCAGAGTCCGGTGCACGAGCCCGTTCGTTGTCTTGAGCAAACAGCGCAGCTCGCTCGGGGTTGATATGTGGCTCAGGTGCCTCGACAGCTGCAGCGGGTGCTGTAGGGGCTGGGGCAGGCGTTTCGTTCAAGCGACCATGATCGTGACCTCTACCGCTCTTAGAATCTCTAGTTCGGTCTCGCTCATGTTCGCCACGACGACTTGATCCGTCAGTTCGAGATGATTCCCGGCCGTGATCTTGCGTTCGTCGCTCAGAGAAGTCGCGTGAACGATCGGGACGAGCAGGATCAAAATTTCGAGAATCGCGCTGATCCCGGGATTCACGAGGTTCTCTAGGCTCACGCTGATCTCGAGCATCGCGAGGTTCCCTGGGCTCACGAGAATCCCTAGAGCGTGCGTCTCTGGGCTCTTTACCATCACGACGCTCATGTCCGCGGGATTGGTTAAATCTTTCGGGAGTGTAGTGCGCGGGAATAGGCACATCAGGTCGACTGGGGAGGGTATGAGGTGGCCGTTCCGGAAGCGTGTTGGGTCGAGAGTCGTGCTTCGCGCCAGCACCGGCTCCAGAATTATTATTGGAGGCGCGGGGACCAGATGGTGTATGGTCGCGTTTCGAATCCCGAGACGATCCTGGCTTGGCTGGCAGCAAGTCCTTCGCCGGACCTGTGGGCTTCATCGGATCTGTCGCGGAATTCTTGAGGTCTTTGCCATCCTTGACCTCTCCGTCTTCCTCCTCAGCAGTCGTTTGCTTCCCTCTTGATTGCCTAGTTCTGTTAGACTTGATAAATCCTTGTCAGAGATATCTACTTACTTGCTGGGACCGGGCTTGAATTCCGGCGCAGTTGCACGCAAATTGGTCGTCTTGTCTGCTTCGTTCTGGGCAGCGCCAGCCTATTAAGGGTCAGCAATGTCCGTGAATCTAATATCGTAGCACTTACACCACCAGGGCGGAAAGCCTGAACCATAACCCATTTGGATTTCCTCCTCTGAAGTTCTGACATGGCACCCTGAGCAGCGACTGACAGATCGACACGTCCGCCAACCTCGCTATCAGGAGAAGGTTTGGCAGCACTCTCTTGCTTGGTGATAGTTTGGAGAAGGCTTGAAAACTTTGTAGCCATAAAGTCGATAGCTGGGAAGAAATCGAGGACCGCCTTCAGAACTGTGATGGCATTTCGAATATGCATCCATTCTGTACCCTCCAAACAAGAACGCAGAGCGCTATTGAGGTTCTTGTGCCAGCGGAAGAGCAAGTCACGGAATTGTTCGTGTTCAACAAAGGTCAGTGGCTTGTCATTGTCATCAAAAGTCAGAGCGAACCCAAGGCGGGGCTGATCGGGTGGTCCCTTGGCCTCCTTCTCATACACACCCAATCTTGGCTGGTCTCTTGACTTGTCCTTTTCATTGGGAACCGTCGCGTTCTTGTGCCAACGCGATAGATCTTCGAGAATAAGCTTCAGAAAGCGACCGAGATACTCGGCCTCCATGACTGTAGATGTGAAAATAAGGGCCCTCAGGCGGTTGGCGTTGAACAGACGGTCGTAGAGTGACATCAACTGGAAGCCTGGGGCATTACCTTCGTGCAGTGCCTTGATAAACTTGTATGTATACTCAGCATCAGCCTTGGAGAGAAGCATGCGAGGGATGAAGCATTGCTCGAGTAAAATATCGGATATGGTATCTGGCTTGGCTCGAGGTTCTGGGAAGGACGTTTGGAACTGCTTGTTCAGGTAAATTTTCCATTTCGCCTGGCGCAGAAGATGTTCACTGTTTTCTTCTGAAAGCCCGATCTGGAGCTGCATAAGCTCCTTTCGTTTTTCCACTTTGCGCTCTTGTCCACGCCTTGACATGTCGCTTCGATCTCGTGAGATAGCGACCTCTTCAGCTCTGAGGCGATCTTTCTCCTGTCTATAGATTTTGTCTGGACAATAGAGGTCACCTAGCTGAAGAGCCCAGAAGTTCGCATAGAGCTCTGGGGTAATCTTCTGCCAGATCTCAGGACGGACAGTATCTTGAATGGCATCCACAATGGGCTGTAATGTTGACTTGGCAAGAGAGGAATCTTCCGACTTCTGTGATTGTTGTGAATTAGTTGCGGGGTTCGGTGCTGGTGAGTTTTGAGCACCAGCCTGTTCTTCAGCCTGCACTGCCTCTTGGCTGGGTGTTTCGTTGCCACCGGATGCAGCAGGTGTATCAGACATTGAAACATCGCCTTCTTTGTCTGTAGATTGCGTGACCTGAGCCTTTTCCTTCGCCTCGTCAACCTTCTTCTGTTTCCACGGATGCATGCGATGAGAAAGGCTGGCCCTGCCAATCAGAAAAGCCAGACTAGGGTCGAGGCCGTACGAATGGATGAGTTCAGGAATGGAGGGAACGAGGTCGTCGAAGGTCGATGGGTCCATGTTGCTCCAGAGCAAGTCGAGGTATTGAACCAAAATGCGATGCGAATCGTCAATCATCGAGGATAGATATTTAATGTGGGCTTCGTCTTCCGGCACCTGAAAGGGAGCTGCTTGTCGGTACTGTGCCAGGTTAATGAGTAACTGCGCGGCAAGCTTGGACTCCGTCAAGGCTTGGATGAGACGCTTTGAACTCTTGATGTTCTCGAATCGCTTATCCTGGCCGCGAATTAGAGTATGGCGTCGCAGGTATTCACCTCCAGCCATGGATAAGATTTGAAGGTCAGTGAAATCAACCGAGTCAACAATACCACCCATCGAGGTGATGAGCTCTTTTAGAATGATGAGGTCGGTGGAGTTGCCCTGAATGAGCTGATGATTGACATATTGCAAGACTGGCGTGGCGTTAAGAACTGTGTATCGTCGAAAGACTCTGCCAGAGAATCTTGACAAGGCCTGTAGCCATTTGCTGGTAGTAAGAGCGTGTTCAGCTTGAGTACGACTCCTTGATTTGCCAAGAGAGCTCATCAAGGACCATACAAGCACATCGTAGGAGAGGTCTGTAAAGTACTTGGCGCACTCCACAAAAGCGTCGATCAGGTTTGGATAGGACTCCAATTGCTCGAAAGCAACCCTGAAAACGATACCAGGAGATGAGTAACTGGTTTTGGCGAGTTGCTTAGCCATTTCACTCAAATTCGTGAGAGAAACTCGCTTCATGGTGCCCCTGGTTTCCGACGTGGCCTTTGCAAAAGCTGCCTTCATAGCGGGCAACCGAGAAATCTGTCCCTCAAACCATTCGGCGTACATGGAGTAGCGAGTAGTCATGGGATAATGCCTTAAGAGCTCCCAAATTGCGTTGACAGCTGAAGCGTTGGCCTTGGTATGACTCAAAGCTGGCATCAGCAGTCGTCGAAGTAGATCGTGCCATCGGGTAAGATTGTGCTCTGATTTGTCCTCAGCAAGACTCTTCGCTCCAATTCTGGCCAATTTGGTCAACAGAGCCTCGTCCTTGCCAATATTGACACCAGAAATGTTGAGCAGTGTCCCGCAGAGAGTGAAGATATCATCCACGGTCTGACAAACAGGGATGTTGTCAGCCCACTCGTCCCAGTAGTATCGATAATTTTGCGATTCGTTGGTGTCGACTTTATCCGGGAATGGCCACCTTAGAGACTTGCGGGTTGTTAATCTGCTCAACCGAACACTGCCTTTGGGAAGCCCGGACTGATCGAAATCCGGAACAAATTTGGTTGGACATCCAGTCTCGCCGACCAAGACAGGTCGGCTGTCGCGGAAGACCTTGTCAACGCAATGATGAAGAATGCGATGAATCCTTTCGAGGACCTCGGGGAAGACCTCTGGGATCCATGGGAAGCGACCAAGAATGAATAGCGATTCGGGAATGGCTCCTATGGTCAATAGTTGGGTGAGCAATGCCACCTTTTGTTCCAACGGTTCTGGCAGTTTTGGCTTGTTGTCTGCAGTCTCTGTGGCAGCCTCCTTCGTTTCTGCTTCAACCTTCTTGGGAAGTTCTCGTCTAGGCAGATTCGAGCTATTGGGGTTATCATCGTCGCCTTGAGGCAGGACACCAGCCATGAGAAGGGCATTCATCGGACCACCGCGAGAAGATCGTTCTTCCTCCTCGATCCTCTTCATCTCCTTTTCTTTGACTGTTTCCATGTCTTCATCAGCTGGCGAAAGATGCGGGTATAGGTCGGTCAAGGAGATAAATCCAATCTTGACAAGAAGAGCAGCTAAGTATAAAAGATTGGCGGGGAGTACGTCTGTCTGGTCGCGAGCATCGGAGTTGTAGAAACGCAACTTGAAGCCGAGTAGTTGTGCAGCCGTTCTGTTGCCAGGGGGTGGGAGGGTTTTGGTTTCCTGCACCCACTGCCTTTCAATATCAGCGGCAGCATCATCGCCCTTGGCACCGTTGGTGATGGTAAGTTGTTGCGAGTCGGAGTCGGCGACTTGTCGACCACCAAGCTCAAAGAAAGCCTCCATGTGAACTTCCCGAGCTCGATCCCAGAAAGCAATATCTCGAACTCGCTTCTTCTCCTCCAAGAGCTTCTCATCGTCTTCCGTCGTTGTCCACTGCGAGTAGTCTGGGGTTGCCCACAAGGGTAAACCACCAACATAGACTGCGGCACTGAATTTGAGATGAGATCGAGGCCACCAGGAGCTAACACGTAGAAATTTGACGAAGAATTTGAACTGCTTGATGAGAACAGCAGCTGCAACGTCGAGGGTGACGTCCAATACCCTGCCGACGTCAAGATCGAAGGTACCGATAAGAGCCTTGATTCGTTCGAAGGTCTGTTCTGCCATTTCGGGAGGAGGGGGAGTCACACTGCTAGTTGTGAAAAGTTCCGTAATGAGCTTTGAATATCCTTCCGTCTCCTCGCGAAGCAGGTTGTAGTTGGCTTGTCGGTATAGAAGGTTTGTTGCTTGTTTGATACCTAGTTTGACAAAGTTATCTCTGATAAGTCCTATCCGCTGCAAGACTTCAGCTTCGAGCACCTGTCGCATTAGGTTGGACGACACGCCAGATGTCAGGACGAATTCGCGAAGAGTCGGCCTGTAAATGGCGGGCTCGTTATCCATGACTATGGACAAGGAGTCAAGAAATAGAGTGTGGGGAGCGAACGCGTATGAATCCTTAATAATCTCCGTCGTTTCGTCACCAAGAATTTCCTTGACGCAGGCACCTGCATCGGCTGGTGGTAATCGAGCTTCGACAACTGCGTGCACGAACTCTTGGAACAAGCTTGACAGCTCCGTGATGTCAACATCTTCCCGCGACTGCTTTCCATGCTGAATGATTGCATTCCGACCACTCTCAGCCCAAGCGCTAATCTTCTCGTCCGTAAGATTATTATAGCGATAGTTAGAACGGACCGGAGAGGGCGGTCGCAACAGCGGAGGCGGTGCATAAGTAGGTCTTTTTATCACTGGCGCAGGGGGAGGTGGTGCCGGTGGCTGTGGTGTATGAGAAGAGCTGGGTCGTCGTTGCGTTGATGAAGGGTTCTGTTGATGATTCGGGGGTCCTCGGTTTTGACCTTGAGATGAATCGCGTCGACCGGGACCTCTAGGCCCTCTGCCGCGACCACGAGCCATGTTATCGTCGCGGTCGTGTTGTCCAAGTGCGGTATCACCGGGTCGATGAGGAGAAGATCGGCCGCCTTCAACGGAATGGCGATCACTTCTCTTTCGTTTACCCGGAGGCATAACTCGTGATAATGAAGTCGTAACCGAAAGCGATGATTACCTCATTAGATGGTATCGTGGTTATGTTGCGATGTCGGATATTATGGATGTCAAGGTCTGGAAGAGAAAAAATGAGTTGAAAGTTTCGAAAATAGCGGAGGGAGCAGCATTTGTTGCTATCAAGGCTGCGGCGCGGATGAAGAAAGACTGACTTTTGACGACAAGGAGTTCGGGTGGGGAAGGTAATAGTCGCGACAAAGCTGACAAGGGAAAGACTGAAAGAAAAGAAGTTGGTAGTAGTACAAGAGTGCGCAATTATCTTCTGACCTGATAGAAAGAAGCAAGATACGTGTGCGATTGGTTGTTTGCGTTGGGTGAGCCCAGTCGCGATGGGTTTGAGAAGAAAGGAATAAAGCAAAGAAGCTCCAACAAAGCAAAAGCACGGATGGAATTACATGTCACGACGTATTGGCAGCCTTATCCTTTACTGGGGAAACGAGGCTGCCAACCACTGGAGGCCAGTCGGCCAGTGGCAGGCACAGCGCCCGCACGGACCACCTCCAGCGGACTCGATGGTACGTACCGTTCTATTGGGATTCATCTTTTGGGTTTCAGGATTGAATGGCACTTAAGTTCTGAGTTTGATACTTATTGAATGACACGCGGTTTAGTTTGACAATAGACATGACGAGCCTGAACATTTAAATTGAGTTAGGTAATGGAAAATCATCTTATTGTACCTGATTTGAGCCTGGAAACTATCAATTTGATATTGCCGGACCGTTCCCCAGGCTCACGTCGGCACGTGATCGCCACAGCCTCCGTTGCCGGCCAAATCGTGCATCAAAGAAAGCATCTCAATTGGCTGAGTCATGGCATTCATGGAGACCAGCCAGAATTACGCCATAGCAAGGCCCAGGTTTTTTCACCTAAAAACTCATAGAATCACTTCTTTTGGGATAATTGAGTTTCAAAGCACTATTGACTAACATATCTATACCCGAAAGGTCCCAATTTTTATCGGGTTGAGTCACTCTGAGATTGAGCGACTTCAATATCAAACTTTAAGACCTGGAGCGACCCTGGTCCGATCTTTCTGTATAACCTCTCACAAGTACATCAGTGCAGACATCGTGGAGAGACTTCGACAACCTCATACGATCATGCCAGCTGTGACTATGGCTGAAAACACTACTCTAAACGGCGATTCTCGTCAACATTATGGTCAGTATTTACCTTTACCATTGCATGCTTCCTTCAGCATCTCCCTCTTCTCTTCCCTCTTCCTTCATCCCTTTCATGCCCTTCTCCCCTCATTATTATAGAAGACCGGTGACTGAATACCTGTAAGAAAGAACGCAATCACAGCCCGAGAACCCGTTCTCTGCTCTCATTCCTGAGCAGCAGATAGCGATTGTTCCAGAATTCACTCTCGAGTCCGGGGTTACACTCTATAACCTACCGGTTGCTTATACAACTCGCGGCAAACTCAATGAAGAGGGCAATAATGCCATGGTAATCTGCCATGCTCTCACTGGAAGTGCCGATGTGGGCGACTGGTGGGGTCCTCTACTTGGAGGTCCTGGTCGAGCTTTTGACACTTCGAGATTCTTTATTGTTTGTATGAACAGTCTTGGCAGTCCTTATGGCACTGCAAGCCCAGTAACCGCCAAGGATAATGATCCAAGCAAGGGCCGATATGGACCCGAGTTCCCTCTCACCACAATTCGAGATGATGTCAAGTGAGTTCAGATTCCTATAATCTCGACACCTGCGTTCATGTTCGCTTGAACAAGAAACAATGGCTAACTATTGACAGCCTTCACAAGCTCATCCTTGATGATCTAGGCGTGAAGCAACTTGCTGCCGTTGTTGGAGGTTCTCTTGGTGGCATGTTTGTGCTTGAGTGGGCATACTTTGGCAAGGACTATATCCGATGCATCGTCCCTATCGCGACCTCAAGCAGACACAGCGCCTGGGGTATCAGCTGGGGTGAGGCTCAACGACAGAGCATCTACGCCGACCCCAAGTACGACGATGGATATTATTCCTTCGATGACCCCCCTTCCACTGGTCTAGGTGCGGCTCGTATGTCTGCTCTGCTCACATATCGAAGTCGTAACTCTTTCGAGTCCAGATTTGGACGCAACATCCCTGACCCATCCAAGGTCCAAACCATTGGAGGTCGACCTCGCCCCTCAACTCCCTCAGAGGCACACTTCCATATTCACAACGATGGCCATGTTGTAAAGCGTACATCGATATCTCGTCAGAACAGCACAACTGATGCAGCCTCAAGTGCTGAGTCACCTGCTCTGCCCGACAGCGTGGCGGATCCCCAATTCCATGGACCTACCAATAGCAGTCTCACTGGAGGAGAGATGCCTCAGTCACACTATTTCTCTGCCCAGTCGTATCTACGATACCAGGGACGTAAGTTCGTTACGCGATTCGACAGCAACTGCTACATTGCCATGACTCGTAAGTTGGACACGCATGACGTGTCACGCAACCGAGCAGACACCATTGCAGATGCACTAGCTATGATCCAACAACCCACGCTTGTTTTGGGAATTGAGAGCGATGGCCTCTTCACTTTTGCTGAGCAAGAGGAGATCGCACAGCACGTACCTAATGCACGCCTCGAGCGAATCGAGAGTCCTGAGGGTCACGATGCATTTTTGTTGCAGTTTGAGCAGGTCAACAACTATGTTCTCTCATTTTTCAAGGAGGTCTTGCCTGATATCATGTTTAAGGATGGCGAAGCACCTGAGGAGGCCAGTGTTGGACAAATCACCAAGTCGAGCACATTTGGAGAAGCTGAAGTTGAGGATATTACTGCTTGGTAGATTGCTTGGAGTAATATCAGGATGGCGCTCGATGCCGTACCGCAGAAAACATTAGACAAGAATGAAAATCATGATGACGAGTTTGAATATGCACAATTGGATTGTTAATGCGTTGTCTTCTAACCGAGTGATTGCTTCATCGAATCTTATGTCAGACCAGGCTGTCTTGTGACGATTTCTAGGCACGAATAGCATGCAACATCGCCGATTATATTAGGCAGGCAGCGCAAGTCTAACAGAAATTCACATTGGAGCCTTAGGGAGTCCAAGATAATTAATCGGAAATCTCCCACATTCACCTTGAGCCTATCCTAAGCTCGTCTAATATTATTATTACTGTGGGATCGAGATCGAAGTTCCCAAATTCCCTGGACGAGAGAGAGAACCACTGACTCATACCACATCTCAGCAACTGGGATGTCTAAAGTGCACAATGAATGTTGTAAGACTTGCAAACTTGAACCCATTGCAGTTAAACCACAGGATCTCGAAGCCATCCAAGATCACCTTCTATCAGTTCACGTTCTAGTTGAGACAATGCTAGGCTTCGGCACTGAAGTTGAGCTCTGTATCGGTACTTAGACATGTGGGTAAACCCATTCTAGAACACGCACACATATTGTTCTAGAGTGACAATGGAACCATGCGATGCAGCCAATGACAAGTGCCGAGTCGATCATCACGATGCTACCCGTCCACTTATTAACAGCATCCACCGCCTAGCGATACAGGAATACGCGAGTCCGCGGATGTGTGCGAGACATTGAGGGACAGGCCACAACTGTCTCAGGACCTACAGGAAAGAATCTAGAAGGGTCTGAGAAGTGTTGAAACTTTGAAGCCTGAAGAAGCATTACACGATAGTCAATGTCCGTTAACTGGACTCGTGTTTCCTGTTCGTGGTGCTATCTGGTAGCTAGCCACACTAATCAACCTTCTTTCCCCTGAATGCCACCATGTTTTTCACAATGGTATTCACAATTATCGATATTTGATCTTGTCACATTCACGGCGTGAAGCCACCGAGTACATGGCGCTCTATGTTCCACGATAAACGATCGTGGTGGCGGCCAAGCTAAAACATGAGGCCGTCCCGAGTGACATGCCTGGAATGTAGATTGATGAAAACAGGACAAATTTGATCAGATACACCAATAGTATGGGCACTTCGCTTATTGACGCTCGATGCATTTCTCTCCGAGAGCTGTGTTCCTGGCTGCTGAAGGTTCATGGTTACTGGATTCGAAGGCTACGGCCGTTGAGGGATCTATTTCTGTCGGGTGCCGCAATTAATTTTGATATCCATTTCAACAAACACGGATTGAAGATTTAGATGACACTCCGGGCTTACGGGAGCCTTGTTTGTCTTGGGAGACAGCGTAGGGTGTTGTTGTGAACCATTATGAACTGGATGTTGGTTGAGACGACGACACGACACGACACGTTGGCACGCCATTAGAGTCACTGCACATGAGAACATGGTGTAATAGTTTTCAACCTTTCACATGAGGTCCAGACGCTGGCCAGGCATCTCTCTCGTCAGGCAATTCTGAGAGATTGGAATGTGAATCATGTCGAAGAAGCATCTTCGGCACATGTCCTAACTCCATATCACATGTAGCAACTACAAGAGAACATCGTAGAACCGCCAATGTCTTATGATGATGCACTCTGTCTCTGCTCTTCCAATTACATACCGAGACATGCGCTTAGGCTACTTAGGCCTGCACCGCAAATGTTTCTCGACGTGGAACACTCTGATAGCCCACTGGCCCACTGACTGAGGAATTACTCAGCGCTACGGTATCGTCTACAACAATCCTATGAGGTAAAGGATTCGTAAACCTTTTAAAGTGAGGCACTGCACAATACAAAAGTCGTGACAAGGCAGTGGAGGGCCTTGTGGAAAGTAAACACACGTGGAGCACCGATTGGTTGAATTAGATAGAGGAACCAAACCTTGGCCCCTGTCAAATTCTAAGCGAAACAAGAGCTGAGAAGTTAAAAAGGCAACAAGGCGAGAAGCTGGACGTGGTGAGACGAGGTGAGAATCCATAAGCGTCGGGCGTTGTACCTATGTTGGTCCAATTCGGTCGGAATTCATTCTCGACCGAGATGAAATTGAAAACGATGGGGGTTGAAGGGAGTGGCTAGCTTGGCCTTGAGTCAAGAAACCGTGCATAGTAAACAGAAAAATCTGTAGCAAATTGCCTAGAGGTATTCTTTAGGTAACGGTTTCAAGCGGCAAGCGTCGCAGATTGATAGGATTAGCAAAGCAAATCCAGGCACAGAGCAACAAGACCCGTAATGCGTTACTCTTTTCGTTAATATCAGGCGAGAGCCATTGTTCTTTCTGAGATCCATGCATACCGTGGCAAACTTGAGAATGCGGCTAGAAGCATTTTCGAAGCTGATATGGTGGAGTTTCTCTGACTGACAAAGTAACGTGCAAAAGATGGGGCCCTTGTCTTGTTTTCTCTTGGAGAATCAGAAAGAGGAAACCCGGTGTCGTTTCACATGATTGAGTAATGGATAAGCCAGAGTCAGAGTCACGTTTATCGTGTTACACTGTTATCCGTGTTTCTTTATGCGACAGCTGTGCACGACCCAGTCGGGAGTGATCTTGTCGTATGCCGGAAGCCGTCCGTAGGCTCTTTTACGATTGTGTAAGGAATAAACCCACTGTATTTGTCTGGGCGGGTTGCACAATGTGTAGCGTTTACGTACAAGCAAGCAGAGAATACGCCCGTTTCGGTGCCTTTTCCTGTCATCATGTTGTTGATGGACTGCACGTGTTGATAGGCCTCGACACGAGATGAGGGGAAATTCGATAACGATGTTGTGTGAGTGTGATGCAGACAACATTGCCGATCTTTTCAATCCATCGTCATCGATGTGATGATGCCTTCGGATGTATGATACGAATTCAGGTCATCCATCACACGCGTCGATCAAAGGGCGTGAATAGAAGTGAAAGAAACGCCGGTCAAATCATGAAAGTTGCCGTTCGGCGAGATCTGCGACCAAGTGACCGCGGTGAGATTGAGTGGTGAGCCCAATGCGGAATGATGCGGATGATGGATCCCATGGAACGACTCTATTGCTTCTGGAAGCCTTCCCATGCAAGGGGAGGCAAGAAAACTTACGACATCTTTTCTAAGTGATAAAAAAGCTTAGGTAAGGTGAGTATATCTTAGCAAGCCTTTAGGTCAGTTTATTTTGGCACCCTAGTCTAACGTCAGAAGTTTTCTTGCTCCCTAGCAGAAGCAAACCTCATGGATCGATGCCTTAGGCACAAGGTTTGTCAGTGATTTGTTCTGGAAAAACAAGGGCCAAGGGGTCTTCCTTGTCTGACAAGTCAAGTCTGACGGAGTGCATCACATCTAATTTCTGTAACATGGCGTCAAATTTGGGAGTTGAAAAAGGTCAAGCGAACCAGGGTCGAGATGTCCCTGCGTAATAATAATCACGAAATAGCCTCTTTGACATGCAAGCCTCTTATTGAATAGACTCTGTATATGACATCCCAAGTCTCACCACACCCAAAAACTCACGACAAAAACGACCCTGTTCATTCAAGTGGGGGGCAGCCATCTCAGTGTAAGACGCGGGCGTTAGGTTCGAATGCTCTCCACCAGGGCGAGTTTGGCCACTGACCTCCGATGCTTTCCAATTGGCTCTGCTGATTTAGTGGATTGCAGGGGGTGAGCAAGGGTGCATCTGCTTGAAAAGGGAGTCTCTTGAGTCTGGAGTGACGGGGTCTAGCTGAGTATGAAACCCTGGGCTGAGATTCACCTGGGCAAGATAGACTATCGACTTCTCTAGAGCTGGACCTTTTTCCTGTACGGACTCATATACTATGCTCGAAGAAGGAGGTGGTTAACAGAATGACCTGCTTCGAACAAGGCGGGCCTTGTGGGCTCTCTAAAAGCATGGGCAACTTGGTGTTCCATTCATCTCAGTGGTCTGCATCCAATGCTCAACTCTTACTGGTTCGGGGAGACTCGAGTGGGTGTGCAGTGGACTTTCCATCTTGCTTCTTCCTCGGCTTCCACAGTGGGCAGTGGCTTGGCCGGAGATTCCATTATGGAAGGCGTGCGCAGATGCGTCTCCACCATTGCACCTGCCTCAAAATCACCACCCATCCATCCATCACCCAGGGCATCCCCCATCCGCTACAAGGAAGGTACTGTACCTTGACAAGCACGGCCTCGCACGCTATATCCGGCCGTATTCTCTATCAATCCCTACTGTCTGGACCCGTCAGGAATCCTCTCACTTCCCCATTTCATCTATCGTCGTTGTTGTTGGTGAGATCGTAATATTTTGTTCATTCTATTACCTCTTCTTCTCTGTACATTGCTAGGGCCTTGCCTTATCTTTACCTGCATCACCAACTATCGCATCCCCTTGACACCTACGAACCCGCATACTCCGACGGTCAACTACGCCGAAACCCCGATCCATGGTATTCGATGTCGAACTTGAACTGTAGAACAAGTCTATCTTGCCCTCGATAAATCATCGTCGATTAATTTGGGGGTATTGGATTAGAAGGAAGTTACGTTTTGGTCTTCATATTGGAACATCGTCTTGAGCGGCTATCATCTTCGAAGTGAGGTGAACAACTCGACTCGACAACCACGAACCATAATTTGGGAAAACGACGATAGTATTGGATTGATCAGACTGGGCTGGAAATAACTTGCAAGAGTTGGATCAATTGCTGCGAAAATCACAAAGATTCAGAGTCTTGATTCTATGCATTCCTGATCTCTTAACGGAGCAGCACCCGAAGAGGTGGAGATCGGTATCGCGAAACTCATCCCGAAGCATCCCCATACAGAACAACCCATGTCGTCGATTACGGATATCATCGCTCCTGATATTTACTCGCCTTAAACTTGAAAATGCCAGACTACGACGAAGACATGCTGCCTCCCCCGGCATCAGGCTCTCAGCAGGATCGCACTTGGGGTGGTAATAACGCTTTTCACAACTTCTTCAACGACTTCTCTCACATCCCCGACCCAAATCTTCGCCGCCGTCTTGCTTTATCTGAGATTGATAAAGTCCCCTTTGGTGCATACCGTATGTGATTCAGAGCTTTTTCTCATCGGTTATTGTTGAAGCTCATGCTGACCAAATTAGACGTCCGAGCCGTATTAGTGGCAGGTGTTGGTTTCTTCCTTGACTCTTACGATATTTTTGCCATCAACCTCATCACGATACTACTTGGAGTTGTCTTTTGGGGTGACCCTAATCCTCAGAACGGCTTCAGTGGCAATGATGGGTACCTACCTGACCGAGTTAACCAGGCTTTCAAAGCCTCTACGAGTGCTGGAATCGTAGTGGGAATGATCGTCTTTGGATGGCTAGCAGAGTTAGTACCACCTGTCTACACCGACTAACTTGATCATATCTTGGACATGAATGTGCTGACAACTCAAATAGTGGTTTTGGCCGCCGCCGTATGTATGGTGTCGAATTGGGTATTATCATCCTAGCGACGCTTTGCTGCGCTCTCATCTCCTCTAGCCCTGCAATGGGATCGACAGGTCTCCTAATCTTTTGGCGCATCATCATGGTAAGTCGGCAAAATTTTACGTTTCGCAGCATTTCCTGACTATATCCAGGGCATTGGAATTGGCGGCGACTACCCGCTCTCAAGTGTCATTACCTCCGAGTAAGTGTCCTCGCTGTCATGTTGCCACTCAGACTTTGTGGCTGGGGTTTAGTTCATACCAATCGCCCTGATACGCCCTGATCAATTCAAGCTGACTGAGATTCCGCTAGGTTCGCTCCGACAAGGTGGCGCGGCGCTATGGTTGCTGCTGTCTTCTCTATGCAGGGACTTGGACAGCTCGCAGCTGCTATTGTTGCCCTAATCACTACTGTTGCTTTCAAGGACGCTTTTATCGGTGCTGCTGATGAAAGCCAATGCGGTTTCGAGTGTCGATTGGCCGCTGATCGAGCATGGCGAATTATTGTTGGAGTGGGTGCCATACCTGCTTGTGCCGCCCTCTATTACCGTATCACTATCCCGGAAACCCCTCGATATACCTTTGATGTTGAGCACGACGTCGAGAAAGCCGATGCCGACATTAAAGCATACGTTGCCAGCAAGTCTAAGGGTTCCTTTGACGTTGTTCATCAAGTCAGGAGTAAGCGCGTAGCTGGACGTAGCCTTGACGTCCCTCGTGCTTCCTGGTCTGATCTTATTTCCTTCTTCCGCCAATGGGCCAATTTCAAGATGCTATTAGGCACAACCTTGTCCTGGTTCTTTTTGGTAAGTGCTATTGTTAGACATTGCTTAACTCCTGCTAACTTCTATAAAGGACCTCGCTTTCTATGGTCTTGGCCTCAATAATACCTTTGTCCTCCAAGCTGTGGGCTACGGTGCTGGCAACTCCCTTTTTGAAAAGCTTCACAACCAAGCTGTCGGAATGATCATTTTGACATGTGCTGGATCGCTTCCTGGCTACTGGACTGCCATTCTTAGCGTCGACACCTTTGGCCGCAAGCCGTTACAGGTTTTCGGGTTTCTTCTGCTCACCATTATCTTCTGTATCCTCGGCTTTGCTTACAAGAGCCTGTCACAGGGGGGTTTGCTTGCGCTCTATATTGTAGGCCAGTTTCTCTTCAATGCTGGCCCTAACACGACCACTTTCATCGTTCCTGGCGAATGTTTCCCTACCCGATATCGATCGACCGGCCATGGCATCTCGGCTGCCATGGGTAAAATAGGCGCAATTATTGCGCAGGGCATCAGCATCCCTATGGTGCGACAGGGATCCCCCGAGAGTTGTAAAGGCACCGATTGTTCACCAAACATGCACCGACTGCTCCAACTCTTTGCCCTTTTCATGTTGTTTGGTACTTTGGTGTCCTTGTTGATTCCTGAGACCAAGGGCATGACTTTGGAGGAGCTTTCTGGAGAACCCCGCACAAGCTACAATTCTGGATGCAATGGTAGTATCAGTCTTGGGTCACCAAAGCTCAGGGCTTGGAACCCCTTTGTCGGTGGTCAACCCGCAGGATTCTCGTATCCTAGATCCAGAATGAGTCACTTCCGAAAGAGTGACCGTGTTGGTATCATGACCTCACCGGAACTCATGGCGGAGACATCCCGACTTCGAAAACCTCGCATCTGGAGAAGACACCGCAAGGCCAAGTCGAGCAGCGGTACAGATATCGCTTTGAGTACTCGAAGCTCTGGTACAGGAGAGGATGAAATCTTCCCAGCAGGCCCCCCTGCATCTTCATCTACTCCTCCACAGCCACCGCCTACTTGGGGAGCTGGCTGGGGACGGATAGACAGAGGAGGACCTCCTCCGCTGTTGAACTCGGTCCAACTACAGGATGTTGGCAGTCTCTTGACGAAATGATCTGGATTGACAAAATCGGTGTTGTTCGCATGATTCGCATATCTCTGGCGTTGGTGGAATAATGAAATTTAGACTATGATACCTTAGATGTTTGTTTTTGCATAGTTGTCGAGTTGATTATCGACATTTGGAGGCTTGGGAGCAGAAGTGCTTCGCAACTTGTACGAATGAGTAACGAATACAAAGAATCCCCAATTTATGAGTTGCAGACTTTGGCAATCCAACTGAGTATGGATGATGATTTTGAAACTCCTAAGGCTTACGATACCATGCTTGTCAATTATCAACGAATCTACGAGGATACCAATGAAAATGATGACTGGCCCTTCAGGCTAATCAGGCTGGTGCTCGAATTCGCAGTCTATTGTTACAAGTAATTTTACAAAAGGCTTCAACTATCTGGTCATGTCTATGAAGACTTGGCCATCTAAGCTCTGATCTAGTTCTTGTTTCAAACCATTCTTCAACGTAAGAAGCAGTCTATTTCCCCTCTGCACGGTATATACAATCCCGTCCCGATGGTCAACAAAGAAGGGTAAAGAAACAAAGGGAAGGTCTTCATCTCTCGCGATGCTCAGCCTCGGAGAATCTTGAGTCCCTCCTTCAAGTTGGAAATATCGCGGACCAACTTCTCACGTCGGTCCTTGCTGAGGATGTCCTCACCAGCAATGGTCTCCAGCTCATCAGCTGTCATGCGAAGCGCCAGATCCTGAGACAACACAGAAAGAGGGCCGTTGGAAGCGTGCAGAAGGAAATGGTCGATGACTTGCTGGCAAACCACATCGACAAAACGGGTACGGGCATTCTTGTAGAAGGTCAGAAGGACATTGTGGATGTCCCGACGAGTGCTATGGAGAGTAGTCTCCTTGTTGAGCCGCTTTTCAACCAACTGCCGAACCTCAGAAGCAGCTACCGCATCCGACGTGGCCCTGGTCATGGCATTTCTGACAGACTTTTCAACTTCCTTGGCGAGACCTTCTGTATGACGGAGTTTGAGACGGCTGAGAGACTCGTTGAACTCAGGATCGTATGTGATGCTTTTCCCCTCGAATTCGACCTCAAGAAGGAACTCGACGTGTTTGACGGCGCGGCGGTAGCGTTCCTGAAGATCCTCGAGCAAGAATGACCACAGCTCGGTACGGATAGAGTCATCAGGACAGCAGAATTCCAGAACAGTGGTGATGAAATGATGGACGATCAATATGGCGTTGGAGACGTGAGCTCGAGCCATAGGACGCCATTTTTTGCTCTGCTCCTTGAAGGTTGTGGGCAGCAATTCGCTGTTAAACTATCAAGAATTAGCATATTTTCTGAGTATAGAAGTATCAACTAAACATAGTACTTACGGTTCCAATCTCGTAGCCTCGAGAGTTCATGTACTCGATCTCAATGTAGGTGAGGATATCTTCCTCACTGGGATCCGGACACCAGTAACTGTCGGAGAGGATATCTGCCAAATCGTCCTCTCCCAATAGGGGAATGGAGCAGGTAGTGGTTGCATATAGATCCTCTCTCTCAGTGACAGAGGACTCTGCATCTTCCTCATCATCGTCTTCTTCCTCCTCCGACTGGAACCCCTGACCGTTGACTGTCTGAGGTTTAGAGAAATGCCGGGTATGTCCCTTGTCATAGATGACCTTTCCAAACGCCTCGTTAATTTCACGGATACGGGTGATGAGCTTCAGATCCTCATTCTCGAAGATCCGATGGCGTGTGTAATAAGCGTCGAGGGCGTACCCCTTGATGAGGGCAAACTTCTCAGCTACTTTGCCAATGAAGATACGCTGCTGTGCCTCGGTCAATCTTGACTCTCCCATGCTTTCAAGCAGACCTTCAAACTCTTTCTGTCTTGTGGTCATCTCGGCGCGGACCTTGGGGAACTCGCTTCTCATAAGGTCTCCTTGGAGATGTCTGAGACGGGCCTTGAGCGCCCGAACGCCCAGGCGGTCAGGAGGGATGTTAGTCCATGGAGCTTTGGAGAAGAAATCAGCCTCGGCACGGTCGCGCTCCTCAGCGCTGGATGAAGTGTCATCCGCTCCCCGGTTCTTGGCGATACAGTAGCCAAGCTGAGGTTCGCGACCCTTGCCAGTGACGAGGTCAACAATAGCAGCCTGCGTAGCATTTTCAGTAGCCAAGTCAGGCTTGGTGAGAACACCGAGAGTTCGCTTGCCTTCAGGGTCAACTTCTTTGGCGTAGGTGAGAATCTTCTGGTTGGCAACATCGACATTGCAAGGAGCAACGGCGAGGATAATGGTGCGAGGTCCCTTGATGTAATTCTTCACCATGTTCTTCACGAGTTCGATATCTCCTTTGGTGGTGATGCCGAGGGTGGGGTTCTCGAACATGCCGGGGACATCAATGACAGTCAAGTGGTCTTCGTTTGGGCCACTGATCTCGACACGTAGGACATCGCGACTGAAGGCAGAGCCATTGGAGCCATCGATAGACTCTGACTTGATGCCCATCACCTTGGCAGCCTATCGAGACTGTGTTAGAAGATGCGATATACGTCTAGGGAATGAAGTACTAACGTCCTGGAAGATCTGGGCAAATTCGTCGGCACCGAGGTTGGTCGCGGTGCGACGAAAGGACTTTGCTTGCTCTTCATCCGCATCGACAGCGTGGATAGAGACAACGATGCTCTCAGTTTCCTCACGGCGACAGATGATTTCTGTTGCATGGCGAGTGCAGAGAGTCACTGAGCGAGGGAAATGAAAGCCGGTGAGAGACTCGAGAACACTGGACTTTCCAGCACTTTGGTCACCAACGACAACCATCTGAAATTCAAGTCAGCTTGCAGGATCTGGTATGATATGAGGAAGCTTCATACCTGAGGGAGCGATACCACACCGGAGACCCCAAGCTTTCTCAACTTGTCCACCTTGTCTAGAAGGTTTCGATTGCCAAGCCCTCTTTCGGACTCGGCTACCTTCAAGGTAGACATCGTAACAGAATGGAGTAGTCTAGAGGAGTATGGGAGGCGAATTACTCAACGGTGTTGAAGATGAGGGAAGTATTCCGACAAGACGGATGAGACGATGAGAAGGAGGAGGAAGACGAGGGCAAAACAAACGAGCGAGAGAGAAGAATTTATACACCCAAGATTTTGACTAGTGCAAATCTGCCTGATGTCTGTTCGAGGCCTGTGAATCACTCCCAAACAGAAATCCAAGGATTCTCGGTTGCTTGCAGTGGCTAGCAGCTGTAGGTGGTCGTCACCTCGCCGGGGACCTTCATCAAAACTCAGCTACTCCAATGCTTCTACCTAATACAGTTTAAAGCCCAAATAGACTATGTTACTTCTGAATACTATAGAATTTGACGGTACGATCTAGGCATGGCACTGATCGATAGGTGTGAATGGACTTGAAGCGGGATGCTGCATTCACCGAAACACCGGCCCAAATTATTGTCCGAAACTGAACCAACTGAGGCCGAGATTATGCCTTGTAGGTACCTATCAGACTTGATCTTCAAAAATTTGTCTTCTGCTTTATGGTGGTCGGCCTCCGACAGCTGCGCCCTGCTGCTGTCGCGGAGTTTCATCTCCAGACGCGGGCGTATATTCCTCTTTCTGCTGTCTCTTTTCTCAAGTTGCTGGTTGACCCTTGTAAAATGTCGACCAACTGCATAACAAGCTGTCTCAGCTGGTGGCTAGCAGGGTTGTTGTGATGTGATCTATGGAGGCACATACAATTATTCCCCTACAGAGAATGCCTCCGGGGTAGACCAAAAACACTTGAGATGCGCAGTTCCTGGAAAAGTCGCACCGGCCATATATACCGGCCTGTTGGCCACGGCCACCAGAGGCAGCCACAACAAGAACAGAACGCCAAAGACAGTTGAATCGAGACTCAATATAACAGTCATTCCATTAATTCATGCTGGGGTATCTCGCTAGCTAGATAAAAACGCCTATTCCTTTTCCAATCCCACATATGTCTGTAAATATAACCAATCACCACAAAGAAACAATTTCCGTAACAGGCATACTGCAAGATGCGAGATCCTGCCTCCTCATATACCAAGCCTCAAGCAGAGCCATCTCCACAGCCCCAGGAGCTTCTGTCAAATTCGACAGCACAGGCCCAACAGTTTTGGGTTCCAAGGCAGGGTCCAAGACACCGCGGGGAGAAACACATCGAGATGGAGGATGTAAGGCGGACTCGAGAGTATGAACAAAACGCTCGGCGAGCGGGTGTGTTGAAGTTGTGTATTGCTTGGCTGTTGTGAGGCATCGTGTGGCTTCCTCGGTTACAGGGGCGGGGTTGGTGATTATGTCTCTGAAGAGAGGATGTTGGACTAAGACGGAGAGAGTCATGCCAATTATGCTAAGGGCTGATGAGAGTTAGAATAAATATCGTAGTAGAAAGATGTCTTGACTTACCAATAGCAGAATGACTCTCGGGAGGACCATCAAAAGTCACCAATCTCCTCTCGCGGGCCATAATATCTTCCAGCTCCACGCTTGCAGCATAACACGACTCGAATAGTCCTGCGAGCATTGATTTTGCCATTATCGAAGTTGGCTGTGTTGCGTTGCTGCTTATAAGCTTCATGATCGCTACTCGGGGGATCAATGCCTTGGTCTCAAGATATCTATAATTTGTTAGCTTCTCACGTCTCGACATGGAGTTGATCAACATACCTCATGCGCAACAGAGTAGCTTGGCGGCGGAAAACTGCCTCGGGCTGTGTACAGGGGAACTTGACGCGCAGATGCTCAGGAATAGCAGCATGCCATTCTTCCAAATCACAGTCCAACTTCAGTGCATCGGATAGAATATTAGAGACTGGTTCTCTAACAGACTCCGTTTCGTGGTTGACAGAGTCTTGAATAGGCTGAAGAATATCGTCGTACAGTTTCAAGGTTTGGTTGAAGAAAGACAGTCGTGAAGGGGTATCGCAAGGTTGAACTCGGTCGGGGTTGTGAGGGAAAGCCTCAAGATACTCGTCGTCGATTTCCTGAGGCAATGTGCCAAATGTTGGGTTTGTCTGGCTCCCAGGGGAATTCTGCATCCTGACAAGCAGAGCACAAGCACACCACGCCCTTCTCCGTTCCTCGCGTTCAGCCTGTGCCTTTCCCGGGAGATCAACATGAAGCATGAGACCTTCTGCAAGTCGAAGAGCCATGCCAGTCAACATCCAAGTCTCCTGAACCGCACCTGCTCGCCGCAAGAATCGAGCATGAACAATCAAAGCCTGGACAACGGGAAGAGATGACACGGATAGTAGATCGACGAGGAGAAGAGTCTTGGCTTGCTGGTGAAATTCGAAGGCATGAGATGCGTGCGACTCGACGGATTCTGTAATCGAGGTTTTGGCAAGCTGGCCAATGGCTAGCATTCCTAAAAGGAGAGAGTAGGTGGCTGCGAGTTCGGTGGCTTCCTCGAGGGGTATGTCACGGCGGTAGCGAGAGTTTGCAACAGCGATTAGGCGATGATATCGTTGGTAGAAGGATGGCCGATGGATAACAGGCATGGTGATCCAGTCAATGTTGAAATACTCTGCTAATAACTCATCCATGAGGTCTGCTGGAGGAAGGGTGATCTTCTGGAGCATCAAAGCTGCCTTGACGTTGGAAGAATAGGAGCCGAAAGATGAAGGCTTGGCTGGAGCAGCATCTTCGAGATCATCGGTCAATGGTGGACTAGCTCCCATAAGATGATGCGGGCGCGAGTAGTAGCTGGCTGGTTCATGAACTACTGGTAGTGAACCAGCTCTGGAAGAGAAGCTGGGCAAAGAATAGCCAGAGTCGGTATGAATTGGAGGAAGAGCATGATCAACATGTCTTGGAGGTCTTGCTATACGCTCAGACGCAACACTGGGCGAAGTAGATAGTTTTCTCCATTCCTCATGTGCAGGCGTCGTAGCGACGAAAGCATTGTGGCCGTGAGCTACTAATTCCTAGAGGGCGTATGAGTGAATGTCCTGAGCGTAGGGAATATGAGTAAGGTACTTGGTATAAAAAGACTTACTAGCTGCTTCTCCTTCTCCTCGAGCTCCTGCACTCGCCTCTGGAGAGCACGGATGTAGCTATCATTCAGTTTAGTATCTTATCTATATGGTCTGACGATGATGATTGTGGCTCAAACTCACCTCCGCGACGAAGCGATGGAGCCTTCATGCTCAATCTCAGGATAGACACACTGATCAGCACAGAGACCGCGTCTCGAACACGAATCGCAAACAGGTCGTGCACCGTCACAGCGAATTTTACGATCGCGACACTGTCGACAAGCCAAAGACCTGGCCTTTCCCGGCCTGGCAGTTGCGTGTTGTCGGCGGGTGGCCGAAGCGGAAGCCGATGACCCGGGAGATGAAGCCTTTGACTTTGTCATGACTGAACTCTCTGTCCTTTGGCTTTCGGGTCGTCGGCTTAGGCAGTCCTCTCTTTTTGATTTTGGAGGTTGAAGCGACGGGGAGATTGACAGTTGCGGGTCGTCAATCGATGTCTCTAGGGAAGAAGGGAACGAAAAATTGGTCGTGACTCGTTGGGCGCCCCCTTGACCATGAGCAGGCCGCGGATGCGCTCCAAGACGGCCGCCGGGGTGGCCATTTCTCACGGTTGTCGGTAGTCGCCGTGTGGTTTTTCGTCTAGGTTTCAAGTGGAGATTTCTGATCACGGGTGTCGGGACGTCGGTGTATCAACGGGGACTTTGCACGTAATGAATCTGATGATATATTGGATTTCTGATGCAATTGGGATACTGAAAATACTCTGACCTCATTCTCCTACAGTCTCCATAAGTGATTGCTTTATCCTCCTGCATTCCCCAGATAAAGAAAGGGTCTTGATGACGGTTTCTTAAGGAGTCCCCCCCAAAATTATATGGAGACGGACGGATTATCGGCCATCGGTCATCGGCTACATTCATTGGCGTTGAGGGTCATCGGATCCATCAAGGGCCTCGACAACTCCCCGACCTCCCCGACATCCAGAACAAGGGTCGAAGACATGGGCTAATTACGTACATCAGAATCAGAGAATTCACTATCATGATGTTCGGTTCGACAGCCGTCACTTGTAAACAAACTTATGATATTTCCTCGAGGTAGAATTGATGAGGAGAAGTATTCTTAAGCATCAGAGACCCTAGACAACAGTAGTACAGCTCCTTACATCCATTTATCATAATTCTCTCAACTCCCCGTTCGTTATAAAACACACACACAAACGATCATTCTTCACTCTCGGTCCGTCGCGCGGCCTCTTCCCTCCGACTTCCGCCACTAATCGTCGATTCCACCCACGCCAAGGGTCGAGACTTGCACGAGCTCCCCGTGACCCAGTGACGCCACTGAAAATCTCATCCTCTCTTCATTCCCGTCTTTTGTCCGGCGTATCGACAGCATGTCACCGAGATCCCGTCATAGGCGAGCCGATCAACACCACAACGACCAGCTGGTAGCATACTCCAGTACAATAGCTGTCAAGATGTAGTCATGCCTTCAATTTACGAGTTATTGAATATTACATGTCTTCCGGGTAAAGTAAATAAGCTATAGTACCTAACCATCTCGTCCTCATTGCACCCCGTAAACGAGTAGATCTGTTGTTTTCAGCTTGAATCGAAAGAATAGCATCACTGTCAGGAACTCACAAGGGTTCTAAATTCATCCGCTGCAGCATATTTATATAAGGCCTGTAGCATATCTAGAAGGCCAAGCCCCGTGCTCTGAAGACGAAATCCTCAACAACTTTTTCAAACTCATACATTGTCTCCTGCTGAATGTAGGATATTTCTCCCTACGAGTGGTTAACTAGCACATATTTCCAAGTTATCCTCTCAGAATGGGACGAAACCTATAATATGGCGCAAAAAAAAAAAAAAAAAAAAAAAAAAAAAAAAAAAAAAAAAAAAAATTCAAGGACAACGTAAATCCTCACGATCTTGCCATAAGATTCATTACCCTTCACGGCCATAGCGTATGTAAGTCAGAAGCACCTATTGACAGAGCCCACCCAAGACAAAAGGGAAACACCGTGAGGATTTTCCCCAGGCCGATACCTCTGATAGGTTCTGGGCAGACAGTATTTATAAGAGCCCTGTCATGGGGAGCTCTTTTGCCAACTAGGAACCGTCCCTCAAGGGGAAATAAAACTTCTGACGTCAAAATAGAGCGCTAAAATTAACTGGTCTAAAGGCTTACTGATATAAAACTTGCCTAGCTATTTTCATCACTCAGGATATAGGTCTTCGGTTCTCTTGCCTTCCTAGCCGCCCATGTTCTTCGCGTTGGCAGTCCTCTATTCCTTATGGTCTCTTGTGGATGGATTCTTATCTATACTCATCTACTACATTGATAGGTTTTAGGAGGAGAGTGCGTGTCTCGTCTAAATACTTCCTTCCTACGCCAATATGTTCAATCCTTTTGTGTCTTTTGATATCTTTATATCCCCGAGCTTTCAAGCAAATAAGCCAGGCCTCGGCCAAATAATATCAACCTTGGTATCATAGCGTTGGGCAGGCCGAAAAATACCTCCATAACCTCTTGGTAAAAAGGAAGAAAAAGATTGAAGAAGGCATTGTCGTCGTTTCTTCCTTACTGACATTCAGCCGCCTGCTTTTAAAAATCATCATGGCATTGGCAATCAACGAACCCAGGCGGCATGGCCATGGTATAATCAGCATTCCACAGCATGATGATGACCCTCTATTAACAACATATTAAACGATAAGTATAATAGAGAAGGGGTCTATCTATGCCATATCCTTTCAACCAACTCCATCGACTTCCACCTAAATAGGCAACATGTTAGCACAAATCTCATTTTGGAATTGAGTTCGAACATCATTCGCGATTGCATGTAATACATCATATATCGATAGAAGCAGTGTGGCAATGCGCATCAAGTGACGTCGAAAGCTCTAGATGATCAAATTTTCAATAGGGAATACTACCCAAACCAAAGACAGAGTTTCAGATACGTTAGCGAGATCCAACACCAGCTGCGACGAATACTCTGGAAGCACGATAAGGCACGCCTTCGAAAGATACAGACTTCTTTACAGTACCATATAACACTATATAATCATCCATCTCCAAGCCTCAAAAGATTAATAGCAATATCTCGGAGCCTTGCGTTTATCCATCGATTATCCCTTCTGTGCCGCTCTCGGAGTTCGGGTCATTCGCAAATCCGGCTGTCTCAGACACGAAACTGCTGTGTCACCATATACAAGGGCACCTGCATTTTCATTAAATAAACTCATGATAGCATGCGAGACAAGTGCTGAATAAAGTTCAGTTGACAGACAGCGTGTCAGGGCGTCCATGTTACGTTATATATTTTTACCAGGATCAAGGGACGAGACGCCGCTTAGTTAGAGTTTATGATGTTTCAGGGCAGAATATGCTTAAAATGCCAGGGTCTAGTGATAATTGTGTCAGATGTATTTATGCATGTCTTGACTCGGGGCAAGTCTTGGCAGATGAATTTGAAAGTCTTTTGTAATGCTCTCAGGTCTAAGCCTCTATTCGCACTCCGTACGGCTTTCGCCTACTGGACAGGGGATGCTGAGATTCGGTAGATAAAATGCCAAGACTCCCGTCGCCGAACTCATGGCTTCTCCGTCATGAGGTTACCGGTGGGATGGCTTGTATTTACCCGTGATGAGATGCTGATTAATGTAGCTAACGCTATCTGGCTTGAGTTGAGATTGGTGCACGCTGGTTCTTCCATATTACTGCTATTCTCCTAGACTGCCATATTGGATGTAGTGGCCTTCGGCAGATGAATTTGCGTGGTAAGTGTTGGAGGCCTTCCAGACCATGCCAAGCTTCAAAGGGTCTAAACTCGTACCATTGACCCATTATGTGTTTGATTATTAGTCATCCCTCTACCTTTCGGCTTTATGGCCGTATGTGATCTTGAACAGCCCGGAGAGAACCCGTGACTCATTGCTTGGAATCACCCAGAGCATCTCAAGACTTGAAGCTACCAGGCTGTGGTAAATTACAATTGATCTCAGCATGATATTTCTTACGAAAAAGTGAGAGGCCAATGGAGCTAAAATCAAAAGATTTACGATCATAACCTTCACTAAGGACCATGGTGATACTCTGAAGCCCAGCAACACGTCTTAACACATTCAAAATTCTGACAGCTTGTTAGCTTGATTTACATGGCCAAGATATCATAACTCTTCCTAGATCAAGTAATTCATAAGTCACGATAACAGAGTGGTTGATGCTGTGAGACTTGCCTTTTGAACATTGGCCAAAACCCAACTTGGAGGACCTACGATGCAAAATCTTCTGGCAGGTCATCAAGTCGATCTTAGCTATGAACGCGAGAGGTGATCTGATACATCTAGGCATTTGGGATGGACTCAGTAACTACTTCAACGGGGACAATGAAGACCATTTGAGAGCCCGCCCAAGTCAGCAAACTTTGTTCACCGAGTAAGGCTACGCGATTATGGGTCCGAAAGGCATCAAGTCCGATCTGCAAACGAACCACATAATTACTGCCATGACAATGACGCGATCTCACAGGAAATGCTCCAAAAATCTCTTGTCACTGGATGAGAGAATAGGCATTAGGCAACAGCAAGCGTTGACGCGACACCTTTCGCCCCCACGAAGACATCGCAACGATCGTCCATCGATATCTTAAACAAGTAACAGCCGACTAGTGATAAAAAGAACTTACAAAAGATCCGTTTGCTTAGCCAAGTCAATTGACTTGGTATCTATCTCGGCATAAGCTGAGTGAATCTCACTGCTTCGCCAATGCTCGTATACTCTGCATGTCGGGGTCCAGGGATAATTGGGCTGCAATGGCTGACAGCGCATTGTTTTTTGTATCTTGCATCTTGGCCAGTAATCGCGATGATCTCGTGATGCAATCAAGAGATAAGCATCAAAAAGTCCAAGCTTCTGCATTGCTGACTCGCGAAGGATGCCACAATGGTAGGGTGTTAGTGGGAGTGGACCTATCGCGTGTAAGACTTTTAAACTCTCGTCAAGATATGCTTAAATGGACCTTTAATTGAGGCGTTCCCTTCAATCTGCGGTGTTATCAAGATAAAAGAAAGAAAAATTAATAGTGAGGCCGTATATTATAGAGACATGTCTATTGTCTATATGCGATATTAAATGAGATATGAGCAGTGCAGTTCTTTCCAATGATGTATCCAATAAATCGTAGTCACATCAAAGAAACGGTAGACAAAAGGCGCTTAAGCGTGGTGAGCGTGACGGCGGAAACGAGATCGCTCAATGTACTCGGACAGAGAGCGCTCATCAACGGCCTTCTCATCCTCAACCTCCTCATCATCCTCAAAGTCACGCTTGGTGCGCTTGGTGGTCTTGTACCAGTTAGCAGCGGGGTCACCAAGGCACTGGCCAACAGTAACAGCTATTAAAAGGTTAGTTATGACAAAGAATAATGATCAAATAGAATACTCACGAATGCGTGTGCTGCGCTTGACGGCGTCAAGGACCTTGGGGATGAGGTTGCGGACGGTGTTCTCGTGGACATCGTGGAAGAGAGCAATGGATCCACCATTGGTGATACCCTTCTTGAAGAGGTTGAGAGCAGTGTTGGTCTCAGCCGGGGTGTTGTACTCCCAGTCGAGAGAGTCGACATCAGCATTGATGACGTGGTATCCCAGAGTCTTCATGACGGAGAGGGTGTTGGCGTTGTAGCTGAAGTAAGGGGGTCGCATGTACGTGGGCCACTTTCCAACGATCTTGAGGAACTCAGCCTCCAGACGAGTCATCTGGGTTCGGACATTGGCGTTGCTAATGGTAGCAAGGTCGGGATGGCTGTAACTGTGGGAGTGTTAGCATATACGAACTGTCACACAGCATATATCAATGATGAAACATACGTGTGAGAGCCGAGCTGGTGACCCTCAGCGACGACACGCTTGACGGTAGCAGCGTAGTCGTTGATGTTGGCCCAGTTCTCGCCGTTCATGAAGAAGGTAGCCTTGTAGCCGTATTTCTTAAGCTGGTCGAGAAGCTCGTTGGTGTAGGCGAAAGGACCATCGTCGAAAGTGAGGGCGATGTTCCTGTCGACAGTGCACTTGGTGATGGCGACGCCGACAGGGACAGCGGCAGCGGCAAGCTGCAGCAGGCCGGCGCAGGTAGCGAGGACAGAGAAACGCATTTTTGAAGAGGGTATTATATAGAGTGTAAGGGGACGTAAACGACAGTACTGAAACTAGAATAGCTTCAAAAGAGAGATGGAGGCGAAGAAACGAGTGAATGAACTGCGGCTGTTGAGTTGAACCTGAGATCGTCTAGAACAGCAGAGGAACTTCTTTCATATATACTTATTTCTCGTCCCCTTCAGAATTTCTTTCACGGACTTTAGGGAAAACTGCACAGCGCAAATCATACCGAGCTGAATCACCCAGAGCCGGGTATGGGTGTGGCAGCTATGAGCATGGGTATCCCTCCTCCCAACCTTGCCGTCGACGTACGAGGCCCTTCTGGCCCTTGATAGCGCGTACCTATTTGTGCAGTATTAGTCTTTTAGTGTGCAGATAAAGACTGCAGCAGGGGTTATGAGTTCAGAGACTGGTCCTGGAGTTTCATCGTATGCAGAGAGCTGGAGACTCGGGAATCTTGGCAACGACGGAGCCTTGCATTTAAATTGGTTGTGATTGAATTGTGGATGAAGGGCCAAGTGACGAGAGAGTCGATATTCTTACGCCATGTTCCTCTTTCTCGTCCTCATGGGAGCGTATCTCGTGGTTCAATGGCTCCTCATACGAGATCATACCCATGTCCCTGGTATTGCGCTATCTAATGCGGGACGATCCTCGAGCCAATCTCTTGTGCAGGACAGTTGTACTGTATGTCTCAGGTACTCTTGTATCACGACCCGACGAGTAAAAAGGTAACAAAAGCATTGTCTATTTCCTCGTGAGTCTTACAGCAGCATATGCCATGTGCTCACAAGACAAGAGTTTCAGCCACTATTGGACAGACGATAAAAGCCAGCAAGGCTTTAGTGAAGGCTCCAGGGGTTCAGGGCGGGTAGACCATGCCCGGGGGTGACCCCCCTGGAAAGGCTCACTAAGGTTAAAAATTAAATAGCCAACGTTAACGTAACCTTAACCTTAGTCTGGGCTCTCTTCGCGATTACCGAACAGGGCTTGTCTCACGAGAACCAAAAGTGAAACCAGGAACGGAGAATAACCCCTCGAATGGGATAAAAGTCTTGGCCATCGGGCGTCCGCGTTGAGTAGCCGCCGACCTGTCAATAGATTGACCGCAGAATAGGGGACGGTAGCATTTGCTACACACCAACCCAACAGCTGAGGAGAGACATGGACAAGGCCTTATTTTCTCACCAGAGCTGTGGTATTGGTATTGGTTCGATAAGATGCAATTGCACGTACGACGCCAAGATAAGAGCAGCCTTGTTTCTCTCAATCATCTCTTCACTAGGTCGACTCTCTGATGTATGAACTCTGCCTGCAGACGGGATGCTCACTGCATTAGATAGCAACAAACAACAAGCCACTTGACGTATGCCAATGCAAACCTCAACACCATCACTACAGTCTATACTATACAATATCCTCAACCGAAGAAACTGCCGAACATCACTGCCAAGTAAAATCCCATCAACTCGACACAATTAGCTAGAGCTTATTCCTTCACTCCAATATCCGTGCAATCCGAAGAGTCCACTGTCTGTTCTCACGGTCTCGAACATAGAAAAAGGGCCCCCAATTTTACCTTAGTCTCGCGTCGATAACCGAACTCATCCATCCATATCCACAATGGATGATTTATCTTCAGGAGAGTGAGACTCTACCAAAAAGCAAGGCAAACAGAGGCAACTACAGCAGTCAGTAACAATAACCGTAATAGTCACAGTCAGCGAAGAATAAAACCCCAAGCCGGGCATCAAAACCTCCGAGTCAGCCCCCTTTCTCATCAAACATGCATCTATTGCAAATCATTTATGGGGCCATCACAGCTTTCTTTTGCTGAGAGATTACTGATATGCAACTTCCATCACATCAAATGTTTCCCTAACTAGTAGCCCGAGGACCTAAAAATGGGTAACTCCAAGCCTCAGCCGTTCGATCTACAACAAGGTAGACCTATATTTACCTACACGTCAAGTCCATCTGCCTGGTTAATGGATAGCCTGCCAGCATAGCATAAAGGAGAACATAAAAAAAAAACGCACCCCATCTTCAATGGACGATCACCGGTGTCCCTCTGAGCTGGCCTTGCCAAGACGTAGCCAAGGCTGATTAACAAAGACTAACGTTCTCACATAAACAACAAATACGAGGACCTCAAAGACGTCAATTAACAAGACCGACAAAGGCCGTCAGCCGCAGGGAACATCCATGAACGGGAAGGATTTGTCCTGAGGTTCCCCAGATGATATCAAACGTGCAATAATAAACTAGGGGCTTCGATACTCCGCTTCGGGTACGATATCCTGGGTCTAAGAGAGAAGGACCTGGTCGTTCTGTTGACAGCGAAGCCCCGTATGATTGGAGCGACTCGAGCCCTTCACGTTTTCCCTATTATAGAAGCTGGGTTGGTATATCACCGTTTCGCGGATATCCATCCTGGTAGTCCGCTACGGAGTTAAACAGGAGTCTAAGACAAGAAGAAGAAAGGTTTTTATGCTTATTTAGACAAGGTTATCGATCCTCGAGGTAAACGAATAAATCAGGCAGTTATTATAACTGCCAAGAAATCAGTCAGTCAGTTGTAAGTTTGTGTGTGTGTGTGTGTGTGTGTGTGACTGATACAAGCAAAGAGTCAATTTCCGTTCGCTTCAACGCCCAGATCCTTAATCAACTCCCCGACGAAAAAGATCTCCCCTTCAAAAAAAAATCCTGTCAAATTCCCCAACGATGCTGCCCAGGCAGTAAGAAACGAAAGAAATGAGGGTATCAGTGAGAGATTTCACAAGGTAGGAAGGTGGCTTCAAAATGTCTAATGGGTCGTCACGAGGTAGATAGATGGATGGCAGCTGGAGTCGTTCACAGGTCATCCTCCCAGTTACCCTCCACTTCAATCGTCGTACCCAAGGCTTCTCTACCCTGGCGAATCATGTCCTGTAGTTGTTTGTTGAAAGCGTTGATCCGCACATCTGCATCTCGTTCTTCCATCTTACGGCGTGCTGCGAGATGCTTGGCTTCTGCGGTCAGACGGGGACTGGCTTCTGCTGATGTACGTCCTGATGCTACTGAGGCATTAGAGTGAGACCGGCGGTGCGACGACGGCTTTGTTATCGGCGATGAGATGGTGGTATTTCGGCGTGTGGAGCGAGTGGGTTGAGGTATCCTGCTGGGCGATTCTATCCGAGGAGAAGCGAAGGGAGCAAGTGACGCGAATGACGCGGTTGATGCAGGGCGTGGAGTAGGTGATGCTGCTGCGTGTGATAGACGACTAGTCGGGCGATTGGTAGTGGATCGTCGCTGACCGGGCGTAGAGGCAGAAGAGAATCGGGCTGATGGAGCGGCACTGATGCGTCGACCTGTAGTCATAGAGGGGCCCGAGTTTCGTGATCGAGGGGACGGTCGATAAGACGGTCGTCGCAGTGGAGGCTCAGGCTTGGGTTCAGGCTCAGCTGGTTTCTCATCACTCACCATAACCCAATTCCTGCCAAGTTCATCTTTCGTGTCTGTATGTCTTCGTTTCGGATGGGGTGCTGTGGGTGTAGATGCGCCGCTGTTGCCACCTTGGTCTGCGTTATCAGGCTGACGCTGGTTGAAGCAATCCTCTTGCGATGGCGGGAATCTACCGGGAAGATGCTGACTCTCAAATAGTGTCTGGTCCAGCTCTTCGACCCTACCGGAATTCATCGTGAAGGCCTTACCGCCGCCAGCCTGGAAACCTCGAAATGAGCCTGTCTTGCAAAACTCCCATACACGTCCGACAACACCTCCTATAGTTGAGAATGCGAAGCTACCCCAGCCTTGGGACTGCATCGGCTGAGGAGGCAGATTGAACAGTTGTGTCGGTCCAGCTCCATGATCGATGTCGTCGTGGGTTCGTTTTGAGCCAAGCGCCTTGCGATAATCTGTGTCTGAATACATGCTCTCGCCAAGAATACCGCTATCGAAAGGACCAGAACTCGGTGTATCAAGCTGTCCAGCAAGTTGGTACCGCATTTCCTCATTCCTCATCTGAGCCACTGGAGTTCCAAAATAACCATTTCTATCAGAATCATCCTGGAAGCGGAATTCTTGAGATCGCGATATATCATGGCAAGGTCTCTTTCGTTTCGTAGCTTGTCCGTCGAGGGTTGATGTGCTGTAGGGTGAAGCATATCCGTAGCTGGTGCTAGAGCTTGGTGAGATGGGTGGGCGAAACAGGCCAGGGTGCACGCCTTCTCTATTGAAGCCGCCCGACATATGGAAATGCGAAGGGATCGTCATTCTGCCTGGGGGTAGGGCCTTCCTATTCGATCGGTATGTGCGCGCACGCGCGTGGTGATAGATAGACGAATGACCTTATCGAGTGGAGGCGAAGCTGTAACTCACGGCCAAGCTTAACAGCAGCCGAGACACATCTCAGGTCGTCTATCGCACAAGCGGGTCTGGGGTAAGAGCAAACCGAATATTCGGATCTGGAGACGAGATTGCAATCGACGGGGAAGCGATACTCGGAGGGCGATTTGAGATGGCGATGGGCGATATTGTTGAGCGCCTCGTGACTAGGTGAGATAAAAGGTTGTGTCTTGTGATGACGAGCGCATGGAGGGGGAGGCTGCCTGGCTGCAAGCGCCCAACTCTAATAGACGCAGCCAAAAGTATGGCGCTCGTGTGAGAGGGGAGGGCACCGTAGATGCACGCACAGTATTGGAAATGCCGCCTTGAAAGTGAGGCTCGATTATTGATTTATGATGTATTGGATTAGAGAGATGGTCCTGGCGGCAAAATGTTGACGGGGCAAGTAAACAATGGTTGGGGGGCCAGCCAGCGCCTGTGGCCAGCGTCAGAGACGGTGTGTGATTGGCCAGTTGGTAGCGATCCCGGCAGTTGCTCAAGAGCCGCGATAGAGAGCACAGGACTCTGTAGTCTGTATGATAATAGAAGAAGACTTCAAGAAAATACGTCCAGAGCTGGTGAGATATCCTGGTGGGGAATCCCCTTTCTTGCTCTTCGGGCTGGTTTGCGGAGAACGGGAAGCTTTCGGTGTGTTGCCGACTTATAGCTTCAGCTTCTTCTTGTGTGGCTGATTCCAAGAGTTTGGTCCACTTGATTGATATCGGCAGGGTTCAGCGAACCAAGAACATCAAAAAGCGAACATTAGAGGAACAGTTCGTAGTTGCAAAAGACAAAAGTCTCCCTTCCCTCCTTTCTATACCAAGTCTTGGGCCGTCGAGCTCATTTGCATTGCTATATTGTCTTGGTTAAATTGCTCTAATATCCTTGGTTGTCCTAGGCGATTAATGATCAACACAGGGGTCTTCAAACAGATCACAACGATGACGGTTCATGGAGTTCAAGTGTGCTTTACTGTCGTTAATCGTTGCCTTAACTTCTATTCAGTCTATGCGTCATATCGCGTGAACCGCTCTAAACCCTGCGTCCAAACTCTTCTATGCCATATGCCGTGACCTCAACTCATTGGTATCATTCGCCCGTCCTTCTTATAAGTCTAAACATTCGTATCTTATCACTTAATCCTTGTTGTAGTAGTTGTCCTGCTGGCCTTTTCGCTCAGATGTAACACCTCCGTTAACACCCTGCTCTCCATGAACATGCTCCTTACTTCCCCAGAAAGCCTCCCGCTCCTTGAGAACCTCCTGGCCCCAGGCCTTCATCTCCGGCAGCGTCATCCTCGTCGCGACGTACGCAAACTCGCCAAGATCGACCTTACCCTCACCGCGCTTCTCATACTCCACCATCTGCAGAAGAAGCTCCATCTTGTCCACGTCGTGCACAAAGTGACTGTCCAGTGTCTCGGAGTCCTCATATTCCTGCCAGATTGCGCGGATGTCCTCGCCTGTTGTGCCGCCTGCAACGTTTCGTAGCAAGTTCTTGGTCAAAAAGTCCATCGTCTCCGCTTCGCGTCGGCTCTTCTCGGGCTTGGGAACGCCGTCGACGGGTGTGATGTCGCCGACAAGAAGCTCCGCCATGTCGTGGATAAGACACATCTTCATGCACTTGGGAAGATCGAGTTTCGGGGCGAGAGAGGGGGGCGCAAACATGGAGATTAGAGACATTCGATACATGTGGTCGGCAATAGACTCTCCCCTGTCGCATGTCAGTGACGTCTTGAAGTCGAGGGACCAATTTCCTTACCTAGAGATACCGAAACGCCTCCATCCTTCTCGCTTGGTTGTCTTGAGTCGCTCGAGCATGTGGAAGAAGGGAAGAGGCGAGGAAGATTCCTCAGTAGGAGCACCACCAGGAATCTCTTTGACTACCTTGTCAACAGTCCAAGGATCGGCGACCTTGATCATAGGCGTGAAACCCAAATCTCCAATTACTTCCTCAGGACGAAGATCCACACGTTCATTCTCCTTCTCCGGTTGCGAGCCCATCCTTGCAGTACAGTACAATCTGTATCGTCGCGGGGTAAATGTTGAGTTGCTAGTGCAAGGTGAAGAAAGTGGTCGCAGCGAGTTGACAGTGGTTTTTATGGTACGAATCGTTTGCGGCAGTCGCATGCAAACAGAGATGGTCATAACAAGAGCACAATGGGCAAAGGGGTCATGAAAACAGGCAAGAGCCTAGAACGATAGAAGAATGTTTGATTGAGCGGGTAGTTTGTTAGTCTAGTTGGTGGGTTTGTAGTCCAGGTTTGTGCCAGTGCGGAATTGATCAATGGTCAGCTAATAGCCCCGTTCGTTTGGTGCGTCATATGTCATTTTACAGGGGCAGAAGCTGGGATCTTGTTTGTTTGTTTGTGTATTTTTCGTCTGGGTGGCTGTAACGAAGCCAAATCTCCTACTGGAGCAAAAGACGTGCTGAGCTAGCTAGGTACAGGATACCCCGCTTCCTTCACCATCCAGCATACCAAGGGCACAAAAGGCGCTGTATTTTCTCGAGCCCGTCACCCGTCAGCGGGTTCGGGGGCATACTGTCGACTTTTTCCACCGACCAGAATTCTCTCACGCATCGCTACATCTGCTGACGCAGTCCACAATCTCCAGTAACCAAGTTGTAGCTCGTAGTCGTATGCCGTGGCGGCAGGGAAAAACCTTGGGAAGGAATCAGAGGCCGGCGGTGCGGCTTGCCTTCAAAGGGGAAAAACCCATCGCAATCGGCGTCGTTGATCGGGAGGATGTCGCTACCGATGCCACGGGCACCGTCCTCCGATATCTAAGGCGTTCTGGTTCTGAGGTGCCGCCATTAGATCCGACAAAGGTGTTGTCAGAGAAGGCGAACTCTCCAAATTCCTTCTCTGAAAACTGCTGTTAGGGAGCCGATAGCGTCCCCGCAGTTTTTGTGTGGTCGCGTGGCCTGCAGAAAATCCCGCTCCTAGCACCGCACTAACAGTGCGTGCCAAGAAAGAATTTTTACAGGAGAGAGTTGCGGCTGGGATCTTGTCTGTGTCTTGGTGTGACTACAGGGTAACGACACCACAATCACTTACACGGTGATACAGTGACTATTTAATTTTCTGGCCATGTTACGAATTGCAGTTCCAAGGGACTTGCCCTATTTTGAATAGTATTCTAACACTATGTACTATATTCATTTGCCAGATAGGGGGTGTGGACTAATCGACTTGTTAGGAAGTCTTGACGCTAATCGCGGGAGCTTTGTAGACATAATAACTTGTAGTTTTCTCAAGCTACATAAAAGAAAACACTCTCCGAGGTCATAACAGTTTTCGTAACAAAACATAAAATGTTGAAACTTTTAGAACCAAAATAATAACATGCTACATAAGCCTGATAGGCCTTGTTCTTAATGTTTCGCTCCTCAGAGTCGAGGATTGTCCATCTTTGGTTCGTAAAAGAATGACGATGAATATAATCCAACACATGTAAATTCCAACATAAAATCTCGCCTATCCACAGAATGGCATTGAAGCACGAAGCTTTAACCATCAAATCAATAAGCTTCCGTTGAGCCCTGATTTGCTTTCTTACGCAGCAGCAGAGCACCATCTCCTCACTAACACCAACACTGGCCACGCATGTGGGGTTCCGCCGCCAAGGACCAAGAGTAAATTTAGCTCCGCCTCAGTTAGATCTACATGAGCCTCATCTTGATCCGTATCGGGCACCTATTCAACCTCACTCCCGCATGAGAATCTTACAAAGAATAATCGAGCCTTTTCGTCCACAGGCTCGCAAAATGACAACAATCGCCTCATTAAAGCGGCTTTCAGCCAAATCCCTCTCTGAGAAGATCCTCGAGGAAGTCAATGCCACAGATCCCACATTCGCTGTTATCGATGTTCGTGATAATGGTAAGTTCGCTTTCAAACCTTTTTCGAAAAGAAAACTCTTCTCGATTCCATTTGCTTCTGTGACAGCTCAGCTGACTTTTCAAGATTACATTGGTGGACATATCAAGGGCTCAACAAATATCCCCGCACATACTCTCGACGCCATGATGCCAACTCTAGTCCGTCGCCTCAAAGACAAAAAGACAGTTGTTTTTCACTGCGCACTCAGTCAACAGCGGGGTCCGAGTGCGGCACTAAAGTATGTGCGTGAGCGGGATGGTCTTTTGAAGTCTATGGGCGAAGATCCCAAGGGAGAGAGCGGTCAAGATGTGTTCGTGCTGGATAGGGGATTCTCAGGATGGCAAGAGGTTTACGGAGAGGATGAAAGATTGACGGAGGGATACGTTAAGGATTTGTGGGACAATTATTAATTCATTCAGAGCTAGAGTTGAGTCTTCCGATAGAACCCCTACTTCCATCTCATGCTTCCCACTGTGTTTTGACCAAGACTTTTCGAGAGACTAGACCAGGCTAAGAGAGTGATATCACCCAACGATAACCTCTTAAAAAATAGAGTACTGTGATGATGGTGGTGTATATTCGTCATAAGACAAAGTGAAGATGGCTCCCCTTCCGCATTATGTTTGACTCGACGAAAATGTTAGCCCAATAACACACTGACTGTAGAGAAAGGTCTACTTACAGAAACACCATGATCACCAATCAGCTTACATGATTGGCCCCATCCTCAGCTTGCGTATTCTCAAGAAAAGAACAATGATGATTGCACATAGAATGCCGGTCACTATCGCGAAGACCGCGATGCGCTCTGTCGCGTCTGCTGGATTCGACCACCAGTCGAGCCTGGCTGTGTCATCAGCTCTGCCATATTCATCCGAGGGGTAGTAGTCACTCTCCGCAACACTTTGAGCCTGGGGGTGGTACCCGGGAGGCGTGTTACGCAGTGTGAGGTTGGATGGCAAGGGCGACATGGTGATGGTAGAGAATGATTGGTGAGAAGTCGGAAGTTCTGATATTCTTGGGTGGATTAAAGAGAATAAGAGTTGTGGTTAGACTTGGAAGAGTGTGGACATTGGTTGAATAAGGAACGGTTGAGGTGAGGGAGCTTTTGATCAAAGGTCAAGAAGTAAGGATTCGCAAGGAGAAGTTCGTAGAACTTGACGATCTTATATCCTGGATACGATTGGGTCAGCTGGAGGGACTTATATAGTTACTTTTTCGCAAACACTTGTAAAAGCTTCCTTCAACACTCTCAAGGCGTATTGAAGCTTTGGATGACTCGAGAGCTCAACTTTGAACACAGCTGTAAGCTTCTCCTCCGTAATTGGTCAAGATAATAGGGCAAAAGAGACAAACTTTCATCAGAAACTTACACCCAAGCATTATAAAATGATGTCTTTTCCTATGACATGTCCATATTTTCCCTCCCCATCACTCAAACACTTGTCAAGACGATTCTCTGAACCCGCTCGACATACACATCTTTTCTGAAGCCCCTCCCAAAATCCTCATACTTCAAAATGCCCGTTCCACCATACTCGGAGCTTCCAAGCCCTGGGGACATCCCTGAGGGGTGGCCTCTGACTGGACCTCTCTTCTCTATCCCTACCCGCTCTGGTCCTCCTATTCCCACCAAGACCCCATTCACCGACAAGAGGCCAGACCACAAGGCTAACAGGCTACCACTGAAAGAAGAGCCAACCCCAAAGGAAGACAAGGAGTTGATGCCTGGTCACAATGCAGTTCATGGCCCAGCTCATGCGCTTGCTTCAGCCACCAGCTTTGAGCGCCCAGGTCGTCTCGGCACCGCTGGTGTCTCCCACATCACGGGTATTCCTCCCCGTCCCCCTCCTATTGCTGGCAAAACTGTTGTTCAGAACCGCCAGTCTGAGGACGAGGCGTATGAGTACACTGGCCTTCTTGTCTTCCTCATCGTAATTCTTCTGGGAGCCGCATTTGGTGGGTGTCTCCTTCTCATGAGGCTAGTAGCAAGCGTTTCGAGGCGTCTTGGTCGAAGATATGGGTGGAAATGGGTCAAGAGAGCCGACAGTGCAGACCTTGAGGATGCGATCTATTACTGGAAGGATCATCCAGACGTGTTCGAACAGTACCATCTCGACTTGCTCCGGGAGATCTTGGCAAGTTACGGAGGTTCTTCCTATCTTCCAGTAGACGAAAAGGCTGCTGAAATGGGCCGACTGGATTCAACCGACTGCGCACCTCTCCCTGGACCTCGGCCTGTCCATATGGCTCCCTCACAATCCGGTCCCTGCTGGCCCGGAATGCCAGGCTACAGGTATTCTCCTCACCCTATGGGATGCCCATAGCGGAAGATTCGTGCGATTTGATCATCTGGTTCTCAGCTGGAAGAGAGTTTGATTTCTTTGCTGTGACTGGGTAAGCTTGGGAATAACTCTGCACAAACACTTGTCCATGGCTTCGTGATTGGAAGGAACTAGGCAATCAAAAGTTTATACTAGAACATGGAAGTTAGAAATGTGCGAGGATCAGAAAATAAAAGCTTTAGCAACTTAAACTTATCTTCTCATGAGAATTATCTTCAGTGAAGTAACTCAAATACCGGCGATTATTTGCCTGAACATTAACTTTGAGAGGCAACTTGGGCTATATAAGAGTTTCCAGACTCACATCCATGACAACATCATTCCTTTCCCTGTTTTTCTATTACACCTCGACTCGCATCCACGAAAAAACGCCTCTATTCACAAACGAACTAGAAATAATGGGCTTAAACATATACCAAGGCGTGGGGATAATCCTCGTTTTCCTTACCGCCATCTACACCTGTGGCCTTATCAGGCACTATTGCTGCAATCCAAAAGCACAGACTAAGGATGAAGAACGAGGAGACGTCGTGATAAATCGGGAGGAAAACTATGAAGGCATCTTCGTCAATCCCCCCCAAGAACAGATCCTCCATCAACCTGTGCCGTCTTACACTCCTATTTCCCTTCGCTCACCTCACGACACTGAGCTTCCGGCTTACAAGCCTATGGGTACTCCTCCGCCTTGTTATGTTCCAGGACTCAAGGATTTTCAACCAGATTCAACGCAGCCATCGCCTGTATGAGTTATCCAAGCCCCTGATCTCATCGGGCTTCGAGGCTTGAGCTGCTTTACCGTGGGTGACCAGACCTTGGAACTCTATCATTTCACTTCAGCCACATGCACCTCGAGTCAATAGAAGACTCATTATTACTCATCAGCCTCAACTTCAAATTCTCTTCACTTCCTTACCGAATCATTCGAATCCACGACATATATCACGAAGGTTATCCACCAGTACCTTTCCCCCCTTTTCTACCCAACTCAACTTTCGACTGGCTCATCACCGAACAACCTCACAGTCAATATTCATTCAATCAAACATCCTGCCAATAGTATCTGATATACTGCAGCTCAAAAAGCTTGATAACCCTCATCACTTATACCATTCCTCCCCTTATCGCTTCATCAAACAAGAGTCCAAAAGAAGCCCAACATGGACCTCCCTTTACAGCATAAGGTTCACTCCTCACAAACTGACCCTCCCGGGTCGAACTTCGCAATGGCCAGCCTTTCCATCGTTTCCTGGGTTATTGGAATCATCGTTACGCTTGGCTTTGTCATCTTGTTCTTCAAGTGTCTCATGAATCGTCGAGCTCCGCGTCAAACCGCACCCAGGCCTTCGATCTCCGGACCTCCGATTCCCGCGCCTCCTCAGGGAATCGAAGGCGACGTTGAACTTGGAACCACCAACGACCGTCACGATAAGACCACCAAGAGCTCGACAGTTGGTGATCAACCTCGCGTGCCACCACCTCCGTATTGTCGACGAAGCTGATACACATCTGTTGCACCATGCTGCTATCCCCCCATACCGTGAGTTGCAACAGGGATTGCCTATGATGCAGTTCTATTTCGAAGAGACACACTATAGATTTGAGGGTCGGGTAGATATTAGCCAAGTTGCATTTAACTTGGTTCAGGAGGTAGATGAGGGCCAGAAGACTAGACAAATCACTATAGAACTAGTCAAATGGAAAAGTACAACATACAAAATCATGAACTGGTGAAAGTCTTAGTCTGCCTATTAAATGAATTATAAAATATCCTAAACTTGTCTAATTATTTTCATCACTTAGGGTCGAGTTCTCATGCCCTCTTATACTTGTGGATAAGTCCAATAGCATCTAATTGGAGACTTGAATATATATGGCTATTTCTTTTTAACATTGTGTTGGTGACATCTGTCCACAGAAGCGTAACATATACTACATAATTTCCAGCAAACGCTCAGCGCCAATTCCATTCCTCGTCTCCAAAAGGGTATTATAAACAGTAAACAACCAGATCACGCCTTGCCCACCCATCCTGAATTAATAAAGAAATCGAATATGCGCCCTCCCTTTTGCGAGTCCAACCTACAGATCTCCTTTGCTTGCTTCTTCTTCAACGTGCCGTTTGTCTTGAGAGCTTCCTTGAGGATCTGCTCCTTGATCATAAGATATGGCTTAGGCTGCAGTCTAATGACTTCGCAAAGCTTGACCTCTTCTGGTGTGAGGAGATGCAAGTCTGGTGTGGTGTCTTGGGTCATGGGCATTGGTTGTACGCCGGAGATGGGTTGGGCCGTGTATCTCTGCTTAGGAGTTGCATGGCCATTTACTCCATTGACTCCGTTGACTCCATTAGTTACTCCATTGACCTGGCCGTTTGTCTGGCCATTGGCTAGGCCATCAGTATGACCATTTGTTAATGGCTTTACATCGCCATTGACTTCCGCAGCAGGCGTTGATAGTAGTCGAGCAGGAAGTTCTGGGGCGATAAGAAGGGCAGATCCACTTGGTGGCTCGGGAGGAGGAGGTTGCTTAGACCTCTGTGCAGATGCTAGACGCTCGCGATCCATGGAGCCCATAGGGATTGCCTTTTGGATCCTCGAGGCCTTCTCATTCTCGTACTTCTCGCCACTTCGAAGGTCGCCGATACGCATGTTTCGCCACTCTTGCAGCTGTGTGATGGCTTGTCGTAGATTAAGTTCATCGAGAAGACCTTGATTGAACTCCTCAAAGTCCTGTTGGTTCATCATGCGGGCGAATGGTTTGGCTTTCTGCAGCAAATCCCTTTCTTCTTTGGTCCGCCTCTTCTCCAGCTTTGTGTTCTCTCTATATTCAAGAAGATTGTGCTCAAAGATAACCTTTTTACGCTCCACACGCTGTGTCAGTCGAGCGTTGTATATGTCCATCACTGTGAGCTTGAGTTCCATTTCAGGTTCAAGCTCGCCTGTCCTGGGGTTCAAACCATCACCCGGATCGAACTGCATCAACTGGACAGCTTCTTCTGCCTCATTTGCATATTCGGTCTCGAACTCCAAACGACCAGGCATATATCCTTGAATCTCGTGACAGCTAGGTACACTAGCTGTTGGTTTTGTTTTAGGTTGTAGAGCGGGCGCGTTCTTAGCTGCATCTCGTCGCTCCTCTATTCGTCGCTTCTTGCGTGCCTGAAATTCTTCTCTGGGGATTTCGTTGGCCAATTCGCAATCGTGAGGGCTGCACCGTTCGGGTAGTGGAAAGTGAGACGAGTCGACGTAAGTCGATAAGTAGTGATCGCGAACCTCGTCCTTCTCACGGAAACCGCCAATATGATCTGCGATATCGGCCCATGAGCCGAGACCATATATTTCGGCGCCCTCAAGGAGGAGTAATTCTTCGTCGGCACCCCATTCTCGATCAAAGATAGGGAATGAGTTTTGTTCAATCACACGAAAAGCGTGTGTCGCAGGATTGTGAGCATTTCGTGATTCACCTTTGGCGAAACACGAGACACAGAGGTCGAAGTCACTGCAGTCTGAGTCGGCGCATCGGATGCGGACCTATATCAACACCAACATGATTAGCTACCCCATCATGACATCGAATTGAGTTTAGCCGGTATATCTCCGAAGCGCGTCTTTACGTTTGCAACCAAGCTTCAGGCAACAGGCAACACAGCAAAATGACCTACCGTAGATGTAATATCTGATGAGCACACATCGCAAACGTATTTAACACCACCTTCGCCACCTCTTGTGATTGTTTTCTTGCGTATCACACCCATATCGCCGGCTGCGATGCCGGGCCGGGAGGTTGTCGTTACCCCCCCTGTCTAGAAGTAGCAGCGGGTTCGAGGCAGCGCAAGGCGCGATGGAAGTGCAAAAGAAGGTTTTTGGTGATGCGCGATTGTTGAGGACTATGACGCGACGCGAAATTCGATGGAAAATGTCGGTTTGAGGTTGTTGTTGATGGAATCGGTGATGGGTCGATTTGTCGAGGGGCGGATGTTGTTGATTATGGCGTCTACGCTTGCTCTGACAGGAGCTGGTCTGGGGCTGAAGTGCACTGGACTTGAGCTTGCAGGGCGCGGGTTAGGTTGTTTCGAACGGGGAGCCAGTAGCCGCTAGCAGCAACCCCACGCTCGAATCATCATAAGTCACGTGGAAGTATAGCCTCCGGGCCGCACATCCCCGCCACGAGCAAGTGACGCCAACCCCCAACATTGAATCTCCACAGTCTGGAAGTGATTCCCGGATTTGAGTGAGAGAGAATCATTGAACATTGTGAAGGTGCTAAGCTTTCCCATTTTGTTTATTAAAGATTTTTATATGAAGCCTAGTATGACATATGGTGCTGCAAGTGAATCCTGATGCCGATCCTGGTTCAGATCACGACAATTCCGCATAAATCAGTCTCACCTTGACCTCGGGGGGCAATAAAACTTCTAACATTAAAATAAGGTGTTAGAATTAATAGGTCAAAAAATCTACTAAAATACATCAAACTTACCTAAGTCTTTTTATCACTTAGGATAAAGGTCCTAAGTTTTCTTGCCTCTCCTTGCTTGATCACTAACACAATAGTTGGCAGCCCACTCATAAAAAAGACTCCCCCGAAAACACGGCCGAGAATATCACCGTTGAACCGCGCCATTCAGAATCCCCGGGGAGTCTGTGTCAGTTAGCTATTTATCTTCTATCTTCTATCACTAGCCTCGGCTTTAAGCAGTAATAAATTGAAGCTGAACCCGTCTCAAAAATATTCATTGACTCTCATCAACCCCTCATTCACTTTAAACTGTCACCCCACTATCATCATGCCTGATCAAATTCTTGACGACATCTCTCACCGTCGATACAATCCCCTCACGGATTCATGGCTGCTTGTATCGCCTCACCGCACGAAGCGACCTTGGCAGTGAGTCTCCAATGCTTTAATCAAGAGCCATCTGACATGAAATAGAGGACAGCAAGAAGCTGCTGTCGCATCAAAACTTCCAGAATATGACCCCAAAGTACGCTCATGACATCACATCATAACAACTCAGTCGCCTGACAAAACCAGTGCTATCTCTGTCCCGGAAACCCGCGAGCCGCTGGCGACCAAAATCCGAATTACGAAAAGACCTTTGCCTTTGTGAACGACTACAGCGCCGTTAAGCAAGAGCAGCCAGATTATGATGCGAAAGCCTCATCCAATGATCTGGAATCTCTTCTCCTTCAAGCTCAGGGCGTCAAGGGCGTGTGTTACGTGCTCACTTTCTCACCCAAGCACCATGTAACACTTGCAGACATGACAGCTGAGGAGATTGTTCCCGTCATTGAGCATTGGACTCGAATCTACGCCAACCATCTGACACCGTCAAACCCCCGGGCCGCGGAAGCTGACAAGCTCGCTATTTCTATGCCAAAGGACGCTGCACCTTCTCCTGAGGAGCAGTACCGATATATGCAGATCTTTGAGAACAAGGGTGCGGCCATGGGATGCTCTAACCCTCATCCTCATTGCCAGGTCTGGACCACCTCGACCATGCCTGAAGAGCCAGGCAAGGAGCTTGTGCAAATGACCAAGTACCGAAACCAACACGGTGGTCGAAACCTTCTGGGCGACTACGTGAAGCTTGAGCTTGAAAAGCAAGAACGAGTTGTCTGGGAGAACGACGCTTTTGTGATTGTATGCCCGTGGTGGGCTGTGTGGCCTTTCGAGGTTCTTGTTCTTCCCAAGCGACATATTCGATCTCTTCTCGATTTCAAGCCCGAGGAGCGACTCCAATTCGCCGAAGCCATTCAAGAAGTCACCCGGCGATACGATAACTTGTTCGAATGCAACTTTCCCTACAGTTCTGGTCTTCACCAGGCGCCTCTTGACGGAACACCTGAGGAGTTGGAGAGCGCATATTTCCACATGCACTTCTACCCACCTCTGTTACGTTCAGCCACTGTCAAGAAGTTCCTCGTTGGCTACGAGCTTCTGGCCGAGCCTCAGCGTGATATCACTCCTGAGCAGGCCACAGTCCGTTTGAGAAATTGCGGAGGAGAGCTATATCGCAAAAGTCTATAGGCATAGAGCCCGAGCATTAAAACATTAAAATCTAAAACTTTTTATCTAATAACAAGTTGCCGTTATGCCGATTCCAGGCATCTAGTATTTGCCTGCCATGTGTATACTACATTCACCGCCACTCACCAGTCTCACCATTTGTCGCCTGATTTAGTTGTACTCGACATAGTAGTCACGGACAAGAGGCATCCAGATAAGAGAGATGGAAGCCAGAGTGAAAGGGAAGTACTGAGGGAGACCAAAAGTCATGGTCTTGAAAACGAAGAGCTCACTGGCAAAATGTCCCAAGGCGACAATGTAAGTCCAATAAGCAATGGTGTAAACAGGACCAATGTGGAGGTTATAAGCTGCGTAGCATCGAACAACGCAAGTAATGAGCGTCCAGGTACCGAAAAGTCTTCCGGCAAGGGGGGTAAGCTGATCGGTAGCCTTGGGGTCGTTCTGAGCAGGAACCAGCTTGTTGATCTGGTCCTCTGGCTCGAACTTGTCGGTCTTGGGAGGGAGCTTGGGGTTGCGGACGAATTTGCCGTTGTAGACTCGTCGGGAGAAGTGTAGGGTTGTATACGTCTGCAGCGAGTTTCCGATCGAAATGATGGACAGCTAGAGCGAGGGGTCAGCATCTTATTTGGTTCTTGGGTGTAGGGGGAGTGGCTCTTACGATGATCATGTAGTAGGGTAGAACACCCTTTGCTTCGGGGAGGATAGATTTGATAACATCCATCTCGACGGAATTGAAGATAAACTGAACCAACTAAGCGGGGGTCAGAGAATCTCAACAACTATTATTGCAATGGTTGCAATGCAGTTGTAGAAGTAAAATGGCGGGTTGAGATTGGTGTAAGACGAGTTGGATGGTCTTTTTTTGGTGAGAGAGAGGGACCTGTAATCGGGGAACAAAGGCTGAAGAAGCTTGGACCAACTCAACAACGTCAGGGGTAATACCACCTAAAAATTCAATTCAATTAATTGCCCGGGCCTGAGAGCCAAGACCCAACTCAAGAGCCGAGGGGCATCCATACTGTACTTATCTTGTGACTGTCGCCTTTTCTTCTCTCCCTCTTCCTCCTGTTCACATAGGCAGCTTATTTTTGTTGCACTCTTCAAATATGGACGCCATTACAGACTTCCTCCATAATGTACCGCAGCCTCTTCAGTGGGGTCTTGCTGGTATTGGTGCTCTCTTCCTGGGATCCAAGATTCTGAGCTATCTCCAGCTTGTCCTCAGCGCTTTCGTGCTCGGAGGCACCAACGTATGTGCTTCTACAAGCCCCAATTGAGCTCTACTAACAATTATTTCTATAGCTCCGCAAGTATGGAAAGCCTGGCACTTGGGCCGTCATCACCGGTGCCTCTGATGGCCTCGGCAAAGAGTATGCTCTGCAGCTCGCTGCCAAGGGCTTCAACCTCGTCCTCGTTTCCCGAACCCTCTCCAAGCTCGAGAGCCTCTCCGCCGAGATTCAACAGAAGTACCCTGGAAAGGGTCTGCAAGTCAAGGTGCTCGACATGGACTTTTCCCAGAACAACGATGCCGACTACGAGCGTTTGAGCGAGCTGATTTCTGGTCTTGATGTTGGTATTCTCATCAACAACGTTGGCCAGAGTCACAGCATCCCCGTTTCTTTCCTCGAGACCACCAAGGAGGAGCTTCAGAACATTGTCACCATCAACTGCATTGGTACTCTCCGAGTTACCCAGGTCGTCGCTCCTATCCTTAAGCAGCGAAAGCGCGGTCTTATCCTCACCATGGGATCTTTCGGTGGCTGGACTCCTACTCCTCTCTTGGCGACATACTCTGGTAGCAAGGCTTTCCTTCAGCAGTGGAGCAACGCTCTCTCCGCCGAGCTTGCCGACCACAATGTCGATGTCTACCTTGTTCTGAGCCACCTTGTCACCACCGCCATGAGCAAGGTCCGCCGCCCTAGTCTTCTTGTCCCCAACGCTCGCAACTTTGTCAAGGCTACTCTCAGCAAGATTGGACTTGGTGGTTACCAGACCGCGCCCAACACTTATACCCCCTGGTGGAGCCACGCTTTCATGTTGTGGTTCATTGAGAACATTCCTGGTGCTAATGGCCCTATCACTATTTTCTTCAATAAGAGGATGCACGAGGACATTCGACGCCGAGCTCTCCGCAAGGCTGCTCGCGATGCTAAGAAGCAGTAAATTAAGCATGAAAATAGGAGAAGGAAATAAGGCAAGTAAGGAGGATACTCAGAACATAATGGAAAAGGAGTAATGTGGCAGCTGTGGAGGTCAACTCAGTTGTCATGAGGGATAGTTGGTGGTATGATAACCGCAATGTACTACAATATATGGAACCGCCCTATAGCCTCTGAAGTAAAGGATGAGTAACCTCGGACATTCCGTCATGTTTGCCGTGCATATATGGCAGCTTCGGCTTGCAGAACAAAGAGACCTGTGCATTGTACTACATGAGCTACCTGTGATTGCCCAGCAACAAATTGACATATACTGGTGTGGATTTATTTGAGTCAAGCAGAAAGGTGGATCAAAGAAACTGCATACTTACAGACCAGTACAGCTTATTCACAGAGTTGGTTGTTGGACGAGTACATGTAACTATAATTAATAAGTAAACAATTACATTGTCTCCAGCTTATTTCATTATTGGAACATGCTATTCTCAGTGATTTTGAGCTCTTCATGACGCGTGGTTACTATGCTCTCAGCCTTGCACCAAAACGGTCCTAGCGCCACGCCCCAGTCGCGAAAAATCCGTGCTCCATATCCAGCCTCCCCAAGCTCTCGTCAAATTGTTTATCACCTTCAAAGCGTACTTCTCTCGCTATAGGCTCTATCTCAAACCCGACGACGACGCGACGAAAGCGAAAACCCCCCACGAGGTTTACCACGCGATTACGAGGGATTGGGATATTGATCGCAATTCATCCGCGCGCCTTGAGTCTGTCGCTTTTGATGATCTGCGATCTGCCTACAGCGGTATAGCAACGAAACTGGTGAAGCTACGCAGGCCCGCCGAGGGCTTCGATATTACTGCCCATAATGTCGTTTCCACAAACAACTCCGGTCCGGCCAGTTCCAGGCGCTTTCTTGAATACGCCAGCCGTTGCCTCGAGGTTTCAGTCGGGCTCTGATTCTGTGCGCCGACAGCTCTTCACCGGCAACGATAGCAACCAGGCCGTCTCGCATAAGAGCTCGGCGCCTGTCTCGTCATCGCGAAGTGTCGCAGCTACTGCGCCATCTGCACCAAGGACAACCAGCAACGATAATCTGATTGTTCCGACCGCGCTGCCACCTCTTCGATCCGAAAATGTCCCCCCCGTTGTCAAGGCGGCCAGGGCCATCAACGCCTGTCTCCAGTCTGATGGCCGGTATCCCGACTTAGATTCATACTGTCGACGTAGGTTACAAGAGCTTGGATGCGAAGGAACCAGCTAACAAAGATCAGAGGGCGCGTCGTCTGATTACGACCTTGAAAATACCGACTCTGCGATGGCCCCCTTCCACAAAACTCAGATGTATCCCATTCCGAACCAAGTCTTCGACCATTACAATGCTGGCGAGCTTCAGACTCTGATGGGACTCTTTGCTGAGATCAATCACGCCTGGGTCGTTATTGATAACTCGCTGTTTCTATGGGATTACACACACCCTGACCCCGAGCTGATTGGATTCGAGGATCAACCGCATACTATCCAAGCCGTCGCGCTCGTGCCTCCCAAACCAGGCATTTTCGTCAACACGATCACACACATCCTCGTCGTTGCGACTTCTTCAGATGTTGTTTTACTAGGCGTCTCGGCCACCGCTACCCCTTCAGGCTCCAAGACAGTATCTCTTTACCAAACGAAAATGCAGCTCCCCCTTCGTGGTACCGACGTCCGTGTTATTACTGGATCTGCCAACGGCCGAATCTTCTTTGGAGGAAGCAACGACATCGACATCAATGAACTTTACTACCAATCTGAGGAGAAGTGGTTTTCAAATAGGTGCGGTAAGATCAACCATACGAACCCTGGCTGGTCCTCAGTTGTCACACTACAAGGTGGATTCTGGTCTCACAAGACTCCCGAACACCTTGTTGATATCGTGATCGACGATTCGAGAAACCTCGTGTATACCCTCTCGAGCCGATCGACCATTCGAACATACCATATGGAAGGCCCCGACCGACTGAACAAAGTTATTGAGAAGGAGAAAGTCCACTGTCTTCGCGACATTGCCCACATGATCACCCAATCTAGGTTGTTAAGTGACCAAGTGAGCATTGTCTCGATCAGCCCTATCTCTAAGCAGGAAGCGGCTAAGCTTCACTTGATGGCTCTGACAAACACTGGCTGTCGTCTGTTCTTCAGTGCGACCAGTGCTGCATCCTACATTTACGGATCCTCGACAAACCTGGCTCCCCAAAGCATGCAGGTTCAGTTTATCAAGTTCCCTCCTGGCCAAACCTCTCGTCGATCTACTTACCCTGGCGGCGAGACGATCACTGATTTCGAATCCACCTCGCTGTCTTACAGCCGACAAGGCGCTCGATTTGCCCCTGGATATTTCTTGGATTTTGTGAGCAAGGAGTCTAATCCCAACGAGGATACTCTCTTTGTTTCTGGACCTGAGACGGGACGGCTTAAGAACACGTCCCCGACATCTCCTTTCAAATACCATGAATCCGCCAGCTGGATTGACATTGGCAGCCGAGCTGAGGCTGTTGGTTTAATCACAAAACCGTTCGCAGCGGCACAACAACCGCTTGGCTTCGGTAATGAGTTAGCTGTGCAATTCGACGATGCGCCTAGCGAGTTCGCAATTCTAACCAACACTGGCGTACACATCGTTCGAAGAAGGCGCTTTGTGGATATCTTCGCTTCTGCTATTCGGGGTGCTGTTGGAGACGAGGGGTTGGAACTGGTCTGCCGCCGCTTCATTAATAATTACGGCCGCGTGGAGACTGTTACTACCGCTCTGGCTGTTGCTTGTGGTCACGGAGGTGACTCTAAACCTGGTGCAGCTCGTGCTATCGACCAGGCAACTGAAGATCGGGCACGATCCGTCTTTGTCGACTTTGGTGGACAGCCTACGATGGCTGAAACCGACAGTTCATCCCTTACAACCGATTCCATTAATCTCTCTTCCCGACACGACGCTCTAGCTCTGTATCTTTCCCGACTGGTACGCCAGTTGTGGAAGTCAGTAGTCATTGCTCCAGGTGTTTCTCCTAACGGCGGTGTCACCATTGGTTCTACAATTCCCCTTTCCAAGTTGAATACTATTCAGGAGAACTTGGAGCGCCTAAGGAGGTTCCTTGATACCAACCGTGGCCTCATTCAAGGCTTGTCTGGTCCGTCTGATCTCCAGCATGTGTCTAGCCGCCAGGAGGAAGTTGCTCTTCAGGCCGAGCATCAAGCTCTTCATGCTCTTCAGAAATTGATGGAAAGCATCTCGGAGGGTATCTCATTCGTGCTTATGCTCTTCGATGAGCGGGTGGCTGATATCTACACTCGCCTCGATGCTACAGCCCAACAACAACTCAAGGAGCTGACATACGAGAAGCTCTTTTCACAAACTGACGGCAAGGACCTTGCCAAGCTGCTTGTTAAGGCCATTGTTAACCGCAATATTGAGAGCGGCTCCAACGTTGAAACTGTTGCTGACGCCCTTCGAAGGAGATGCGGCAGCTTCTGTAGCCCAGATGATGTCGTTACTTTCAAGGCCCAGGAACAGCTTAAGCGGGCTTCTGACCAACCTCTTCAGACAAACCAGTCGCGAAGCCTACTCCATGAGAGCTTGAGGCTCTTCGAGAAGGTTGCTGGTAGCCTCACTTTTGCCAACCTTCAGAGTGCTGTGGAACAGTATATCGCCCTCAAGTACTATGCCGGTGCTATCCAGCTGTGCCTTGTGGTCGCCCGCGAGAAGGACAGGGGTAACACAGCTCTGTCTTGGGTCAACGACGGCAAGCCCTCCGGAGACCCTCGTGCTAATGCTTTCAATGACCGCAAGCGTTGTTACGACATGATCCATGATGTTCTGAGTCACTTGGATGCTGCATCAAGCAGTGAGCCTGAAATGGTTGATGGCAGGCTGACATTGATTGCTACCAAGAGGCTTGAGGCCTACGAGGTGGTGAATGGGTCGGATGACGAGGTGTTCCACTTTGACCTTTATGAATGGTACATCCAACAAGGCTGGACAGATCGAATTCTGGCTATCGACTCACCCCACGTTATTACTTTCCTTCAGCGACTTGCTGGCACAAACATTGAGCATGCTGACCTGCTCTGCCGGTTCTACACCAACAGAAGTCGATTCTTTGATGCAGCCGAGGTGCAGGCGGAGCTTGCCAACTCCGACTTCCCCATCAGTATCAAGGATCGAATCAGATTGCTCAGTTTGGCCAAGGCGAATGCCAATGTTTCAACGACTGGTGTTAGCCGACAGCAACAGCAGCTGCTGAACCACAGTGTTACAGAGCTGCTTGAGATTGCTCACATCCAGGATGATCTCCTGGAACGTTTGAGAGCTGACGACCGTATCGACCCTGAGAGGGCCCTCGAGATTGAGGAAGCTCTCAAGGGCAAGATTCAGGGACTCTCCGAGGTAGGTTTCAACTGTTCTCTCTTAGCCAATGACAATTACTCACATGTTGCAGCTCTTCAACGACTATGCCGACCAAGCCGGTTACTACGACCTTTGCCTGCTCATCTACCATGTTGCTGATTACCGCAACCATATGACCATTTCGGGTACATGGAGCAACCTGATTCAACAGACACACGATGAGGTCATGTCTCGCCTAGAGAACTCAGAACCAGGAATGCCGTCGCCCCCATTGCCTTACGAGTCCGTGACCAGCAAGATCCAAAACATCGCCCACCGCACATCTCTCGACAGCTTCATCTTCCCCATCCAAGACCTACTTCCTGAGCTCTGCCGTTACGCAGTGGCTTACCAACAAGATGCCACAATCGGCGCTGATCCCACCTGGCCTGTCCAACTATTCCTCACGCTGGGCGTCTCCCATGACATGATTGTTCGTGTTCTGGAGGGCGTTTTCGATAGTCAAGACTACGGCTTCAGTGGATCTGTGCGAAACCGCATGATTGAGCTTATCGTTTATGTTGTCAACGACTGGGTGGCTGAAGCCCGTCGACGTGGAGGTGCCGGAAAGGGTGGTGCCATTGGCCCCTCTGTAGCCGACCTCCTCAAGAGATGCGACGCCGCCCTGCCACCACCCGGGCATGGAAATAACGCTGGCGGTGCAGACCTTGCTGATGTCAGGCGAGTTCTCAAGCTGCTGAAGAGAGAGGTGGATGGTTTGTCACAACGGGTTCCGACGGGAAGCCTCAGATTTGCTTAGGTAGCGAGCTGAGAATGGATGGAAAGAGAAGCATCAGTTAGTTAGAGTCTAGAGAATTGGGAAGCTTTGAGTAGTTGGTAGTTGGGGGTGCGCGACCACATGTTTTTGTCAAGGATGATGGATATGCTATGCTATGGGCGCCAATTGTCATGAGGGTGCGTTGTACTGTACAGGTCCAAAGGTTTTTTCTCATTTTTTACACATGTAATTATTAAAGAAGACATGGGGGGTTTGATAAAACGGCGCCCCTTTGAAAAGAATGGAAAGAAATGCAATAGCGAAGAGAAAGTGTTTACCTACATCAGGCTGCGTCTCATTAACAGAACGGTGTCGCCGACATGCCAGTGATAATGTCTAGTGATATCTCCTCCGTAGTGATTCAGCATGGGTGTAGTACAAGGCAACGACAGTGTATGCAGCGCTACGTTGACTCTGCAATGCCGCTCGCCCTGTATAGTGAGAGTTGGAGGCGGTGGGAGGTGGTATTGGTGCGTGAGGCCTGCATGGTGTTCGCCTCACTTTTGGGGGAGGACTGGGGCGAAGGGTAACACGCCACGCTTGAAAATAAGTCATAGCAAAAGGGCCTCACTGCGTTTGGAGCGGGCTTAGGGAATTGTTTTGGGGGGCGACGGATTTAGGATATATAAGATTGAGAGGTTGTGGTGTTGTTGTCAAGGCAGACTTCAACAATCTTTTGCTTCTTAGTATGGGGAGCAGCATCTTATAACCCGGCTCTCGAACGCCAAACAACATATTTCATATATAGAACAACTCGTCTCGACGACTTGACGCTTACAACTTCGAATTCACTATGACTTAAAACAATCAACGACTCCTTTCCCTTTCCTCTGTCCAGGAGCTGGTCTCCTACAACCTACCAGCGCAATGAATCATCAACGATGATATCAAATACGTTCACCACGCTTCAAGCGTGAGTCTTTAACCCAGCGCAAGCGAGCATAATAAAAAAGAAAACACGAAAATCGCTTCGCTGGGCACCACGTTTCAGACCAACCGTTCGCCAGAAACTTCAACTACACAAACCTCGCCTGGGTTGGTCGCCCATACTACCGATGTCGGGATATGGTTCGAAAAAAGGGGAGAACATTCTGTATTTCAGTCCAAGGTGGGATGAAGATACACGATGGAAAATGGGGAGGGTGCTTTGTCGGTCATTCTTTATAGATGGGCGGTATTCTGGGGGGAGTGATAACTAGAAGGGTTAGATGGGGGTGGAGGGCAAAAGCGGTCATTTTAATGTATTCTAGAAGATACAGTGTCGTTCATTTGGTATACATTTAATATTGTATTATATAAATGTGTATTAGAGGGTGGCTACTTTGTTAAGTTATTCTACTCAGCTGTCACAATACTATTCATTTCTGATACCGACCAGTCATCGTAAGAACTGGAACTCTGCAATTATTTTACCATTGACCAGTCGAAAACCAATCTGATTCTTATTTCTAGTCGTCAAGTAATAATGAGTTCTGGGATGAATATGAAAGACCAAGCTTCTAATCCTCTCTGAGGGTGCTCCTCAACCTCATGCCGAGTTAATCAACTCTCCCAGTCATACAAATCACCTTGAACTCAATATCCCACCCCTTGCCCTCATACTTCTCCACCAGATGCCTCCTCAACAACTCCTTAACCTCCTCCAGCGAATGCTCCCTCTGCACCTCCTCACTCCACCAAGTCTTGATCAACCAACCCAACATCATACCAAACTGCAAAATATAATCCTCCGCACTTTCAATAGTGTAACTATCATTATGAGCAGTCACTTTCACATCTTGAAACCCCTCTTTCTTTAGGTGCTCTTCGATCCAGGCGGGGTTTGCCCAGTCGCCTTGGTCGTGCATTTGCATCTTCATGACTTCGGGCAGTTTGGCTTCAAAGGGGAATGATGCGAATGCTGTTCTGATGTCTGGGATCCAGAATGTGTTGTCTTTGTGGAACGTTGTTGCGCCGAAGATGCCTCCTGACTTGAGGATGCGTTTGGTGTCTAGATATGTTAGTTCTGTTCTGAGGAGTTCATGAAGGGGACTTACCGACTAGGACAGCATTTGGATCGGGGATGACATGGAGTGCAAGACCAAGACCAACATGCGTGAAAGATTTCTCAGGGAGCCCAGTGTTCTGTATGTCTCGTCAGTGCCTGATCATCTCATGGTGTAGGTCAACTCACCGTCGCATCCAGCTTCTTAACCTCTGTATTAACCCATCCTTCCGTGTCAAGTCTCTTCTTAGATACACTGACCATGCCATCTGAAGCATCAGCACATAAAAACGTGCTCTTTTCAAGTATATCTTTTGGCAAAGCCTGCTGTACCGCATGTGTCAAGACTCCGCTTCCACAGGCATTGTCCAGGAATTTCACAGGCTTTGAAGCATTCTCAGATATCCCCATTTGTGTAGGTAGAGGCTTGATTAGGTGTGGCATCATGGTTTTGGAAGCGTACAGCATCTGAGCTTCCAGAGTAGCGCTGTCATAGTGCTCTCTGAGAGTCTTGAGGGCGTTTTCGGTGTCTGAGGAAGTCATTTTGATGAATCGAGAGGCTCTTGTTATGGATGGGCGTAGTGAAGTGACCATGAATTCAATTTGAGTTGCTGTCAATGAGTCCAGTTCGTGAAGGGTTATATAAGTCTGTTGGGAAGTTTCCGAAAAGTCACCGCTGGGCGGAGACTAACTCGGAGCCTTCATCAGGGTATTCCCAGGAAGTAAGAATACTTATGATGAGGCCTGCATATTTTAATATGCATTATCGCATTGTAGATTGGCCTATAGTGAGTGTCTGTGTACGAATTGAATAGTCTCTTGTGTCAGTTGCTATTAAAAATTCCTCCTCGTCACTGTTTAGAGTAGCCACAGGGTCTCGTATCTGCAGGCACTTCCACCAATTCCTCACATAACTACCCAATCTGTACTAAGAAAAGATTGCTGTTTTCACTGACTCTAATTCAATATTCAAGTATGTAAAGTATTTAATAAAGTTCATTGTAGATGCTTCCCTTTCTTGGCGCTGGAATGAAGTGACACGTGATACACTGTCCAGTCCAGGGTGGCATCTTATCTCCACATAGCATCAACCCAGCTTCAACTCAACCCCCCAGAGCTCGCCAAACAGACTTTCTTGATCGCCATGTTATGATCTTGATACTTAATCTAGACGCTCCAAGTCGCCGAATATACGAGGGTGGTTTCTCACAAACCACTTCTTTGCGCCCTCAAATCACACCGCTGTCATGATCGCTCCTATCGCCTGGGCCGTCGTCGCCCTGGGCGCATTAACGCCCCTCGTCACAGCGAATCCAGAAGATGGTCTTCCCTCATATCACTACGGCGCTCCCATTCCCGTAGAATGCATGAACCGTAACTCGTGCGTCCGTCACCCAATTACTAGCTACATCTCTAACAAGTCGCAGAGAAACTGGCGAGCATGTCGAAAACGAAAAGCACGAAATCGAATGGAAACCTTTCCCCGTCTGCAACGAAACCGGCCGCCCTCTTGAATTCAACTACGGAACAGAAGGCGAAGTAAACTGCACGATAGCCATGATCGACGATCCTTTCTTCCACCTCCTCGAATTCTACATCCACTCCGATGCGCCTCTATCATGTCGTATTCCTGCGCGTCCAGCGGCCGAAGTCGAAGTCGTTGGCGAGAAGGTCCCCGAGCGCGAATACGTCCCCGTAGTTTTCGCACTCGCGGGCACATTACAGCTTAGCCATATACATATCAGCACGCATATGAATGTGTTGCTGCATAGTACGCCGAAGCATCATACTCATGCTCATGACAGTGGTGTTTTGGATTCAGCGATTGCGTATAGTACTAGTCCTCTGCACCATCTGCAGGGCTCGCATACACGAAAATTGGTCATTGGCGATCCATTGCCGCTGAGCCTATCTGTGCGATGGTTTCCAACACCGGCACTGCCCAAGACAGAAGGAAAGGTAGAATGGCAGGGCCTAGGCGGTCATATTTACGCGAGCACTGTGTTCTACAGTCTCGTGTCCTTTGGCGCTGGTGTGTTGTGTGCTACTATGTACACTCTTGGTGTGATTCTGCCCAGAAGACTCAAGGGACGAGCTCTCGGGGGTGCGACACCTTTGGGATATGGAGTGAACACCATGGGCAATGGATGGGGATACTCGAAGCAGAATAAGAGAATGGACTGAGATTCTGGTTTTATGTACAGTGCATTTATGGAGTCAGGGATGGATATGGGATTCTTGCAATGTAGAACAGTAATGTGAAAAGCCGGAGGCAACAGTCCACACCGACTACCTGCCATACAAGTGCCGTTTTGTGACTGTGTTCTCTACTGTGTCTTGGGCTTGATATCAGTGCTCACACGGCGCAACAGTCGTGTGTACATATCAATAGCCATAGCACCAGCTTGATCTCATTAGTAAACATTCAACAAACGGATGGGGACTTACGAATAAGCGCATAAGGAAAATACGTCCCCCAGACCAAGTTCCTCTTATGCTCCTCGCTCACCAACTCAGGCCCCATCTCCAACAGCTCAGCAACACATGCAACGGAGCTCATAGCAGTCAAGCAACCATACGCCAGACCAGCGAGTTCAACAGGTCCAGATGAAGGCTTCTTAGCAGCGAGGTTCCGCACGATGTAAATAGCCAGAGGGAATTGAACAAAGATCTCAATGAAGAACATGCTGCGGAACCAGGCACCATGGAACTTGTCCCCGAAGAAGGGGTCCCCTGAAAAGGAGAGGTATTGTTCTTTGACGTTGGCTAGAAAGTGGAGAGGGGCATTGGGTGCAGAATAGATCGACTCAGGGTAGAACTCAGTGAATTCGAGACCTGGGGATTGTCAGTGAGAGCCTTGGGTTGAGGTGAGGGATACGGACAGATCATGCCAACGAGTTGGAGTGAGATAATGACCAGGTAGATCCAGTCGCGAGCTGCTTTTTGTGCCATCTTGTGAACGAGAACGAGTCAAGCAACAGATAGTACAGTATAAGAAGGCAATTGAGACGAGATGATAGTGTTTTTTGTGTCAATGGCTTCTGGCTTTTGGTGCAAGAAGGAGCTTGGTTGGGAAATGAAACATAATTCGGCGCCGGACCCTTGTTTCGTCCGGGCACATCCGGCCGAAGGTGCCGTCACCAATGAACAGTATAACATGGGTATAAAACAGACTTTAAACGGCAGTTGATATTGATCATTACTTTATCATTCCAACTAGTGTTCTCAGCTATCATTAAATACTAATACATGCTATAAGTCAAATGCCACGGCGGCGTCAATCGCGCTATTGAGCCGCAACAGTAGTAAGAGACCTATCAAAAGCCTCCATATCAAAGCCCGTCAACAAATCCGCCCAAAACTCATCGTCAAACTGAAGATTAGTCGCCCAATCCGGATTGCTCTGCAACACACTCGAGCTCTCCACCGAAGTCTGCGGCTGCTGCACCAACAGCTGCTGTTCCTCCTCCGGAATCTTTGACAAATACCATTGTCTAATCCACCTGACCTTGAAGCACGACTTTAGAAACACACTGCTCCCATCCTCCATGACCCTACGTCTCCTATTTAGCCTCTGCGCCTCCTCATCAGCCTGAGCAAACTGATCGCTCAATCGCTGGAGAATATCCTGGAACTGAAGGCGTCGACGTGCGGCTTTTACATCCCAGTCTGTAGAGTTCTCGGCCATGATCAAGCGTGAGGCTGTGACTGTTACGAAGGCGAGGACGCATGATACTGTTACAGGGAGGATTGAGATCTTTTCGGGGGGGAGAGTGACGTGGTTTTCGAGGGTGTTTTGGACGGCCTCGAGGCATTTCCAGAGATATTCGGAGCGGAGAAAGGGTTCGGTTAGGGGTGTGTCGGGGGATAAAAGGCTGGAGGGTTTCATTATGAGGATTGGTTCGTAGAGACGGACGAGGATGGAGTTGTAGTGGGCTCTGAAGCCGGCTGCGACAGTCAGCATTGGTTAAGTGATCAAGTCGGGAAACGTACGTATTTGCTTTACGGTTTCAGGCTGCAGTTTAAAGTAGTTCTCCAATTCGCGATGGACGGTGTCAAGAGCCATGGCAGTAACGGCGTGGAAGGTCGGAGGTGTAGGGTCGAAGGGATCAATGGCTGGTATGGCGCTGAATCCCCGGTCGGCCAAGTGTTGCATCCGAACGAGGGACACGAGATATGTATCCGATTCATACTCGCGTGCTTCGGTGAGGTTTTCGCAGCAGGAAGCGAGATGTGTGCTCCAGTGGAAGATGGTGCTCTTTCTAAAGTACGGGCTTAGGCTGGTCTTGTTAGCTGTGCCTCACTAACTGGAGGGCATGTTGGCTTACAGATTTGTTATGTGGTATACGCCTAGAACTGCACGCTTGTCTGCTGCTGTCTGATGAACCTTCATCTTGATCGGATGTTTGCTCATTGACGTCCACGCATCGCCAAGCAGCGTCTTTGGTCCTCCCAGAAAGTGTCCTGCGTGCTTGTCAAGCCGTAGATCAATGACCAACCCAATAGCCATCTGTATAATGTTGGTAACTTGAAGCTCTCCATAAAAGTGAAAGTCATTCCTAACGAGTCAGCACAGGCACTTAAACTTCAAAAGATTGACTTACCATGCTAGATAGATCAACATCGCTTGCAATATGTCAATAGACTTCTCCTGCCTCACAACAAGATGCTCAGCAAGATATCTCCTAAACCACGCCTTAAACTCCATCTGGACTTTATCACCCAGCGGCGAAACAACCGCCAACATCGTCCAAAACAACACTCTCGACTCAACATAGAGTTCCGAAGCACACATTGAACTCGGCACAGGAACAAAGGGAAAATGCGGCACGTAGTCTCTGCGGTATACATCAAGACGGTCAGAGGCTTCCTGCTGCGAGATGCGAAACCCGGGAAAAAGCTCAACATCTGTGCTGAAGCGGATGCTGTCATCGGGGATTTGGTTGATCATGTCGTGGTTTGCAGTGAAGCGGTTTTCTTGGGTGTGAGGTTGACATTGAGAGTGTGATTGGACTTCTTGGGGACTTTCTGGTGTTAGAGGGGAGAGGCCTTTGCGTTGGTTTGCGGAGAGGAGAGAGACGATGCCATCAATCTTCTTCTCTAATTGAGCGACTCGTCTATATAAGTCAGCAAAGTTTATATAAATGAGTGAAGAACTTACGTTGACTTGCCGCGTTTTCTTCGCTGTGTAATTTCCGGTACCTGACAATCAAGCTTCATCCTCAAACATCTACACCAACAATTAGTATTCATCCCACATCAAATCCCTTATATCATACCTTGAACACGTCTTTTCTACACGGCCAGATCCAGAACTAGGCCACTGACACTTCATCTTCAACCTCGCGCAATTGGTACAAGCCCTCGTCTTCTGCGCCGCATCCCGGCGATCCTGATCCTGACTGATGAGGCATTCATCCATAATTTTTACATGCGAGGATGCCAAGAAAGTTAATAAACGAAAATTGAAAAAGATGAAAAAGGTAAATTGGATGACACGAGATGAGGTTCCGTGTGATTTACTGATGCGCCGGAGGTAAAGATGGTGTATCGGCCGTTAATCCCGGGTTTCGGGGGCTTTCATAACGACCGGTGATACGCGTGTGGCTGTTCCAGGGGGGATTTAGTGCCTTTTTAGGAAGGGAGATCAGGGATCGGGGGTCTTTTTAAGGGCCGATGGTCCGGTTGACGACAGATCGCAGGACACAGTCCGTGGAGATAAGTAACAGAATCCTACTCACAATGATAATTACAATGGAATCAGCCTATTAATTAGTCTTCTAGTGCTTCAGTATCATGTACATTAACTGAAGTGCAGCAAGATATACTCATAAGCTCGTTGCACGGCCGAGTATAAGTGCTCGGAGTTGAAGATCCCGATGTTTCTTGCGTCCGCCGTAGTGCTTACACCGAAGACTGAGAGTCCCCAAATATTATTTTTTATCTAATTCAGGCTCATACATACATCCAAGGCGTTTTGTTTGCGACTTTAATAACCATGGTCTTGATTAATCTGTATGACATGACGCAACATGATCTAGATCGTGGTTATTCAAGTCACAAGTTCCTATGATGAGTACCGTACAGAACATTCAGCTAATTTCATAGGAAACAGTCGTTAAATACTTCATATTCCAGCTGGAGTCTCTGTCAGTATTCATCTGTGATCTACAGTGGGTAACGTATGCCAGAACGGCCAAAACTTGAGCCGTCTTACAGTAGCTAGTGAACTTTATGCAATTTATTACAAAGTGCCAGACTTTGAAATGATTGGTGGTAACTGTTGGGCATTAATCATTCTAATTCTCTGTAAGTAAGGGAAACACTGAGACAGATTTGCTGTGTCATGGCGCATCAAGATGGGTTAGTCCTCACCATCCCGAACGAACATCATTTTGATATAGCATCAAATCACAGTCATGATATCACATTTTTAAGCACAAAGAACAAATTAGGGAAGAATAATAAATTCTCAACTAGCTACTAATGCGAATACCCGTTAACGCCAACAAAGCAAACCCAGAGCAAAAGACTGACCAGATATCCATCCCTCACAGGAAAACCTGGCGATCTTGGCAGATTAGGAAAACCCCCGATTCCGCACAGATTTTCCGCTTCTTCTTGTTCTTCGCCGGGAAACCCTGACTCTCCGGCTGGTGGTGTCCTATAAACACGCCGCTGCAGTCCACTACCGCCGTCTTTTCTTGTGCTTTTCTGTTTCAGTATTCTTTTGGTGTATACGCTGGCATGGTGTCTCGTCACGACTTTAAGCATCCCGCTTGAAAAGTTGTCGAACCTTGCGCATGCTGTCGCGGGCGTGTCGTAGTGTGAAAGATGCCAGCTGCTTGTAATTCGCAGCTCCAGTCTCTTGAATCTGTGAGCCTTCTTCGACACTTGTTGCTACAGCAATACGCAGATACTCTTGTCGATCTTGGCCATCCTGACCGATGCAGATAAACCCCCCGCTATATTTCAGGAGAAGGGCATTGAGAATAAGACGACATATTCTGCCATTGCCATCTGCAAAGGGGTGAATATTGACAAACTTATGACAATACTTGCTTGCAAGTACAACAGGGTCAATTTGTCCTTCTTCAGCTGCCTTCTTGATATCAGAATCAAGTTCGTCTATCATATCGCGCATTGCAGCAGGGACTTTGCTCTCATCCATGAAAACATGAGAACCGCACCGGACGTTCCATGTCCGGTACACTCCACTGTAATAGGGCCAAGGCGTGTCGCCGAGGTCGATCTTGTAGGTCAGGATACCATGAGCTTCGCTGATAATCTTATGAGACAAATCTTTGCCCTTGATACAAACTTGATCGATCATATACCGAGCAGCTTCGGCATGCTGCACGATCTCTCGGCGGCTTCGTAGAATAGCCTCATGTCCAGAAGGCAAGTTCTTGTTTAGGAGATGGATTTTGAGATCATGATAGTCTTCATCACGCTCATTAATCTCTTCGGGAAGTTCTTTGCCCCGAAAGACATCCTTGCAGAGCTTGAGTGTAATATCGACACCTCCACCGGCAACTTCGATCATATTAGACCCATAAACCATACGAGCGAGTTCGTCGGTGATGTATTCGTCAAGAGCATTCTTGTTGTCATCGGATTGCTTTAAACCGTCTGCGATATCAGAAATATACTTGCGGAATTCCTGATGAAGTTGCTTGGGGTTCTCTTGGAGAATATTGTAATCGTAAGCGTCGCCCATGTTGATTGTAAAAGTTGCTTTGCTGAGAGTAGACGACATCATGCGTCTAATGTCTCGCCCAAGGTGCTGATCCTCATGGTCAATTTCAAGGCCTTCAAAGGGGCCTTGGGACAGGCTTTGTCGCTGATGATGGGGCATCTTTGCGCTTCAAGAGAGGAGCTGAATACGAGCTGGCAGAAACTTATAGTTCAAGTGTAAAGAAGAAGAAGAAAGGTTGAAGTTATGTCAGATTAGAGTGGAAAAGAAGGGTTCCTTTTATACCTGAGATTTAGTTAGAGTTTGATAGTGATTCACTGCGAAACTTTTAAACTTCAAGTTATGATAGTGTAGTCGATACAGAGTTTCAATAGAAGTCAGGACACTTACAAAGAACATTTCTTAATTGGCCAATAAATAAGAAGACTACAATGATCCGCGATTGCAAGTGATGTAGGTCAATAATTCACTCGAAGATTGGCCCAAAAGGGTCGAATGCCATGTTATCAACTTGTATTTTCCTTGTCCTATACGTTGGCGATGTGTCCCGTGTCTTTCTTTCAACCTTGGCTTTAGGTCACAAACAACCCAACAACAAAGAACCTTATGTACCCAGATCTCTTCACTTAAATAAGATCGATAAAATAGGAAAACAAAATTGGGTAGTTGCCAAGCTTTGGGTGATTTCACGCTACTCTTTCCACATTTATCTACTAAAGGTCATGCCAGGAGCACTGATGGCAGAGAAATGTGTCGAGTAATGCAACAATCGCATAGACTTGAGCCGTATCTTTGGTCTTGGAATACCCTTATGAAATCAAAAACAGTGGAAGGCTGGTCTAGCCCTGCGTATAGCTATTTCAGTGGCCAGGATAGAATGACTGTTCACGATATCATACTAGTAGAGAAACTTGATCAAACGAACTATCAAAAATACCATTCCTGCTAACATACTGCCGCCCTAGACTTTTCTAATTACGAACAGGGTCAGGTCCAACAGGATTCTTGATCCAACCCTCGGGAATCTGATGAATAAAATCATACCACCAATCCCCTAGAATCTCATAACCCTTCTGCGTCGGATGAACACAATCACTCAAAATCGTATCATCAAAAGGACCAAAATCAGCAGCAAGTACATGAGATCCATTTGCACCGAGTTCAGCTGCCAATTTAGCAACATGTCCACGATAAATCTTTGTCCTCTCTCTCTGAAAATGATACCACTCGCTGTCGCAAACATCGGTGATCATACCGAGAATGACAGTGGCATCAGGACATTTAGATATCATCTTTTCGACCATTGATCTTAGGCGGTCGGTGGTTTCTTTAGGGTGGTTTCCGTCTGTGGAAACGCGATGATTACTGTTCATGTCGTTTGTTCCGGCGTGGATAAGGATGAGGTTGGGACGCTGTTCAAGGGATGGATCAACGTGGTCGTTGATGTACTGGACTGTTTTCCCGGACCAAGCTGCCTATGACCAAGTTAGATTAGTATGTCAATTTCTGGATTTCTGAAGAACTTACGAAGTGACCGTCTTTCATGTTTCCCTTTGTCTTCTCAGTGCCAGCCCAAACGACCTCATTTCCTAAAGACAATGTCAGTCAAATTCCTCGAAGAAGATGGCGTGATCTTACCACTTAAGTCCTTCCTTAGCCTCTTCCGATATCCATTTCCATTTGTCCCTTTCCCGTAGCCAACAGTGATAGAATCACCAACAGAAAGAATCCGAAGCTTGACACCATCTTGAACAACTTTGCCAGGTTTTGTGCCTTTGTAACTCAAGAAGTTCTTCTCTTCTTGAGCGCGAATATCTGAAGTGTTCTTTGAAGATGCTCCTAATTTGGTATTTGCGAAGTCTTTCCTGATTTCATAAGGGATGACCCCAGCCAAGGCTGCTGCTGGAAGAAGCAGAAGGGCTATTTTTTTGGGGAAATGCATGTTGCCTGCGATGACAGAATAGAAGAAATAGAATACTAACAAGACTGAAATAGATATATATATATATATAAATGAGAATTTATTTGACTTTCGTGGCGAGGTTGAGACAAACTTAACGTGGAAAAATAACTATCACCGGACTGTTTACTTTGGAAGAACCAAAGCCAATGCATTGCACCCCAGAAAGGCACAGAGTTCTCATCAGGATTCTTGAACAAGTGCCTGCATGAGTGTTTAAGGTGCTGTTTCATCCTAGGAAATCAACACTTCTTATAAATGTCCTTAAAACAAAGCTGTGCTGATGTCGTGTGAGTCTATGAGATGACCATCAAGGGACTAGAAAGGTTTGAGTGCGAAACCTTAGGCTTTTTATACTCCACCCGCCACAGCCCATTGGCTATGGGTGTTTTAAAAGTAAAGTTGTAAACTATCTTACTGCAAGTAATGGTGAAACTTACGAGTGAGGTTTTCATGTATTGAAAGGCCGGAGAGTCCAATGTCTGCAGAAAGGATTTCGCCTATACGACAGCACAGCATTCTTCCGAACACAGTGTCCAACGGTGTACATCAGCTCAGCCACTTGGCCATAGAATAGTCACACGAAGCATCGAATACGAGGCCGATTCTCGGTCTTGGTTTGGCACTTATGCCCAGGCTAACAAAGTTGTTTGTATCCATGATAGATAGATAAATCCGTTTAAATCCAAAGGTATATACTCATGCTCAACATAATGGGTTTGTTTAACTTCCTGCAATAGAAGCTGCCAACGAATCAAAGTGGAGACTAATGGCATATATGTGAATGAAAGGACGGAAGGAAGTCGCACCTTCTGTTTCGTCGACTGGCTGTAACCTCTCTATTCACGATGCCTTCACTCCATTATACGAATGCGTCAACCTTCAGATCTTGACCAAATAAAAAAGAAACAACAGCAAAAGAATTGGATCATCTCAACCGTCAGTTTCAATGCGTAATCTGGGAATCGAACCCAGGGCTCCCCGACGCTGCTCGAATGGCAACGGAGAATTTTACCACTAAACCAATTACGCTGATAGAGGCGTTTGAGAACCCAATTGGATGAGCTGTGATGGTCGGTGTCAAAATGGAGACTATACGAGCATCACTCTTGAGCTGTCTAGGCTGGAAAGCATAAGCTCAACGTTTAAACGGCCATCGTCCCTTGAAGACGGCCATGCTTCCACAACGTAGACATCCAAGTTCCTGGCCAGATCCATTCTGGTTTTTATTTCAGGCTCCGATATCCTCACAGCATTCTGAGTTTCCAAGTCTGAAAATTGGTTGCTGGCCGAAATATGAGATTTGAAGAGATGCCTAGGAGGATAACTCTAATTTACTAATTTCGTTACATACTATCTCGACCGGCTGGAAATAATCATCGAAAGAACTCAATATCTGGTCTGAAAGGAGTAGTCATGAATAGTTTTGTAGTCATTCAAGCTCCTCTTTGATAGCATCCGTGCCTAACTAGGAAATCAACAAACTTGATATAACTCTTCCTCCTCAATTCCAACGCCAAACGCAGAAAAATTTCATACTCATCTCAAATGATAATTCATCTCGACGATGGCTGCCAATGTCTCAAAGCCCGGCAGTTGATACGAGGAAGGAAAAGGGGTTGCATTTTGCGGATCTTACTTATCCCGAGCTCCAACGCCCGCACGTGAGACGAGGCTCTCCACCTCATCTCAAGATTCTCATCAATCTGAAGCTGACATGAAAGCTCAACATCACTAATTTACACGCAATTGATTCTCTGCGCCTTGATATTTACTCCTTCAGTCGCTCTTTTCTACTTTTTACGTCAAAATGCCGTCTCCGATCGTTGCCGCTACACTCCAGGCTGCAGGCCTGTCGACCATCTCTAATCTCCTTGCCCAGATGATTGAGGCTCGTCAACAGAATGTGAGTTTGACAAAATGAGCAGACTTTATGTCATCTTTCTGAATCGAGAATATACAACGTTGGGATTGGTACTATCATCAAAGTTCACTGGCTAATTTCCGCAGCGTCCGGTCTCCCTTGACATCGTCCAGCTTCTGCGCTTTGTCTCCCTCACATTAATGACCGCGCCTCCAAACTATCACTGGCAATCATTCCTGGAGCGAACATTTCCCGCATACCCTGCTGGTCGAGGACCCCAGCTTGGGCGTCTAAATGATCTTGAAATGCAGCCTACCGAAGATGCTCCCGAGCTCAAGGAAGGCTACGAGGAGCGCATGGCGCAGATCAACAAGGATAGAGAGCCTCAGTTTAGTATGCGCAACACTTTGACAAAGTGGTTCGTCGATTGCATCACTGCGGGAGCTATCATGAACACGATTGCGTTTTTGATCATTATGGGTCTGCTCAAAGGTCAGGGCGGTTCTCAAATCTGGAGCAACATCAAAACAGTGAGTTACTAATCTCTATTTGCGGGCCACTCTAATATCTTGCAGGAAACTATTCCCATCATTGTGGCTGGCTACAAGATTTGGCCTGTTGCATCCATCATCAGCTTCACTTTCATCCCTGTCCACCGACGAATTGTGTTTTTGAGCTTCATCGGTCTTCTATGGGGAATCTACATGAGTCTGGTGGCTTCACGGGTCTAGGTCGTTTGTAATGCTTTATTAACTTTCGTTGTCTCGTGCTAAGCGAAGGCTGAGTTTGGCATGCTGTATTTTCCATGTATGTGCCAAAAGAAAAAAGCCCCTACTAGCTGAAATTGTTTGGTAAAGCTCGCCTAGCCTACAATCCGTTGTGCTGTTCAAACGAAATAAATCTTACTACTATGGAAATATGAGTAGTACGTTGAGCTGGCCTTCAAAAAGAAAGATTGACTCAACAGTGTCCATGGGTATTCAACACCTACCAGCCAGATTGGTTTGTTTTGATTTTGCGTTCGAAAGGGCTAAAACTGCACCTGCAGCAGATCAGTTGTTCAAGTCTTATTCCTTGAAGTAATTTGTTGAATGAATCAAATACGGACTATTATTGTTGGTTATTGTTCATCTCCTTGCTAAATGTTCAGTCCCCCAATGGACTGTTATTCACTGTTCCGAAAACAACTCTCGACAAACACTGAACGTCTCTGTCACAAGATAACGATCAATGTTCTTTGGCTCTATATAAATCTCTCATATTTTCTCATGATCAGGTAGATTTCTCATCCCTCAACCAACTATCTCAACCACCTCACGCAATTTTCAAATTTGCCTCATTTACCCAAACACACCAATCAACACAGTCACACAAAGCTCTCCCTTGCACACACATTCACACTTAGATATTCCCACTCACATCCGTCAACATGCCTGACTTTCGTCCCCTCTTCTTCATCGCCAAGGTCTTGGCCTGCTGTTGCTGCTGCAGTCGTCGCAAGCCCGAGAATGCTCGAGCTGCCGATCGCCCTTACGGCACTAGTCATGACCAGCGAACGGGGAGCAGTAGTGAGAACGTTTCTGACTACTCTGAATATTCGGTACCCCCGGCATATCCAGGTGGCCCTATGAACCTCATTCATCCTGATGAATTTGAGCACCCTGACGAGTTGGACGAAGTGCATGGACGAGATGAGTTTAGTTTTGACCTGCAAAAATCCAGATCTCTTGTACCTTGCCCTCCAACCCCTCGACCATCCTCGCCTGTTGATTCTGAGCCTGGTACTACTAGGCCTAGTACTGCTAAGCCCGATACTATGAGGCCTAGTACTGCGAAGTCTACTACTACCAAGACTATTTCTGATGAACCCGTTGCTAGTCCATCTGTTATAGTTGAGATTACTGCTACCGACTCCGTTACCGAAAAGCCTCTTGTTGATGAACCCAGTGTTACAAAGCTTGCTGGTCCGGTACCTATTAGAGATGAGCCCACTGCAACCAAGTCTGTTGCCACTGAGCCCGAGCCCGAACCCGAACCTGTTGAGGCTGGTCCCAGAGAGACTAAGACCGATCGACCTAACTCTGTTAATGTCGACCTGGCGGAAGCTGGTCCTCTCAAGTCTGATATCGAGGCCAGTGAGGTTAAAGATGGTACCACTGAGGCCAGTTCTGACGCAGTTGGTCCTACAGAGAACAAGGACGAGGATAAGGGCAAGGACAAGGTCTCTGTGTAAGGCAGGAGTTGGAAAGGATTCGGTTTTGGTTTCGTTCGGAGTTCGGCGTTGGCTTGGTAGAGGATTGGTTAAGCGAATGAAGTGGTGATGGATGGAACTTACTTGACATGAAAAGGGAATTTGCTCATTTGGTTTTATGGTTTCTTGGTTTATTTTTTGAATATATAAACTGAAACAAAACTGCCTCTCAATATCATTTATGGTATTGAGTCTGATCATTGTTTTCAACCTCGCGACTATGCAAATATCTGTACGGTGAATAAGCTACAAGGCAGCCTTCTACCAACGATAGTTTGTAATGTCGCCTTGAGTTAATATAAAATTAGTAATGTCTTTTAGACCTTCTACTATAGGAAGGGCGCACAATGGCCCAAGTCATGAGCAACGGCCAAGTTGGTCGGGCAACTCAGCTGATAGGCGAATGCAGTGATAAATAGGTGGTTGAAAATGTCGCGTGCATTTTCAAACCCCCAAGCAACATTTTCCATGGTTCATGCTGCAGACTTTATGCGGGGTTTATCTGACCAAGGACCGGGTTATCAGACTGCTTGATCAGGGCATAAGGCAGCAAAGCTGAAGTGCCAATGCCAGGTTTGTGCATAATGCATTAGAGGCTGCAAGACCCTGCAGGGACATCCATGGGTGGTGGCCTCAAAGTGTATTTCAGGCCCCCTTCCAATCCAAATGCCGAAGGTCGGGTAATACAAACATAAATGTGACATGCCAAAATAGAGTGATAAGGCTGAGCGGAGATATCATCTTTGGTTCTTGTTACAGAACTTGCGGATGACGAAGAATGAAGACATTTCTTACCTATGCCTCATCTCACAAGGTCATGAGTCATGATATGCCTCTCTTCCAAGTTTTGAGTCAGGAAACTCACCGACAGAAAGTCATGCCACGAATTTGTTGGTTGGATGAGGTCCATGAATACGTTGGCAGTTTCATATATTATGGATAGATTCAAGCCACTTGATCCACAGAGCAAATTTTCATGCGTCCTTTCGTTGAGCATGGTCCATGTCGAGATAACGATCGTATCCAGATATGGAAGCCAAGCCACTTCATTATCACAGACGTCACAGCAACAGAGGTCGGGTCAGGAGGTACACAGTAAGGCGGTAGACTTGGAGGAGAGGAAACAGAATATGCAATTTTAGTGAGCAAATGATGAATGAAATAACGCAGCAATCTTCCAACCAAGATGCGGATATCATTCCAGAAACGCCTATGAAATAACCCAGTGAACCTATCCCAAGAACCTCTATTCGAAAATTGATGTGTCATGGCGATTTTCCCGGACACGGCGCATCATTCTGCCAAACTTGATGTACATCTCGGGAGAACTGCGCTGTTAAATCGCGGATTTTGCTATTGATTTGTTAGCCACGTCATAGACCTCATCCGTGCTGACATACGAGAGCTTTGTAAGATCAACATCCATAGAGACGACAGTAGATAGATCGGAAAGATGATTGTTGACCATGGCTTGTTCATGCGCATCAACCACTGCTTGCTGAACCTGTCGGCTTTCCACCAGAGCATCTGTCATCTGTGCCCATGCCTGAGCAGCTTGGATGAGATAATCGCCAATATCGGTGACGATGGTACTATTTTTCTGGTCGGACGCGGGTGTTTGCTTGGCCATAGTCCTCGATGTAACCTGAAGATGTTGAACAAGAGCGAGTAATTGCTGGGTAGACTGGGCGTCGTATTGAGGATGTACAACGGCAGCTCTGTTTGGAGTATTCATTGGAGTAACGATCAAACAATTGTATGAAGAGATCAACAGTGGTCGTGTGAGATATAGAGATACAGTGGCAGGTGTGATAAAGGTGCAAAGTGAGAGTAATTTACGCGCGGCTCAAGTATAAGACACGGACACAAACGGAAATATACATGGGGGAAAGGAAATATGATCTGAGCTGAAAATGTCTCTGAAATGGAATGTGAGATCGTAAAAGGGCGAAACGCCCCAAAAAAGAGTGTGAGCTTTGTGCTGCCTGCGTCTGAGCGGGTGGAGCCACACAAAAGGGGAAAATACGGCGCAGCACAAAGAAGCAAGCAAATGATGAGATGATGTGAGAGAAGAGATAACAAGGCCAAACAGACTCAAGTTAATTTAGCGCTCTCTATGGAGTTCAGTGTAAGGTTAGAATCAGAGGAGAGAACAGAGCCCACTAAAGTTTACTTATTTAGAGGGAGTGCTAGTTCTTCTAGAAGCACTTTTGGGGGGCATGTTAGCGATCCATGGATGGTGTTGTCTCTTTTCTCTTCTCTCAGTGGCGGGATCGGCAGTGGTTCCGGGGGGTGAAGATGAGAAACAGCCCACCTGCACCCTTGGTTGAAAAAAATAAAAAAGGAAATAAGCCGGGACTTGAAAGTGGCATTTTGACTCGTCTGAGACATCGCCAAGAGAAAGTGGAAGTGAGAGAGAGGGTAAAAAAAACTGACATGTTTATCTGGCATTATTAACAATGACATCAGTGAGTGATTGTTAATCCCGAGTATTCGGAGCTATTGGCCCCTCTTCCCCGCGATATCTCCTAAAGAGCCATCGGCCTATCTTTTAATTAGTCTATAATGGAGCTGTAGATATCGCCAAGATAGTTGACCGAAGAGAGAGTGGAAATACGCAGTGAAACTCCCCCCATCTTGTCTCTTCCCGCATCGGCCAAGTCCGAAACAAAAAGAAGGGACACGCACCAAAAAAAGATGATCTGACGATATGTTTTACCGGCAAAGGCACCCGGGAAAGTCAAGTTTGGGGTAACACAAAGGAAAGCAAATTAAAATATGCGGTGAACAGAGGGGGGGGGGAAGAGAGAGACATTGGCGCTAATGCACCCGAAACAATGGTTCGGTATCCATGAGAGATAAAAATACGCCGAATGGATGGGCTTAGTTGCCGGTGCATCCACACCTACAGGAGGAAAAAGTAAAGAGATAACAGTGACAGGCGACACACTTGACATTGACAGGGTGGGCGATACGAGAAGAATGGAATTGTTATGGAAGCTTGATTTCTGATGAATTCTTCTCGGGAGAAGCAATTTTTGTTGCATGTCTTGCAGATCTCGAATGTCAGTGGCTTTTGAGGTACGGGTTTCAGAACGTTTGTGGTGCATTGTTGTCATTGGATGTCAGTGGCTTGACTTCAGGGGTGTTGTCTCCCTGTTTTGTTCTATGTGACCGCCGCTATCATTCGGCATCAAAATATAAGTAGTTATCTCAATCACCTCCATCATTTGTCACCGAATAGAAAACATGATATCACCTATAAAATGTGATTTCACGAATCATGTCTCAAACCGTAACCATGCTTTCCGCCAAGTTTCAAGAGTCATTCCACCATCCAAGCAAGGGTATCTCCCAAATACAACCCTATCCTACAGTAGCATACAAAACGTCAATCTTGCTTGGGCCCTGGGGGATCAACAAACACCTACACGATTTCGGCACATGAAAAATAATCTTGCTCTCAGACCGTGTTTCCACCCCGGTGAGATGTAAGGGCGGGACTCGTGATGCATAGCCATAGCCCACCCTTGCAAAAGTTGGACGGATTTCTGACGCATGCTACGATAATTCACGGTTAAACGTGCTTTTGCTACGTCATCCTGTACCTGGTGACTCCCGGTTGCCACGTTGTTTGGGGGTCTGGAACGCGGCTGTTGGGAATAGGACAGGTCACTTTTTGAGAGGGGAGGCTGAAGAGACAACAACTGACAGCGGATGTTTAGTCCCGTTTCTGACAGCTTGGGCGGTTAGATATCAGTTTGTCAAGCGATGCTTACATTAAGCCATCTGTTTTTGAGCATCCCATCTCGTGCTTGTAGTTAAACAGTCACGGTCACAGTTGTCCACCGACTTAAGCATATGTATTCTCAGCAACCTCTCTTTGTTCTCCGTGGACCTTGATGTCTTTGCGATTTTAGTTAGTGAACAAACCCTTCCCAATGACGAAAGAAATCGGCTGCAAGAAAAGACCCTGCATCTCAATTTCGCCACAAGATCTAAATGTGATATCTTTTCCATCTGACATGGCGCAACAGAGAAAACATCATGACCATCAGCCAATCAAATCCCCTCCCCTCTCTTCTCCCCGGAAAAGAGATGATATCTACTCAAGCTCAATAACCGAGACGAACGCCAACCATTTACCGCATCATCTTGGCCCAAGGCCCCTGGTCAAGACCACTAAACTCATAAAGTATTCCTTGCGAATCATACACAACATTACCGAATCCCCCTCCCAAGAGACACTCCATCATCGTAACCCTCCTTGCAAATTAAACTAATGCGTGTAAGTTAGTGTCAGTTCGGCCACTAATGCAGCCTGTGCCGGAGATCCATGTCGGTGGGGTTCTCTCCTCGAGCAACACCCGACGTCAAGAGATGATCATCCTGGGCCTCGGCGTCTAGCGCTCGGTGGTCCGATGTTAATATTCATCGCTAAGAATTGGCTGTACGCTAAGGCTGAGAGTGTACATAATGTTATCTCTCAGGGGGGGTGTTGGAGATACCGCAAACTTTATTGTTTGCGGGGGAGTGCGGAGGAATGAGAAAACAAGACCAGAGATTTTCTTACTTAGGCTATCAGACAGAATTGATAGTGAATCATGGAAACTCGCTAAAGGTCGAGCAAATCATCGCAGCCTCGCAGCTCAAGGCTATAAATATTCACCTGTATCTCGTAGAACACAACTAAAAGACATCAACTAGAATCACCTCACCTATTCTCCAAGTTGCCTCACCATGAGTAAACCATCTGTTCTCATCATCGGCGGAGGTGTCTTCGGAACCTCAACCGCATACCATCTCATCCAACGCGGCTACACCAACGTCACAGTGGTCGATCGTTTCGCGGCCCCATCTCGCGACTCAGCCGGCACTGACCTGAACAAGGTTATCCGTGCAGACTATCCCAACCCGTACTACGCCCAGCTCGGTCTCGAGACCCTTGGCGTGTGGAAAGATCCAGACTCTCTCTTCAAGGGCCTGTATCGCGAGTCGGGATGGATCATGGGTGGGCATGAGGAGACGAATCAATGGTTGGAGAACGCTAAGGATTTGGCCGAGAAGAAGGGGAGACAGGGAGTGGAGTATCTGGATGTTGAGAGGATTAGAGAGAAGTGGCCTGCTCTGACTGGGGAGTTCCCGGGCTGGACTAATCTGTACAGCCCTCAGGCTGGTTGGGTAACATCAACACTCCATATCTATCGATTCTCAATACTGACTTGCTCTAGGTCCCCTCAGGCCAAGCCCTTCTCCGCATGGCCAAAGCTGCAGAGAAGAATGGCGCAAAGTACATCGCCGGCCATGCTGGTCAGATCAAGGAGCTCGTATACGAGGATGGAACCTGCAAGGGTGCCGTCGCCGCTAACGGGGAGATTCATCGCGCCGATAAGGTCATTGTCGCAGCTGGAGCAGGTCTCCCGGCTCTTGTCGAGGGAGCTAGAACTGATGTCAGAGCGGAGACTTCGGTAATCTGTGTGATGAAGCTGGAGCCACATGAGATTGGAAAGTACAAGGACATTCCCATCATTGATGACTTTGAGCAGGGTATTTGACACTGAAACTTGGGATGATTGGAGTGCTAATGGTGGATAGGCATCATCTTTCCTCCCGACGAGAATGGCCTCATCAAGCTATGCAGTGTTCGGCTTGTGACCAACTATTTCAACCATGTGCACTCTGGCGCTTCAGTCTTACATTCAGTGGGTGACTATCCCTTCGATGGATGCCCCAGGGAACTCGAAGTCGAGATTCGAAAGTTTGTTCGAGAAATGATCCCTGAGCTCGCAGATCGACCCTTTGTCCACACTCGTCAATGCTGGTAAGTAATCCTCCTTATCAAACCACTTATACCTAACAACTTTACAGGGACGGCATGGCCTCAGACCTCAACTTCCGCATCTGCCCTTATCCCGACACAAAGAATCTCTACATAGCCACAGCTGGTTCAAACCACGGGTTCAAGTTTCTCCCAATCATTGGAAAGTACGTAGTCGACCTTTTAGAGGATTCCCTCGACTCAGGCCTCAAGAATCTCTGGAGCTGGAAGTTCGGAAAGAAGCCCAATGATTTCCAAGATCCTCATCCCTTTCCCCGCAGAGACTTGAACGAGTTGACGGGTTGGAAGGGGAGAAATGCTCCAGCGGATGGAAAGCTGCCTTGGACGTGGAGCCGTAGTCGTCTCTAGGGGGTGTAGATGTAGTAGATATTTAGTTTACTCACATCTCACGGCTGGGAATCTTCAAACAATAGATCCGCCAATGTAGGCCTAGACAGGGAATAGAAATCATCACATGACAATGCACTAGTTAGTTGGAGAGATCCGCTCGTATGGATCTACGTGGGAACGCTAAAGTTTGAGCTATCTTGAGATTTAGCGTTGTTTCCTCTGGCGGCTCTGTTTTCTCACTTCATCTCCTCCGTGGCGATGTTTGAGTTAATTTCCTCATTGACTGAGGGAATGAAAGTTTACTACCCGTTTTAGACGGAGGATCTGTAATCCAATGCCGTGAATGCCCGCCCGTCGGTAGCACTACGGCGTCTGAGTTGGCCGTTACGGTACTTAGTTAAGTACCTATAGGGCACTGCAAGCGGCCAATCTTGGTCCATTGGGTCATTTACCAGTCATTGAGTTGTTTTCGTATAAAGCCGCAAATGGTCTCAGTTTTGCTTTTTATTCTTCTAAGTAAACACCGATTTGTTTATTAACTTGCATGACCATTTGGTGGCTCTTACAAGGGACTCGAGGTTTCCTAGTGGAGTATCACATATGTGACTCGTCATTATCCGGCATCTCGGTACTTATCACACCGCACTAACCATGGGCAAATTTCAGGGTCGCAAGCTCGTGGCCTGCACGGCATGCCATTCTCAAAAGTTAAAATGCAGTGGAGGTGCGTATTTCAATTTGTCCATCCAAAGCCACTGTTGATCATATGTAGATATTCCATGTCACCGGTGCGTTCAACGAAATAGAGAATGCGTATATCCAAAGAAAGACAAATTCATCACAGTGCCAGAGAGTTATCTTCGTGGTATCGAAGAAAAGGCCAATATAAATAGTCAGTTCAGCTTCTTGGCTGGAACGGACGATTCAACGGCGCTTTTCGATACAAGCCAATTCTCTCCTACAGCTGAAGCGAGTCATAGAAAAGAACTGTGCCCAGCAGAAATCTTTATACAAAAGCTGACAGATATTTCTGCCTTGCTACACCCATATATACAGACAGAATCATGTCAGCAACTACAAGTGGGTGAAGCCGGTGAATTTGTTCCTTTTCGTCTGAAATCTGAGGATGGAGGTGAGTGGAACAAATGAAAACACCCTAAAACAGAAAATAGACTGATTCGAAAATTTCTTTTTAGGGGCTCAGATGTTAGTAAAGCTTCCATCAGAAAAGCAGGCTATGCATCTTTTACGTATCTTTGAAGGAGCAAACAGTGAATATCACTGGTTTCTCCGTCAACGATTTAGAGATCGGATACGGCAGACATACTCCCAGCCTACAAGTCACGTCGACGATAGAAATTGGTTCTGCCAACTGTCCCTTGTTTTGGCTCTGGGCCAAGCTCTGGAGAAGGAGCCAAAACAAGAGTCTGAAGAGACAAACGACCCATGGGATTTCAATCAACCTTCAGCTCCATTAGATCTTTTTGGACAAGCTGTGTCTTTGTTAATCATCTCAGAGACTCTAACATTAGAAAACCTCGAGACATTAAATCTCATGGTGAGCTAATGTTTCTGTTCCAGAGGAGCCATGAAAGTAGCTGACCGTTGCATAGGCTTATTACTGCCACTACACAAATCACCCGAAGGCAGCTGTCATTTACATCAGCCAGAGCGTAGCACTATCAAGGCTACTCCAACTTGACGATCCAGATACATACCAACCCAAGATTTCAGAGCGGCAAGACAGTAAAGGCCGATGCATCGCCAAAGAGCACATGCTTCGGCTATGGTGGACGACTGTCTGTCTGGATAAGACGCTTGCTTCAGAACTTGAAATGACGCCAGTGGACTTGATCCCATCTCTGGAGTTGCCGTTGCCGTCTTCAGAAGGTTTATCATCGGAGGATGAGGAGGAGTTCTTCGATTTGGAGCTGTTATTGGCAGAGATCCGGTCTTGAAGTGAGAAGCAGGTGCCAACTGTGTTGTCTTGCTCACGCATACTCCCAGTCGTCATAGGTCTTTTAAGGCTAGGGAGTCATGGTAATGAAATAACAGGGTGGAATTTCAATGGGACAGTCATCTAAGTGCAACAGAGAGGTTTTCTGCTTTACCTTCCAGCGACAGGTATGCCTCGGTGATCGATTAACTGGTTCAGTCTCTGTATGGTATGTTGAAGTCGTAAGTAGTGGTCCTTGAAAGATAGCCTGGCCATGAATGGACTTGCTTTACGATAGTATACTGGAATAGAGTCTAAATACCTATAGCCTTCCGACTGGAAATAGTTATCATTATTAGATACAATTCTATCAAAGCTCAGTCAGTACAGAGGTCAATCAAGTTGATATAAAAACAACGATTAGAAACCGAATTGTTCAACAACAAAGAACGAACACGGACGGGTTTGGGGATTGAATTATCTGACTCAGCTAGGCAGAAGGGGCTGGGCTATAGATAAATCATCAAAGTACCAGATAACAAAAGTTTCATTTCAAAGAGCAATATAGCCAAAGCGTCCTTTACAGTTCCAACCCTTGTCTCCTCCGTTGAAGCAGCGTTAACAAGATAAGGCGAGAAAAGAAGTATCATCTTCAACTGAGACGCGGTCCGCTCCTTCAAGTATTGATGGCATATGAGATTTAAGGCTAGAAGTCCGCCATCGCCCATTGCTAACCATGCACTAACATCCCTCACTCCGAATACAGCAAACCACCGATAAAAGCAACAAAAACGGGTATATACCCCCAATGAAACCACTCATTTCCCCCAATAAGAGATTTGCTCACGAATCCATCAGTGGCCAGCATGAAAAGGGCTCCAAGCAATCCCATTCCCATAAGTTTCTTGTCTCCGGTCAAGGCGTTGTTGATGAAGAGGTAAGAGACGACGATGTTGCGTGCGCCTTGCAGACGTGCGAGGGATAGGCAGGTCTTCCGGCTCTGAGGATCGGCCGGGATGGGGAATTTGACGATCTTGAGGGTGGCTTCCGGTCGGAGCATTGAGTTGATGCCGATGAGGCCAGGTATGGCGGAGATGACGAAGGCGCCGCGGTAGAAGAAAGTGTCCCACATTTTGAGGATTTCTGGAGATTTCTGGGTTTTCTGATGTTGCAAGAGGGAAGATGAAGGTTGAAGAACACGTAAGATTTGTTACGAATGTCAGAACCCTATATCATTGCATGGTGCGGACATAAGCACTATCCCCGTCAGGGGTGTATTAACTGAATCTCCGACATGTGGGATCGTAAGCTGCACTGCTATTCCGATCTTCCAAATAAAATCAGGTGTAATGAGTTCCCGAGTTGAGGTTTTATGTAAATCAGTAGTTCAATACTCACTGAACAACTCTCGGTGGGTCTTCGAGTTTGTGCTATAAAAGTTGTGCATATATAATTCTATCATGCAAAGATTGGGACAAATATTCAACATAGTATCTTGATTTATTTACAAATTATATACATCCAAATTCTTCCATCTTACGGAATTACTAGATGAGTTATGGCTAGTCAATCCATGAATACAGAGACATCGTCAATCATTGATCAACATGCGGTACTTCAGAAAGCTCACCCAAAGTGAACCGTACAACAATGCCGCGAATTGTAAACGGAATGGAACATGGCACTCAATATTTCTTATGAATCAAGAGACGGCCGAGCTATTTCAAGCAAGTCGGGTTGTGTGAGGACTCCATCAACTTATTCGCCGCTTCCATCCTTGAGACATAACAACTATATACTGGGATGATTTTATTGGTTCACCATGATACTAGCTAAAGCTAAGAATAGATTCATCTCTCTGAAAGACTGGGCAACTTGTATACAATTCCACTCCTGATTGGCGTCAATATCTGATAAAGGGATGGATGTGAAGGGTTAGCCAGCACTTACCCAAGTCCAGTCACAAGGCCAAACTAACACCATAACACTTTCCGCTATGAAATTATAGGACATACAACGCGGAATTATCCAAATGACCTGGACATGCATATCCAGAGCGGGTATCGGAGTGTTTGTCCAGCTACAGAAGCATACACAGCATCATCTGACCCAGTCAACATCAACAACATCACGATAAGAAGCCCAACCCCACCCACCACAACCGTAAAGCATTTCCCCATCCGTGTCGTAGATACGTCCCCTATCTCGGGACTATCAATCCTACGTCACCCTCACCCGCGATAACGCTACTGTACCCCGCGTTTCGACTCTCATTCGACCATCCCAAAAGGGTTATGTTAACCCGCAGGCGTCCTCGAAATGTAACCAGATTTGGGTTTCGCTGGCGTTTATCTTGACGATATGCTTGACGTAGAAACAGGTATGGCATAAAGAAAAAGAAGGCTGCTGTGTAGATGATCGTGACTCTGTAACTATTCAATACCATTGTTTGCTTGTGAAGGATATTCTTCATCATGCTTGTCTTTTCAGAAAGTCTTCATCCTAATACGGTTCATACTGTACTTGTTGTATCGTTTTGTGCCAGTGCTTGTGCGTGTTTGGGTCTCTTGGCTCATGCTCTTGTGTACAAGCGAAAGGCTCTCAATCGATATGCGTATCCATCATCTCCCCCACCAGAACCTGTAAAGAAGACTGCTCCAGTAGATTATACTACTGTCTATCCTCCATCGCAAAGACACGCTCTCCCTGAGATATCACCAGAGTTTGGCTCTGAAGATGTTGACCTTTCTGTGGCATCAAAGCCTCTCCTGAGACTGGATGAGGACTATCGTCATGCCAATCCCAGCACATTCAACTTCACCAGCTTCAGTGTTGGTGAGATTAGACGACTTGGAGATTTCCCCGACTATGCAAAGCTGTCAGGTGTTCCCTTACCAGAGCCTCTCAAAAGCTTCAATGTCGACAAGGCAATGCCGAGACCATATCGCCCATTCCGGTGGGCTTATCACCAGACCATGTGTAGGTGCTACTCCATGGCCTCGAATACAGCGACGAATGACTAACACCATTTAAAGCGTTGAAGAAGATGGATCCAGACTTCTGGCTAGAGATAGAGAACACATATCGCGAACGCGTCGCCCAGCGACAAAGCCTCTACGCAAAACACGGCAAAGATGTCCTGCAGGCCTTACCCGGCTCTGAGCTCGCATGTAAAGAGCTCATGGAGATGGTCATTCAGTTCCTCTGCGCGCGGTATCCCCAAGCATTTGAACTCCACGGCAAAGTATTTGTCAATCACATTCTGGCAGTCAAGGAAGATCTTGATGAGACCGAGCCCTTGCTCTTCCTTCTCAACCACGTCCCCGAGGACTTTGCACTCACACTGCGGGATCCTGCGACAGGACGGTATTGTTTCAGAGCTGGCGTGATTTGTTCTTCTGTTGGATGGAAACTGAGTGAGAAGATTGGACTGGGATTGCCACAGATACACGCCCCTGTGCCTGATTACAAGGAGAAGATGGAGTTTAGCATGGACCGGTACGTCAGCTTGCAGTCTGCCACGATGATACGTTGCTAACTGGATGACAGATTCTTCACAAAAATGCCTACCAACAGTCCCATCCAGCGCGGGTCCTGGGGTCTCGAAGTCGGTCAACCGCTCTTCATCCCCTCCGAAGACCCCGAGTTCAAGACTCGAGAAGTTCAAAACCCCTCTCTTACCGAAGAAGACATCTCCCTTCGAGTTGACTGGCAGACCCTGCGTCGCCTACCTCTTTCAGGCGCTATCGTCTTCAACTTCAAGGCCTTATTCACGCCAATGACCGAGTTCAGAGATGAGCCGCACGTTCCCTCTCTGGTCTTGAAGGTGTTGAATGAGGGCAAGGAGAATATTATGAAGTACAAGGGGACATGGCATGTTGAGCATGTTACGAAGCCGACGCTGAGGAAATGGGAGAGGGAGCAGATTGAGAAGGGGCTGATCCCGAAGGATTGGGAGGTTACTACATTGGCGGAGAATCCGTTCTTCCCAGGGTGGGAGAGGAAGTGGACTGTCAATTGAGTGACGGCCTTATATAGCAGTATTTAATTTATTTACTATGCATTTTGTAATCTCTGAGCTCGATAACTTGTGATGGCTTCATTCGACAAGTTGATAAGCACGCAGCTGGGAAAGAGGAGACTCAGAAAGGTTGAACAAGTCGAGCATTAACAATGAGTGTTCATCTTCGTCATGAGAATTTTTATTGTAAAAGTTCAAATGAATGCTTCGTTTATGGCTAGGTCATCTATCGAAATATTGCATAACAGACATAAGATTGCTCGATCAACTCAGAATGGCCTTCTACCAAGGGTATTTCCTAATCTCATCCTCCTTCTCGACATCCAACCCCCTCGCCAACTGCTTCTCATGCTCTCTATCAAGATACTCCAACAGCACCTCACCATACTTCTGCTTCCCCTTGTAGTTCGCAACCTTGTCATCCCAACTCCTAACCGCACTCGCCAACCTCCCGGGAACATGATCCTCCTGCGCAATCTCCGTCACAGGGTGAAAATACGTTCGAATGGTAAACACCACACCACCAGTCTTTGGCAACCGCCTCAGAGACTGTCGCTCAGAGCGAAACATGTGGTGCTCAATCGCCTTGTCCTTCTCAGCGGTGCTCCAGCTCACAGAGGGTGCGTCTTCACTGCCGATACTCCAGCTCCAGGCTAGACTGTCGTCGACTTGGAGGAAGTAGTTGTTGCGGTTGTACACTGTTTCTGGGCGCAGGCGTTTGAAGAACTTGCACATTCCTGTCTCGAGCTTTTCCTTGAAATGGGGGACGTCGCCTGATGTGTGAATTTCGGAGAGGGACATGCCGTATTTGTCTGAGAGACGCCAGAAGCCAGCGAGGAGAATGGCACCAGCGAGGAGATAGTATTGACCATCAGGACGCTCGACCATGATGGCGAGATCGTCTTGGATGAGGCGGGCGCAGATGGCCATGGGATCTTCAGCTAGTGGACGCTCAATAATATTGAAGTCTTCGCCCGACCATTTATTCTTGATCCCAACAGCCGTCCGTTCAAAAAGACTCGGATATCTCGCGGGTAGATAATCAGCCAACTCCTGCAGAAGCTCAATAGCAGCAGGATACGCATCAGGGTGCGTATCAACACACTTGGTCCCCCTCTCCTTGATCCTCGCAGCTTTATCAGCGTGGTATTTCGGATAGTGGTTATCCAGCTCAATCCACTCCTCTACGGGACACGTCCGCAGACCCATGGTGACTTGGTAGTTGGGGCCATAGCGGAATGCTCTGTAGGGAAGGGGCTTGGTCTTGTCGATGGACCAGTTGGGGTAGGGCTCTGGGATGGGGGTTTTGTAGTCGCTGGGTTGGTAGTTTGATGATACGGGAGGGAGTTTGCTTTTGTAGCGGAAGCTTTTGCGGCTTTGGATGATGTCGTTGAGCTTGTAGCCGAGAAGGGCGAGGCTTGTTATGATGCTGAGGAGTATGACGGCTTCATGGGGGCCGAAGGAGGATAATGTAGAGTCCATGATCATGTAGAAAGGCGAGGGCGACCTATCTTGAGATGCAATTACAATAGAAGATACTTGTGCTGTGAAACAACCGTGTAAGTCAACACATATATACACAACCCTCAACACTCCTAGCAGCCATACCACCCATTTTAACCCACCATCCCACTATCACTCCCTCTCGTAAAAACAAGTTACGTATCTATCATTTCACAAACCGGAAATCGCTTCTCCAAACGGACGCTCCACGCCCCGCGACCTCCGCATCCCGAAAACCCCACCATCTTCGAACCGGACAACTTGACCCAAATAGGAAAAACCATGCTATCGCCATCTTATCATTCCCCGCAAACACTCCGGTAACATTGCTCCAAAGAGGGAATGAATGTTTGGTGATGGCTAACCTCGCCGCTTATGTGTGAAACTAGAGTAAGTATCTCGAGGAAGAATGAGGCTTGAGAGATGGGTATATGAAAGGGACTCTTCCTCGATTGTCTGTATCTAGCATCAAGCAATCTACTTCTGTCTCAAACATTCCATCTCTTCACCTAAACGAACCCTTAAAAGTCAATCTCCAAAAGACTATCAAAATGGCCTCCTTCAAGCACTTCGCCCAAGCCCAATCCAAATTCGAGATCCCCCCTCTCTCAGGCGGAAACACCTTCATCGGCGACATCCACTCCACGCCCGAAGGCGCCGAGAAGCCCCTGGCCATGGGTCTTTTCCGTGTCAACAAGGGCGAGCCTCTCACATACACATACAAGTACGACGAGTGCAAGATCATCCTCGAGGGAAACTTTGTCATCGAGGACTCGACGGGCCAAAAGGTCGAGGCCAAGGCTGGGGACGTGTTTTATATCCCCAATGGCGCTACGCTTACTTTCTCTTCGCCGGATACAGGGTTGGCGTTTTATACTGGTGCGAGAAAGATGGGCGATCTATAGATGGGAAGGGCTTGGATAGCGGGATCTGATAGATTAGAATGCTTCCATATATGAAGCTCTCAATTAAGCCAATAACCCAAGTTAAACTCATACTGTGATATCTCCCCTATAAACTCCAACATTGATCCAATAAACAATCTTATTCACAGTCACCTAACCAAACATTGATCTCAAGTTGTTATCCTCCATCACATCCACCCAATGCACCGAAGCCGACCCAGGTGCTTCACTATCATAAGCATCCCATATCGCTTTGATAAGTTCCTTCGCCATCATGACTGGTTTCGGCGGTAAACTGCTCTCCAACATGTTCAGCCGACCGGTGATGAAATGCCGAGCGTTACTAATGTCGAGGGACATGCGGGAAATTAGGTTGGCAGGTGGCGGTGAAGTGCCTAGCATATCCATAGAGAAGGGATCCGTCTGGAAGTTTGACGAGCCGATGCCTGTATCGAATGAAGAGGTAGAAATGTCAAGCATCGTCGTGGTATCGTAGCGAAGGCCAGTACTCGCGGTGATGTACAGCAAAGGCTGGATACAGCGTGTGCCAGAATTGGGCGGAATATGCTCCAAAACATTAACAAGACGGAGACTCAACGGAATAATCCACTCCTCCCAAGGAATATGTCGACTATTCGCATGAACAGAATCAGTCGGTAATCGCAAAGCCACCAGATCCGGGAACGTCTGATACAGCTGCAGCAACGCAGCGAGTTTATAAGCCTCAGCGACCTGCGCAAGATGAAGCGACGGTGTCCGATAATCTCCCGTGTTAGCAACACAAAGAGTATTCTGGAACTCAAGCCCCAGAAGCTTCTCCTCCAACCCCTGCGCCTCTTGGATCTCCTCCAGAGCTCGCTGGAAATCCCGCCCTGTTTCTTTCGGTAGTTTCAGATTTCTTCGGAAGCTTCGGCAGAGTCTTATCGCTTGCGCGAAGAGCTGAGATGCGAGCGGGGAAATGCCAGTCCACGGGTGTGGTGAGTTGTCCATGTATCGCTCGGCTAGTTGCATTGAGGAGTCGGTTTGAGGGCCTGTGACTGGATCATCGGTGTCGAGAGCTGTGTCGTCTTGGTTAACTGCTGCGAGGAGCATTTCACAGTAAGTTAGGCTTCTGTTGAAGAAGGATAAAAGTTCGAGGTCCTTTGCTGAAAGTGATGAAATACGGCGGTTGAGGCGATTTAAGATCTTGCGAGCTGATCGGAAGAATGGTAGACCTAATTGTCTCGCATCAACCCAACACACCGTGGTTCCCAGGCAAAATAGTGAGAATAATGCACCAGCGGGCATGTTATCGACAGCTGGGTTCTGAATAATCTCTTCTGCCTCTGAAAGAACTGATCCGGTGGCCGCTTGCAGGAAATACATAGCCGATTGCTTCATGTGCGGTAATCGCGTAGACAAGAATCCAGCAGACATGCTCTGCAGCGAACTAAACACAGATTGTGAACTCGTGCATAGCTCAAGAGCGAGTTTTCGATTGAGGTTAAAGTCTGAATCGAAACCAGACCATAATGTACAGACTTGTTCGAACCAGTTGCTGATGAGGAGGGATGAAGTGTCGGTTATGAGACCAACAGTGAGCGGCGTTCCTTCAAAGTATTGAGATTCATTCGTCGGCGTAAGAGCTTGAGATGTCATTTCGACATTCTGGACTGTCATGTCGCTTATATTCTCTTCGACGATGGAATTCGACCGCGCAAAGATATCATTATCCGGCTCGGTACAAGAACTCGTCGTCCAACTCGCGTCACCAAGGATTGAAGTGTTGTCTTCAATTGGCAACTCCTCAGCCAGCGCTGGAGCAAGTGTATCTAGCGGAACATCGAATACCGCAGAAGGTGTCGCTACGAATGACGGCTCGGGTTGCATAGTCGAACTTCTTCGCGAAGACGTTGGTGAGGTCGGGGCCGCGAGCTCAAAGTTTACTTCGCCAGGTTGATGTTTGAAGGACCATTTAAACTCTTTCCAGTACCCACCGCATTTAACGCCTTTGCGAATACATCTCAGACACTCGGGTCTTGTTTCGTCGCATTTTGTCTGGATAGTCAGTATGTGTTCTCAGAACAAGCAAAAAAAAGAACAAGCAGATTGACCTACATGTTTTGCCTTGCAAGTAACACAACCTGAGCGTGATCGTGGATTAGGACCATTCTTGGTCTTTGAAGCTCTTCTGCAATTTGTCTTTGTTGATGTTTTCGTCTGCATTTTGCACCTCTTTACTTGGTAAAAACGAAGAGGCTGGAGCTATGAAATGAAAAGGAGAGAAGATCGTCCTCGCAAGAACATGGAGGTGTTGGTCATTAATGGGGATTCGAGAAGGGACATGGGGGGCGTGGCAACGTATCTCCAGGCCCTGGACCATTGGACGAGATAAAAACGCGGGGAAGTGCATCACTATCAGCCACTAACAGACGCTAATTCTTGGTTCACTGTGACGACGTGACGCTGATAAGAGGTGAAGCTATTTGTTTCCCCTAAGAGATAGGCTTTGGAAGCCGAGATGAGACGTATACGTCTGAGCGATGTTCTGAACTCTTCTATCTTATGAACAGCTTCTATCGTATTGAGGTCAATGTCTCATAATGTGCTCTTCAACGCGGAAACAGCAACTATATATCCATATCCCGGGTCACATTCTAGAGCTCAAGTGGACATTTGGTGGAGTCAAGCATCGATCCCGATACTCCACCAACTCGCATCTCGGCACTCGCTTATCAAGCCTAACTACGATAAGAATTCAACATTCAAAGCTCAGATATCTCAAACATTAACATTAAACAGCTCAACGTTTCTTATCATCTCAGAACCTAAACCTTCGTCTTCTTACAGCTCATGTCAGAAAGCTTCCAGAAGTCATGGCTCACTATTGATCTCCGGCAAGATGCGGGGTGCACACCCAAACCACATGCTCACTAATGACGCCTCGTCTTCTGTTTCGTGTAACTCTGTCCTCCAAGTTTTTGAGAGGCTCGATCGTAGCAAACTATTACTAAATGGAAATTCATTGCCGGCATGTCAAGTTCATGACATCCCCTGGAAGCTCCACCTTGAAAATCCGGGGTATGGGGTAAGCTACACGGATAACGTCAATTCATTAAAACTAAGCTGTTTAACCTGGAAATACATGTTATATAGTGGCCTTGTAGAGCCTTGATTCGATATTTTATTCTCGCAAATATATACACTCATAGATAGCATCACTGGTTTTTGAGACGGGAAAAGAGATGGTAAGGCATGAACCTCTCCAGCACTTTGAACTCCGGCACCTTGTTAATGTATATGAGACATTCAGTGCTCCGAACATGGTGACCAGGTATAGTCAATTTCTGGCTCTTTGATCGGAGTTCTATATTCCTGCTCTATTTATACGTCTAAATCTAGATCAAACACAATATCTACTCTACAGCCCAAATCCATCTACAACCTCGCCTTCACACCATCCTTCTCAAGATCCGCCTTCGCCTTCCCATTCCACCTCCTCCACAATCCTTTCCTCAACTCCGTACCCTCTATAAAATTCCTAAACCACTCCCTCCTAAACTTGGGCAACTTGCGTCCCACCCCTGGCTCACCCTCACCCGCAAGCTCCCTCACCGCCTCAAAGTAATCCTCAAAGTCCGGAAACACAACAGAGAACTTTGGTCCATCGCCGTGTGTCTGTATCCTCTCATCCTCCCACCTCTGCATCTCCTCCTGTGAAGGTACAGACGCTCGGCCTGCGAGGATACGAGCTGCGTAGACGGCTTGCCACTCGAAGATCTTGAACGTGAGACCTGCGCCTACTGCGCCGACGAAGAGCAGCGTCGGATCTTTCTGCCATACGATGTGTTGGTATAGACCGGGGACGCGATTGTTGCGGACGGGGAGGGAGGGGAGGAATGGGAGGGTCCAGCTGTAGCCTGTGCCGAAGATGATGTGGTCTACATCTGCAACGCTGGTTCCGTCGATGAAGTGCACTGTTAGGTTGACGACCTTGGCGATGGATGGATGTTGCTGGATCTTGGGGTGGTCAAAGGCTGTGTCGCCGAAGAAGACGTTTGTGGTGTGGCCGATGGTGACGCAGTGAATTGGTGATTTGGCTGTGTCGACGAGATCAACTGCGATATCAGCCGCTGATACAGAAGCACCCACAACAACGACTCTCTGTGCACGCAAATTAGTACTGACACTGCCTTAAGGTCGCACAACTTACCTTGCCGTGAAAAGAGTCTCGACCTCGGAAGTGCTTGCTGTGCACCACACTTCCCGGCCTCGTCTTCTCAAACCGCTCCAAGCCCTCCACAGCCGGAATATACGGCACCCAGTAATGGCCGCTCGCCACAACCACAGCATCAAAAGTCTCACTCCACCAGTAATCCTGCTTCTTTCCCTCCTTTCTCAACACAACCTTCCACTCATCACCGGTCTTCTCAACATGTTCCACGGTGGTGTTGTACGAGATGAGATCTTCGTAGTGGTTACGATGCAAGATACCTGCGATGTAGTCACGCATGACTTTCCAGTGCCGGAAGGGCGTCTCGGGGCCGTGCATCCCGATTGATCTCTCACTGCGGATTTCGGGGATGGGCTCTTGTGTGAACTCCATGGTGGATGTGTCAACGTTGGTTTCTAGGTATGGGTACAGAGATGATTCTTCATGGCGTGGTTGCGTGGACTTGGGAAGAAGTGTTGGTAAAGTCTCAGGGATGGGCAGTTGCTCATCTGCTGTACGATCTGCGAGCTTTGCCAGATTTGAGATTGTTGGAGGTTGAGTTGTATCACCAATCCTTACACCGTCAGCTCAAATTCTCTCACCATATAATCTGGTAGTTTACTAGAAATCTGATGACTTACCAACATCCTCCAGGCCCTTCACGGCGTTCAAAAACCCTGATAAGATCAAACGTCTTCTCTTGCGCCAAAGCATCAACCGCAATAGCACCCGCTGGTCCGGCGCCGATGACCGCCACACGTTTTACACGAGGGACAGACATGGTAACAAGCCAATGCAGAAAACAGCGCAAGTGTAACGACAGGAGAAGCGGAGGAGATGATCTATTGTTGTATGCGACAAGTGAGGGAGGCGAAATATAGAAAAAAGAAAAGATTTAAAGTCCTTTTGTCGTTGAGTTGGAGGATTTTAGCGGCCGATATGCTCCACATGCGGCACGTTTGTCAGACCAGACCCTTGATTGTGCCTCAGATGCGATATATCACGCCATAGCAAGGGGTTGTGATATATACATCTCCGATTTGTTGTAAAGCTGTAATTGAGTTTGTGTCATGGGATTGTCCGTATGAGATTTATGGATTCTAACGCCATTTATTGATTTGCCGAGCTTCTAGAGGATTTGAGTGACACTGATAAGCCTGACAAGGTTTATAAGAGTTCTCGTTTATATCAAAGCTCGGTACGATGAGTTTACCATCACCTCTGTAGCATATGAAAACACAGACCAGACATATTCACCTCTAGTAGTCCCCGCCCACAACAAATGTTAAACTCAAAAGCAATGGTATTGAAGGTATAAACTGCATGACCAGATGCATCGCAGAAAACATCACCATGCAACATGCACTCCCAACTCCAAACAATCAACCATCTTGACAACGACCCAGATGCAGACAAGCCATGAACGCCACGCAGAATAGACACAACAGCCGTAACTTTTCATCAAACCCATAGTTCATCAACATCTAAACAATAGCTCCATACTGTCTGAACGAAGCTCGCGATGATGGCGGAACAGACTGTTCAGGTCGATACGTCTCTGGGCCACAACGTTCCAACTCTCGGAGCCAAGCATTCATCCTCGCCTTCTTATCATCGCCCAGACTCCCATAGTCATGCGCAGCCCAATCATCCTCGCTCAAGCTCCACAGCGTCAGATGTTCAAAGATGGCCATGACAGCAGAGATGACAATAACCGCAATCGGATTTCCCCAATCATCGGACCACGCAGCGTAGAATATCAGCACAAACGCATCGAGCGCATCGCTGAACAAGTTCGTCGCAAGCGCACGGGTGACTTCGCGACGAGCAGCCGAGTCGGTCGCAGCGTTTGTAGTATCGCTCGTGTACAAAAGCCCCGAGAGGAGAATATCGCGAATGCCAATTAGACTAGCGAGCATATATGCTGAACCATCAGGTGCGATATCGAGGGCCCAGAGGCCAAACCGTGGGTATGCTATTAAGGAGACACCGCGGGCGAAACGGGCGAGAGAGAAAGTCGTGATGGCGAAGCGCTGAACATGGTTCGCTGCTGTAGGAGCAGGAGGTGGTGGTTGCTCATACGGCGATGCGATAGCTGTGGGCGTGGAGATGGGAAGCAGAGGAGAATTTGAATGTGGAGGCATTGCCTTGATTATTACGTTGGTGTTTCAAGCCGTCTCGTCACAGTAGATATTAGGTGACGTTGTTGGAGGAGGAGGATTTGGATCAACGAGCTCAAAATTATCACGGGCCTGTATTAAAAAGACCATGAAAAAGTAGAAAACAGGAAGACTCAAGAGAAACGGGAGAGTTGCGAGTAATATGAATACCATAATGACACAAGAGATATTATCTTCCAAGGTCTTGTAACACCCATGCCTAGCACCAAAAAATCATCAAGCTCACGCGTTTCCCCACAGATAAAGTGGCGTCCGTTTTAGAGGGCGATGACCCCCAAATTCGCTCCCCTCCATCACGATCTCGATGCGACGCAGCCTTGGGAACTTTAGCTCCGACAGTCGGTGAGAGAAGAATGAGTGAATGATGAAGCGATGTTTTGATGTTCGATGTTTGGGAGGGGATGATCGCTCTGCAATAGGGGTCCTTCAGTGGCGATGAATCATGAATGGTGCATTGCATGTGCCGTCTATATTTGCTTCCCTTCTACAGTCAGTAATTCTACTGTTTATGGATGTGATGCTTTGGTGATGAACTGGTGGAGATAAGACGATATCATCCCACTCCGACCTGCTTCTAATCAAACCACTACCACCATAATCACCACTCTCTTCTCCCCCGTGTTCCTCTGCTTCGACAGGCGCTTTCAAGGGGTCGCACATCAGCCTCTCTCGATGCGGCCTTGATCACACCCTCATCAATACAAAGAGGGTTGCTAGCATGCATCGCGTCTCTCCCGCCTCTGAGCGGGGAAGAGCTATATCTGACTCGCGACAGGGATTAGCTATGGTGTTTTCCCAGCCTTCTCTAGTGCCTTTTCCTCTGTAACTGGTTACAATGGGTGAAATATGGTGACTTGAATTGTCTTGCGATGGTGTTCTCATATGTTGTTTTGGGTCTTGTGCATAACAGATCAACAAGCTAGCCAGCCTCGCCTCTACAAGTCTACCACTCTAACTGCATTCACAGAGTTCATTTGATCGGTCAAGTCTTAGTATCGCGACTTTTGACTTGGTGTTGTGATTATCAGACGGAAACGGCAGCTAGAGAACCGGATCGTGCGGGATATCCCACCCTTTTTCACCATCACGCGGACAGATCTCTTATCTCTATCTTACACTGCTGCCAACCAAGGAGCTTCACTCGCTCACTCACACTTGCAGGGCAATGCATTGATATTTATCGTAAACGCGCAATATGCACTGCATGTGCATATGTGCGTATGAGGAGGGGAACACTGGCATTGTAATACGGTCATGCTGGTGAAATGTCCATAAATAACTCGATGCAGATGGCGGTTCTGAAATGGCCTTGATACAGATCGAGTTTTATTGGAGGTCTGTATTTGAGTCAGTTTCACAAAACATCTTCGCTATGCAAACAACTTAAAGAGTCATGAGCTGTTTGATGCCTATTTGCGCCTTGGCTTGATTAACCACTTTAATGGAATCTTGTAAAATTAGGTAGCTTGCACCTACGTCTTTTGCTCGGTCCAGACCCAGGATTTCGGGTGCAGTTATCCCTGCCATTTCCTGCTGAATGGTCAACTCTCACTCGAAGTGCAAACATTTGAACTGTCTCAGCCATGCTGCAATATCACCGACCGCGTGCATTATAACCAATTATAGTGACATATCAGCAAACGACAAGAAAACACTGACATGAATACCCAATCCAGTGACCTTCACCTTCAAATCCAAGCTAGGATACTGTAACTCATACCCCAGCACTCGCTTCTCCCCGTCAGATCTATCCCCCGATCTCGCCAACTCTATTTCCTCACCTGAGATATCGCTTCAAACACTCACGCCAGTAATTCCACCATCTCCATAAATTACTCGAATGCGAAAATCTCGGACATCAATTCAAACCCCGAATCTATCTAACCATGGAGAGCACCTCGCTCGTGCCGTGTCGACTGGCATGTTCTCTACGCCAAGGGGTCCAGATCAGGCACTAGTCTTGCAGCGCCGAGGACGTCAGAATTGCCAAAGAGAAAATTCCAAAGGATGCTCTACAGCTTCTGCGTAAACGGGCAAGTCAAGATGAGCGACGTACGGGAGGGCTATCCTGTTTCGTCAGTGTAAGTTGAGATATTACGCAATTTATCATGTTTAAGGGCCTTCTTCCCACTTGTCTCTCGTCTTTTGGAACCTGTCACATTTGCAGTGGAAGAAGCAAAACAGGCCATCTTTGTGGAGTCTTTAATTGGATGTTGTATCCGGTTGTGCATATTCTCGTGATTTTTGTTTTCTCCCCCTCATCGAGTGAGGGAGTATTTATACTAGATGTTGTCCCGAGGAGTCGAGGCGCATTGTGATAGTTGGAAGAGAAACGGCAAAGACATGGGTGCTCACGATACAGAAGGTAAAAGGGCGAGTCCGAGGAGTAGTCCTCCATTACAAGAAAAGTCAGATCCGGCGGGGCATGATGAACAAGGTATGAGGATGGCATTCACGTTGGGGCATTGAGTGGATAGTGAATGTCTAGTTGAGATTGAAAGAGTCAGAAGACAGATGAAATGAGTCGCACAAGACAATCGTATGACAACTAACACCACTCCAGATACAGACACAACCCCCGATGATAACCAAGGCCTCTTACATGGCAACGCAGTAATCGAAGCCGGCGGCAGCGACGAAGACGGTGAATTCTCCGCTAGCGACTTTGATCCCGAAGATTCTTCAAGTCTTCGCTCCTCCTCAACATCCATAAGCTCCAGTATTCTCGAACACAGCTATCAAAACGGTCGTCGATATCACCGTTATCGCCATGGCCGATATCCCTTACCGAACGATGAGGCGGAGCAGAATCGTGAAGATATGCTTCATGCGATGATGTTGGAAGCCACAGATGGACGGTTATTTTATGCGCCGGTTCGTGAGAATCCGCAGAGGATAGCGGATTTGGGGACTGGTACGGGGATTTGGGCTATTGAGAGTATGTGAAGAGAATGAGTGACAGGGAATGATGCTAATGGTGTTAGTTGGTGAGAAATATCCGAGTGCAGAAGTATTGGGATTGGATCTAAGTCCAATACAACCGACATGGGTACCTCCAAACGTCAAGTAAGTCATACTCACATATACACATATTCTCAAATCTAACCTGTACAGATTTTATGTGGACGATATCGAAGACGAATGGCTCAACGGCGATGACTTTGACTTCGTTCATCTTCGCAACATGATCCCAATCCTCAAATCGCCTGTAACCCTCCTCAGGCAAGTATATGCGTAAGTCCGCCCCTTCTACGCCCAATACTCCTCTAATAATACCAGAAACATGAAGCCCGGTGCTTGGGTAGAACTCCAAGACGTAGATGGCCAAGTCCACACAGACGACAACAGCATCCCTGACGATTGGCCCCTGAAACGCTTCACAGAAATCATCCTCCAAGCATTCGCTCTCTACGAAACAAACGCACACGCCGCAGTATTCGGAGGCCAATATCTTGCTGAAGCAGGGTTTGTTAATATAAAACACAATTTTATCAAATTGCCATATGGGACATGGCCAAAAGACAAGTAAATCACACCACCTACGGAGAGAGTTGTTGCTAATGGTGTAAGGGTCATGAGATTGGTGGGCATGTATTATCGAACTGCATGTGAGGAATTCTTCCCGGCGATTGGGAATTTGCATTTTCCGCAGTTGGGATGGGGTAAAGATGAGATGGAGGTGTTTTTTGCAGAGTGTAGACAGTCCATGAGGGATCCGAAAGTTCATGCTTATGGGAAGATGCATTTTTGGAGTGGCCAGAAGCCATTGGATGCATAGAGTGCATTGATGATGGGATCTACAGAACCGCCATGAGAAATGTTGAAAGATCTATGTATCGAGGATCATGTTTGAGCGTCGGTGCCAGAAGAGAAGGACTGAACAGTATATGCTTCATGATTTATGCTATCAAATACCACTTTTAAACCCAACTCCAATCTAACCAGATATACATAATCTATTACATTACCTCCGTCCCTTCTTAGCCTTCTTACTTCTAGGCTCCTCATCCCCTCCCTCTGCATTTCTTCTCTTCTTCCTACCCTCCTCAAGCAACTTCTGCATACCCTCCGTAGCCTTGAACTTGGGATTCGAAGGATCAATAGCATACTCGTGACTCTCAAACACAGCCTTGAAACGATCATCGTCAACATCCATGCTAAAGTCCTCCTGCAGACCGCCGCGGGATTCTTTGGCCAGGGCCTTCTTTTTGGCTTTGCCCTTCTTCTTTTTGGCCTTCTCTGCGCGGACGATTTCGTTCATGTCGAAGTGGTCTAGGTGATCAGCTTGGTCTGCGTCCACGTCGGCCATGACCTTCTCGAGCTGCTTCTTCTGGGCTTTGTTTTCGGCCTCGGCGGCTTCGCGGGCTTCGCGCTTCTTGAGACGGTCGGCTTTGCGGATGGAGGTCTTGGAAGATGCTGCGGGGTCTTCGGCGGCAGTGAAGAAGGGGTCGTCGAATCCAAGGTCGTCGGTCTCGCCTGCAGGGACCTCGACATCCTCCTCTTCCTCCTCCTCGGCATCAGGGTCCTGGCCAGCACGCCGAGCTCGTGCAGCTTCGCGCTTCTTCTCCTTTCGCTCCTTTTCCTTTCGGATGTACTTCTCAATTGTTGTCTCCTCCTCGACTGTCTTCTTTGGTGCGCTCTCTGACAAAGCAGGCGTGAAAGTAATCTCCATGTCGCCTACGGGGGCGTTCTTGGAAGATTTGGTAGGTTCCTCAGATAGACCCAAGGCAGCGCGCATTTTTCGACGCGCCAACTCCTTCTTGGAAAGCTTGGGCTCATCCTCACCCTTCTCTTCTTCGACGACCTCTTCTTCCTCCACATCGTCGTCATCTTCGCTGTCGCTTGCCAAGTATGCGCGGAGATCGTTCTCTTCGATCTCGTTGCGACTACCACTAAAAGCGCGGTTGATGGATTCCTTGCGCGATGCCTCCTCAGGATGCATGTCCCAGGTAAGCTTGACCTTTGAGCTCTGAAGGGCGTTTGTCACGAATTCTACGGGCTTGTATGACTCGGGAACCTTTTCACACTCGTCTCTGGGCTCGTCATCGAAAGTGACATCGTCGGGAACGAATCGAAGATCGAGGAAGTTGGAGGATGACTGGTACTCTCGTCCATCGACAGCCTCGTAGAGCTTCTGCGCAACAGCTGGGCTTGAGCAGACCATGACGGCATAGTAGTATCGTAGACGGTCGAGCTGGTAAGATCGTAGCGCATCACTGTCGAAGTCCTGATCGTCACCCTCTTGGAGCAAACTCTTCTTGATTCGCTCGTCTCCATCCTCACTTTCTTCGTCGCTGTCATCCGAATCGTCGTCCGAGTCGTCCTTGGAGTTCTTGAACAATGCCTTCGGGGGTCCTTCAACTTCTTCCTGCTGCATGCGCTCCTTGCCAAATTCACTAGGGTATACTGAAATCTTGTCGATCTTGCCACCAGTCTCAGGAAGGAAACTGTTGAAGAGAGCCATGAGGTCAGTAGATTTGACGTGGTCCCAGTCAAGGTTGACAATGGCGATTCGATTCGTCACTTCTCCAGCCTCAACATCGTTTTGCTCATCTTGGAATCGCTGCATGTCTCCCTCGGTATCGACTTGCGCGCCACCTTCTTCTTCGTCGGAGTCGGACTCTTCCTCCTCAGAATCAGAGTCGTCTTCAGAAGATGAGAAACCACCGCCTCGGGCAGGGTCGTATTTCTCGTGCGCCTTTCGCAATTCTCGCTGAACGACCTCGTCATCCTCGACCTCGATGTCATCTTCCTCCTCTCCCCCCTCCTCCTCGTCTTCTTCTTCATCCTCCTCGCGGTACAACCTTTGTAGAGCCTTCTTCTTGGAATCCGATTTTACTTTTCGGCCATATCGGTCGACCTTGGCGGTAGCAGTGAACTCGTCATCTTTAAGCATGCGAGAGAATCGCTTGTCGATTGTGGTTTTTGTCTGCTTCTTCGAGGGCAAACGGAATCGGGGATCGGTCTCAAAGTCGGCAAATCGCTCATCAGCGATTTGACTCGCCGCAGGGGCAGCCTTTTTCGTTTTCTTGTCGTTTTTCATATTGTCTTGACGAAGCTAATTGTGATGAATTCGCGAAGCTTGCTTGAGTGGAGGGGCAGAAAACAGTTGGATTCAATTTTTTGGCGGTGAATCTTTTCTGCCATGGCGGTAAGCTTCTTCCGGTAAAGCGCCTCACAGTCGGCCATCGGTATTGCCAGGCGCCGCGCATTTTCCAAAAAATTTCCAGTGACTCTGGACTTGGACTTCGATTTTGGCTTGCGCCAACGATAAGGTCTAGAGAACGTCACCTCAATTCTCTTCATCTATATCGTCGCGACTCCATATAATGCCTCCCCATGCGCGAACTGGGCGAGCACCTAAGCCCCAAAAGAATGGTCGAACCGAGCAGCGCCAACAGAAGCGCAAGAGAGAACAAGAGGATCTCCAGCAACTTGAGCAACGAGTGAACGATTTGGTATGGGGATAAATTACGACAATCTCTTACTCTGGCTAATACGAATTCAGGACCCCAAATCGGATGAAATCAAGAACTTTTCCCATCTTCCTCTCTCTGTACCAACCGCCAGCGGCCTCGAGGCCTCACATTTCCAAACCCTTACCGATGTCCAAGCTCACGCCATTCCACTGGCTCTCAAGGGCAAAGATGTTATGGGAGCCGCCAAAACAGGAAGCGGAAAGACCCTCGCTTTTCTCGTTCCCGTTCTAGAAAAGCTCTACCGTGCCCAATGGACCGAATACGATGGACTAGGCGCCCTTATCATTTCTCCCACTCGAGAACTCGCGGTCCAGATCTTTCAGGTGCTTCGAAAGGTTGGCAGAAACCACGTTTTCTCAGCAGGCTTGGTGATCGGTGGAAAGAGCTTGAAGGAGGAAGCGGAACGATTGGATCGAATGAATATTTTGGTTTGCACACCCGGTCGAATGCTGCAGCATCTTGATCAGACAGCTGGTTTCGACGCCAACAACTTGCAAATCTTGGTTCTGGACGAGGCAGATCGCATCATGGATATGGGTTTCCAATCCGATGTTGATGCGCTAGTCGAGCATCTTCCCAAATCACGACAGACACTTATGTTCAGTGCCACCCAGAGTAAGAAGGTCTCGGATCTTGCTCGTCTCAGTCTCAAGGACCCCGAATACGTCTCTGTTCACGAAGCAGCGGCTAGCGCCACTCCTACAAGCCTCCAACAGCACTACATCGTTACACCTTTGACAGAGAAACTCGACACATTATATGGCTTCATCAAGGCTAATTTGAAGAGCAAGATTATTGTCTTTCTGAGCTCAGGCAAACAAGTTCGATTCGTATACGAGAGTTTCCGTCATCTTCAGCCCGGTATTCCTCTACTACATCTTCACGGCCGCCAGAAGCAAATTGCACGAATGGAGATTACAAACAGATTCACAGCTGCGAAGCAATCGTGTTTGTTTGCGACAGATGTCGTCGCGCGAGGAATTGATTTCCCTGCCGTTGACTGGGTTATTCAGGCCGATTGTCCTGAGGATGTAGATACATATATCCACCGAGTTGGAAGAACAGCTCGATACCAGAGCAATGGTCGAGCTGTGCTATTCCTCGACCCTAGCGAGGAGCCAGGAATGTTGAAGAAGCTTGAGCAGAAAAAGATTCCCATACAAAAGGTGAATGTCAAGGAGAAGAAAAAGAAGAGTATCAAGGATCAACTACAAAGCATGTGCTTCCAGAACCCAGATCTGAAGTACCTTGGCCAAAAGGCCTTCATCAGTTACACACGGTCAATTCATTTGCAAAGAGACAAGGATGTTTTCAAATTCAACAAACTAGATCTTGATGGCTTCGCTGCTAGTCTTGGTCTCCCTGGTACACCGCAGGTCAAGTTCAGAAAGGGCGAGGATATCAAGAAAATAAAGAATGCTCCTCGTGTTGGCATGTCTAGCGACTCTGAAATGGAAGAAGATGGGGAAAAGTCAAAGAAGAAGAATGAGGTGCGCACAAAGTACGACAAGATGTTTGAGCGGACAAATCAAGATGTTCTGTCAAGTCATTACAACAAGCTTGTGCTTGATGGCGATGAGAACGCGGATGATGACGACGGCGATTTCTTGTCAGTCAAGAGAGTACTGAAGGATGATGAGCTAGACGACGAGGCAAACAACGCTTTCAAGAGCACAGCAAAGGTCATTGATGGTCTAGGTGGTGAAGAACCATTTGTGGTCGACTCAAAACGTCGTGAGAAGGCTCTCAAGTCAAAGAAGAAGATGCTCAAGTTCAAGGGCAACTCAACCAAAGTCGTGTTCGACGAGGATGGTAACGCCCATGCTATCTACGAGCTCAAGGACGAGGACGACTTCATGGGAGAGGGTCCAGCCGAAGAACAGCGTCGCAAATTCGTCGAAGACGAGACGTCGCGCGTTCGCGAGGCAGATGTGGACGACAAAGCTCTCGCCAAGCAAAAGCGTCGCGAGAAGCGAGAAAAGCGCAAGGCTGCCGAGCGAGCAGAGCGCATGGGCATTGTATCAGACGACGACGGCGACGCACCCATGCTGCACAACGCAGACGACGGCGAAGATCCTCTGGCGCTTATGCGATCGCTGCCAATGGGAGGCGACAGGTCGGACAGCGAGGAAGATCGCGAGCCGCCCAAGAAGAGAGCCAAGAAGTGGTTCGAGGACGACTCGGAGGACGAGAAGAAGAGCAAGGGCAAGGGAAGGGTCATCAAGGTGCAGGACGAGCCGGAGACTTTGGAGGATCTCGAGGCGCTTGCTACTGGGTTGTTGGATTAAGGAGGTGGACAGGTTCGATACCCTTTGGAGCCTTGTATATAAGGATAGACAAAAGTTGCGAATTAAAATGCATAGGGTTAATGTTCAAATTCATCGTCTCGTGTATCTTATAAGAAGCTGTTAATTGTCATCAGAAAGGTCATGATTGAATTACAAGTAGCACCATTCTCAGCAAAAGCTATCCATTCCCATACCAGCTCCACGCTTCAATGCCTTGCATATATAATTCACACTCCCATACAAGAATATGTACATGAACCAATCAACTATCCCCAACGCCCAGAAAGCACATCGAAGTCTAAACTGCACCAACAGATATATTCATCCGTTGGTTTTTACACCAGCTATTCCACCACGTTTCCAAATAGCCGAACGCGGTAAAAGCACGTATGGTCTACCGCGCCGTAATTGCCCATGGATCGAACGACGATCTGGTCTGTGCCGATTCCGAGGTTGGAGAACTGATCTTTGATGTGCTGTACGTGAACGCCGTCGTTTAGCTCGTTTCCAACGTACTCAAAGTCGCTGATCTTGACGAATTGATCGGACAAAGGGACCGAGACATTGCGGTTAGTTGTGTCTTCTCTGAACCAGTTGGCTGTTATAGCAAAGACTTGATCACGCTCCATTTTGTCTTCGAATCTAGCAAAGACTTCGATCTGTCGCGGTCGAGCCAGTGGATCTGTCGTTGCGTTCTTATTAATGTGTTCGATCACGATGTCAGTGGGAACGACCAGATGGCCAAGGTGAACAGAGATTCTGGCACCATGGTATCGTCCGCTGCTATCGATGTCGTGAACTGAGCAAAAACAGTCTCCTTCATCTTGCCACGGGAGAAGTGCTGCCGCGGCAGGGAGAGGATGTACGCCAGAGACGCCACGCTTCAAGGCTTCTTTAGTAGCGACGCCCTTCTTCCATGGATCCCATACACCTGTCGTGAGAGCCTCATCAATGGTAGCCCCAGCGCCAACCGCAAAGAAGTTGACCTGGTGCTTGAGCCGCGTGTTCCAGTCTTCGTGAATCTTTGCCTTGGCACCAACTCCAAGGACTTCGTCTGATATAGTCTGGATAACAATCTCTCGAATGAGTTTCCTCATCTCAGCGTCCGATGTTCCCTGGGGAGCCATCAATTGCGCAGTACGAATCGACTCTTGAATATGAGTCAACATATCCGACTTTAGCTCTTGGAGCTCAGCTCGAACTGTTGCTTGGTGGGTTGCCAGTTCGTTCCCGAGATGTTTTATGAATTCGCTTCGAGTAACAACTGTCTGGTTCTGCTTGCCGAGTTGCTCATTGACAATCTGGGCGACTTTCTTGTCGAATCCAGCTCCTGACCCAGCAGCCTTTGTCTTGGCCATTGCCTTTTCAATGAGCGGTTCGAGAATCTTGTTGTTATTCTTGAACCATGTGTCCCAGAAAGCAGGCAGCTTCTCCTCGATGCCGCTGTCGACGACTTTCGTGAGCTTCGACTTGAAGTCTTTGTCTTTACCGAGTCCCGCCACGATAGCCTTCCACTGCTTTTCCGTGGAGATCTCGTAGTTTCCGCCCTTCTTCTTCATGTTCAAAAAGCTCCCACTCTCCTTCAGATAATCTTGAAGACCATGATAGAACTGTTGGGGAATAGACGGCTTTCCATTGATGGTTTCCATGGTGATGTATTGAGGGAGTTTCGCTTCCAGCTTCTCGAGACTTTTCTTCTGGTCACTGAGTTTTGATGTCAGCTTTTTCATTGCCTTTTTGACTTCATCCGTAAGTTCAATATTGTTAATGGGAGTTTCTGCGAAGACATCATGCTCATCGTCTCTGCTCCAGGGCGACCACGAGGGCAATGAGAACGATGGCATCATATCTCCAACGTTGTGAACAAAGCCAGAAGGGTTCGGTATGTGGAAACCACCTAAGCCAAAGTTTGGAATACTTGGTAGAGATGGTTTCACGGCTCCCATGCCCGAAACGAGGGAGACTCCCAAAAGCAAGCCAACACCGCCAATGAGAACAGCGTAGACCACTCTTTCGGTCCAAGAACCTCGGATTTGAACACCAGATAATCCGTCGAGAAGGTTGACGAAATGATCCATAATCTTATCGACCAACCATACCACAGACTGCAGATATGTCATTGGATTTAATAACTTCCACCAATCCGTAGGACCACCATTGTTGTATTGATCATCGTCAAAATCGTCAAAGTCATCGTCTTCACGCCGTCTCCAAATCAAGTTGAATGGCCAGAGTGTTAATAACCAAGCAATCTGTTCCCGAAACCATTGACGCCATGGCTCTATTTGGGGCGCTCGTTCTCTCTCAGCTCTCTCAGCTCGTTCACGAGCAATTTGATCCTCTGCTTCTTGGATTTCTCGCTGAATGTCCCAAACACGCTCTTGTGGATCATGGGGAATTTGACGGGCCTTTTCAAATGCGCTTGATTGCGAAGCAGACCTATTGATTCTAGAAAAAAGGCTCTGGCCACCGCTTGTTCTTTGATCTCTCCTCTCAGGAGCAGCGTTTCGAGATAGCTGCTGTGCCGGCTGTCGACGGATTGGGTTGGCAACTGTACGCGTAGACTTCTTTGTGATTGTACGTGTCTTGCTTGCGTTGCCTCCATATTGGATTTCGCTCTCGATGTCGTCTTCATCGCTCTCAGCAGAGCTTTCACTCTCCTCGCTATCTTCCACTACCGTAGGGTTTCGAGGCCGGGGCTGACTTTGTCGGGTTTTGTTTGGGGCTGGTGTATTCACCGTAGTCCTACTACGGGTAACAGGCGCAGCCCTCTCTTCCGGCTCATCTTCTTCTAGTTCACGCGATTTCTGCCATGTTTGTCTCGGTACTTGGAGTGACGTTTGTTGAGTATCCCTAGGTCTTCTGGGCTGGGTCTCAAGACTAGGTTGCTCGCGTAGACGAGATGGCTGTAAGCTGCGCTGTACAGACGTATCTCGTTGAGCTCGAGGGTTCGGGTTGGAGGCAGCAGGCTGCCTTTCAGTTCTTGCTATCAAAGGTGGCACCGATCCTATCGTTGCATCTTCGTAGTAGTCACTTTCCAACCCAAAGCTTCGTGAGCTATCATCATCTCTCCCAGTCGCTAATTGCTGAACAGCGACTGTTGCTGAGCGTGATGCATCTAATTCATGTTAGGATTTGTCGAGAGCAATGTCCATATCACTTACTGTCTCTTGATGGACCCGCATCATCTGCCCTTGCGGACGCTGCCCTTGGCTTTGCTGGTCGCACGAATTCTTCCTCATCATCGGCGTTATTTGCGAGGGCTTGATTGACGGCACTGCCCAAATCCATGCGCTGCAGACCAGCTCCCACCTTTGGTGGTGGCTCAGCACCAGAGCCATATGTGTACTGTCTCCGTGTGCTTGGCGTTCCTTGCAGAGCCGGTAAGTGAGGTCTCACCAACGCATTCGTCGACTCATTCGTGGGTTGTTGCTCGGGTTCCCGACTTGTGAGGCGGGTATTACGTCTACTGACTCTGGGAGGCATGGTTGAGGTGAGATGTGGAGGCTGAGTGAAGTTGGTATGAACAGAAAATTGAACAACAAAAAGAATCCAATCTGAAAGGGATTGCGCCCTTTTGTTTCATGAAAATCGTGTCCGTTGTCTTTGAGATGAGAGTGGGTGAAAGTGGTCGTTCTTTGTCGTCTGAGATGAAAATAGTAGCACTGACTTTGTGTCGACCATACAGACGTATCAAATCAGCGCCACCAAGTAGCTCCCCGCTTCTATTCGCGATTCACAAAGACAGGTTTGCCGTGTGCCAGCTTGACTGGCCAATCTAAGCGTTGAGATGTAGTCAAACACAACAAAGAAACATGTTGGTGGCGGTGAGATGAGCAAACAATGAATCTTGAAGGGTGCCGTCAAAAAGTTCGCGATAATGACAGTGCGATATTTTCGGTATCAGCGTTGAGATCTTTTTGCTGGGTTGTCGAAATGCGTCTTGCTTTTTTTGTCGATACTTCTTGTGATGCTATCGCGAAGATGCTGTATGCAGCCGACGCGATACGCGCCGAGGATTAGGCGGCGCGAATCGAGAGGCTGGTGTACGTAATCACGTGCACAGGCGTTGTACAAGTGCTTCTAAATCACAGCGAAGCAGCATCTCAGATTGGTTCAAGAAATGAAATTCTCAATTAGACGACCTCAGGCAGAATAACTCCTCTGTTAATCCTCAATTTACCACTAAACTCAATGTCAAATAAAGTGTGTCATCGTTCCATACTTCCGCCGCATCTAATCGGAACCAACTCAACTTCACTTAGTTATTACTGAAGAACCAAGACCGTCAAGTCCACAGTCCATCAAAGCCTAGACTATGGGCATAAGTGCTAGCTTGATCTCTGATTCGACATTTAATGAGGGATAGCATTGGTCATTCTTTAATATTCTCATTCCTTCAGATTCGCGGCCGATACGAGAAGTCATACGAAGTTTCAAAGTCGGGTTTAGCCATCGGAGAGAGCGCTATCAATGCATGGACATCTATCAAAGTTAGAGTCATTATTCATGAATGGACGACACCAAATTTTACTTCTCCATCAACTGCTGACGACAAGATGCATTGCTTTATGAAGCGCAGGTTGATTAATTACATCCACAGTACAACAGAGAATGTAAGAGATATAAGCATTACGAGGCCGGTACTCCACAAATACCCTGCCCGCCCACCATGATCGTCTGTTCGGTTCAGTTCAAGTCGGGTAAACCGCCGTCGTTGATACAAGGCAACGGCGTTGTATGGAGCGCATATTGTTAAACTCGATTTTGAGTGCAATCCATTCGGGCCTATGCCATGCTGCGATATTATTTGCCACTCATTCTCAATCGTTCGACTCATTCTCGTGAGATCCGATATCGACAGTCTAGTCGTCCTTGAGACTTCAGCCTCAAGCCCCGAATAATCCTCCATGAGGCATGGACATGTCAAGATCCTTGGAGTCCCACCGCCATTAAATTAGCAGCGTCAATCACATCAGCACGAACCCCCTCCTTCTAAATGAGCCCAAAAAAAAAGCTGCCCCGCCATCCCCGACATTTTCCCCCTACCATTCATTGACCTTTAACCCCGCCATCCCTCAACGCAACCCGCCTCCTCGACTTCTTTTTGCTTTGTGCTTTTTCACCGCAATCTTGAATCGCTCAGTCAGAACAAAGAAATCCACTGAAAATGCCCGTTGGAACTGTTCTCGTCACCGGGTACGCCACTCAATCATCCCTTGCGACACTGACTCCTACTATCTCCTCTTGGTCTTGGACATTGTCTTTGTTGTCGCAAGCTTCAGGACACGGATTATACGGTGTCGCATAAGACAAAGAAGCACCAGCTAACGATTGATCCTCCAGTGGTACCGGCTACATCGGCTCTTTCACCTCGCTCGCCCTTCTTGAGCACGGTTACGATGTCGTTATCGTAGACTCCCTCTACAACTCCTCAGAGGTTGTCCTCGACCGCATTGAGCTGATCTGCGGCCGTCGACCTACCTTCTACAAGGTCGATGTCACAGACGAGAAGGCCATCGACGAGGTCTTTGCCAAGCACCCTGCCATTGACAGCGTCATTCACTTCGCTGCTCTCAAGGGAAGTCACATGTCAACCGGAGCGATCATCCACGACTAACACCATCCAGGCTGTCGGCGAGTCTGGCGAGATCCCTCTCGAGTACTACCGTGTCAATGTCGGCGGCAGTATCTCTCTGCTCCGCTCCATGGAGCGCAACAACGTCAACAACATCGTCTTCTCCTCCTCCGCTACCGTCTACGGCGATGCTACTCGTTTCCCCAACATGATTCCTATTCCTGAGCACTGCCCCATTGGACCTACCAACACATATGGCCGCACCAAGTCCATGATCGAGGACGTTATTACCGACTTTATTAACGCTCAGCGAAGCAACCTGGAGAAGGCCGGTAAGGAGTTCAAGCAATGGAACGGTGCTCTGCTGCGATACTTCAACCCTTGTGGTGCTCACCCCACTGGTATCATGGGTGAGGACCCCGCTGGTGTTCCTTACAACCTTCTTCCCCTCCTTGGAAAGGTTGCTACTGGTGAACGTGAGAAGCTCTTGGTATTCGGCGATGGTGAGTTTTCCTAGCGCATAATTGCTGCGCAACTTCTAACATCTGGTAGACTACTCCTCTCGCGACGGTACTGCCATTCGAGACTACATTCACGTTGTTGACCTTGCCCGCGGCCACCTTGTCGCTCTTAACTACCTGCGCGAGAACCAGCCCGGTGTCAAGGCATGGAACCTGGGTTCCGGCCGTGGAAGCACTGTCTTTGAGATCATCAAGGCCTTCAGCAAGGTTGTTGGCCGCGATCTCCCCTACGAGGTCCGCCCTCGACGACAAGGAGACGTTCTCGATCTCACTGCCAACCCCACCCTCGCCAACAAGGAGCTCAACTGGAAGACCGAGCTCACCATGGAGAAGGCGTGCGACGACCTCTGGAAATGGGTCAGCAACAACCCCAAGGGTTACCGACAAGATCCTCCCGCCGAGATGGTTGAGGCTGTCAAGGCTTCCAAGGCTTAAAAATAGAAATAATGATGACCAAGGCCACCCTTGTGCGAGCAGGCCTCTCGCATTTCATGGACCGAGATGAAAAATTCTTAAAAGATTCATGTTTTTTGGTCATGGTTGAACCATCCATATAGCATTATAGACAGATAGCGCATTCAAAATAAAAATAAAAAGGCTAGACTTAATCGATTTTAATGAGCAACTTTCCAATCGTCTTTCGGCTCTCAATGTCCTGGTGTGCCTGTGCCACGTCCTTGAGGGGGTACACCTTGTGGATGGTAAGTTCAAGCTTCTTGGACTTGATGAGGTCGAAGAGCTCGGATGTGTACTTTTCGAGATCAGCTCGCTCGGAGACGTAGCCGTTGACTACGGGGCGCATCAAGCGAACGCACTTGGGTGTAAGTCGGAAGAGGCTCACGGGTTCCACAGCGCCGGACTGTGTTGTTAGTTTAGGATGTGAGAGTTGGTGAGATATCACTTACAGCGTTGCCAAAGGAGATGAGGTTACCCTTTGCAGCAATCATCTCAAGATCTCCATCGAAAGTAACCTTGCCCACACCATCAAAGATAACATCCGCACCATGACCACCAGTGATCTCCTTAACCTTTGCAACAACATCATCATGAGAGTTGATAACCCACTCCGCACCATTCTTCTTCGCAAGTGCAAGCTTCTCCTCTGAACTAGCAGTACCAATGACCTTGGCACCGACAATTCGGAGCAGCTGAACAAGCAGAGTACCTACACCACCAGATGCAGCGTGAACAAGGACCCATTGGCCAGCCTTGACTTGACCAGCTTCACGGATGAAAGTCCATGCTGTAAGACCCTGGAGATAAGCAGCGACAGCTTGGTCAGTGGGAACTTCGTCGGGGATTTTGACAGCGTCAGAAGCGTTAACAACACTGTACTCAGCGTAGGCGCCGACAGTTCCCATGAAGACCACGCGCGTACCGTTCTCAAACCCCTTAACAGAGGAGTGAGCGTCAACGACAGTACCAGCAGCCTCACGACCGAGGGTAAGAGGAAACTGGGGCGCTTTGTAGAGACCACTTCGGAAGTATGTATCGATATAGTTCAAGCCCGCAATCTGGTTCTTGACGAGGATCTGGCCCTCACCGGCTTTGGGAACAGCAACATCGTTGAATTCAAGGACTTCAGTGCCGCCGTTCTTGTTAATCTGAACGGCCTTCATCTTGGGAGGTACAGGCGCCATTGTTGCTGTTGAGAAGTGTGATGTTATTCTGGAGATTCGCTGGATTGGGATTTGGGTGAGTGGTTTTGATATGGTGCTGGTTCTGAGCAGGGAGCGTCGGAGAGGTTGAGCCATGAGGGTGAGTGTCGGGACTGGGGATTAATAATGTGTCGGGTCGGAAGAGGGCGGTTTTCGATGGAGGAGTGGTTCGGAGCTATGGCGGGGATTGGGGATCAGGCCCATGATGGCGGGGTAATGATACTGATGTGATTGCACGTCATGATTGCGGTTTCGGATATGAAGAGAAGAGAAGAGAAGAGAAGTTGATGTAAATATCTTGAATTATATTACAAGGTCGATATGCTATTAGATAGAGTGCTTACTCGATGTTGAGTAACTGGTGAGACTGGCGGTTCTATTGCTTACAGTTCCCCTTCTAGAAGGCAGATGGCATTGCTTAGACATGGAGAATCCTGCGTCTATCCTATCATATCTGCATCCAGTATTTACATATACAAGCACCCCATCGGCAGTTTCGCCTATGCTACTAGATTGAAATAAAACTCAATACTCATAAATTTGTCAGTTTATGTGCGATCTTGTCCACTGTATTGATTTAAACTGAGCTGTGCTGGTGGACGGCTAAGCTCTTACCCACATCACTTACACAGCAAGTATACTACCCTATAGCCCAGCTCTGGACATTAAAGATCATTATACTCAGTCAGTCTGGGGCCTGAAACGAACTTTAAATGCCTATCCATGCTTGCAGTGGAAATAATAAGGAACGTTCAGTCTCAGAAGCCAATTGTGATAAATCCGCTTAAGTATTACTGCATGACATTTAATGATATTCCCGGGCTCACAATGACATGGACAATGCTTCTCAGAGCTAGTCTTTACCATAGTTACAGATACGTGGATACTTTACGCCTGGAAGCGTGAGGATGTTCTCCTGTATCCTTATGCGCTCTTGTATAGCTAAAATACACCAGTGTCACAGCCCTTTAATCAGATGAATCTCGCGATGTCTCAGCCAACTTGGACTGGGTGGTCATGATTTAGATAGCCCTCTTCAATGGCTACCGAAATGACAACTTTATGATATCATGAATTTGAAGTATGTCGATTGGCTACTACTCCAACACAAATACCGAGTGTGGCTTTGCCAAAGCTTAGTTTGCGCGTTGCTTGTTTCAAGGCTGTTGCCAACTTACTTGACAGCTAATATGGGCACGTCAGGGACCAGGTCAGTTCTGAACCAGACCTGCATCTCGATTGTTGATCAGATCGTTATGCTAGTTCTCAATGGGTTAATACACGCGATGCCATTCATGTCATCTACTGATTTCTGCAGGCCAGTCTTGAACAGAGGATCTTGACTGTCAATTCAAGCATTTAGATTTAGGGTAAACGATTGAGTAAGCATAATTACAGTTACGCCTCCCTCAAGTCAATATACGGTGACACCGACTGAGTCAATCGGAAAATGAGACGATGACGAATTTGACGATAAGGAAGAGGGGAAGTAATTTTGTTGTTCCATGAGTTGTAAAAGAATGTTCGAAATGCTACCCCCAAAGGGCTTAGTCCTCGTCAACTACAACGTTGTTCCAACAGTTTGACTCAACTTCTAACGTTAATTCTAAGCTACACGAAACACGAGAAGGATTCTTCAAACATCAGCCCATTCACAACTCGTCTACAGAAGTTCTCACATTAGTCTCGAAAGAAAGTCTCAATTAGGCTGAGGCTACGCCAGCATACGCGTGGCCAGCTCTTCTTAGACGGAGGCGTCGGTCCAACCTCCTGACGGGTTTATTCTTAGGTGTCGCCCGAACTGGCCTGTTTACGGCCTAGCGATCGCCGCGAGAGATTTTCAGCCAGGGGTCGGGGCATTGGTTTCATGTGTCAGTGGCAGTCGGAGCAGATGTCATGACAGAGGATCGTGGCAGTGCAGGCGGCTTGGCATGAGAAGAGCTTCGCAAGCTCGTCCAGGGAGTGTCCCTGTGTGTGTGCGTCGGAGGATTCTTATTGAGGCCGGCTAATGTATTGAGATGTTCATTGGGGTAATTGGAAAGATATTGCAGTTGAATTAGTGATTTGCGACCATTGTTTCGTCCAATGCTGGGGTCAGTGATTATCATTAGACCTTGGGCCTCTATACGTCACCTCAATTAGAGTGCATGTTTTAGGGCGTTTACCTCAACGACAGGGCATCCACTCATACGATAACAGGCCGAGAACGAAGTGTAATTTACGTTAAACATTAGGCATTCTACACTGCCGAACTTGATGCGATCGCTTCCTTGAGTTTGGATAAGAGTAGCACAGGTCTATAATGCAATTGAACCTTGAAATCAAGACTACATTCAAGATATCAGGTCTTATTGGAGGCTCTCATGCCCAGTGAATTACACGATGTGACACCCAGACGTGTGTGGGGTGTTGCGGCTGTGGCTTAGTGCATACACAGTGGGGTATCACAGCCTTCAGGCTCCCCCCCGGCTTCAGGCATATTCTGTAACACTAAGAACCGCCTCCGACTGGACCTCACCTCGAGACAAAAGTCGAGGCCACTGCACACTCGGTCAAGCCAGGAAGTACCGGGTCGTGTTTTGTTTCCTCAATTGTACAATAACAATATCATCGCAGCCTTATGAGGGGCAGACTTCTCCTCAACCACGCATCATTCTTCCGTCTCATTTCGCATTCTTTCAACTGTCATCAGCTATTGCTACAACAAACACGCATTCATTATTTGATACCCAGTACAACACCGTCAGATTTACAGCATTCAAATCGAGTCCCAACCCGTCTTCCAACAGCTTATATCATCATTGACTCGTCTACTCGCCAATTCAAATGGTAGCCGCATCTTAAAATGAATTCCTCAACGGTTAACGCCCGACAGAGGCGAATTATCCAATTATCACAGCAATGGGGTTTCTCACTACCACCCAATGCCCCTACTCCACTCACGCGACCACCTCACCCAACCTCTTTCCGAACTCACGGCGATGATGAAGTCGCTGACGGCCTTCTGCAGAGGCGGTCCGCTGAAGTCGCACAACTGCGACCTAAGAGTGGCTTGTCGCGAGCCTTCTCATCGAGTAACCTGAAAAAAGGAAAGCATTGGGATACCAAAGAGATACTGAACGTGTTGAACTCTTGGGTCGACAGTTCAGGCTCGCCCGGTGTAGCCGAATCATTGATTGCGAAATTGGCTGCAGCCGGTGTCGACCTAGGTGGTATGCAGACACAGAAGCAGGGACTGTTAAACAGAAGAAAAAGTGTCGAGCATGGTCTTGATCGGACTCGCCTTCTAAAGTCCGCCATCGAACGAGACCAACTAGACATGGTACACGTGCTTATACCACATGCTGACCCATTGACCCTCGATATCTGTCTTCCAGCTGCGGCCCGAACCAGAAATGCACGAATCGTGGAGGTCCTATTGAGGTATGGAGCAAATGCATCGAACACTGCGGAAGGGCAGGACGAATTCCGCAAGGCGTGCTCTGTTCCAGCTTTATCAGAGATCGCATCGCTCATCCTAAGGTCTGATGGACGGCCGGAAGAAATATGCACATCGCAAGCGCTTACCGACGCCACAAGAGCACAATGTTTCGACACTGTTTTGCATCTGAGTCGTTCCACAGCAGACGGGAACTACAACAACGCTGAAGCTCTCAAGATCGCTATCAACGACCAGAGAAGAGATATCGCGATGGCAATTGCCACAGGAAACAAGCCACCTCAAAGTCCTGGCCTTGATGAGGCTTTCGAGCAGCTCATGAACAACACAGAATTGCAACCACGGTCGAAACTTGACTTTGCTGAGCTCCTACTTTGCTGCGGCGCCCAGGGTCCTATACTGGAAAGATCACTTGAAGTGGCGTGCGAAACACAGTTCTTTGAGATGGCTGACCTTTTGGCGTGTTATGGAGCTTCAATCGAGCACAACGACGCTTCTGCTTTGAAAACCGCCATTTCAAAGGGCCAAACCAGCCT